CTGAACTCTTATCAATTAAAAGGATATAATCAAGCCCCTAGATAAAGCCACCCAAACAGGCGCATTGCAACAAAAACTCCCATATTTATGCACCGTCCACTGTATCCTTCTCATCTCTATATTCAAACGATTTCAAAGACGTCCATGTGACCCTCTACGCTGCACTAGCAAGGGCCCATCTCTACGTCTTTCTGTACAATCCATCGTCTATATTACGCCATGCGGTCAACAAGCTCATATCTGTCTTTGCTACTGAGTCTCCGCCAAAAGCTCAATCGCTTCCTTCCGTGGGATGTTTTCCCAGTCTCCATGACCCACATAGACCATAACCACCACAGGGCGCCACCAACTACACCGGCGATTAAGAATCCAGATACGGTGAGGAAGAACCAGTGTTTGCCCATCCAGAAAATGGTTTGAGCGTCCTTTCCGTGCCAACTGCTCCCCTTGGAAATGACGAAGAAACTCCATGGGTTGCCTTTGTATTCGGCAGGCATCAATACTCGAACTGCTTCCTCGGGCTGGTTGTGCTCCCACATGTACTGTTTCCACATTACGGACAAGAAGAGTGGCCCAGTGCTGCCCATGACACTGATATAAGGCAATACCCAGTTTCGGTTATAGTCTGCGAGTTTTCCAATCACAAACTTGAAGAAAGGATGCTGTGGCACAGCGCCCATCGCATCGTTGCTAATACCCGTGGGTACTGTTCGGCGGAGCCAAGCTGGGTAGCTGAGTAGAGGATCGAGTCGGCGATTGCAACCGTCATCCAGATCTATGTATATGCCGCCGTAGTGGTATAGAATGAAATATCGAATGGCATCGGCGCGTTCGATAGGGAACGGGTAGGAGTCGAAGGTAGCCAGGAACCATTCGTATTCTTTTGCGATGAAGGCGCGGGATTTCTCGTCGGTCCAGAGCTTGAAATGGTCAGCGCTTATGCTCAGATGCTGTTACCCAGCTAACAAAGCTCACCATATATTCATAATCGTCATGAAGGTTGACACATGCTTGTTGGCCTTCCTTCCACTTCGCAGGTATCGAGGAGTTGATATACGTCTGATGGATGATTTTTGGTATTAATTGGGTACGATTATCGTTCAAATCCGAGTTAGGTGCAGGAATTTCGGCGCCTGGTATCGCAAACCTTGAAGCATTCTCGAACAGGAGAGATATGAGGGTACTGCAGGCGTTGATGAGAGAGCCGATTATGATCAAATTAATGACGACAAAAATAACTGTTCCGCGGCGCATCGTGAAGTATGTAGGGAGCGTGGATATCGGAGAAAGGATCGTAGGGTATTTCGAATCCCAAGGATATGGGAGAGCTGGAGGAGGAGTTCAACACTTCATCGACGGTGGTGTTGGAGAAGGATGAGGATTGTTTGTTTGCTGCTGCAAAAGGGGATCTGAGATGATCAGACCAAGAGGTGGCACATGCACAAGCGCAGCCAAGACTCAAATTTCCAGCACAAAGACGACCGGGGATGGAGAGAGCCGAATATGCCGAGCCGGTAATTGAATTGAGTCAATGAGTACCTAGTGAATTATTTTTGATATAAATTCCGGTTCTGCATAAATAAGTGTGTAAAAGAATGAGGTTGAATGAAGAGGCAACTATTCTGTTCTTATCAAAGATCCAGTTTTCAAGGGGCTGTGTTCTGGGGCAATCCAGACGCTTGTCCGTTCTTGAACTGGGCTCCCACTTGGTAGATGCAAGCTACATGTGCTTACTCGAAGTCCGATGTACGAAGCATGATTCAAACCTGCTCCGGAAAGGCTCGCTTCGTTTGCTTCCTGTCACCGTCAAGAGCCGACTGGCCAGACGCAGTAGTCGTGCTTATTATTTATCAAAAGGACGCCTCTCCGTTTCCATCGGATACCACAAAGTGCCGTGGAAGGGGACCGGTCAATATGTGGAACAACTTTATGTCCGGAAGCCATGCGGTGGAATAAACGTGGGCAGTCGGATTTAAACCTGTCGGATTCGTACTTCGTGGTCGATATACGATTGGTCCCGATGAAGTCGCCGAGTCTCTGGCACTAATCATCATGCTTTTAATATTGAGGATTCAACATCTGGGAACTTGAGGCCAAACTTGCAATGTTTACTGATCAAATATTGAATTGGCATCTCATTTTCTCCATGGGTGAGAGCGGAAGGGGTGTGATAACAAAGAGAGCAGCTTGATATTGAGTGAAAAGGAAAGGAAAGTTTTCTCTTGATATTATCAAAACCACAGTAACAGAACCAAGCTCGCCATGGACAAGGTAAATGCCACTCATCGAGCTGCTCATGTCTTAGTTAGATGAGTATTCTTGTTACCCTAGAGTATCATTTCGAACATTGCAAAGTCAGGAACCTCGAAAGTAAGTAATGCTGTGAAGCTCCTTTCTCAAACATCCAAGAATCTGTTTTTGTGCCATTTTTTGTGACATCGGCTGTACAAATTACAGCGCGAAGGAGAAAAACTTCCTTTTCAATTCGGGGTTTGGTTGGGAAGTCGTATGATACTTGTGTGGGAGATGGGTCGAGAAGTGTAAATCTTTAATATGCTTGTATATCGACCATAACACAACGAACATTTTTGTTAGTGTTCACTTGTAGCAACTCAGCTAGTCAAAAGCCCTATTTACCCCATCTAAGTATCAACCCACAGCTATCGGAAAAATGGTAAATTTGTAACAGTGCTTCAATATATTCTAATTAGCAATTATGTACCAAATATAAATCAACGTCGCTTTAAATCCCCCATCGCCTCCAACACACCAGGCATCAGAGCCACAACCCCTCAGAAAAACGACCGATGATTATCTAGCTTTGTAGTCTCCTGTTCCATAACCACCTGTGCATTATGCACCGTATCAGTCCTTCCCAACGGTACACCTTCGGCGCTCTGCCCTTCTAACCTCTGCTCCTCAGGATGGTTATCCTTGAACAAATCCTTAATAGTACCAGAACCCGTCGCTGCTTGATATATAGCAAACGTCGTAGCGAATTCCTGATGCGCACCGATTTGAATAGCGTCAAGGAGGAGGACGGCGTAATTTTGGCAGTTATTGCTGATGAGGTTGTACCCGGGACGGGCGGCTCGCATGTTGTGGATGACCATTTCAGCTGTATTCAAGTCAGACTCTTAAAAAAACAGAAAGTCAACATAACAAGACAACAAAAACAGCGACAAACCAGCAAGTCTAACAGCCTCATCCGTAAACCTCGTCATCCCCACCTGAAATGTCCTCCAATCCTCCCTTTTAACCTCCTCATTAATATAAATAACATCCAGCCCCTCATCCATCCACAACTCATGCGCGTAGTCCCCAATCAGCACAGCCCAATGCTGCGTCGGATCCGGGAATTTCCCAATACTCTTATTGATTATCCCACCCAGGCCCGTCTTCTCAGTGAACGCTCCCATGCCCGGCACAGGATGCCAACCTATCTCCACGGTACGAAGCTCGCCATCGATGGCAGCAGGACCGGGCGGTATGACATTTGGTTTTGCGCCGAGGCCGAGGGAATGTTGGAGTTGGAGTTTGGCTTTGACGAGTTGTTCGGCGCTGAGTTCTTTGCCTTTGGACCATTCTTTGTGCCTTTGAGATTTGTCAGTTGAACTCATATACGGGAGGGATTTGAGGGTATAATTACAGGAATCGACCCAGCTTGGCGCGTTTACCATGATGTTCTACTTCCCCTTCTGTTTCTGGCGGAGTCTCGGTTTCTAATATTGGTTCGGACATTGGAGGAGTTCTCCCTGCTTGGGGGTTTATTTGGAGATCGACAATGCTGAACCCCGCCTCTCCACTATGAGGGGCATTCCTGGTCCGTGCTCAGGGACCTTTCAAATGAACGTGATTGTGATAGGGAACAAAGCATGTGTATACTTGAAGTGGTGCCTATATATTATGATTGAAAATTTCTACAGGAAGTAATACAGAAATTCCGAACGCGATACAAAAGCCTTGGCGATTATTTAGGTTTCGCTTATGCCCTGTTTTGGTGGTAGTAGGCTATCGTCAAGAACATGGAATTTAGTAAAATCTCACAACTAGCAATCGAGCTATTATTGAGCTATAAGAACGATAGCTTGGCACCATTCAATTTGGCAGTATGAAATTGAACCTGCTCTATTCACCTACCACTTGACATCATATGTACGCTCATGTAGAATTGAATTCTGAGTCATGATGAAGTCTTGATTATGTTAGTATTCTGCAAAATTGAACACATACGTTGGTTTTCAAAATGGATCACTAAAAGCCTATGTTGGATGTTTTCAAATAGTCAAGAGCAATGAAATTCATTATAGACCGTATTACTCAAAGTCATCGCTAAATCAAATTCCCCTCCCAGTTCCCATTCCCCTACCCAACCGGTCCCTAACCGCAGACGATAGACAAGAAAGAAAAGCATTGCACACATAAAAACCAATCTAGGCATACACTGGCGCCTATTCCCTGTTTCCCAAATGATGTATCGTTATCGTCAAAAATGAAATTTATGACTTCGCATTGTTAATGACAGCCCAGGCCTTGAGGCTATTCCTACTCTAACTTCATATCCGATACTCCAATCGGCATTCCTTAATTCAGCCCCTCGAACATATCTCAATCTTAGTTGGCGAAAATGTATTGATTTGCCAATGTATCGTAAATTCATATAGTCGTCCGACTTTGTTAATTCCCTAGTTGTATGGTATCAGAGAAGCGAAATAAATTAATCCCGAGCATTTTAATGTGTCCCCCCCCTCCTCCACGACACATATCGAACCACGAAACTTAAAAGCGAGAAGTGAAGCTTCGACCGAGAGGAGGCCGATTATTAGGCCTTGGTGTATTTTTCGCCGAATTGCCGCCAGCTCCAATCTTCTGAAAGCCCTGCATAATGTCGACTCCAGAAAATTCATCGAAGTTGTCGGTGAGAAAGTCATCATTGAAGAAGTCCTCGCTTGGCATGTCAAAGTTATCAAGGTTAAAATTCGGCGATGAAATCTTAATTGGGGATGAAAGATTGAGCAATTTGCTAGGTGATTCCATCAAGCCGCGACCTTTAGTAGGAGAATCCAAAAATGACAAACCGCCACTTGGTGTGAGTTTGATGGAAGGTGTCGATGTAATATTCTTCATATTATGATTGGAGATGTCAGAAAGGATGTTGGCCGACCTGGATCGGTCGAGACGAGGCCGCTTTGCTGACCTCTTCTCGGGCGAGCCGTTTCCAGGTACAGATAAAAAGTTGTTTGAGTCGTTGAATATGTCAAAATCTCCAGCATTGTTAAAATCAGTGAAAAGATAGTTAGAATCATCTAGATTGAATGCTGGACTCCAAGGTAGTTGGTTGTCATCCATCGAAGTCACACCTCGAAGAGGCGAGCCCACCAGCTCTCTGACTTTGTCTCGGTGCATCCTAAGGTTGGTGTTGGGTGATACCGAAGGTGGTGGGCGGGCGGGAGCTCTCAGCTTTACAGCTGGAGTCAGGGGTGGAAGCATTTGAGAGTTCTTTTTAGGATTCTGTCGCAATGGTGATGATGAAGGTGGTGCAAACGATGTTGGTCTCTTCGTTGGACTATCATAAGAAGACCCACGAAGTCGTGCGATCTCTTCCTCCGCTCGACCTCGCTTAATCCTTGGTCGGTCAGCTTCCGAGGTCAAGAGTCTGTTTGGTCTTAGAGCAGATGAATCCAGCGAGGAAAAGTAACCGCTGTCATCCATTGAAGCAAACTTTCGTTTATGAGAAGATCTATTGGCTGAAGAAGAAGGGAATCGCGGGACTGGAGGTGGTGTATCGTGTCTTCTTGTGGCATGTCGAGGAACAGGAGGCGAGGAGTGAATCGCTGCTGGTGGAGGTGATGAACGCATTAAAGGAGAGGAAGGAGCATCGTCCGGTGGAGAGTCATCTTGCTCTGGTTCACCATACGCATCGGAAGCTGGAATGGTGGCATCGGAGGATGGCTCCTTAGTGGTTGGCAGCTGTGATTCTGGAGTAAATGTTGCCTTGGACGCAGAAAGTTCTTGTTGGGGGGCTGCTGCAAGTGGCTTGAAGAATGCGGACTGAGGGTAATCGAGAAGTGGCGTTGGCAATGGTGGAAGTGATGGCGTATGTAGCCTATTCGTAAACGGTCCGCTATCGACGAGTCCAGTGCTTTTCCGACCAGTAGGTTTATCCTTGATAAACTGATACTCCATCCCAGGTTGAATTGCCCAGTAGTTTCCCTTTCCTGGGTCATCCTTAGGTCTCTCTTGCTTGATAAAAGCTTTGTTAAGACTTAGGTTATGACGAATGCTATTTTGCCATCCAGCATCCAAAGCGCCATAGAACGAATACGTATCCGAGATCCATTTGTATATCTGAGCTAGGGTTAACCGTCGATTTGGCGCTCTGAGAATGGACATTCCGATTAATTGGGCATAACTATGCGGTGGTTTGCTTCCGTCGTCAATTAAAGCAGGAAAGGAATCTGGTGCTGGTAATTCCGAAGATTCGATAGCTTCCTCCCCAGTAGGCGATTGCACGTGCTTGTCTCCTGTCCTAGTCTTCTTAATTGAGCGGGATTCATGGATGGGCGCTGCCTCCATCAATCGTTTCTGTGATGGCTTGCTGTCGTAAAATCCTTCCAGCGAAAAGTTGCTTTGAGGAAGTCCAGTGTAGGTTTGCTGTGTGTAAAAGGGTTGCTGAGGATAGTTCTCTTTCTCGCAGACGCTTGAAAAGGTGCTAAAGAGAGCTTTTTGAGGTGCAGCTGTCTTGAATTTTGACATCATCGGTGGCTTCTTCTCCATTGAATCTGTGTTGTACATGGGCCCCCTCGGGGGTGGCATCGATACCGAGTTCAACTTGTTTCCAAAAGGTGCTCTCGAAGGGGAGCTAGAACTCTGGTGCTGGCCCTTGGAAGGAGACCGTCTGCTTGGCCCATTCTGTGGTGGGTTAAGTATGATGTTCCTTCTCGGTGCGGCGTTCTTGATCGGTCGTAATGGTGAGAACTTTCTGTGGTTCGCGGCATTTTTTGACGACGGCATCGGTGCATGATCGAATGATGCATCCGGGTCTTGATATATCTGCAGCGGTTGCTGCGAATAACGCGTCGACGACATTGTAAAGGAATTCCAGACGCGAAGTCCTCCGCCAGGATGGCAATGAGAGTTCTTTGTACGCGTTTGCAGATCGGTGTGGTGGTTGTGGTTGTGGGTAGTTGTTCTCGAAGTTTATCTGTTGAATAGTGAAGTGCTCGATGTCAAGCTCTTCAACTGCTCGTGAATTGCAATTCAATGCTCTGGAGGGAGGTCCACGGTACTGTACTGAGAGGCAGAAGTGGGTGCAAGTGCGTTGTCTGGATCGGGATCGGATTGTGGAGCGAGATTGCGGTGGATGCCGCGTTTAGAAACGGGCACGCAAGGGCAAAAGGTGTAACTGGGATGCGAAGAATTGCGGCTGATTGGCATCTAACAATAGATGGTGAGTTCCAATCGAGAAATGGCCGGATATGGTAATGGCGAGAGTATCGTGGAGGAGGAGAGGAGGTTTGATGCCAGAGGGAGCGAGTTGGCGGAAGTGTGGGACGGAAAGGCACGCGGGAACAAGCTGACTTTGGCGGTTGAATTCTTCTTGAGCGAAGTGGGTGTACGAATGACAGGCCCAGTGAAGCCCTCGGCCCAAGCGCGGTTCTTGCCAGGCAGCGGACAGGGCCAGCAGGCGAGAGGCCACGGTCCAGAGACGGTCGATACTAGCGCTCGCGCTGACACAGAGGGGAAGATCTACTGTAGGAAAGCTCTAAAATGCAGATTTGGATGCCGAATGCCTTGATCTCTAGAAGGGTTTGCAGTTCTTGCCGGAGATGAAGGGAAGCGCCAGTAGTTGGGACGAAGCTAGCGAGCAAGTGAATGGTGTTCGAATTCCCAATGGAGGGCTAGCTAGGTACGGAGTACAGCACAAAGGATTTGGTGGTGAACTTTGAAGGATTCAATGTTCTTGGCATCAGCAAGGGGGAGCACGTGAAGGCTATGGACTAAGTCTGCCAGTCTGCGAGAAGACGTAACCGGTGCCGGATGTGATATCTCAAGCTTCAATCGAATGGTTGCAGCTGTTGTGATCAACTATCCGTGATCAATGGCACCTCGTAGGCGTCTTCACCGGCAGAATCAAGAGTCTCAAGAATTCGCGACGCGACCCATCAGTTGGCCAATGTACAACGCATCAAGACTCCAGAGGAAGCGAACGATGCTGAGAGAGGAAGTCGGATATCTTCTTGCTTTCGCCCAGCGTTGGGCCTTGGATACGACGTTGAACCAGGATTTCGCTAGCTGACGTCCGTGTGAAGTCTGGCTGGAATGACGAAACTGGTTGGCTGTGGCTGTTTGTGGATGGACATCCGTGGCGACAACCCTCCTTGACGGTCACGACTGGCTGGATGTCGTGGTGTCGTCGGCGAGGGGAGCAAAAGCTCGGGCGCTTAACGACGCGTGTTCCTTGTTTACCTCTCGTGCAGCTCGACGCGTCATCAGCAGCCAATGATCGAGCTACAATGCTACCCCACTTGCCCAATTGGCTCTGCGCGACATCAACCACGAGAAGAGCCAGCAGCAGCAGAACTCGAAACATATCTCTGGCTGCTCGCATCCACGCAAACCCTCAACCTCCAGACTTTCCGGATTCACGTCCTCCACACCGATAGAACGCGTAATATCATAGCACCTGTCATATTCATCTGTGCAACATTGCAGCGAACCAATCTGCTCAATCTCATTTAAATCGTTTCATGCAGAAAAGCAAACCGCTAAGAAAGTCTAAGCGGAAGAAGAAATTACAATTTGTACAACACAACATTTTGACTTTGCTATCCCTTGATTTCTAGACTTTTGACTCATCCGAACAGGGATAGAGGAGCATTTTTATCGGAGCAAAATCCCAAATTCCACATGTGCACTGACACCACTCGACCGGCCTGGACCTTGCTAATGATCAGTGGGATCTCCTTCTCCTGGACGGCACAATGGACATCAAAGTCGTTATGACGATGGATTTCTCCGACCTCTTCGCTTCGGAGCCTCCGTTGATTGAGAACCCGCTGAGCTCTTCCGTATAACTGCCGTCCATGTTCACGATTATAAGCTAATCAAGGTAATCACAAAACTTTGGATGCTCTTTCAATCAAACTCGATTTTGATCATTTCATGATTTTGATTAATTAATGCTGCAACTACTCGTACTGTGTAACATCCAAATGTGACCTATATGTGATGTGGGGTTAATACAAAACGTGTAAAGATTGACCGATTCATCCCCTTGCAACACCTCGTTGTAGTTTCCCAACCTTACCCATTAAACCAGATCTTCCAAGTTCCATGGGCTTGAACCACTCCCATCCTGTCACCAATGACCAACCTCATCCGTAACGCCGCCCAGATGCTCATAGACTATTTACATTTACACACAGAAAAACAACTCGATCACATCAAGAGCGTCGCTAAAAGGGACACTGACAAAATACCAAGCAGACCCGATGGTAATGGCGATATTGCGTTGCCAGCATTTGTCTGAGATGCGCCAGGATAGTTACACTGCGGTGGAACCATGATTGCTCTGTCCGCGGACAAGTTGAATCTCTGGGTGTAACTCGTATCAAATCCAACAAAGCCAGGCAACGGACAACTGAATCCAATTGCGGCCGGACAATTCCGTACAACATTGTAGCACAAGTCATCGCACGGGAGAAGCTCCTTATATGGGCCAGGTTGAATAACCTGATCAATCAACGAATTTCGTGACGAACGTCCTGCTGCCGTACGATTGGCAAGCTTGAATGTTGGTGTATCTGTTGGGAGTGATGTACCGTTCCAGAACGCTGACCCAACATTCCGAATCTGAAGGAAAGCATCCTGTTTGGTGAAGTCTGTGCATCTAGGCAAGCTGACTGCGCAAAACCAGTCTTTATAAGCCTTGGTACAATTATCGCAGCTTGTCGCTAATGAATACTGCGCAGAGGAAGTCGTGTTACACGGGATTTGCATCATGGCGTTCTCGAAGTACTTGAAATTGGTAATTGTATAATTGTCATAGACAGCTCTCAACGCAGTCTCGTTCGGGAATAAATTTGGATTACTGGGCACAGAATACGTGATTCCCTCGCAGAACGTCAAATTTGTCACAAGAGCACAATTGCTGTCTGAGGCACTTTCAGTTAGTGGATGGAACAAAGAAGCGGAGGAGAATCGTTACCTGATAATGTACTGAACGTTTGCCGCTTGAAAACTTGGCCCCCACCTCCAACTGTTCCACTGTTATTCGGGTCCCTAGGAATTGCAAGAATAGCGTCGTATGTAGTGCCTGGAGCCAACCCGGAAACCGAAAACCTCTGTTCTGGTACTAAACCGTCTCTTTTTCTGGTTAGCCAAGTCTGGACGTTGCTGACGACTTGTCCCGGTCGTATACCATCCGGCATGAATTGAGCCTTAGTTGCTAAACCGCATGCCGAGTTCTGCAGACCATAAATAGTCGAGGGTGTTGTACTACTTGCGAAAAGTACGTATGGCTTTGAGGCTCGAGCTAAATTGTCACCGTCGGAAAGATCGCCGTTATACACACTTGGGTCGTCTGCACTCAGATAGGCCGAGCTGCTGTCACTGTCGACAAATGCCATGTTTTCATTATCGTGGTAGTAGTGATACGGCGCATCAATCGACACTGCGATTTCGGCATTCCATACGCCTTGGTAAGCAGTAGCATTCTTCCCATATACCCCAATGTAGACATTGCTGGTAGCGTTCACCTCAACCATACCGAAACCCCTATCCAATTCAGTCGTTGTCTGAGGAGACTTATTCGGACCCGGTACCTTGTTATCTTCTGACACGGAAACATAGATCTCCAATTGTGGCGGAGGACTGAATCCCCCATTGGGGTCAATTGGAGCAGGTTGATCGCAAGCAGTCACTGTGATGTACACGGTCCTGTTGCTCGCGCTGTTTTGTCGTTTCTTCAACTCCCGTATCGTCTCCATTTTCTGGTCTGTTCCCTTTTGCATAGCGTGCCTCTCTACCAGAAGTTGCCTTCGAATCATGGCTGGCGTAAGCGGCGCAGTGGACTTATTTCCCCATACCGAGGAGTTGGTGAAGACATATGACACGACCGACCCCATTGGCACGTTATCCGCCTGTCGCACATTATTTATTAGGGGTATAGGCTCGTTCGACGTCGGAGCCCTTCCAATGATCCCTCTATCCACCCCCAAAAAGTCTGGCGAGTATGATAACTCTCCTGAGTCTAAATTCGATCCCAGCTCGACATCCAAAAACGGCCCCGCCAGTAATCGGTCATGGTTATGGTCCTCTGGTAGTGTTGATACAACATCAGTCGCGTAGGCAAAATGCGGAGATGCAAAGGCGAGATAAAGCAAAAGGAGACAGATTGATGCTCCAAGAGAAGCTGCCACTCGAGATTGTAACGGACTGAGTTTGGGAAATGGCATTGCGCTGTCAAAAGCGCAAAGCGCTGTTTAAGCTATGTCCCTCCTCGATCGTAGGGGTGATGCCGCCTTGTGATGATGATCAGCGGTTGGAGGAACATGAGGATGGCATGGAGATGGTCGCGGGAGAGTTCTTCATACGACGTCCGGCACCCCTTCTCGTACGGTCGTTCGCCTTGTTGATGAGGGTTTGGTGTTTTCTTACTCTCAAACGGCTAACTCTGAGAACACTTGAGGTTATTTTTAGGTTCACCCCTGCATCCACTAGATGTGGAAGGGGCCACCACGCACCCTGATCTCCTGAGGCTTGAGACTACCGTAGATCCTTTACACAAATGACGATTTGCACGTGAAGAGTTACTGCTTGACAGGAAGATGAAATATCTCTAGATGGCTTTGCAGCGCTTCTATTGATTATAACAAACTTTAAATCCGTGGGGTTTGTGCTCATCTGGCCATTGCATGAAAGCAGTCATACAAATCTGAAACGTGGACGAAGAACTACACAGTCGTAACGCAGTTAGGGGAATAAGAAAATCCACTCAATGTTATAGTTTCTCAACGCACAATTTCTATACAATAATATCTAGGAGCATTAACATCCTAGCCTAAACGAAATCCATCCTCATGACCCAGAATCGTTAACTCATATCCACTGTCGTTGTCCCACCCGTAGTTCTCCATTCCAACACCGACATCCGGGCTCGTTTGCCGGTTAGGCAGCTGCATCTGTGGTTTCATAGACGTCCATAAATTCGTTCCCTTGCTGATATTGATGGTAATGATAATCTAGACCATCAGGAGGTGGTATAGACCACTCTCTGCTTACAACGTCTTGTCAGAAACCCCAGCATTGATCTTGGAGCCGTGGCTGAAGTATCGTCCGAAGACTGGGTGAATAAATGATCGGAATACGATTTGAGCGCCGCTGTAGAGATATTAGCACGATGCGCAAGACTTAGAGGGTAAACACATACCTGGTGAAAGGAAGTGCCAACCAGAGAACGAGGATAAACTTGAATGTGTAGTAGAATGGAAACCAGTAGACGGCGCTAACAAGAGACTCGAAGACCGTGAAAAAGGCAAAGACTACCCAGTACTACTGATTGTTAGCGACGATCCCTGAACATGCGCTGAAGACACCACTAACAGTGAGCCACTGAGTATCATCGGCGCGACCAGCGGAGAAAAGAGCCTCGAGGGAGTAGTATCCGGGAATCACAAATCCAGCAAAGTTGGTCAAAAGTTGACCTCCGATGTTGAAGAAGATGAAAAAGAAATATGACGCTGCGAGCCCGAGGACAGCGTAAGATTTTGGGATCGAGGTTTGCTTTTCGAAGTTGTTGATGACAGGGTACTTGGAGAGCTTCACAAAGGACGTTAGCACATCTGTCTTTGAGTAGAGCTTGGGCGTTATCGAAGCTCTGGGAGAGAGCGCGGGACTCGGCTTACCTCCTTATCAAGGTTGGCTACATAGCCTTGAGCTTTGTCCTGGAAAGACATGATGTAGAATGATGCGCAGGGAATGTTTGTGCGATGTGTGATGAAGACGACTTGGTAGTTTGGTCTTCGTTGGTGGAGCTGGTGGAGTTGTGAGGTTTGATTTACTGTCCGTGGTGGTTGTGGGAGCGATGGGATGACGACAAAAAGGAGCGGGTCTTAGCGTTCGCGATTCATCACGTGAATAAGATCGTTTGCAGATGGACGGAGCATATTCATTGTTGAAAAATGTGGATTGTCAGATAAAGGGCTCTGATTCAGTAAGATACGAGCTGGGCCAAAATAACTGAGAAGAGAATACCATTTGTTATGTTTGTTTCATTATTCACCTGATTTACTGCTGGAGAACGGAGTCTCCCCCACCACCTGACGATCATCAAGCGAGGTTGATTATTGGCCTAGATAGGAAACACGGGAAAGTATGTACGATAAAGAGAGTGACTTATGTATGCTCTAGACATAGCAATCTTAATGTTCGGATTGAAGACTAAGTTCTTCAACGGAATCGATTGAATCAAGATAGCTGTGCACATGAATTAATTTCTTTTCGTAAGTATGTATGATCAGAGACTGTTGGTCGTTCATTCTACGCATTCTACGAAACCGGAATTGAAAAGGGGAGTTTCAAGACTAAACTCACTTAAGTGAAAATGCCTCTAGCCCAAGAAGAAAATTGCGACGATAATTTAACAGATTCTTCGTGTTCCGACGCGGTTGTTTGTCTGGATCATTGTGTCATAGCTCTGGCGCAAAGAACTAAGTCTCCCTAAGCTAAGGTACAAGCATGTCTCGCTTAATTATATGACCGCTCCTGCCCGCCTGCGGTTGACCTTTCAACAACAAATCGCCCGGACCCAAAAAGAAAAGGTAAACATTGCATCCCGACAACTTCGAACTCGACATCTGGACTCAACGCCGCCTTCATTAAGACGCGCCGAAAGCGACGAGACTTTATCAAGTGACATAGTTAGCCGTGCACAGTTATCTCGACGCTCTGATCGCACTCGAGCGTTTCCCCCCGCGAAACGCAGATAAACAACAACAACCCGAGCTACAAAGGCGGGCTTGCACGATCGAGTTTCACCACATCAGATAGTCTTAATGATTCACGAACACAATGGGTGAGTCTTACATATTGCGCTGCTGTAAAGTGGTGTTTATTATCCAAACAATTATTGGGTGTTGTTGCTGATCGCGAGAAATTGTCACAGACCAGCATTCAATGGACATTAAGCCAACGAAATCGAGATCTCGGTCCAATACAGCAGCATCAGTCAAAGGCCGTAAACGTCCCCTTTCCAGAGCTTCAACGACAAGCATACATAGCGCGGTGACGCAAACTCACGTAGACCACCAAAATGATACATCCCAAGAGTACCAAAAGCAATGGTACGATCCAAACGCACTCGCGCAACAAAGATTCGGAGATATATCCCACCAAATGACGCCCGAGGATATGGTCATGCAGTCTGCAACTCAGCTCCAAAATCCTCGGGGGTATGAACTTGATCCTGCTCTAGCAGGTAGTCACGGACTTGTGTACTCTCACGATCAACGATACAAGCCCGAAATGGGAAGGCACCCTGTTCCCGTGGATAATTTTGCTATGGGCTATAACGAAGGGGATAGTCAATTGGCTGAGGGTCGTAGCGATGAGCAAGACGAAGTTGATTCCCTTGCTGGCGTACCAGCGAAGAAGGCCTCCAAGTCAAGCGCGGCTAACGAGCTTGAGATGAGACAACTTTTCCATACCAATAAGCACCGTTCATTACCAGAGATAGCCAAAGAACTCCATGCTAATGAAAGAGGACCCCAGTCAGAACGGCAAAGACAGATATTTGCTATGCTCTGGTACGCATTCTCCAAGTCATTTCAATTCAGACGTCTAGATTAACAATACAATAGGATAAACCTTGTTTGTGAAAAAGGCAAAAATTCGGTGCCGAGAGGTAAAGTATACACAAACTATGTCAACAGATGTACTGAGGAGCGGGTAACAGTTTTGAATCCTGCTTCCTTTGGTAAACTAGTCCGGGTACTCTTCCCCGGTCTTAAAACTCGTCGTTTGGGGGTCCGTGGAGAGTCAAAATATCATTATGTTAATTTCAGCCTGAGAGATGAGCCTTCTGCAGTAGCTTCGGAACCCCCGCCTCCAGTACAAAGCACTCAGAGTTATAATGACCATCCTGCCTTTGTTCAGAGTTTCAGGTAAGAAACTGCAATAGTTTGGATGTGTAGCTACTTACAGATTCTAGTCAAAGCATGCCTTCTCAAGCGCAATTTCAGGTAGATCGGGCTACCTTTCCTTCGCCTGTCGTGACGCAAGCTCCAGAAGCGAGAATATCTTCATCGGACGGCTTCATACGTCCACATAGTCTTTACAACCATCCGGATATATCCGCAGTGGATCAACTCAATACTACAAATGGGAAAATACATCAGCGGCTTCAGTTTGCGCCACTTCAGCAGTCTTCCTCCCAAGACCAGAGCGCTTTGAATCTCCCCAAAATCGATCATTATATTCCAGCCGGAACAGATCCGGATGCTGCAACAGCTCTTACCGCACTCTATCTCTCACACTGTACATCGCTAGTCGAATGTATGCGTTTTTGTAGGGAGAAGATGTTTTTTCATCTCTTCACTTCATTTCACGGCACGCTCACCATGCCGGTTCAGAAATTATTTGCCAACCCTTGTATTGCGCCATGGATTGAAGAATGCGATTTCGTCATGTATCAAAAAATGATGCGCGTGGTCGCCCCTTTAACGCTGCAGGTGGTACCCAAACAGGTATTGGATACTCTGAGGAATATCTCGGAAAGACTTGTTCCTCACATCCAGAGCTCGTTTCAAGGGCAGCCTGGTCACGTAGTCGATGCGAAAGTAGCCCCTGCGACTCTTTTCGCCGGACTACTCGATCGTGAGCTACGGGTCAACCTGACAGCCCACGCTGCGGCAAATATGCTTTCGAATCCTGCCAACCGGGACCAAATGTATGCGGACTGGATTACAATGGTCCGAATCCGGAAAGTCGCGGAGTGTGTACCGACCAGGGGCATGGACGACGTAGTAGATCTGTTTCTGACGGAGTTGAGGGATCTCCTCGATCCTGTTGGTGTTTCGTGGGAAATCGAGGGAACTACGGCGTATGGAGAGATGGCACAAAGAGGAGGCCGCCAGCAGCAAACAAGTATACACACAGATTCGTCAACAGAAAACGTATTGGATCGTTGGGTCAACTTCCTTAGCTTGCTGCCAAGCAAGTTCCCGTATGCCAGCCACGCAGAAATAGTTTGGTGTGTGCAGAATATCGGAACTGCGGTAATGAGGGACCTTACTATAGCCCAAGGCAAAAGCTTTGGAGCCTGGTGGGTTACCAAATGCTGGCTTGATGAGATGATTGCTTTCATGGCAGAGCAAGGAGGCTTCATGGAGTATACAAGCTCACCGCGGTCGCAACGAGAAAATTCTAAGCAAGGGGTGGGGAGCCGCGCTGCAAGTCGACACGAAAGTCGCTACAGCAGTGGGAGTGATATGTTTCTTGTGTCGCAGGAGAACAAAGAGACGGATAGGTCGGTTTCACAGCCGATGGATGTTACAAGTCAAGCTGCTATGAATGCAGCAGCCGGTCATGACGATAGTGGAATCGGAATGCGAACCCCTGATGATGACTTTTCTATGGGGAAATATGATTACGGTCGCCACGAGCAACATGCTCCTCTTCAACCCGATGGCTCCCATGGGCACGGCTTGCAACAACTGGCGGCTGCGTGAACGAATTTTCGGAGTGGACGGGTTCCTTGGTGTTTGGAGTTTGACGGGGTGGTATTCTGTTTTCTTGTTGTAAGGAACTGGTGGGACGGACGACGCTACGAATCGGACGACATGATGACTGGCTGTAGATTGGATGCATGGTGTACATTTTGGATTGGAAATGCGGGCGATCTAATATCTTCAGGAGGAACAACACACGTTGTTGGCATTGAATTTATCTACTTTTTAAAGAGGTCAGAATAGGGGTCGAATCGTTTATGTTAGTGGTGCGTGTGGGCTTTCTTGTTTGTACTCAACACGCAAGTCTAGTCGAAAGTGATTGCAGAACATCCTCGACAATAATAGATGTGTCTTGGAGAGCGGTGGTGCCACAGGATTGCGTGCTCTGTGCATATGTTCTCGACCGTGAGAATTCTTTTTCTCTTTTTGTCTGCTGTCTGGTGCAACCTGGAATGCTTGTAGACATGGCAATAAGCTTAATTAACGCTGCACTCACCCGATGGCCCTCCCCTCCTGCGTTTTTACCCGTACTCCATACTTGAGCATTGAATGCCCCTCGCGTGCCTCGCTCGCCCCAGCTTCTGGACGCTTGGCGTACTGCACCGCTCGCCTTATGTCCTGTACCGACAGGGGCGTATGACGGTGAGTTCCAGCCGACATCGCCTTTCTATCACCCTAGCGCCCGCCCTGATAGACCCCTCCGTCGTCGACACGAAAATTATGACTCGGATTTTTGCGACTTCAAGCATCCTTCCCCCGCACTCACTGTCTCCCATTGAAAAACTTCACACATCTTGGATAATGAGTGCACATACGGCCGCCAATGGTCTGCAGAGGCATCGTCAATCGCTCAAAGAAACTTCGTCGGAGCGGAGAAAGAATAACAGCAACGCCGGCTGGGTGGTACAGAAGTTCGGTGGGACAAGCGTGGGGAAGTTTGCGGTCAACATTGCGGAGGACATTGTAAGGTTCGTGGAAAAAAAGCATAAAATACTCAATGTACGGTTGAATGCTAATTCACGTATAGGGCCAGTCTTTCCCATAACAAAATCGCCGTTGTCTGTTCCGCCCGGAGTACAGGCAAGAAAGTCGAGGGCACCACGAGCCGGTAAGCCTTTTGGCCATTCTTCGATCAGGAATCGTGCTCATATCATACGCGTAGTCTACTAGAAATCTACGGAGTGCTTGAGTCCGTCAATTCCATAAAAGACCCTGAGACCGTTCACTACGAAAGCTTGGTCAACGAGTACGAGCGACTAGTCCATGTAATCGCAGACGACCATGTTACAGCAGCAGACTCGCATATCCAAGACGAGACCATACGCGCGAAACTAATTAGAGAAGTACGAGGCGAATGCCAGGAAATAATAGATTACAGACATGCCGCGGAAAGATGGCATCTAGAAATCGACTCGCGGTCTAAAGACCGAATTATTAGCTTCGGCGAAAAGCTCAGTTGTCGATTCATCGCAGCATTGTTACAAGATAGAGTGGGTGTCGAATTTGATTACTGTGTATTCGTATGGGCTAATCTATAATCACAGGGAGTTGAGTCAGAATACGTGGATCTGTCAGATATCATACATTTCAAAACAACCACAGGTTTAAATCATGAGTTTTACAATCTTATGGCAGCTGCTCTACGGGACAAGGTTCTGGCTTGTGAAGACCGAGTACCAATTCTCACTGGATATTTTGGAACTGTACCAGGTGGACTGATGGATGGGGAGATTGGCAGAGGTTACACAGACTTATGTGCCGCCTTAGTTGCCGTCGGCATCAATGCAGATGAGCTGCAAGTGTGGAAGGAGGTTGATGGTATCTTCACAGCAGATCCATCTAAAGTGCCTACCGCTCGGCTGCTCGCTACGATTACTCCGTCGGAAGCTGCAGAATTGACATTTTACGGCTCTGAGGTCATTCATCACCTCACAATGGATCAAGTCATCCATGCAACACCACCTATTCGAATTCGGATCAAGAATGTGAAAAACCCGCGTGGTGAGGGCACCATCGTTCTCCCAGATCCCAAACTTAGTCCAAGTCAGTTATCTCACAATCGAAGCTCTAGCACTTTAAGTTTACGTAAAACACCAAAACGGCCAACAGCTGTCACGATCAAGGACAAAATATCAGTTATAAACGTCCACTCAAATAAGCGATCCATCTCACATGGGTTCTTTGCTAAGGTGTTTTCAATTCTTGATAGGCGACAGTTATCAGTTGATTTGATCTCGACCTCTGAAGTTCACGTCTCCATGGCTATACATTCGGCAAACATCTCGGCAGAGGAGCTTCGTAAGACGACCGCCGAGCTGGAATTGTGTGGAGAGGTCAGCGTGCTACATGACATGGCTATTCTCAGTCTTGTTGGAGCCGAAATGAAGAATATGATTGGAATTGCGGGACGTATGTTCTCTACGCTAGGAGAGCACAATGTCAATATCGAGATGATATCTCAAGGTATGTTTCTCACACAGTCTTGTCTTGAACTCGAAAGCTAATCGGTACCAGGTGCAAGCGAAATTAACATCTCATGTGTAATTGACGCATATGAAGCTACAAGAGCCATGAATGTCCTACACACAAACCTCTTCACGTTCCTCGAGTAGTTGACTGCGGCACATATTTTCCTCACACACAACAATATGCATTCAAATTGAAAGTAAGGTATTTTTTGACACGTTTTACAACAAGTACTCGAATGGTTGGAAAAAGTCATCAGCATTTAAGCCGGTTCACATATAGGGTCATGGCTAAGGAGGGCGTTCTCGGCGGTCTATTTGTTTTCAAAAAAAAGGTGTATAGCGGCATTTGGAATTATGCTGGTTTTCCTGTCACAAGTTGACTAAGGTGTTTGAATAGGAGATGGTGAGAGGAGTTAGAGCGTTCTGTAGATAGAGTATCAAAATTGAACATCTATATCCGTTGCACAATTGACCTTGTGGGAAGTACATATAATGTCTGACACCATCAGTACCTCATATCATTCTGTGCGCTTCCAGAAACTACAAATAAGATTTCGGAAATAGAACAACATGCAAATAGACTCCTCCATTATCATATCACAACCTCGATCTTCAACAAGAAGCCTATATCATTGGAATCACGAGGTTTAGTCGCAGTGATAAGTCATAGCTACCGAACATCTTGGGCTCGCAGATAACAGTGTCACCTCTTTAAATAGGTGGCATTCCACCTCAAGTTCCTCGCACGGTTAGTCCGCATATATCATCCTCGATCCCTTATGATTGAAATCAATACCATCCCTCCGAATTCTCAACAAATAAATACCACCTTCTACTATGCCCAAAAAAGCTCTCAGCATCTCTGTTCTGGCTTGTTAAAAACAACCTGCCTCGTTTTCTTGAGCAATTTCCCTACATTTTGAACACCCTCTCACCTCATGTTTTCTGCAAATGCAACAACATTTGTCAACAATCTCGACTGCCCTTGTGCCTTGTTTTCATTGTTTAAATTTGTTTTTGTTTTACCCCATATGCCTTTTTTTCTATCTCGGCTCTATGTGAAAAACGGTAAAACTTTCTACAGTTGATCAACAATGCCTTTATTCATTGATTTGTAGATTATGAATAGTCGAAAACATAAAAGCACAAGAGTTTATTCCTGTACGAATGAACCTCATGTGATTATTGTACATTGCTGCGACTAATCAGACTTCATAACTTCGTTGACCTAAAACCAAGGGACCTATTGGGATATTTGAATTCCTATTTAATCCTCGAGTGAATGCAAGGTGGCTAGCAAGTCTATGTAGCTCCTATGTTTTGTAACAATTTTTGTCCTAGCAACAAAATCCTCACATAGACAGGTGCTAGATATAATTTGTGCCAAATGTCTGTAAATTCAGGCAAAAGTCTCCTAAAACGCTTGTATGCTATCGTAAGCGAACGAAAAAAGCTCCCATAAGTACATGATTTGCAAAAGCCAGCGATGATCTACTGAGGCAAATATCATCTAATATCATATTTTTCCTTCCATTTCGTCAGATCCCAACCTCTGTGCAAGATGCAAGTAAACTTTCTTGTCTTGCCGCCAGATTCAAAGATACTTCCCCAAATAGGCCATCAATTGGTGAACCTACAACCACCGTCGAAATATGTTTTTTGCCAGAAATTGAGTAAACAAACTCGTTCCCAAATAAATGCAGAACTCGTTTGGAATGAATCATGGATCAAAAACTGTTATCATACTTTTAATCTGGGCCATTGTTAGAAGATCAATGGTCTCAGATAAGTGCTGGGCGTAAACTCACAAGAATGAAAGTTGTAAAGACCTTGGGTGTTATCAAAAGGCTCAAATATCTCAAGATCGTACTCTTCCCTCTCAGCCAAGCTGGTACCCCGATCATATTGCGATCGGCGACGGCGTTGCTCGTCTCTCAAGTGCTGACCAGCACTGGGAGCAAAGAGACCTCCATATTGTCAGCAAACTCCTTGGCAAAAGAGGCAAAACAACTTACCAACATGCTCGGCATTCTCACAACTTCGCTTCAACTTGGAAGCATTGTCAGATAATGGGAATTTGTCTTCACAGCCAGCTCGATTCAACGGGTCGTGGAAAGTGAAAAACAGCTGAAGAAGTTAGCGAAAAAGACTTTGTACTCGGTAGCTATTAGAAGTTCTTACCTTTGGCCTATAATGTTCCGGCTCTAGCATCACAGATGAGTTCCGAAACTTTTGAATGAGACAGTCGCGACCTTGGATAGCTAACAACAGATCAGAAAACATACTATATCGGATCTGACGGATACATACTTGCGTAAGAAACTTCAGCGACCTTGTCACTCTTGAAGCGGTGCCACTTCTGATTACTGCGTGCCTCGACAAACTACGAATTGTTAGTTTCCAAGAGAACCAGTAATGACCAAAGCTTACTTGGACGATGTCAAGAGGCTATCAAAGTTAGCAGAAGACCCAAAATATTTTCCAGATTCGAACTTACATCAACAAAATTGATAAAGGCGTATCCAACACTGCAAGAGATTAGGCTTTTCCGATGACATTCAATGGAAGTGGAATGATCATACTTGCAATTGTTAGAGAAGTCAATGCGGAGATACATGAAGTCGTATCTCCCAAAACTTGACTCGTCAACGATTTCCTTCAACATAGCCTGATCCACCTTGTTTGGAATGTTTCGTAACATAACCTGTAATGATGTGAGTGCCCGTCAGTTGGATTGTTCCGAACCTATCAACTTACAGTAGTGCGCACATCCAAGCCCTCCTGAATACGAGCGATATCGACGTGATTATGCTGACCGGCCGCTGGGTTTGGGTGATGACGGCGTGCATGAGGGGGCACCTTGACTGCATTCTGGCGGCGGCTGCCAGAAGTTGATCGATTGAATGGGCTGAGCTCTCGTGTGTTGACAGGCGTAGCTGGGGAATATGGCATGCCCATGCTCTGGTGCTGAAAGGCAACGGGACTGATATTGGACGTATCAAGGCCAGGATATTGGTAAAAAGGAGGGCTTGCATACAGATGCGGGCTAAGTGCTTGCATTGCGGTTGCAGAGAGATGCGTGGGGGTCACCAGGGGCTGTTGTAATGAAGTGGGAGCTGTATTAGCATAGAGACCTCCAAGCATGACCGGCACACCTTGCGGCATGGTGAACGGGTTCGCGGGAAGATATGCCAGTCCTCCTGTCATACTTGCTGGAAGGTAGGAATTGGAACGGTCAATTGAGCCTGGGGTGTGTAAAGTGCTATTTTGTCCGTTAAAACCCGAAGAACGGTTAATTGAACCAGGTGTACGCTGCATGGCCATGCTTGCACTATACGCGTTTGAACGATCGATAGATCCTGGGGTCCTGTTGAGCATATGACCGTAGGGACTCGGACGACCTGATGAGGATGGGCTTGTCCCAGAAGTCATATTAGGACTCGACAAGTTCGGAACACTTGAGTCTTGCTCTGAGCTGTCAGCACGATGGAGTCCCATACTACCAAACTGGTCGGTAAGGCGACCCAAACGATCTGTCGATTGCCGAGTTGGGGTCTTTGCTGGACTATTGCTTGGCTTCGGGGGAGCAAGCGTATCTGGAGCGTGCTGTTTTGCCGTGATGGAGATTGCCCCAATGCCCTAAGTAAAGAGATTCACACGTTAGATAACAGAGTCGATTGTCAGGAGCACAGTGGTATTGACTTACGTCAATCTTCATCTGGTTCAATCTCTGCACAGCTCGAGGAGCGCACGAAGCATCGGCAAATTCGGCGAGCAAGAGAAAGACACCTTCTTGGTTGGACGGAATCTTTTGCCAGGAGCACAAGACTCCCTCGACAGCCAGCAGATTCATCAGTCCCTTTTCAACTTCATGCTTGTTGATTGCAGCACCAGCAGGATAGACGACCTCAAGATATACCTATGGGAGAAAGTGTCAGCAATTCATACATTGGCCTGAAGAGGAGTTGGCACTGATATGCCTCGCTGTAGCATGGCTTGATAATATTCAATGCTTACCTGGCCTTCGTGGGATGAAATAGCCCCAGAATTAGGTGACACAAATTGACCATATACAGAAGGAGAAACGTAGGAAACCTCCAAATTTTCTAGGTTATCAATTTTCAGGCTTGTGTATACGCGGGCGGCATCAGCGATGTTCGATTCGCGAATGAAAACTGTGGAAGAATTGATTGGGACAATGCGAGGCTCTGCACCTTTACGATTAAAGCCCTCGGACTTTTCCAATCTCTAGTTCAATATTAGTAGGAGCATCAAAAAGGCAGTCCTCAGTTACTCACTGCCAGCGATGCCTCGACTAATTGCTGAGCATTAGCCCCGTAAAGGCTGGTGACCTTCATACATCTGGACGCACCAGTAGCTGTTGTAAAGGTGCCAAAATGATCAACTTCACCGGCATTAAGTGTCTCCTTTTGAAGATATTCAAGTGTGCCTGGCGTCGTAGATGAGCTTCGAACGCGTGTAGCCGGGATGGCTGACGCACTTGAAGTAGCGTTAATAGCGTACGGTTGAAAAGTAGATGCGGTGGCAGATAGCTTCACCTCCTTGTTCTTGGAAGTGTTTGTGACAAAAGGATCATGGTGACCTGCTGTAAGAGGAGCACCACCAACCTTCACACCAAAAGACTTTGCAGCTACACTTCGATCCTCAGGAGAGAAAGCAGTTAGCTTGCTCTCTGGGGTTGCATCGAAGTTTTCATTGCTGTCCGAGGACGAGTGTGGGGAGCCTGAATACATCTTGTTGTGCCTAGTGGGATCAAAAGTAGCCATCTTATCAAGACGTTGGAGAACAGCTGTCGGATGTGACTGTCAAGACTGCGTGACGATGGAACAGTCAGCACGGTGATACCATCAAGGAGTTTCGCATCCCATCGAGTACAAGTTGGAGGATGAAAAGAGGCTCCAAAGCGTAGGTACAGTCGGGAGGACGCTTGCTTCGACGCGGAAGGAGCTGCCAGCCCTGAATCAACGTACCTTGAATCGAAGATGACAAAATGCCACCAAATGTCCTAAATCAAAATATTCTGAGCTTATCTAGATCTCCAATTGTTCAGAAGCCTATGATGGCGTCTGCTGATGACTTTGGAGGACTGGAGATGGTAATCTTCACACCAAGAAGCGCCTACGAAGACGTGTTGATGAGTGAAGATGGATCGTAGCTGGATGTAGCTCTGATGGATTCCAAAGAATAACGACGTGAGATGGAGGGTACTAGAGACAGGAGGACGCGTGATATGAAGATAAAAAAGGTTTGAAGGAATGAGGATGAGTTGGACGGACTTTTGGCTCTCTTCTGAGTTGTTTGTTTTGTGTTGTTTGAGGAGGACCTGGAAGGAAGGACGGCATGGAACAGAATAGGTGCGCTAGTGGGGCAACTTCGAGACCTCCCCCATGTCTTGCTTGACGCCTTATTGTCCAGGCTTCTTGATCGTGCCTTCCTAAATAGAGTATATCGGCAAACATCGGCTGAGCTCAGTCCCCCCCGGGGCCAGGTACGTATTGACGGTTGAGGTGCTGGAAGTTTCCGTGGGCACCTTGCGCTTATTAGCGCCTATTTCCTGACGCGGCTGATGACTGGGAAGGAGCGCGTGGATCTGCGGTCAATGGGTTGTGGGTAGTCCTCATTGCGCAGTAAAGTGTTGAGGTCGAGCTTGCGAGCTATTGTGAAGGCCTTGGAACGATGCTCGTTCTGTGACTTGCTGTTATCTAAGATCCGTCCCGTCCTACCTGATTCCGACAGGTGAGATGAGTGATTCGGAAGCATGCAACAGTCTCATGAGAAGTGACTCCTTCTCCAACATCAATACGCCGCAGTTCAACTATGCTGCGTGATACCATTTCCATGTCTGCATGGAACCAAGCTCTTTACCTGTGATGCTATTGCTAAGGAAATTTCTAGGAAGTCTGATAGTCTCAACAATAATCCAACCAAAACAAAAAACCGTGAACCTGAAGCCAGGGGAAAATTGGCAAGTAGCATCGACACTTGCCCTATACCACGCTGTGTACTTGCCAGCCCACGCACAAGGTCGACAGTCCCACCACAACAGTACACGGTCTTTCAATCTGATAGGAACTTCAATCAGAAAGAACAATGAGCAACCTCGGGACATTCTTGATACCGCAATTTTGCTATTAGATTCAGAATCTTGCTAATAGTTTTATTGTAGTTCAAACAGTATACTGATTTCATAGTGGGACGCCAAGGATGACCCGACATAACACACTGACATTGCAGCCCTACAAAGTAAACGATAAAGTAAATGCATTCCTTTGAGAATGTCAGACCAAGCTATTTTGCTAGGAAGAAAATTTCCCACATCAAATGATTCAGATGTCATCCCTTCTGCTAAGCGGAGGAGACGTATCCGAATTTCTGACAATAGTCCGGGATTCGACAGAACGATTGTCATAAGTCCAAGTTCATAATTTGGAATATATGTCAACACAAGCAATCTCGCTTAATGTATCTGTACATTGAGCACCAGAATGAGAGTGAGTGTTCAAGTTATGTGACGAAAGTCCTTGGCAAAGCAATTGAGCTTGGTTATCGTGGACCCATAAGTTATGACACTCAATAACATAAGTGCCTATAATAATTGAGTTCGATAAGTGATGAAAAACAACTCTTAGCTGAAAATGAAAGTACACGGTAGCTGTATAAACACGTGGTTTGATAAGAGAGCCAAGAAAGGTGTCGTTCAGGGAGTGGAATACCACAACATCTCAAGAAACTGCAAGCTTCATCTTCTAGCTTCAGAGACTCGAGAATTGATGATCATTACACCATTTTATTTTTACCCCGTGGTAGGTGTCTAGCTGAGCAAATCACACGTTATTAACGTCTAGTCAGACGGAAAAGTGTAACAACCTGAAACTTGCTCTTAAGACACTACTTAGAATAATGTTTAGAGGAAACATAAGAAATCTGTGCTTCCGAACTGGATGTGAGATTTTGGCTATTGGCTCATCGATATCTACACTATAGACGAGGACAGTCCTCTATCAAACTACAGCATAGATGATCTGATCATAGTACGGAACCTGTAACATGTCATTACTTCTCATCTGATCATTTCTCATCTGGTTACTTCTCATCTATTTACTACTTTCCATCTGACCTGAGAGAGAAGAAATCTATCAGACTAGTTGCATTTCCTACTTCCGTAAAATCTCTCCAACGAGCCATTCGCAACGAGACCTAGCACATATACAGTCAGCAAGCATAAGTATACCAAGAAGGTATGCTACTCGAGTCTTTGTACCGATGTCAATGGTCGTCGAGAAAATATTCTTCATGACGGATCAAGGAAATGGACGAAGAACAAGCTCTGCAAGTTGAAAGACGTTGATTTTAGGTTGCTGGGGGCGGTCGGATTGCAACGCTAGGCGAGCTACAGTGGATCACAGGGGCATGGCGCCCGCATTCTGGCTCGTTTAGGGAATGCGACAGCGATTCGGAAACAATCTGATGCTAAGATTACGACGTCCATTTTCCATCCACCTTGCTCCTATACGCCGTGACCGTTAGCTCATGTGCAAATGATATGTCTCCTCAAACCCATTGAACATATTCGCACTCAAAATGCCACGCAAAGCCCCTCAGTACGACGACTACCGCGTCGCTGTGCAGCAGGTACTCAGTCAAGCCTTCCCCAGCTTCTGCTGGCTTTACTGATGCATTTACGTTAGATCATACTCTCTTCTTCGGATACAGATTACCTCGATCAGCTCATTCCCGCCTTAAAAGATGCCACAAACTCTGGCCGGACGCCGGGACTCATGCAGAGTTTGTCGCAATACGCAGCGGAGCGTGAAGCCGACATTGAACAAGTTGGCATGACGAAGCACGATGAATTCCTTACGTCCGTCAATCAGCTACAGCAAGTCCGCGAGGGGACAATGAATCTTACTTCAGAGATCCTGAAGCTCAACCAGTCCATACAAACAAGCACAGAAAAATTAGCTGCTCAGAAGCAAGCTTTGGTAGACACCAGAGCTGTACGCCAGAACATTGCAGAAGCCTCGGAAGCCTTAAAAGAATCCCTCAAGATATTGCACGCAGTCAACCAGGCTCATGATTTGATTCGGAAGAAGAAATATTATGGAGCTCTCAAGGCGTTGGATGATTTACAGAACGAGTATTTGATTCCTACGATTCAAAACAAATATGCGACTCAGCACAAGCTGGCAGAAATCATACAACAATCTATTCCCTCGTCACAAAAGGCTATCTCGGAGGCTGTTATGAGTGATCTCAATACTTGGTTGTACAGGATCAGAGAGATGTCACAGTTCCTGGGGGAAGTTGCCTTTTACCACACCGAATGCAGGAGGAAACGGCAAAAGGAGCGTGTGGATGAGAATGAATATTTGCAGAACTTCAAGCTGAACTCTGCCATCGAATTGGTGTTTGACGAGAGCGAGGAGTTTGACGTCTTAAACAACGACGAGCTGATAGTCGACTTCACTCCACTTTTCGAATGTATACATATCCACGAGGCTCTTGGACAGACGGATAAATTCAGAGCGGAATATGCTGCTACTAGGAGACAACAGAAAGAACTTTTGCTTCCAACGTCTATTGATCTCCAAGCAGATGATGAAACGAGTCTTAGTACTTTGCTAGAAAGTATAGCTGGCTTTGCAATCATTGAGAAAGCCACCATGAGGAGAGCGCACAATCTTAGGTCTCCGGTCGAGGTTGATGAGCTCTGGGATTCAATGTGCAACACGGCTATCAAGCTTATTACTAAGGCTCTCAGCAAGATCGACAATGCGGATGATCTTCTGAAGACGAAAGGGGTTATCGCTCTTTTCATACAAACCATGCAGGTACTGTAGTATGATGACTGCGATTTTTGCAATGCTAATAACCTGATTAGGGGTGGTCGTACTCTGTGGCGGCATTGGACAACTTCCTCCTTGTGATATTCGAGAAATATGCGGAATTGCTGAAGAAACGATTCAGCGAAGATTTCCAAGAAGTACGCCGATCTTTCCACAGCCAGACGCAAGCATTAACCTTTCATAGATTGTCGCTACCGACGATTATATGCCGATGCCAGTTGAAAATCTGGACGAGTATGACAAAGTTATCAACGTTAGCTGGTACGTTCCGGATAAGCCGAGAGAAGGCCTCACGTATGTATTACCTCGCCTCTCTCATCATATACTGCTGACCTATCATCAAGCTTTCCTTGTGTATTACCATTTTCTCAGATGTACCCGCTTTGCTGTATCGACATCAGGAATTTTCTGAATCAATTTCTACTATTTTCTGGACGACCACTTCCAACAACCGAAGGTCATTGATGAGACTTTGAAGAGGGTTAGTAAAAACCAACCATGCACTTAAAATAATGCTGATGTCTATATTTTAGTCCTTAGATGAGCTCTTGTCTGAAAAAGTGTGCAAATCACTTGTCGAACGGCTGAGTGTCCAATATCTCGGCCAAATCGTCCAGATTCTCATCAACCTTGAACACTTCGAGATAGCCTGCAAAGAACTCGAACAGCTCCTAATCGCAGCACGTTCTTCAACCTCAGCCGGCGGCCCCATTGTTCTTAACGCGACATCCGAATTCCGAAGCAACAAGAAAACCGCCGAAAAACGGATCTTCGAGCTCGTCAACTCCAAAATCGACGACCTGGTCGGAACGGCGGAGTACGACTGGATGGCTCCAACCCTCCAGACCGAACCCTCGGGATACATGCAAACAATGACACGCTACCTCTCTACCATCATGAACAGCACCCTCCTCGGCCTCCCTCGAGAAATCAAGGAGCTCATTTACTTCGACGCGCTCGCTCACGCCGCGGCCATGATCCTCGCTCTTACGCTTGAAGCTCCGAAAATCAATCCCCATGGCGTTGCCGCGTTGGCGAAAGATGTGTCTTTCCTATCTGACTTCGTGGATACGCTGGAGAATCCATTCTTGCTCAAAGATACCCTGGAGGAGTTGCAGCAGACTGTGCAGCTTATGCAGACTGATAATCCTGATGAGTTTTATGACATTGGGGTGAGAAATCGAAAATTTGGACGAGTGGATGCTATGAATGGCCCGCTGATTTTGGAGAAGTATGCATCTATCTTCAGTGGTGGGGTTTCAGACGTAGATGCTAACATTTGTATTACAGGCTCACTCATACCGTACAAAGCCCGACAGTCAGGACAGGAGGTATGGCAGCAAACTTCTCCTCCCGCTTCGGACGAGGCTAGTGTGCATTCATCATATCACTGCAATAACAGAAGAACGGAGCTCAAAACAATCTGGGTTCTCATTTATGGTTAACCCAAGCGCCAAACGACTGCTATGAAATAGGGGTAATTGTTGCCACCAAACTCCGAAAATCCACACTACTTCCTCAAACATTTACTCCTCTGAGCAATACCATTTAGCCAACCTCATAATCCCTCTCACCTTCTGCATCAGCATCAGCATCCCCTCCGTCGTTACGGGGATAGCTGTGCCCAGGGTCATGACCGACAGACGGGTCATGTGGACGCTGTTGTTGAACTTGATACATTTGCTACAACATTGTTAGCGTATGAAACATGGAGTGGGGGATAAGATATACTTGTTGGGGCTGCATTCCAGGATAGCCGTAAATGCCTTCCATCTCATTGTACATTTGTGGTGGAGGTGCACCATATGAGCCAGCGGGATTGGGCTGGACTTGGCCCGAGTACATTGGAGGCTGCTGTGGGTACTCGTGCTCTGGCAATCCAGGAGCAGGCATATACGCGGGTTGGGACATATGTTGTTGCGGAGCTTGCTGGGGAACATGCTGTGGAGGGATCTGAGATGTACCAGCCGGCGCACCTGGAGCAGGACCTGCAGTTCCAGCAGCCCTCTTTGCGTGGGAAGCGGCCTCCTCGCGAGGCACAATGTCGATCAGGAAATCGAACATGTCAGATTTGGCGAGCGCAGATGCGATATCTGATCGCTGCAGTGTCCGACGCTTGTTCTCCTCGGCGTGTATCCATGCGCGCATTGTAAGCTCCGTAATAAAGATATCACAACCTTTGGCAAATAGAATAGGCGCTTCGGCCGAGATCATCTTGACATCTGGGTCAGCCTTCATGACTTTTTTGATTCGAGCCAATGGCAATTGATGTAGCTTGTAGTCGTGAGTCTCGCTCTCGAGATGCGTGATTATATGTTGCCAATATGTGGTAAGGATGTCTTTGTAGTTTCCGTGGAGTCCTTGGTTGACCTGTACCCCTCAATCAGCACTGTTTACCTTGTTTGCGTCGCGTGCGGAAACATACATTTGCCCAAGCTCCTGTGTAGAATTCAGCAACCGGCGCGAATCCTTGAGTCGCAAGCTAAATAGCAACACCAGTCAGTACGGATAGACATGGCGCAAGACGTGGTTGGGACCTACAGTCGCACTGGCACCTGTAGCAACCACATATTCGTTAGCCAATGATTTCCATCTGGAGACTGGTCTGTACACTGGGCGCGGTGCCCCAGAACAGATGAAGGCGTGGCCTTTCTGTTTGCTCTTTTCATAGGATCGTGAGAGTGATAGTACTTCGGAAACTTACCATAGTGGCCGCCATGATTGGTATCATACACCGGCTGTGCGCGTTGTCCTGCTTGTCCGTGGGACGAGCTCGGCGGATTCTGTGAATCCATGGCCGACAGCTTTCGAATCGGCTGGCTTCTTTTGCGACAGCTCTTTTCAACGAGAGCGAAGCCGGTGGGCACGCGGGATTTCGAACCTGAGGTTGCTGCTGCAGGATGGTTGGGAGGGGCCCGATGGATCGCGGTCGTCGATGGGTGGGTGATGGAGGAAGATGCGCTGGTCGGAGAGACTTGCGCTGCGATTGTTGGCCCGGCCGGCGTTTGTCCAGGCAGTCGTGCGGCGGAAGCTGACGTTCCGATTGCTGTTGCACGGGATGCAAACCGAGTTGCAGAGCGATCGCGAGTTGAGCGTTGCACGGCGTTTTGAGGAAATCTGTTTGCGCGACCTGCGTTCTTGTGAGGTTCGCGATTGTTGACAATAGATGAGAATCGACGCTGGTGATTGGATGGCTGCTGGAGCTGGAGCTGGAGCTGGAGCTCTGGGTGCGCCAGGTGGTTGTCGAGCTTGTGCCGGCGACAACTTGGAGGTCCCTTGCGGTTGGCGAGAAGGCAGCAAATGGGGTGCCCGGAGGGTCTGGAAAGGCACTGACTGGAACAGAAGCCGAACCACTCAACACCACGAATTGACGATCCAGATGGCTGGTCCTATGGGGAAGAGGGAGATCTAATTTCCTGGGGGTTGCCCCGTTCCTGGGTGGTGCGACTTTGTAGAGAGGCTCACGAGAGGCTGCGGAGTTGAAGCAAGCAGAAGCAGACAACAGACAACCTCAGTCGAGGGGATGCAAAGACTGGAGATCAAGGACGCACGCACGACAACGTGGGCTGGAGGGTGGGGGGAGACTTTATATAACGAAAATCCCACGACCGCGACGTGCTCTTTTTGCCTCGACTCGACTCGACTCGACTTCATACAATATTGGGCAGCTAGATTCTCGCTGGTGCGCGTGTATCTCTGTTTTATGTGTTATGTGTGTGTGGGATGTCCGGATTGCCAACGCAGAGCCACAAGCCTCAGAGCAAAACCCATCGTCTCCATCTCACAGCTTTCTTCAAACCCGAGCGCAACTAGGCTTGCTCAACCCATGGAAACAAGGCTGAGTCTGACTTTCTGCGACCGCTTCCATGACCGTGAGACCATCAGTGCCCAATCTGCTTCTGCATGTCCCCTTTACCAATCAAAACATTGAAGCGGTGTATGCATTTTTGCACATCGAAATAGCTTCACCATCGTCATCATGAGGTCTTCCGCCAGAATTGCGCGTTTGACCGACTTTTGCAGGTGGATTTGACAGTCGTGCTAAGTCCAATCTGGTCTAGCGCGCTCTGGCATGATTAGCGAAAACTTGTCAAAATATTTTCTGAGCCTCGTCGGAGCTCAAGCTTTCAAACATCAAATCAACAACCATGGACGATCTTTCCGATCAGCAGATTCAACAACTGCTCAAGGATGCGGAACAAAGACTGAGAGCCGCCAAAGGCAAAAAAGGCTCTCAAGATGCGTCGTCATTCTTAACACAGAGGTAATGTTATTCCTCGGGCGTGCCCCTCAATTTTGCTAATACAGTTTCCACCAGACTTCCTACAATTGCCTCCGACAAAACCATTACTCCATACATTCAGAAGACCGACCAAGGCGCTCGAGTCAATCCCTCGATGCTAATCAATCCTGAAGTACGCAAACTCGCGAATGGCATCAGAACTGTCGAGGACCCCATCATGGCGAAGGCAAAGGCTGCAAAGGTACGCATTTTTCGCAGTATATCTGCTTTACTTGCGAATCTGTTTCTTTTATGATGAAAATTATCCCAAATTTTACGTGACGTAGAATACGGTCCCGTCTTGGGACCGCCCTACACAAAATGATGTTTTACTATTCATAGTTACGCTGAGAAGAAAATCTACTATACATATTTTACTGCGGTGCATTTTTCTGGAGTAGACTCTAACTGGATCCTAGAATGCGAAAGCAAACGCTGGCGCCGATTGGTACAATCTACCAAAGACCAACCTCACCCCGGAGCTCAAACGCGATTTACAACTGCTCAAAATGAGATCTGTTCTGGACCCAAAACGATTTTACAAAAAGGAGTCTTCCAAAGCTTCTGTACCGGAGTTCTCTCAAGTCGGTACAATAATCGAGGGACCTACTGAGTTCTTCACTGCCAGACTCACCAATAAAGAGAGGAAGCGGACCTTGGTTGAAGAGGTTCTCCAGAGCGAAAAACACTCCGGTCGATTCAAGTCCAAGTACAACGAGATTCAGGAATCTAAAACGAGTGGCAAGAAGGCTCATTACAAGAAGATGAAGGCCATCCGACGAGGAGAAAAAGTCTGAAAGTCAGACACCATCAACGACACTCACATCATCATACCTCGTTGCAAAATCATCCACGTACCGCCAAGCAATAGCTGGTCTTGACAGTCGACCAAGCAATTGCCATAAGCCATCGCCCAGGCAAACGATCTTAAAACAATAGTGGATGCCGCAATGCGTTGAATGCTTCGGATTGTTTTCACCAACACATGCGGCGCTCACTTTGGTCCGCCGTCTTAGCCCTGAGTCAGGACATCACTGCACCTTGAGCCGTGAGGGTAATACAGCTAGAATATTGGCGCCTAGGTACGTGAGAGAATTTGGAACAGCAATTCCCGTGGGTATGGTCAATCTACCTACGCTCACGCGTCGTCATCTGTATGCGGCATTTCGGTCTGTTCTCGTAAGTAATCTGCTGGGGGTCATGTTGAAGAGCGGTATATATGCGACTCTGGTTGGTTCTGTGAGCAAAGCCTAAGGCTTTACATTAGACGACAGGTGTGCTAATAGCACGCAACTACAAGACTTGCCCGTCACATGTTTATCTGTTGACTCCAGAGCCTGGAGCAGTCCCTCGGGAAGTCTCCCGATATACTTGGTCAGGTCTCGTCAATCAAAGGTCAAAAGCTAAAACTCAAGCAAGAGGAGCGAAGACAAAACATTGCACAACTGTAAGTCTGAAAGGTATCTGAAGTAGAATCTTCTATCCATACGGTACACTGTTACAATGAAAATCTGTCCATGGACACAGACCACCACTTGCTCCAGTCGTTTACTTTAATGTGACTACTGTATACTACCATCAATCCTACACTGCAATAAAGAAGCTTGACTTGTGTGCCCAAGATACATGTCCAACCTTTATAGTCTTATGCTTTGAGTGAATATTTGACGACAGACTCAAATGACTGGATTTTGGTCTCTTTCGCTGTTGTTCAATTTGGCTCCTTAGGCGAAGCCGTATTAAGATGCCTCAATGAAGCTGGCAAAATGACAACCATACGTAGAAGAAACTTTCAATTTGTAACATGATGTCATTTAGTAGCTGTCCGAATATCGAAGATAGTGAAAAAAAAATTGAGCTCTTATTACTTTTACTTGAAAAAGTACCCGAATCTTAGCCTTGTCTGCCCACTGCACCTGGCCAGTTGACGCGGTTGTAGCCGAGAAATATTTTGGGGCCAGTAGAGGAACACCAGAATACCATCAAGCTCAACACAACACCATGGCTACATCAGCGCCCATACGAATGCCTTGGCGAATACTCAATCGATCGGTCGCAGTAAGTGATCATTGGTACACGTTATGATAACTGCGGAGTACTGATTGATCGAAGGCAACACCACTTGCGCCGGTCTCGAGTAGGCTAGCTAGCCATAATTTCAGAGCGCAACAATGCATTCAACAGTCTGTTATTTCACGGCGATATGCATCTGAAATGGTGTAAGAACCCTATTTTAATTGTGAATGTCTTGCGAGCTGACTGTCCTACAGGCAACCACCTCCAGAACCCAAAGCTTCAGCGCCTCCGTAGGTTTTCTCGTTCATACTCCACCGAAAGCCTCTAACAAGACCAGCTCACCGCCCTCAACTCAGCATGGAAACTCAGACGTACAGGCAGCTACAGTTCGAGAGGAAGGCGCTCAGGCTCCTGAATCATCCGCCACCTCGGACGTAGAGATATCGATGCCGGATACTTCAGACGAACCCCCCCGATTACCTCGCGCAGTACAAGCAGTATACCTACGTCCTCTCCGTCGAGAAGCCAAATACGGTGTCCCTACCTGCGATCTTCAGCTAAGATCTTACAATGTCCGCAATCTCGAACTCTTCGCTGATTTCTGTCTGCGCGCTGCATACTACCTGGGTCTCCCCGCCTCTGGACCTGTCCCACTCCCCAGAATTGTTGAAAGGTGGACGGTTCCTAGGAGTTCTTTCATTTTCAAGAAGAGTCAAGAAAATTTTGAAAGAAGGACTGTGCGAAGACTTATACAAATTAAGGATGGAAACCCGGAGACGGTAGAAATATGGTTGGCTTTCATCAGAAAACATGCTTATTATGGAATTGGTATGAAGGCTAATGTTTTCGAGTTTGAGGCACTTAGTACGTTCTACACTTTGGGCTTGATGTGTATTTTACTGACAAGTGGTTGTAGATGTTGGCAAGAATATGGATATCGAGATGGAGAAGATGAAGGATACGGTCGATAAGACATGGGACCAAGTTGGTGTTGCTAAGGGCAATAAGTTGACTGCAGATCAGATTATGGAGCTAGTCAACAGGGAGAACTTTAGAGCAGCGACTCATGGTAATGCTCCTTATGTCAAGGTTCCTCCACCAGTATGAAGAGGGAATGGGGCATTGTATATTATGGAGTCTTTGGTTGGATTTTTAGGTGTACATTCTGTAAAACTTATCACAATCTCTAGAACGAGACTGCAGGAGAATTACCCAAATTTATAAATAGCTTTCATCTAATAACCAAAATGCTAATTCTAAGCACGCTGTGATACTTATAGGACATGAGATCATCACGTGCATGCGCGTTTACCTCAAAATTTCGCGTATGGCTCCTTGACCTGTACAACTCATCCATCAACCATGAGAATATCCAAACCTTTTCCTCGGCTGGTCCGGCACAATCCCTCTCTAATTTGTTCATGCAAAACTTCCCGTTCATTTTCGACTCACCCAACGTATAATTCCAATGCAAGATCCCAATCATCTGCCTCACCACAGACCATCTTCTCGGGCATCCAGCCCACAGGAATACCTCATCTTGGAAACTACCTAGGAGCTTTACATCAATGGGTTCATCTTCAAAATACAGCAACCCCAGAAACGAAGTTACTATTTAGTATTGTGGATTTACATGCTATCACTGTACCACAGGAAGCGGCCAGGTTGAAGAGGTGGAAAAAGGAGAGTTTAGCTACGCTTTTGGCGGTGGGACTGGATCCGGGGAGGTGTGTGCTGTTTTCACAGAGTGCGGTGAGTTGATTTGGTTATATGTGTGGGGAATGAAGAAAGTTAAAGACTAGAGCTGATGCATTATAGGTCCCTGCACATTCAGAATTAATGTGGATATTGAGTTGTACAGCTAGTATGGGATATTTATCACGAATGACACAATGGAAGGTAGATCACCACATATTGACTATTGGTGTGTTGCTAACATGAAACAGAGTAAATTACAGCTTCAAGACAATGCATCGCCGTTAGATGAGAGTAGTAAATCTAAGCTTAAACTTGGCCTATTCTCATATCCAGTGCTACAAGCTGCTGATATACTAGTTCATCGGTACATATCTTGCTATCATTTGGAAAGAGAAGCTAATTTGGGTTAGTGCAACTCATGTACCAGTGGGTGAAGATCAGAGTCAGCATCTTGAATTCGCCAGAGAATGTGTTACGAATTTCAACCATGCTTATGGTCCTCATCTCGTGGAGCCAAAGACCATCATGTGTAACCGCTTTCTCTTCTCATGGTTTGACTCGATACTAACTTGAAACAGCACCGGCTAAGAGAGTGATGTCGCTACAGAATCCACATCAAAAGATGTCCAAATCCAATCCAGATGCCCGGTCACGAATCCTCATCACTGACTCTCCTTCCACCATTAAGGCAAATGTCATGTCCGCACTGACCGATTCTCTGAACTCCGTCTCGTATGATCCTGTTAATCGACCTGGCGTTGCTAACCTTCTTTCGTTATTAAGTCATTTTGATGTTGAAGGAAGAAGTGCAGAGGAACTGGGGAAAGTGCATGGTGATATGGGTCTGGGGAAGTTTAAATCATTGGTTGCCGATGCAATTTCTGTCGGATTAGAGGGTGTAAGAAATGAGTATGAGAGGATCCTCGATGATGAGGGCTACGTTGAGAATGTGGAAAGAGAAGGCGGGAGAAAGGCGAGGGAGAGTGCCGAGGAGACTATGGGTTTGGTTAGGGACGCTGTTGGTTTCTAATCAGAAAACAACCTTGGAGGATGTCTGTATTTTATGTATAAATCTGTATATTTTGCAAGTGGTTCAAAAGCGGGAGTAGAAGTTTGGCTTTGCAAGTAGACGGAGAGACAAGGGTCATTTCAAGAAATACCATTGTTTAATTCAAAGGAAACCAATTAATACAAGATTTGCCGTAGTAAATACATCAATTATGTCAGATTTTAATGGAAACTACATCTCTAAATCATTTAAGTTTTATTATCCCGCCTCATCACAGCAACACTTAATAGTCGAACAAAGTAAGTCCGACGACAGGGTTTAACCTCTTTATCTCCGAATATCAGCCTCGCCATCTCCACAATTTTCTTTGACACTCGACTTTCCGCCTCGTCTCCCGCTCGCATCAATCCCTCACAACCACAACTCCACAAAGAAACAACCAACCCAGCTCCCCACCACCAGTTCTCCCCCTTAAACATCCCCTCACCTCCAATAATGGCAGAATCAACCTCCTTCGTGCCCACCGGCCAGCACCGCAACCTGCGCGCCTGCATGGTCTGCGCGATCGTGCGCACGACCTCCGAATTCATCAAACACGGCTGTCCGAACTGCGAAGAATTCCTCCACATCGCCGGGTCGCCCGATCAACTCGCAGACTGCACGTCGCAGGTATTCGAGGGTCTGATCGCGCTCGCGGATCCGAGTAAGAGCTGGGTTGCGAAGTGGCAGCGGCTGGATGGGTATGTGAAGGGCGTTTATGCGACGAAGGTGTCGGGCACGTTGCCCGATGAGGTGGTGGCGGTTATGGAGGATGAGATGAGGATAAGATATTTGCCGTAGGTTGAGATGTTTGTATTGGGGGCGAGACGTGTGCTAATTGGGTTTTAGGAGAGATGGGACGGCTACGGAGGCTGATTAGAGGTTCGTTTTTGAGATGGACCAAGCGGGCGTGGTTTCAAAGAGAATTGATCTGGAGGATGTGACTGCGAGTCGAGCACCCATATTGATTTGACCGGTCATTGTTTGTTTGTGGAGGGGCGGAATACATGGCAAGAGAGCTCTTCTATTTCGTGGTGATATCAAAGCGCATGGGAGCAGGAGTTACGAGGAGTTATGAACCTGAACGTTAAAGTTAATGAATTTATTCTACAAATATCTAAACCGTTGGTATCTTCCCCTGTGACGCCGATATCCCCTCCCATATGCGGTTAAAATGCCATCTGCCCTTACTCCGTACACATATATACACCCAAATCCAAAATAGTTAAAATCGTTGCTTCTTTTGGACTGGCCCGCCGAATCCTGAGGGTCCTCGCTTTTTAGCCATTTCTTCTTTCATGATTCGTTCTGCCTCGCTCATCTTCTTTGGTTGCTCGATGGCTGCAGCTTTCTTTCCCCCAAGAGCGTTCTTCTTTGCGGCAGAAAATACGTTCTTGGGTTTGCTGGAGAAGCCCATTTTCATCGTGACCTTTGCTGGTGCAGCCGTCTCGGTAGCTGGCTTTTCTACTGCTTCTGATGACTTCTCCACGCTTGGTGATTCCTCGATATCATTTGTCGGAATAGCAGAAACTGATGTTGCTGTCTCCACGGGTAGAGGTTCCGCCTTCGTCGCAGCAGGCTTCGCACCAAAGCTCAATTTTATCTTCTCATCTCCCTCTCTCTTCAATTCTCTCTCCCCATCACTGAGATCATCTTCTCTTTCCCCCGCTTCCGCCTTGGCTCTTGCAACTTGTTGCCGAATCAACATCTGCTCTCTTTCCTCGTCCCCTTTATCCTGTCTCTCCTTTTTCCTGATCGCATCTTGTCTTCGAAGCGCTTCGGGGGAATTGTCGATCCAGCTGACGAACAATCCTCTCTCTTCCTCCTCGACCCTACAGATACCTTCGCGACCAAGGAATTTTGCAAATTCCGTCAGACTCGGCCATTTGGTCGCATTCATGTGTATATGCTCCTTATTACTGATGTATTCCTGGTAGAAATGATTTAGGTGTATCTTCTTCTCGCCGTGACTGGTACGTAAAAGTTGTAGGAAATCGCGCTGGAATTGATTGCTGTAGTCGTTGATGAATTTGCGTGGGTCCTCGCCGACTAATAGCATACGTCTGACATGCGATTCAGACTGTACGTGCATCTTGAAGCCATTCTCGTCGCGCATTTGCCGCTCGCATACCTGAGCTGAGGGTTAGTAGGAGTGTGTAAAAAACAGCAAGAGTAATACTGACTTGACAGTGCCATCTCAGGCGTTGTAGGCCCTTGGACTTCAGCCGGTTGTTAAGATCTTTAGTTGAACCTGCTTCCGCTCTCGGCATTTTGGCGATTTGCAAGGAGAATTACTCGTCCCGGGGGGAGGCTGTAAGTATAGATGAGGTGATGAGGTGATGAGGCTGCAACACGAGGCAGAGGAGGCGATAAGTGATAAATCCCAGGACAGGGGCCGTGCATATCCGCTTGCGGCATGTCATGTGATTCACCCCCTTTCACAACTCGCTTCGGTCTCATTATGTTCCCAAGCTTTGAATAGTGTTATCCATTTCCTCTGCTTTAGTAAAGCAGTGTCTCGATATTAAATATGCGTTATTAAAGATTTCAACAGTTCGACTGACCCGTCCAGCTACGTACATGGATAACAAGTATCTAATTCATTTGCATAAGTTTGGTGTCCAATTCTAAGGAGCAGGTGTGACGTATGTCTGGTTGTAAAGCAGTCGCTAGCACGCATCCAAATCTAAATCCGACGTATGAGTTTTTCAAACTTACACCCACTTAGAGAATGACGCCGAAAACTAATACCACCAGCACAAATTTAGTCAACATCGAAGAGTTCTCTCCAAGCTTTTATAGATGAGCAAGACCTGTATATAACCATAGCTGGAACACACGGGTCTTGATTTGGTGGATTCGATTATCGGTTAAGATTCTTTTGTGAGTACTATCTCCTTGGTGTGGCTATCTAACTGTGTGTGACAGTCGTACCCTCTTGAGCCGGCTCCAGCAGTTTCCACTGGCATTTGATGTTTTGCTTAGCAAAGATATCTAGGATAACTTTGGCTATTCCATCGAAGTTCTGAGTAGCAAGAGCCAAGATCGTAGGCCCTGCTCCCGATAGGCAAATGCCACAAAGACCTGGATGTGATTTTGGAGTGACCGATTGCAAAATTTCTGGAAGCCCTGGAATGAGACCTTTTCGATATGGTTGATGAACCTTATCTTGCATTGCTAGGTAAATTTGCTCGGCATCTGGCGGCGAACTTCCAAGTGCAAGTGGGAGCAGAGCTATTCTTTGCAAATTGAATACAACATCCTTCCTGCTGTAGGATTCTGGCAAAACACTTCTGGCTTCGGCTGTGGCGACTTCAAAATCAGGTATAATAGCAATTGCTCTCAGTTCCTTGGCCCACGGGAATTTCATGTAATGGCCGATACCAACTGGAGGCTCAGGAGGAGTCTCTCCCGTATCGACGCCTCCTGCTGGAGCTGGAAGAACTTCACTAAGCGGAATTTCCTTTCTTTCGGTATCTTCCTTACTGAGATCGTTGAGGTATGTACCGACAAATCCTCCGTAGAGCGCAGCTGCTACATTGTCGGGGTGACGCTCTGTGGTCAACGTCAGCAAAAGACGCTTCCTCAGTGTCGACATACAAACCTATCATCAAACAATAGTCGAGAAGCCGGGCTTTCGATAAACCAAGTTTTCCAACCTCATTTCCCAGTGCAACCCCAGCAACCACCGCAGCTCCAGAGGACCCCAACCCGCGACCTAAAGGTATCGGATTGATGACATGTACTCTTGTCTCAGCCGGAAAAGCTCTCTGGCCATGGCACCGTAAGACATACAAAGCGGTACGGGTGATCAGATTTCTATCCGCACTCAATGGTACTTCGTCCGCTCCTTCACCTTCGTAAGTGATCACACAGTTTAGTGGTGCCTCTGTTGATTTGGATTCGACTGTCACCTGAATCTCGAGCCATATTGACAGAGCGAGGCCAATGACATCAAACCCAGGCCCAATGTTTGCTGATGAACAAGGAACCCCTTTGCACTGATCAGTATTTGGTGCTTTCCAAAATAGAGCCAACCGACAAAAAATAAAACGTGCAAACGGAATCACAGAAATGGATATTTCTTATATCGAGAATTCATACTGTTTCAACCCTTTTTGTCAAATATTACAATCCGACTTGCCTTCACCACACAGACAAGGAGAATATATGGAAATGCTGAATTGGACAATGACCTTCATAAAATTCGAGATCCAGAATAGAAATAATTTATACTGACTGATTGTGATCATTTTGACGTTTTCTCCGTCTCGATAACTCCTCCTTGAACTCCCGTCTCTCTAAATGAGACTGTTCGCCAATCTGAAAGAGTACCTAAGTACTTGTATAGCTCAGGGCCGATCCCACGTAACACAGTCTTATTCTATCATGTGTTACGACTGATTGGCGTGTATTAAAATTCAATTCAGCTTGTGGTCAAAATGAGAAATAAACATGAACTGTAGTCTCCGATTGGGGCCCGAATGGCCCACCCCCACCTGGCCCGAGCTTTTCACCCCGCCAAAATTTTATTCAAACCCTGACTGAAGACTTCATTTATTTTCTGTACAAACGCAATTTCTATATCATGGAGCCGATTCGAATTCTCCTCGTTGGTAACGGTGGGCGCGAGCATGCGCTTGCGTGGAAACTGAGCCAGTCTCCTCTTGTCGAGTCCATCATCGCAGTTCCAGGAAACGGAGGCACCTCGACATGCCCCAAAGTCACAAATGATACCAGCGTAAAAGCAGATGATTATCCAGGATTGGTCAAACTTGCGCAGAATAACAATGTCAATTTGGTGGTTCCCGGACCCGAAGCTCCACTGGTTGATGGTATTGAGGGATATTTCAAGGCGGTGGGAATCAGATGTTACGGTCCTTCCAAATTGGCAGCACGAATGGAAGGCAGCAAAGCATTTTCCAAAGACTTTATGCAGAGACATAATATTCCAACTGCGGCATACGCAAACTTTTCAGATTACGAAGACGCAAAGAAGTACCTCGACAAAATTGATCACAATGTTGTGTTGAAGGCAAGTGGATTAGCGGCTGGGAAGGGTGTACTTATCCCAACCACCAAAGAGGAGGCACACAAAGCTTTGAAAGAGATCATGGTTGACAGAGAATTTGGAGAAGCTGGGGATGAGGTCGTTATTGAAGAGTTCCTGGAAGGAGACGAACTCAGTATTTTGACATTCAGCGATGGCTACACGATCAAGTCACTTCCTCCAGCTCAGGACCATAAGCGAATTTTCGACGGAGATCAAGGGCCAAACACTGGTGGAATGGGATGTTATGCTCCAACCAAGATTGCTAGCAAGGCCTTGATTGAACAAATTGAGAAGACCATCCTACAGCCAACGATAGACGGGATGAGAAATGAAGGATTCCCATTTGTGGGAACACTTTTCACTGGCCTCATGATCACAGCAACTGGACCAAAGACATTGGAGTACAACGTCAGATTCGGTGACCCAGAAACGCAGACTTTATTACCCCTTATGAGCGAGGACACAGATCTCGCAAAGGTTATGGTTGCATGCACCGAGCACTGGCTTTCCGGAATTGATATCAAGGTTGATCAGAAGTCCAGTGCTACAGTGGTGGTGGCAGCAGGAGGATATCCAGGGTCTTATGAAAAAGGAATCCCAATGGAGGTAGGCTCCCCAGCAGCAGGCGCAAACATCTTCCATGCCGGTACTGTCGTCAAGGATGGCCAGCTGCGGTCTTCTGGCGGACGTGTTATTGCGGCTCAGGCAACAGGAGCGACATTAGAAGAAGCTGTGAAGAACGCTTATGACGGTTTAAGCCACATCAAATTCGACAAGATGTTCTACCGAAAGGATATTGCTCACCGAGCACTCAAAAGAACTGCTTCGAAGGAGGCTCTTACTTATGCCTCGGCCGGAGTCAGTATTGAAGCTGGTAATGCTTTGGTCGAGCGTATCAAGAAAGCCGTTGCTTCCACCCGGCAACCTGGAGCAGACGCAGAAATTGGAGGCTTTGGTGGAGAGGTCAATCTTCAGAAAGCAGGCTACACGAGTGCACCAATAACTGTTGGTGCTATTGATGGTGTGGGAACAAAACTTGCAGTCGCACAAGCGATGAACAAGCATGACACAGTTGGTATTGATCTGGTCGCAATGAATGTCAATGACCTAGTTGTTCAAGGAGCAAAGCCATTCATGTTCCTAGATTATTATGGATGCAGTACGCTGAAGCTTGAGACTGCCGCAGCTTTTGTCGAAGGAGTTGCTGAAGGTTGTAATCAGGCTGGATGCGCACTGGTTGGAGGCGAAACGGCAGAGATGCCTGGAATGTATCAAAATGATGATTATGATGCTGCTGGTTGCGCTGTTGGAGCCATGTCTGCAGATGTAAGACTTCCTCGCAAGGCCGATATGGTTGAAGGCGATGTTCTACTTGGTCTGGCATCAAATGGTCTACACTCCAACGGATTCTCGCTTGTGCGCAGAATCATCGCTCGCGAAGGATTGTCTTATCAAGACCCAACTCCTTGGGACGACTCGAAATCTACCGTTTTGGGAACATCTTTGCTCACACCAACCAGAATTTACGTCAAGTCTCTCCTCAAAGTCACAGATAAGAAGCTTGTTAAAGGTCTCTCGCATATCACAGGAGGTGGTCTCGCCGAGAACGTTCCTCGAATGCTTCCATCTCAACTGAGTGCTGAGATCGACCTAAAGACGTGGGAGCTTCCCCCAGTCTTCAAGTGGCTGAAGAAGGCGGGAAATGTTAGTGGTAAGGAAATGTCACGAACTTTCAATACTGGTATTGGAATGGTTGCGGTTGTTAGCCCAGAAAATGTGAAGCAGGTCCAAGAAGAGCTCACGGCAGCTGGGGAGACGGTTTTTACGGTTGGCAAACTGATTAAGCGCTCCGATGATGCAGGATGTGTGTTGTTGAATCTTTCCTCTTGGGATTAAGGGACCAACTCAAGCGTATGACAAACAAATTATGGCGTTTTAGGATTGGATGATACCAAAAGTTTGGGTTAACGAGATTTGTGTACATTATATCACCGTACATACTACTCTTTGCAAAAAGTTTGATTGAGTTGAAATACTATCGCTACATAGAAGTCTCCAATAAAACTTTTCCTATGTCAAAAACAAGCGCCAGCCAATGCTTGAAGTGTGATGTTTAATAACATCCCAAAACACTTCTTCGAAACTTCAATCTCTAAACCGCTATAACCGTCTACCATCCGCGTCCTTGCATCTTGTCCTTCGCATCCATAGAGGCGACATTTAATCCAACCATCGCCTCGCCAAGATCCTCACTCACCTCCGCCAAAACCTTAGGATCATTGTAATGTGTGACTGCCTGCACAATAGCCTTCGCTCTCTTGCTAGCATCGCCACTCTTGAAAATGCCGCTTCCAACAAACACACCGTCACAACCCAATTGCATCATCAACGCAGCATCAGCAGGCGTCGCAACACCTCCAGCGGCAAAATTCACAACTGGCAATCTGCCGAGCTTCGCAGTCTCCTTCAATAAATCATATGGTGCTTGGATCTCCTTGGCCAGGACTCGGAGTTCCATATCGCTCATTCTGGAAGCGGCGTTGATCTCAGCGGAAACAGTTCGCATGTGTCGGACTGCCTCAACGACGTCTCCGGTTCCTGCTTCACCCTTTGTTCGGATCATCGCGGCACCTTCGCTGATACGACGGAGTGCTTCGCCGAGGTTTCGGCAGCCGCAGACGAATGGGACGGAGAAGGGGTGCTTTTCGACGTGGTGGGCGTGGTCTGCTGGGGTGAGGACTTCGGATTCATCGATGTAGTCTACGCCGATTGCTTCGAGGATCTGTTGGTTTTGTAAGCAAATGAATTATGTAACCAAGTCATTGAGATTTACCTGGCACTCTACAAAGTGACCAATTCTCGCCTTGGCCATGACTGGGATGGTAACTGTAGCCATAATCTCGCGAATCATCTTTGGGTCTGACATTCTCGACACTCCGCCCTCGGCTCTTATATCTGCGGGTACTCTTTCGAGTGCCATGACTGCTACTGCACCAGCTTCTTCTGCTATTCTTGCCTGTAGGAAATGTGTTAGCTCATTGCCACACTAGTATAGAAAGTAAACATACCTGCTCAGCATTGACAACATCCATAATGACTCCTCCCTTCAACATGCGCGCCAATCCGGTCTTAACAGTGAAGTTATCCTCGCCGGCAGCATTAAGAGGCATACGCTCGCCATTGGTAGTGCGGGTTGGGAGTTCGGTTGCCATTCTGTTTGATTGATCGTTGATCATTTGTTTTTCTAAAGTTGCTGATACTTTTTAAAAGTCTCTTTGTCGGCTACTGCGGGGTCCTTTTTGAATTGAGGAGATTCGTATTCGTGTTGGTAGGAAATATGTGATGGAGTGATCTGTACAAAAGTATGTAGTTTAAAAGTTTGATAAGGAGGAAGAATATGTATTTCTAGAAACGTCTTTACGAAGTATGAGTCGATTTTTTTCCCACTTGGCTAAGGGTCGTCTAGAATGCGCGCCGGATCGGAGGAGGGGCAAAACCATTGGGATACCCCACCAGACGATTATCCAAAACCCTGCAGATAAGCGCCACGCCCTTCACGTCGGACATTGCGTCTCCAAGACATCTAAGTTCACCAGTTAATTAAACCTCTACTATATGCAGTATCATAATGCTAGATGTTTTGCCCGATCTCGCTGAACGTGGTGATATCAAATAGACGTTGGCAAAAATTAAAATCCAGGGACTCTTCGCTTCCCCCGTAAGCCGTGGCAAACCTGTGCTAGCCGTAAATGTCTCTCGCTGTGGCTTTCCCCAGATTCCGAGGCACGAAACAAAATAGATCCCTGCACGAAGGTGACATCAGCGATTCGACCCGCGACCTGAGCTCAACCTAATTCGTACGTACAGTACAGCTTCCAGCATCAACAAGCACAATAGCCATCACAACCAATCCCTAGATCACCAATTAGCTGTCCCAATTGCATACCTTTGTAGTTCCATCCCAAGCTTTCCGTCTAGCAATATGGCAACCTTCCTACGCCCCCTATTCAGACCCCAAGTCCTCGGTTTGGGACTTGGAGCGGGAATATTCGCAACCCACCAATTGAGATTCAAGACGCCCATTCGACTGGATAGCTCGCCTTCTATATTATCAAGTGACAGCTACAGAAGCAATGCGAAGACACCTGTTATTTCAAGCGAGGGGGGCATGAATCCAAGGGCGATAAGACAGATTAGTAGTGGTAGTATTATTGGTATGATCATAACTGCTAGTCTCACTAAAGGGATATCAAACTAATGATATCGCTTAGGCCTATGTACAGGACTGCTTGTAAGCACGTTCTCGAAGTCATTGGCCCTCTTACTCGGATTGATGGTTGTAGGAGTACAGGTAAGTTGGTAGGTAGTCACGCATGATCACCGCTAATTGACATCTGTAGTGGGCTTCAAGTTATGGGGTTAATGTTATACCATATAACAAATTACAGCGCTATGTATCAGGTATTGATCTCCGCTCGGCAGTACAAGACAACGTTGCTTTCAAGTTATCCTTCGGAACGACATTCGCTATGGCGGCCTTCATGCAATTTTAGATCACAGCACCATTCCCAGCAATCCAAAATTCCACCCATGTAAATATGTTTCCTTCAATGCCCTCATGTACAGAATAGAGTATAAGCTTGCCTACAGTGGCTCTGTTTCACGCTCAAGCCACTTTATAGCTAGCGAGCCTGGCTCAAAATAGTCCTTGGTCTTTGCGTGGATGTCAGCGTGATATTCGTTCAACCAGTGTTTCTCTTTCCTTGTGAGGAGACTTTCGTCAATGAGCTTCCTGCAGTATGGAGTCATGGTAACGTGCTCGAATCCTAGGTATGGTTTGTCTCCGAATTTCTGGTTCGTTTCGACCTCCTTCACCATGATGATGTTCTCAATTCGAATACCAAAATTCCCATCCTCGTAATACCCAGGCTCGTTAGAGATCACATTGCCAGGCGACAGAGGTACCTCGGAATATTGTATCCTGGTTCCGATTCCGATCGGACCTTCATGGACGTTGAGATAGGAGCCTACACCGTGTCCAGTTCCGTGTCGGTAATCCAAGCCTTCTTCCTACATAACGGTTAACATGATGCACATGAGTAAGCATCGTTTTACGTACCCATAGAAATTGTCTTGCAAGGGTATCTAAAGCAAACCCGCTGGTTCCCTTTGGGAAAACGGCGACATCAAGAGCAATGTTACCCTTGAGCACCAACGTGTAAGCCTTCTTCTCAAACGCCGATGGCTCTCCAAAGTGAAGCGTTCTTGTTGTATCGGTTGTGCCATCGAGATATTGAGCCCCGGAATCACACAAGTAGATAGCTTTCGGGTCAATTATAGAGCAGTTCCCGCGCTCTGGCTTGTAATGAATGACTGCTGCATTGGCACCGGTAGACGAAATTGTGTCGAAGGACAAACCCACAAAGTGCTTCTGTTTCGAACGAATTGCTTCTAGTTTATCTGCCGCCGTGACCTCGTCTAGCTGTACGTTCTGAACAATGAGTTGGTCCTCTAACCAGGCAAAATACTCAGTCAAAGCTGCTCCATCTCTGACATGACAAGCTCTCATTCCCTCTAGTTCGGTGTCGTTTTTCACGGCTTTGGCATCGCCGATTGGGCTTCGGACTTCTTCGACTTTGGTTTCGCCCCCTAGCGCTCGTTTCAATGCCCAGGACGTTTTTGTTGACACAAGAAACTTCTTGATCTTAGCTTCGGGCTCGTTGTCCGGGGTATCTAGCGACTTGCAAAGTACTTCGCTGTCCTCGAAAATCTTATGATATGGTCGCATAGAAACTCCATTGTCGGTGAGGTAAGTCTTGCACTCGCTACTCAACTTTGCGGAGTTGACATAAAGGGTCGCTGTTGTAGGTGTGATGGCAGCATATGAGAAAAACACAGGATTGTACGGGATGTCATTCCCGCGCATGTTGAATAGCCAAGCGATTTCATCCAGCATCGATACTATGAAACCGGAGCTTTTCTTTTTATCCAGCTCTTTGCGAAGATCTTCGAGCTTTTTCTTCAAGTCTTTTCCTGCAAACTGTGGTGCAAGTATTTTGATGGGCTCGCTGGGTTTCGCTGGTCGGTCGTTTCCCCAAACTATGTCGACCAAATTGTCTTCTACAGCTACCAGCTCTTGCCCGCCTTTCTTCTTGATCTTTTCCGACAGCTTTCGTGCATCAGGCGCCGATATAACTGTTGGGTCAACGCTAACCAACTTTCCTCCCTCAGACTGCTCGGCCGACCACTCTTGCCAGGTTGGAACATCTTGCAGACCTTGCTTGAGCAGCAGCCAGTTGCCATCGAGCTGTTTCGCAGCTTGATTGAAATATCGTCCATCAGTAGCCAATGCTGCCAACTCGTGGGTGATAACCGCGCAACCTGCAGATCCAGAGAAACCTGATATGAACTCTCTTCTTCCGTCACACGGCGCGATATACTCGGAGGCATGGCTGTCTTCGCTTGGAACAACTGCAAGACTGTTAACAGCTGCGGAGTAGTAAGGAAAGATCCACTTACATACTGTAGACGTCCAGCTTCTGTTGTTTCATGAGCTCTCGCAGCCTGGTTAAGCGCTCAGTAGTATTGATTTGCTCCATCGCTGCTGCTGGACCAGGCGTTAGCTATGAAAGCTAAGGGAATGGGGGGAATACCTTGGTCTGCACTGGTAGCGGTTGAGTTGTATCGGACGGCGAGCTGGAGTTTCTGCAACCAGGGTTGGTTCAATCCTGTGATTTGAGTCCTCGCGAAAACTTTTCCTAGCGATCGAGAAGATTGCATTGATCCCACGCTGAGAAGGAAGGTCGTGGGGTGACAGTGTACGGAGTGAGTGGGCCCGAATCACACCGATTTCAAAATCCGAATACCCAGATCTAATAATGCCGCAAGTGAATACAAAAGACGATAGAATAGGATGATGGGTTTTTGCAATCGTTCAGTGCAATCAAATGCATGTCTAGAGTCGGTGATTTACTGGTCCTCTGCAGGTTCCCTACAGTCAATATCGTTGGCGGGACATCCATATCGATAAGCAAACCTGAGGCTTAAATTGGTGTGGGAAACGGCATTTTTTGATACTGTCATCATTCATTCAGACCGAACAAACAAAAATTGAAAAGGATTGGTAGAGGGCTTCATGTCGTTAATTTCGATGTTTTGAATTTTTGCCAGTGGTTGATGATGAAGGCTCTTGCTTCCGCCTCAAATTGCCATATCGTACGAATTCATCAACCACCTCTCTGTCCTTGAATAAATCCGTACCACCCCCGTTCAGAGGCGACAATGGCCAGCAATACATACGATCAGCTTCCCACATCTCTAGAAGAGGTCGTTTCTGTGAGTTTTTGGTTTTCTCTACGAAGCCTTTCTACCAATTATCAAATCAAACACCAAACTCTCCAAGCCACACCCGAGGCCGTTTAGCAATATTCAACTATACGCAGCGAGCCGCGTGTTTTATATTTGTGTCACTGATTTTTTACCACTTAGCTCGTCCTGCAATTATATCGACCAGGCGCACAAGTATCCGTCGTCAAGACCCAAGAGACCTTACACAGGTTGCAGCGGTCGCCTGAAGGTTGGCGACTCGCAAACAGTCTCTCGAATCATGAAAATCAGGAAGTGAGATTCTTCGCTGCCCTGACTTTCATCGTCAAATTGAACACAGACGCGTAGGTGGTGCGCATCATCTAGCAGAGCTCTATTAATTTGACAAACAGAAAATCGCTCGGTGAAGAGGACGTCCAAGCACTACTTACTACTCTCATAAACTGGTTGATCCGATGCCTGGAAATTTCCGAGGGCCAGTTGGTGTTGAGAAAGTTGTGTTCGACCCTTGTGGTATTTTTCTTTCAATTTTCTTCATCGTGGCAGAACTGCATCAAGCATCTCATCTACTGTGTCTCCGTGGGATCGGCGCTACCGTATGAGTCCTCCCAAGATGCGCCGGATGTGCAAAGTATGATACAACAGTTACCAGACAGGAAAGCAGTTGCCATCTTCTGGTTTGCGTCTACCTTGGTAGAGGAAGTTGGCAAAACAGATTCAAACTCCATGAAACAGTAGGCGTAGCTTCCGCGCACCGGAACTCGATCAACAAACTGACCCTAAGTAGACACAAATTTCATCAACTAATGCTACCGAACGTCGACGATATCGTTCCCCTTATATCGAAGTACATCACAGACCACAACCCTACGCCAGATCAAGCAAACGTTCGCCAAGAGGCTATGAAATGTTATCAGGTATGTCCTTATATAAAGCTGGATTTCTCTCTTGAACTAACCAGCCTTGTGAAAACCTCCCGGCTAATTGTTCAAGTCGTGGGTATCCTATTCGCACAGGGCATTCATCGACGACGGCTTGATACTCGAGCCCCTACGAACATTTACGAATGCAACTATCATGTGCCTTGCTGATGAAAACCTGTATGAAATTACCATGGAACTTCTTGCAGATGTACTCTCCACTTATTGCAAGTTTTTCTCCGAGGATGACTTTCAGACACTCTTTGCCCTTTTCAACAGTCAATGGGCACAAGAGCGATATCAGCGATTAGTTCAAGGGGACTATGATTTCGATTCCATTCAGTTCGGGCTCTTTACTCTCGCTTTTGGAGATGCCACTCTTCAGGATCTAGCTACCCGTACTGAGCCTCAATATCAGCAGTTCTTGACAGCCCTGGGAGGCCTACTTGGCGCAGAGGGCTATCCGGTGCATGAGGATAAAATATTCGTGCCGGCGCTAGAATTCTGGAATGCTTTTGTGGAAAATATGATTGACAGCATCTGGTCGGAAGACGAAACTTCACTGCTAGAAAACACATTCGCCCAAATGCATGTAACACAAGCGATTCAAAAGTGCTGGCGGAAAATACAGTTCCCACCCTCGGAAATATTTAACTCCTGGGACTCAGTTGACCGTACAGGCTTCAAAGATGTGAGGAGAGACTTCAGCGATCTTTTACAACAGTTCTATTTGATCACAAAAATTCCTATCCTCGACGTTTTCATTACACTAGCGAACAAAGCTGTGGAGAACAGAAATTGGGAGGAATTAGAGGCATCATTGTTCTGCCTAGCATGCTTTCCCGACACGATAGGTGACACCGAACCACGCGATGAATATCTAGACAAGATATTCACAGCCCAAATTTTTTCACTCTTCTCGACCGCACCCGACGAGATCCCCTTAAGGACGATGCAGTCGTTTTTGCTCTTGGTAGATGGCTATGCGGATTATTTCGAGCAGAATACGGCCTACCTACCCAATGTTTTAAACATTGTATTTGGTACCTTGGCCTCTCCGGCTCTGAGCTACAAGGCATCACGAACAATTCAGAAATTATGTTCAGACTGTAGGAAGCTTCTCGTTCCCGAGCTTGATTCCTTTTTGAAGCAATACCAAAGCCTCAACAGCAATTCATCGATTGACAAGCACGCTAAAGAAGCGATCATGGAAGGAATAGCCTCACTTGTTCAAGCCATTCCCCTCGACAAGCTGAAGCTGAAGCCTCTGGACGAACTACTCAATTTTATTGAAGCAGACATAGAAGAGTGCTTCCGAATCATCGCTTTCCAAGCGACTTCAGAGGATACTTCCGGCTCAGCCCATATGAATTCCGTTACGTTGACTGCAGACTCCCCAGCATTACAACTGGGCCTAGGAGCCTTGAAGTCCATAATTGGCATTGGAAGAGGACTTCAGACCCCACACGATACACCGATATACCTCGACGAAGACGAAGAGAGATCTCCCTTTTGGACGACTGGGGAAGGCTCGCGAATTCAGACGAGAATTGCTTCTATGGTCAACAGGGTTTATGACGTTCTTGGCGCTCATGGGGATATCGTAGATGCAGCGTGCCATGTTTGGCGCCAGGGCTTTAGAGAACTGGAACCGGGAGCTTTCGTTGTCGCACCAGCAATGATTATTCAGTTTCTGCTAAAGGCGAATTTCAACACGCCACGACTTGGATGCGTGATTGGCACTGCTTGCTCATTCGTGACATCCCACAAATCCAATAACGAGAGTGGAGAAATATTCGCTACCTTAGTACATTGGATCTCGCAGATACTCCAGCAACAAGACCGTAAGTGGCTCAGTGTATTTCGTATTTCTAGGCTAACTCCATCACTAGAACCGAGCAATGACCCAGAAGTAGCTCAAAACGGGATCGATTTCCTAACTCGATTATTGTCCAAGCAATTGTCTTCGTTGATGAGCCATCAGCCTCCCTCTTCTCTAGAATTTCTCTTCTTCTTCACCCTTAAAGCGCTGGCGGGAACTGATCCATTACCAAAAAGTGCTGCTGCAGACTTCTGGGTATGCTCCGCTTTCAATTTCATGTGTAACTCATAGCTAACCAGCAAAGTCGACTTTCATTGGTCTTCCGACGCAGGAGGATTCGGCAATGCAAACAGCTATAGACAATGTACTCCAGCATTTAGGCCCTATGTTGGCAGAAGCTTTGATCTACAACATGGGAGGTCAAGCAGCACGTAGTGAGTTAGACAAATTATCTGACCCGCTCAAGAAGCTAGTCACAAGACAAGTCCGTTCAAAGAGCTGGTTGGAAGCTGCGCTCTCAGGAAACAGTTTTCCTAGTGACAAAGTCACAACTAGGGAGAAGACCGTTTTCCTCCAAAAGATAATGAAGTAAGTTTCCGGGGCCGCCTAACTAAAAAGTAAGAACTGACACAAACTTAGTCTGCGCGGTTCTCGGGGCACTAATCATGTAGTTAGAGAGTTTTGGCTAGCTTGTAGAGGGACTAATTTCGCGTATGCTTCGTAGTAGATAAATGCAAGTCAGTGCATGGTTCTACAACATATGCGGCAGAGCAACTGTGGTCGAAGGTTATGGCTTCGATTCAACACCAGTGCATCGGAGGCATCGCACAATAGGGGCAATTCTGGAGTTTGCGAAAAGATACCATTTGTCTCCGATCTCACAAAATGGAAGCGTGAAGCAGGACAGTAAGAGCGGCAAAGAACATGTGATGCGAGCTATCTCCATAGGCTCAGGATTTCAACATTCTTGTTGATCTCTCTACACGAAGCTTTCCGAGTTTCTAGCACATGGGGAAGATCTTTCAGGTGACAATCTCAACATCAATCTGTCAACGAAATATGAATCTAAAGTTATACCCCCCAACGAAGACTCTAGCAAATAGGAACAAAAGAAATTTAATAAAGTGCTAAGAATAGTAAGATGATTTATGCGCGTGCAAAGCGAACCCCTTTCGAGTACGGAGGTAATGCCCAGACCGTCAAGCAAGAGGCAAGCTGCAACGATAAGCGATAAGAGTTCCGTGCGTAATGTGGCATCCATCCCGTCCCAGATCTTCTTCCTTTGTACGAACAAGGACATTGGCCGTCGCCAGTTCACTACATATCTGCGGAAACCTCTTTTTGATCTTTCGCTGTGCGCCTCGACGTTCACGACAAAGCTTGATTGCACAGTGTCGAAATACGCACCCCCAAAGGCAACTACCATTACATTTAACCGTGCTTGTAACCACGTTTTCAACGAGATCTCTTGTGTTCTTTCTTTGTATGGCAGGATGTTGAGATCAAGATGTTTTTCACCTGCGACCGCCAATCCATGGCCTCAGCAATCTTGCTTTTGCTTACTCTAACTTCAACGCCTGAAGGTGTGCGCTCCCATACGATCACCAGCTCCCCGAAAACGGCGGCCGCCGCGAATCCAACAGCAACTTGCGAATTTCGCACAATCAACTATATCACAGATTCGTTACCACAACTATGCTTCAAAAGCTCTTGGAGCGCGAACGCGAGCACCGTCAGGACGGTGTCGGGGGAGGAGGCCGGCGGTGAGAAAGAAGCGGTGGACAAAGATTCGGCAATGCGCCCCTCTAGAGATGGAGGGGACGAGACGGGAAATGATACAGCCAATCTCACATCGACGAGCGCGTCCGTAACGAGCACGTCGTCGTCCACGCCTTTGCCGACTGAGACTGAGGCTATGCCAGAGGAGGTTAGTGAGTTGGACGAAGGATCTTTTTTGTCCTTTGAAGACTGGAAGAAGCAAGCATTGGAGAAAGCCGGACAACAAAATGCCCAAATAGGAAGTAGAAAGGTTAGCGGTGAGAACAGAAGGAAAGATTCAGGCCATTCGCCAGAGAGCCATGGCCCTTTTGGAGAGGAAGGAGAAATAGATATTGATTTTGCAGCATTTCGAGGCTCTGAGAATGAGCAGGAGAGTCAGGCTGCTAGAGAAGGTAAAACTGAAGAAATTCCAGAGAAATCCCCGAAAGTCAACACAAAGAAACGAAAGGAGCATCGTAGCAAAGATGCTGGGATTACTTGCAAGGAGCGCTTCTCGTACTCGTCTTTTGATGCCGGTGCTACTGTAGTAAAAACGCACCAGGGAGCGAAAAATTCGAAATCTATATTGATTGAAAACAAGGACTCCTATATGTTGTCAGTATGCTCAAAGGAAAACAAATTTGTCATAATTGAATTATCCGTAAGACTTATCCGCCCTAAAGGCTCGCATCGGGTATATTAACAACTCTGTAGGAAGACATTTGGATTGATACGGTGGTACTTGCAAATTACGAGTTCTTCTCTAGCATGATCCGACAGTTTCGAGTCAGTGTTAGCGATCATTATCCTGCGAAATTGGATAAGTGGAAGAACGTTGGGATTTACGAAGCTCGCAATTCCCGGGAAATCCAGGCATTTCTCATCGAGAATCCGCAGATTTGGGCGAGGTACATTAGAATTGAATTTGTGAGCCATTATGGAAATGAGTATTATTGCCCACTATCTCTCGTCAGAGTTCACGGAACCCGAATGCTCGAGAGTTGGAAAGAATCGGAGGCAAATGGTGACGATGACGATGCGGAGGAAGAGAACGAGGAAGATGCTGCAGAGACCAGTTACGAGCCTGAAGCTGTAGCAGATGCTGTCAAGGAGAAAGAAAGACAAGCTTTAGAACTTCGCAAACGGGCGGAAGAAGTGGTAAAAAAGAATCATGAAACTGCTGTCGCCAATGCTAGAGCCTCTGAACAACGCTTTTTGGACGAGGGAACTTCCCCTTGGGTCAAATTCCGATTTGCTTCTCCGAAGCCAAATAAATCGAGCGGCATCGAAGATATTTGCTTACCAAAAGATGGACCGACAACAAGTCATGCCCCTTCTTCTTCTTCCGAGCCAGAAGCAGTACCAGAGGCGGCCCGTTCATCTACCGTGACGAGCTCAAGCACAATTATCGAGATTAGTGCGTCCTCTGGCAAGTCGACGACGCAAATCCAATCTACGCAAGAATTTGCATCCGAATTTGTCTCTACATCTAGCGCTGTCGCGTCAAACATGACGAGTAGTTCGTCCACCTCAGAACCTGCAACGACCACTATGGCTCAGCAGGTGACGTCGCAGCCAAGTAGAACTCAAGTGAGCACAGGCTCACAAAAGAATAAGACCAGCGGGACCTCCTCCGCCTCGTCTTCTTTACCGACTATCCAAGAAAGCTTTTTCAAAGCAGTCTCGAGACGACTACAATCGCTGGAAACAAACTCGACCCTTTCCTTGAAGTATATTGAGGAGCAATCTAGGATATTGAGAGAGGCCTTTTCCAAAGTGGAGAAAAAGCAGTCCCAGAAAACTACTTCTTTTTTGGATACGTTGAATAGTACGGTCCTCACGGAGCTGCGAGGCTTCCGACAACAATATGACGAAATTTGGCAATCTACCGTTATTTCACTTGAGAGCCAACGAGAAGAGTCGCGCAGAGAAATTATCGCGATTAGCGCTAGACTCAACATCCTCGCGGATGAAGTTGTGTTTCAAAAACGCATGTCTATTGTTCAGTCGGTTTTGCTCTTACTTTGCCTTGGCCTTGTCATCTTTTCAAGGGTTTCTTCAACTGGTCAGGGGGAACTTCTAAATCTGCAGAACAGGTTCCGCAATTTCGGGGCAGAGAGCCCTTTACAGAGTGCTGTATTTGGTTCGTCCTTCCGGCGTATGGACCCCACGAGAAGTGACGGCTCATGGGCGGATGGTGGACATAATAGAGTGTTGTCCGATGACTTCGGTATTTCCAGGTCTGGAAGCTTTAGAAATGGTGCTCAGACACCCACGTCGATCTACTCACGTTCTGATTACAATTTTACACCACCATCAGGTCCTGAGGAAGTCCCATCCACCCTCACGGACGAGGATTTAGAGCCTCGACCGGATCATCTTGAGCCACCTAGGCCTCAACCGCATCGTCGAGTTTCAGGACTGGCAAACGAGCATGATAATTCATTTCAGAGTTCGAAGACAGCTCAGAGTTCGCCAGCGAGATCGCCACGGAAGCGGAAAGACTCGTTCCAGCAGGTTGCAAGTCCCCCACCGGAACCTACGTGCTCATCCATCGAGACAACACCTGAACCATATGATCTTAATGGTGATTCTCCAGGCCGCTCCCAGATTGGCCGTGCAGCCGCATCACCCTCACTTTCCTTTCGGGAACCAGCCCTGAGCCGTGTATCTAGCGACAGTGAAGAGATCGAGGGCAGGGAGTCCAGAGAAACTCCATTTAGTATTAGTCGGAAACCGCTTCCCGCTTTGCCGCCAACTTCTACATGAGATACCCTTACGAAGCCGATTTATCATTACGAATTTAACGAATTAGGATTTAATATCCCTTGACAATGTCTGGGATGTGACATTTTGTATGCAGTACTAACGGAACGGGCATTGATCATTTAGCGAGGAGTTGTCAAATTTGATGTTTGACTTGAGAGAAACACATCACGTTGAATATCGATGTGGAAAACATGTATAGTCGTTGTGAATGCCGGGCTAGATGCGAGAATGATTTACACCGCATGGGCCTGAGTACGTGCTTACAATTATAACGCATGGTGCAAACCACAGTGCAGCTTTTAATCAAGATACATGTAGCTATTGAGCAAAGCTGAGGCCGATCTGTTACCTGTATAGACCTCTGATTCGAAGCGATTTCCTTGCACCTTTGGTCGCCATTATCATTAACAAAATTTATGAGTAACGATTGCCCTTTTGAGTCAACAAGAAGTATGAGCGTCAGTTGCCATTGAGGTAATCAAAAGTATGTCACTGACTGTCGAATAACTAACTAACTGATTCAAGTCGGTTATTGGTGAACATGCAGCGGCCGTCTGAACCTTGTGCCGATCTCGCGCCACAGTGCAAATAAGGAGTAGCTTTTCGGGTGTCAGCACGCCATCTGCAGGTGAGCGTGACGGAATACAAACACAAAATATAAATTTCCCCTCCTCGCAACCCATTGAACTTATCATCCAACCCAAGCCGACCCAAACGTTTCATTAGCAAAACTACAAAATGCGCGCCTATTGGTACGATAATCAAGCTGTAAGACCTTCAAATTCTACTCAAACTTACCCCACTAACAATACCCAGGGCGACCAGCGTCTTCCCCACGACTCTGGCCGCAGCGTCGACCCCCAGTACCTCTCCAACTTAGGCGTTCTTTACTACCACCTTTCCGACGAAGAAGATGTCAACAAGCTCGCGTCTGAGAGAAGCTACAAGAATCGCGATGTTATTACCGTGTCGCCAGAGAAGATGGGTGATATCTACGAGGAGAAAGTGAAGTCATTTTTCCACGAACATTTGCATGAGGACGAGGAAATCAGGTATATTCGGGACGGTGCTGGGTTCTTTGATGTAAGGAGCGAGGGTGATGAGTGGGTTAGGATCTTCTTGGAGAAGGACGACTTAATTGTAGGTTTTTTGTGGTGTGACGAGTATACTGGGCTAATTTGGGGATAGATTCTTCCTGCTGGGATTTATCATCGCTTTACTACGGACAACAATAATGTGAGTTTGCAACTTTCGTGTGGTACGAGTCATTGTACTGATGTTGGGATAGTACATTCAAGCCATGCGACTTTTCAAGGAGGAGCCAAAATGGACACCACTAAACCGTGGTCCAGAGGTCGATGTCAACCCGTTCCGCAAAGAATATTTGAGCACCCGAAGTCCAGTTGCGAGCCAATGAGTATCTAGCACTTTCTAGAAAGGGAATACGAATGATGATGTTACGAAGCGAAGTGTGTGTACAAAGTACTTCAAAGTGTTGAAATAAGACAAGATCAGCGTTCCACTTCCTGCTTTCACGGATCATCAAAAGAACAAGCTTCTGTTTAGTTGGCTATCGGAACTATGAAATTACAGTACGTTGAATACGATGTCAGATGAATCTTCTTCGCTACCCTGCTTCGAAGGTACTACCCAAAGCGGACCTGACAGCCACCGAAACCCTTGCAACTGTTGCCCGCTTCAACAGTGGATGCCTGCATGATTGAAGTGTTTAGAGCCATAGCCTTTGTATCATCCGCATCAGAATCAGCCACAAGACTACCCAAAGATGGCTAGCTGGGTAAGCACCACCTAATTGCCTCAGAGGGACCTTGAAGCCGAGAAGTATTGAACGAATTCAACACATCGAAGAACGCACAACGCGCGTGCACACGAGCCGAAGGCTCACTTCAATCCACGATTACTCCAACCACTTGAATGACGCAGTTGTAGATTGAAGATGTTTAGGATAGTTCACTTTCTGAATTACCTGGAAGCTCGGTAGATAATTAGATTCAATCTCAAAATAAAGCTATCCTTCAAAGCAAAGCACAAGGCGCAGAGTCCAGTCATAACGCCACCCTAAAGCCTTAAATCGACTTGTGAACCAGAAGTAAAAGTATTGATGATGGAACAACACAGATCATGGGATATCAAACGAGTCTCTAAAGAGCAAAGTACATAACGCCAGAAGAAATGCATGCTTAATCCCCGGTCGTCGAATTTCGTAACCCACCCTCATAGGTTTGTTCAAATCGAGTAAGGAACATGATGTCCTATGCTCTCCAAATCGCTGCTCTAGCACCTTTGCTGTCGCCGGTTGGTTTGATAGCTGCCGGGTTGCCAGCTGCGGGCTGGAGGGTTTCGACCGGCGTATCGTCTGGGTAGTAAGGAGATGGAGGGTATGTTGGTTGGCTGAATGTGGTAGGGTCTGATATGGTGTAGGTTGTTGGTTGAGTTGGCGACGTGGTTGGATAGGTGTCGGTCGGTTCTGTGGTTGTGGGGAGGGGGTCTGAGGAGGTGGATGTTGGGTAGGGCAATGTTGAGGAGGATGGTTCGGTAGTGTAGGGTGTTGTGCTCGATGTGCTGTCTGTTGTTGACGAGGAAGAGCTGGAGCTTGTATCTGTTGAGGATGAAGCTGAAGAATAAGAAGACGACGATGAAGAAGAAGATATGGAAGTTGAGGACAAAGAAGATGTACTGCTAGATTCCGTGCTGGAAGGGCTTGTGGTTGAAGTGTTCCCACCATATGGAGGTTGGGTGTATGCCACGGTGACTGGAGGCGGTGGTGGCGGTGGAGTCCAAGTTGGTTGCTCAGTCTTTGTCGTTGTGACCGTGATAGTCTGGCCAATGTTGTTGATCACCACGCTGATATTGATGATGACTACATTGATGATGATGTTCTTTTCATAGATAGCGACAGTGCAGTCGTGGTTTGGCGAACCAGTAGGGAAGACATAGACTGTTGTTTGTAGTCCGTAGTCGCAGGAAGTAACATATCCGTACTTAGTAGTTATATAAGCCGGTGGGCTAGGGTAAGGATATATTGTAGGTGCAGGGTGAGGGTTTCCGGGATACACCGTTGGTGCCGGAGTAAGATGTCCAGGAACTAATGTTGGGCCAGGATTTGGATGGGGTTGTTGGGGACAAGTAGTGACTGTTGAATAAATGGTCGAATAGATAGTTGTGGGCTGGTACTGGTAGACTGTAGTAGATGGCTCGCAAGAAGATGTATTGTAGGTTGCTGCTACCGCAGAACACAGCAGAGAGATTGAGGAAGCTGTTGAGAACCTCATTGTTTTGAAACGATCAGTATTCTGCGTTGAAAGCACAGAGTTGGCAATATTTAGCTTATTGAAGCTTGAAAAGGGAGTATTTAATGATGAGCGATTGTCGTAAGGGAATATTGAGGCAAAGATAGTGATTGGAAGTTGGATATGACAATGAATTACAGATAGCCACATGCATTATATACTTCAACCTCAACCGGGCTGAGAACGAAATCACTTCAACCAAAAAGCCAAATCCGAGCTACAGCCCAAGAATCAAACAAGGCAACCTCATGCCCATCAATCAGAACCTGGATCGCCATCATGTAGAGACTGCAAAGACTCATCATCCGCCACGCATACGATGCGCGAGTGGACGAGACGCGCTGAGTTTCTCCAAGTGGCTGACAGACGTTGAGCTTGCCAATAACTGCGGTATTAATGGCTTGATAATAGCTATTGAAGTAGGGTATAGGGCTGAGATTGAAGTTAAAGTCGTCCAGCTGTGGCTGTGGGCTGTGTCGCTAAGCGAGAATTTCAGTATCGTGAGTGGTAGGTCCACGAGGTTTTATTTTAGACATCAGTCTGCAGGTTTTCGGATAAAGGCAGTCTACCAGCCTCATAAGCCACGAGAACTGCTCCGATGACCGTTTCTGTAATGGTAGTGTTTTCTGGGAATTGCCCGGCGAAGAGGTAATGGTGAGAGAGCTGATATTGTAGGATATGTTCTTCATGGCATCTTTTACACTATGAATGAAAAGTAGAGGAAGTTACTCATGCAGAGAGAACGTATAAAACTGCTTCAAAGGCCATAGACCACTCTTTGGACAATACGATATAGAGAGCCCAAATCGGATATCTTTCTCAACCACGTCAATCTGATAGACCAAGAAGCACCTTTGCCTCTAAGGACAAATTTTCGAAAAGCTACGTAAGTGTATGTCTTATATTAAAGAGTGAACCATCTTCGGACCGTCTATTCGCTTAAAAACTGAAAGTTCATGTTGTATGGTGATGTCGGAATGGGTGTTTCGTATTCGCTTAACTCGATTGCAATCACATATAGCTAGGTTCAATCCAGGCAGGCAAGGCATAGGTCATGTACTGCCCATTGTGGAATACAATAGGACATTTAATTTACTGTTTGTGGTCTGGTAAAACCCGAGACGGGCTTTCTTGAACCTAGGGCGTCAAAGTCTTGGCGACCAGTTCAAGTACATCATTCAAACCCTTTATCAAGAGGCTCCATGGGAAGATATACACACCATACTCGATGAGTTATAACATATGCAGCTGTGCCCTAACGAAGCTTCAGTAGACGCTTGTTCTACCAGCCAGGTCATAAGCGGCCTCCGACTTTGAGAGTGACTGCAGCACAAACCTCAACGCCATTGAGGTGTCCATGCATGCAAATGTAGGCATTTTTTCAAGTACATATCAAACTCGCTCATCTGTGGAAGATGACACAACCCCGGTAGATTTTGATACCACGCCTGGTGACAGTTGAACAATTGCGTGACCAGATTCATACTTCAACATGCTTGCTCATTTGATGGCATATGTCTGTTGATAATGAATTTATCATATCTTTTTATAATGTGACATTCTCCCCACAACTTTTCTTAGGTATAGGTAAGGAAGTCACCTTCGAGATTGACCATACAAAGTGCTGTGACTATCAAGCAATCAAGAACATAAGTGATTTTGAACGTCGTCATGAAACTGAAAGTCATTCCAAGAGAGTTGTCCCTAAATAAGAATACCAATTGAAATTGACTTGCTATAATGTTTAGTAGAAGAAGGCTATACAACAATCACTTAAGCCACCATCATCGTTTCAAGTTTCAGAGTCACTCTAGTATCCCTACAACTATACACATTATGCGAGAAGTCCTCTGCTCAATGAATATGGCCATGCTGTCTTTGTGGCCCTTAGCCCTGATTGTAACTTTCTAGGTCTAAATTATGCACGAACTTTTTGTTTGTTTTGCTCTGATTTCGGAAATATTGATTCAAGTTGGTAGGTTCAAATGCCAATTATGGACCGGAAAAAGGTTCGATTTGAGGTGGACAGACACAGGAATCTTCGTCCCATCTCGCTTAACAGTTCAGTGATTGGTCCCCCTATTCCACTTCACATAATATGTATCTTGAAAATATACTAGAGCACCAAAATACTTCCTAACGTGGTAATTTCCCGGCATTTGATTGGAAATTACATAATTGCTGAACTAAACACTTCTCTCATCACTATAAGATACATTCTTGAACCCTCGTTTGAAACTTCTAGGATATGACTTCAAAATGTTAGAATCGTTTAAATCCTAAAATGAAGCAGATTTAACTTTTACTTATATCATGCGATACAGAGTCTGTCAAAGTCCAATACAACGAAAAGTCTTTTCACAAATTTCAGAATCTTGACCCTCGCACTGCACTACTCCTTATTCTCGCTTCACGATCCCCACAAAACCTCTGCCCCACCAACCCCGCAACATCAATCGCGACATCAACCAAGCAAAGCCCAAGACAGGACATCAAAGTCACGAGAATGTCATCGATGAGCTACTCCAACATCACTTAAGGATATGATGGAGTATATCGATGGAGAGGGGGAGTTGAATGGAGCAAGCACAACAGCGAATATGTCTTCCCCAACTGAGGACGGAAGCAGGGGAAAGCTACAGCTGCCGCTGAGTTGTGATCCCCCTGGGCCTGGAAATCCGGTGAAGCAGTTGGTTTGGATCGTAAGTATAACCTAAAGTCAGACGTCGTTATGAATATTATGATATTATGACGATTTTATCATATTGGCTTTTATTCTATACCACTAAGGTCATCAATGTTCTTTCCTAAAAATCGCAAAACTATCGAAGTTCATCTCACAAAACAAGCAGCTAATAACATCTAGATATTCGGCAGCACGGGCCACATGGGCCGCTCTCTAGTGCGATCCTGTCTCGCTCAAGGCGACCTCGTCGTCGCTGTCGGTCGTGTCTTCGAGAACACGCTGGCATCAATGCAAAACTGGCACGCAAACTGCCATGGCCTCCTTTGCGACGTACGAGCACGAGAATCCGTCCAAGAAGTTCTAGAAGGCGCGATCGCGCACTTCGGGCACGTAGATATCATCGTCAACTGTTCTGGATACGGTGTTATAGGCGCCTGTGAAGATCAAGATGATCACGAGGTGCGAAATCAGTTTGAGACAAATTTCATGGGGACGCTGCATATTATCCAATTGAGTTTACCCTACTTTAGGGAACAGGGTGCTGGGAGGTATCTGATCTTCAGTAGTACCAGTGGTGCTCTGGGTGTTCCTGGTCTAGGGCCGTATTGTGCCACTAAGTATGCGGTGGAGGGATTGATCGAGGCGATGCTTTATGAAATTGATTCCTTCAACATCAAGGCGACGCTTGTGGAGCCTGGATTAGTGAGGAGAGATGAACCGGATTGGGAGAAGAATCCTCTTCCAACATGGGGGCATTTTTTGATTAAACCCGCAAGCGAGCCATATTCGCAGGCAAATTCGCCAGCATTACATGCAAAGAGGATGGTTCAGTGGTTGGGCGACAAGCAGCCAACAAGTGCTGTGAAATGTGCCGAGCTGGTCTGGCAATTGGGCCACTGTTCATATCCTCCCTTGCGCTTGCTCTTAGGAAGTTATGCCATTGAGAGCATTCGTGATCGACTTCGGTCTATTATTGAAGAGTTAGAGGATTGGAAGCACCTACATTTCCCCGTGGCAGCAGATGCTCAGCTTGAGGACGACAAGGAGGATAATAGCGAAGAAACCGGGAGGAGAGATAGTTATAGTCAAGAAACAAAATTAGAATAAGATGAAAAAGGTGGTATCATTTGATAGAATGTTTAATCCCCTGGCTCCAAAGTGAAGCATATCCTATGCATCGGAGCCATCCTATGTCATTCATAACATTTCCGTGACGCCATCCAAAACTCCCTATTAAAATGCCGTCATATGCGCCTGTTGTTCTGCAACTCTACATTATCGTACTTCAGGCGCTGCTGCCGCCGCGCCTCCAACAGGAACATTGTGTAAGACCCCATCAGAATCGATGTTTTGTGTTGGTGCACCGTCAAATAGACGCCTCCACCACATGGGAGGGTCAAATGGTCGGGAGCCGTTGTGGAGTGGCGGATATACATCGCAAAAAAAGTACCACACGTGGCCGATGATGACTCCCATAATCTCGTCTTTAGGAATCACTCCATGTACGATCAAACTGAATCCCATCAAGACCCACGGAAGGTATGGCGCGGTGAAGACCAACAGGCCTAAGAAGCTCAATCTCGTCTCCGGATTCCTCCTGGACCATATGTAGACGAGCGTGGACGATAGAGGGTGTCCAAGAAACGGCATGGATACTAATGGTGACATACATATCAAACATGTAGTAGCGTAAAGTAGGAGCCAAGAGAAGTGGGCTGGCGATCGACCGGCTGATTCTTCGAGCAATCGCGAATATCGTTGGAGGAAAAAGACATGGAAAACGAGATCAAGGGACAGTGGTCCGAAGTAGAGGAAGGTAGTGAGCAATCGCCAGAACTATCATGTATGTTAGAGTTGGATTGCGAAGAATTTGGTGGTAGGCATGTTCCGTTTGCACTTACTTGGTGTTGGTGGAAGACTGCTCGGTAGCTATAAAACAACTTGAATGGCGTAACGATTTGACATTGTACGAGGGCGCTCGTAAGTACTGTAGCTGTAGTCCACCATCGTGTGCATAGAGGCATTTCCCAAAACCAGGTCTCCAGAGGAAACCCCGCTTGGCCGACGATACCGCCGTCGCCTCCTCCCATCATTTGATCCATGTTGGTCTGTTTGCGACTGTTGTAATTTGAGATAACGGATGGCGTCGTTTTAGTTAAATAAAGTGTTTCACAATGCGACGTCGAACTGGAGAGAAGTCCACGTTATGGATGGAAGTTGTTGGCCGCTTTTGGATACGTATTTAAGTGATTGAAGTGTCCTTTCTTGATCGGCGAACATTAGCAAGCAGCGTCGAATGCGCTTCCCAGAATAGACAAGCCGCGCCCCACCAAACCCCATATGTGCGCCACACCTTGGGCGAGAAGCTTCACCAGCCACACCTCACCACACTCACCATGCCAACCAGCTGTCGCGTCAACAAATCCTCGAATCGTTGCGCATAGCTATGACTGCGTATGCGTTGAATATATTTACAATCCGAGTCAGAATCTGTTACACCAGAGTTTATCTGATAGCGAAAAGTGTCTTTAAAGCGTGTGGTGTAACCGACTACTTACTACACTTGTCCCATTCCTCAACTAGCTACGGGTTTGATCCAGTGCACGTCTCTTTCGCGACCTTGACGCGAACTAAATTCGTGCCCCCCAGCTATCAACACAATATCTCACAACCCAAGCGCATGGCCCCTCGATTGTCGCCGGTATATATCCTATCGTATTCAAGCTATAGCAAGCCAATTGGCCCTTAAAAATGCCTCCAAAAGCAGCGGCATCAGGGAGTGGGAGGAGGACGAGTGGAAAGGGTATTGCGAAGAAGTCGAACGCAGGTCGGAGGAGTAGTGGAATAGAGCGTGAGCATACCAGGCAATATGATAAAAGATGATTGTACTGACGGGTTGTTTTCCATAGCTGGAGATCCAGCGCCAGGACGAAAAAAGCGCCGCTACAGGCCTGGTACCCTTGCGCTGAAGGAGATCAGAAGATACCAAAACTCTACAGATCTTCTCATGAGGAAGCTTCCGTTTTCACGCTTGGTAAGTAGCAAAAATATCCGCGCGCAAAAATGTAGCGCTGACCTGGAGTAGGTTCGAGAAATCGCCAATACTTTGACCCCATCAGGAGAAACAATGCGCTGGCAGTCGCAAGCTGTTATGGCTTTACAAGAAGCATCCGAAGCCTTCTTAGTACATTTATTCGAAGATGGCAACCTATGCGCTATTCACGCGAAACGAGTCACCATAATGCAGAAAGATATCCAGCTTGCGAGACGAATTCGGGGCGCTTGGGGCGGACTGGGCTAGTATTGTCAATGACATTGGATTGGTTGGATTGGTTGAATGTATTTGGTATGGGGGCGTTCATGGTGTTGCTATTCTGAATTTTCAGAGCTGATTAACGGCATACGGTTTGCACAAGCTATTGTACGGTGTGCCGAGAGGGAAGCTATTGCTGTATCAGCCGAAAGTGGCATTCTTGGGAAATGGTAGAATGAAGTGTTATGTATGTCTACGAGTTGTTTTGACGTTTTACGCGAGCCGTCGTATTTTTGAAAACCCGTATCTGCTGTAAGTGCTTCGAATGCTAGCTTTGTTATTCGATTTAAGCAAGGCAAGAAGTTCTTAATCCTTTGCCGGCCCTGAATTCCCTGGCAGGTTCTCGATTGAGACCTAGCTAACTTCAGCCTCGACTGTTATGCTTCACATTGCTCTATATGAAATCGATATCTTCGCCCGGTTGTCTCTGGTTCTTGGGAACTCTCCAGATTTAATTGTGAGCAAGAGAGACGCCCAAAATAGGTACTCAAATTGACAACAGTATGGGAAAATAGTATTTATTCGATGGTGTGCAGAAGACTTCAAGCAACGTTGTGATTATAGGGATATTGATAGAAAGAAGAACAACTCGGCTCGGAGAATTTGGGGTGCAGGTGCTTGGCGTTGGAGGACCTCCCACTTTCCACAGCTCACACGACAGTCCAGCTTTCCACCTTCACCTCGAATCTGCTTTTTTAGTCAGGTTATTGCGAAGTACGCTTTCTTTTTTCATTCGCCCAATTTCGGATGTCTCAAACATTCTTTCGCACCAAAGACAAAGGTCAAAAGACAGTCCCTGATCCTTCTCACGCCGCATGAAAGTTCCTGGGCAATGGCGTGCTCCAGTTACCATCTGTCCCGTCCTCAAGCCATTTCGAAGAGGCTCAAATCAGAAAGGGCAGCTGACCGCAAAACAAAGATCTGAGGTGAGGGGAAGCGTGAGAAAGAGCTAGGTGACGTACATTATTGGGGGATCATCCTGCATATTTGGCTGGAAAAAAAGGAGATGCCGAAAACGCCTTGAACGGCTGGTGTCGTGTATGTGCGGGAAATGGCTGGCATTATCAAATCTCTTTACGTCCCCCGAGTTGTCCAGATTGCTTCACGCTCGCCTGAAGGCTCCTGGATGCATTGTTGTTGTTTTGCTGTTGGTGTCTTTATTCGACAACGCGGGCTTTCTTGAGGAGCTGATGTCTCAGCAGAAATCGCTAGTCTGGTCCAAATACGTTCACGCAAAACTCTGCGCTGGCCGCTTTGTCGTTCTCACGATTTCTGAGCCAGTCGACTTGATTTGAAGTCAGGAGTCAGATAGGATGATACGGTGTAGAAAGGAGCATTTCTGACTGTGAAATTCTTACGAGATTGGCTGTCCAAGCTTTCCAGCTGACTCTGTGAAGGCCAGACCCCAAGAATGTGGGATGGATTTCTATTATATAAAAGGCACTCGCACGTTTTCTATGACACACGGCATAATTCCTTTTAAAAGAGAAACGGATTCTCGGCATTCAAATTTCTTCTCGTATTCTACATAAGCTTTCATCCTTGTCCTTGAGCTCGATAGACGTTTTATGTCTTTTTAGTTTTCATTTATCATCCACATCATCGCCTTATATTATCCGAGGCACGGGTACACCCATTCTCTGTAAAAAACATCCTTTCAAGTCATTGTAAGCAGAAGCAACTTTTCTTTATTTATTATATTAGTAACATCTTACAGTTTACCTGGACGAATATATACATCACATTGACGGTCTATCGTTTCTTACATCCACAAAAAACAATCTCTTGAGCAGTAAGCGCCATGCCGACTTTCACTACCTATCAAATTGGAAGCAGTACAGCACTTGTTCAACATAGCAACAGCACGTTCATCAAAAGTTCGATTGGCGGTCGAGGCAATTACCGTAAAAGTCCTGAGGTGATGGAAGGAATATCGTTTGATACCGGAAGTGGACCATCGGTCACATCATGTTGCTATCATACAACCGGAGCATCAACGGCTTTACCTAGTGGCGCGGACAAGATGAAGGAGAAACTTATGGGAATGTTCAAAGGAGGAAAATGAAAAACATTGCGATTTTGCAATAGTTCAATTCAGGGTTTGCGGTGGAGCCAATACGAGAGAATGTCTTTCTTGCTATTGGAATCGGCTTACACTTGTTATCGCAGCGAAATCTTCTGGGTTTCTGCTATGGGGTAACGGGTTATAAAAAGTTCTGTCGTTACTGGCATGAGGCGACTTGGGTGTGCTCATCTTCGAGTTGTCCAGCTGGCCCGTGTACAGAAGGGCTAATGTCAATCACGGCCTTCTTTCCTCGCGGGTTCGGCGTTTAAGGCGTATCCTACTATATGTATCTATTTGGACCGTTTATCTTGTTCGAATCAAACAAAAGATCTGCATTCAGCATTTGGAAGGTGTCATATGTCTCGGGAATAATTTCAAGAAGCATATTCTGTTCACTGAAATGCTGTCTCCTCAATCATTGCTTTTGGTCATTGTCTGCTTCTCTATTCATGTCTCAAATTATGAGGAATATCTAAGTGAGAAATTGGATCATTCATTCAACATTACAATGGCTGGTGTATCATATGGTTGTGACAGGAATCCATGTATCAAAGAAGTCGTTGACACGATGTTTCACCAACATCCAGACTACACCTTCATGGATCAAAGATGACTTCAACCCCAACAAAATGGGCTTGAAGAGTTCAAGTCTTCCAAAGGGTCCTCATATCTCAAACAAAGTTGTAGTGGACAACAACAGAGTTTGGTTGTGAAATCAAGATTCAAGTTTCACTCTAAGCAGCATATAGTAAATGATACAAATGCTCTGAATGTAATCCATTCCCATAACAAGTCAATTGCTCGCAGTAGTCTCTGAATCAGACACACTGAAAGCCTTAGTTGAACACCGAACTCAACCCAAACTACCACCACTACAAGTTATAAAGTCCAACTCATTTACCTGGACAGAACCAGACGAAACATACAACCATGACCTCCAGCAACCAACATACGTTTCACATGGAGGACAACTCTAATCCCACAATACCCAAACCTCAAAACTCATCCGAGATCATGAAAATCTCGTACATTCTCAACCACGATACTGATAACAACACAAACACAATATCAACGATCAAGAGTCCAATAAGCGGAACCCAGCCCTTGACGGACTCAACACTCTAGGTCTGTGAACTGAATGAGCGGATGGAGCAGTTACATATGAGCTCTGAAGCAGAAGAGGACGTGGCTGGTGATGATAAAAATGCGGCACGAAATGTGGAAGAGGCCGCGGAGTCGAAAATGTGTTTCAAAAACTTCGTGGGATGATGGGATGGAAGGGAGGTTCGGGTTAATAGGGAGAACGTGGGCTGGGGATTCTGCATGGTGTAACATCTACGCAAGGGAGATAAATCTAGACAATAAAGTGGACAATCAAGTCATATTCAAACCTGGCATACTGCCAGGCATAGCATACTCATCACCCCTAGCCCTCCTTCTCCACCTAAGACCGTCATCTTCCACCCCTTCCACCTCCTGTCTCGCCCTAACCTCCGCCTCTACTTCTCTCCTCGCTTCCTCCCTAAGATCCCGTTCCATCTCCTTGCCCTTAGCCCTACTGATACTAGCAGGCTCGCTTGCACCCTCCGCATTCCGCGTATTCTTCTTCCGTGGCCAGAGACTCGGAAGCTCGATTTGTTGGAATCGAGGTTCCACACAACGTTCATCGAACCAGGTATGGAGACGAGCTTCGACCAGCGAGGCGATTTTAGGTACGTCTTGAAGACGAGAACGTGATCCTACTAAGGATCTTATTGAGAGATCTAGACGGTAGTCGTCCAGAAAGGAGAATGCTAGGGTTGTTGCATTCATCGGCGAGCCTGGAATGAACGATATGCTCAGCGTTCCGCTGAATCGAACTACACTTACAGCCAAAGCAACGGGCAAGACCGCAACCAAAGGCTTCGGGTAGTTCAACAGCAACTTCGTCTCCAATGCTAGAGTAATAAAATCACTCAAATCAACATCCATCCTCGCCTGTAACCTTCCTAAGTCCCTATTACCCGACCCTTCCTTTCCCAGCGTCAGCCCATCTTCATCTACGGGTATGACCCGGCAATTGCTGAAAATCGGAAAGTCTTCCCCAAGACTAATCTCTGTGACTTTTATCTCATCCAAGAAATCCGGACGGGATGTTCCATTGAGAGCTTTCGTCAAGCTCGTAAGTATAGCATCGTCATGTTGCGCATCGCTCCGAAATTGCGCGATAGTCTGGGCGATCAAAACGTTGAACCAATCCAGACTTTCCGGCTGGTGGGAATCCACATTGTAGTATGTCTTATTTAGAATTGTAGTCGTCGTGAGGGGTGGAGGATTTCGTAGAATCTGCGAGCGCTTTTTATTGAGTGCGTGGGAGGGATGGCGTTGCTGGGAGCGGAGAGAGAGTAGGGAACGTTTGTGGGCGAGAGTAAGAGACCGTCGTTCCGTCGCGCGGAGCGCAGCAGTTACGTCTGGGGATGGAGGATCGCCGAATATGAAGAATTTGATGAAGGCGCCGAGAATGAGTACGATGGAGAGTTGGCCGAGTAGGAGGCCTTGGGTGAAGGAGAGTCTGGGAAAGGAAGTCAGTGTGAGGAAATGCCCCGCGAAGGGAAAGACTTACGAAGATTCCACCCTTTGAATGGGCACTTCTGCAGTTGTCATTTCACATATAACTCCTATTACATCAATTACATCGTTTTTTCGTTCAAGATCTTTCCGGTCCACAAACAATAAGTAGCCGAACGGAGTCCAGCTCTGAGGACTAGACAAAGCGTGAACATAAAGTTTCGGGACCAAGTGAACGTCATCGGAACAAGGAGATATAATTTCCCGGTTTCTAGATCAGACGTCTACATGAAATTCATACACATGCCTTGGCTTAAGTCTCTATAGATTTTATGTTTGTAAAACAAACTAGTTGGCTCAGTGCATAGTGTTTCTCAAGCTCATCTCATCCATTTAATCCACTGCTTCCTTTCATGAATTTTGAATGCACAATATCTTTCAAGAATTACGTTTCTAGAATATTACAAGAATTTTTGTAAACACCCCAAGCAGGATCTCTTATGTCATCAAAATTGTCCAATTTCTAGAGTTCCATTATTCGTGGTTGTTGATATTCCTTACAATGCACGCCATGATTCAAAACTTGACGCCCCTCTGGTTCCTCAATGCATGCTTTTAAAGCCGCAACGGATATACGCCGGTATAGTTCGTATAGTACCTCATCCCGCCTTCTAGAGCTTCAACAAAGGAGAAAAAATTATAATACATAAGCAAAAAGTAATTCAACATGGACCTTGGAAAGGACTCTGGGCTCCTCTCGTCCATATTCTAGAGCGCAAATTCCCAACCAAAATAAATCCTATATCGGATAAACGCTGAGCCCAGAAAAAAGAATCGAAGATGGCTAACGTAACGGATGCAATTTTTCTATGAGCTTGAAGCATCTCGGTTGCTTTGTGAACTTGCGCTCATGACTGGTTGAGATGTAGGTAAAGCCATCTTGTTCATTTGACTCTGCCTCACTTTGGCCCAGGTGTAGACGATTCCACTAACGAATCCAATGATAATAGCCGAAACAGATCCGAATGTAACTGGGGCGGCGAAAAAGACGAGACCACTGACGGCAAGTGGGAGCTTGTTGAGCGCTCCAACCATGGAGTATGTCGTGGATGAGGTGACACGGATACACCAGGCAGAGCAGTAGGAGATGAAAATAGTAGCAAGACCAGAGTATATCATTCCGGAGATGAGGGTGTTTCGCGTCTCAAGAGGGAAATTCTTCTCAATGTTCTTTGACGACCAGTTTTCGAATATCAAAGAGCAGAGGAAAAGAACCGGGATAGTAAGGAGGTTGTTGTAGAACATGGCTAGGTGACGTTAGCTTCGAGTGACACATTTTTTGTAGCTGTGAAAACTTACTGTCCCAATCCTTGAAGTTCATTTTCTTAATCACCTTGCGCATAGAAAGCAAGTATGTGGCTGTGCAGAACACGTTCATACCCATCCACATGTAACCGGCATTCAAAGTAGAGAGCGCGTCAGCAGCGTCTACACTTTTGGCACCACCACCATAGAGCGCGTGCTGGATATCTGCCCAAGCAGCTACCACAGAACTAAGGACCATGAGACCAAAGGAGAAGAGCGCTGATGGTGTAACGCTTCCACCGAACCAGAGTACCTCCCCGTATGCAGTGACAATGATTGTCAAATTCTTGAAAATAGTGTAGACTGGGACCGAGAGAAATTGGAGGGCTTTGGTGCTCGTATAAATCATTCCAACGAGAAGGAGAGAAATTGGAAACCCTAAGGATGGTCAGCCGTGGCTCTGTAAATCAGTCCAGGACGGTAACTTGCATGTCTTCGCTTTCTTTGCGTCAAACGGTGCCAGAGTTGTGATCATTCCCACTTGTTTGCAAATCATAATAGCCATGATACAGACAAGAGACTACAGCTTGAATTAGTTCCTCGTCTTCCTACTCAAAGGGGCTTGTAAAGGGGGACCAACTTGAATTCCCAGGTAGAAGAAGTTCAAATTCCAGTTCGCCCCAGAAACACAGTATTTGTTTGTGACGGTCATGGAAATTGACGCTAGACAATATGCCAGAATGGAAAGCGGTGGGCTGTTCGCGATGTTTGACATTGCTGGCGGTCCATTTGAGTTGTGCCGGGACGGTGATTTTGCTAGGAAAGGGTCTCTTGACGAGGGCGATGACCTCCCATTATAGTCGGGCATCTTAATGTTGTAATCCTCATTCTTCTTGTCATCCATTTTTGCGTAGTGGTTCGAAAAAGGGTCCGGATGGGATTTTCGTTCGGGACGCGCAAGTGCTGAGTGTTGAGTCTGGTACAGACTGAAAGCCCCAAACAAGGTCGCGTGAAGCTGCCGACGGATAGGATTCAGGCTTCAGAGGAGGACGCTGACACAAAACGCGATCCAGAGTCGACTGCAGAAGCTGGGTGGGAAAGAGTGCGATGCTTGGTGTTGATGGGAAATATTTCGTGGCCTCTCTTCCCCCTTGAACTCCCGTCCCCAACTTTCTAGCGCCTCCCTGGCCTGTTTAGCGGGTCTAAAATTAGTGACAGGGGTTGAGATAACACGAGGCTTCGATACGAGCAGAGAAGCAATGGCCAAGACCAGAACATCAACGTCTCAAATATTATATTTTCAGACATACAAAGGAGGTAGGGCGTTTTGTGTATTGAGGGATCTAAAGGATTTACTAAATATGAAATTGTTGACACAAGCCAAATTTTGCATTTTCTTAGGTTGAAAACGGTTGCTAGCCGCCGCGTCAACTTAATCTGCCAAAGCTCTTTCGACGCGTCTTCCTCCCTTTATCAACCGCATACCCAACAGGAAAATGGCAAACATAGATTCCCACGTTGCCTCGGTTCTCGACAATGAGGCGAACACGCATTCAGACGATGAGGATGCCCTCATTGCATCACTTGAGGATACCCCAGCCCTTGACGGCTTCAGAGAGCAGAGGATACAACAATTACACGCAGAATTCCTACGTGCAAAGTCACAGAAGAGCCAAGGGTTTGGCAATTATACAGAAATAAAGGAAGAGAAAGCCTTGATGGATATTACAACCGAGGTCAAATATGCTGTTGTTCACTTTGCGAAAGAAGATTTTGCCAGATGTGGGGTCATGGACAGCCATTTGGAGGTGGGATATTTTCTTTGGTGAGGGGTTTGTCATTCTGCACTCTGCTAATTTGGAATAGAGTCTCGCTCCTAAGCACTTCGACACCAGATTCTTGAAAATGAATGTCGATAATGCGCCCTTTCTAGTCGTCAAGCTTAAAGTCCAGGTGCTTCCTTGTGTACTGGCCTTTGTTGACGGGGTTAGCGTGGACCGCATCGTTGGCTTCGAAGGTCTCTCATACACCCAAGATACCTTTACTACAAAAGACTTGGAAGGAAGACTGTTAAACTCGGGAGTAATACAGAGAGCGAAGGCAACTACAAACGCTGGTATCAAATTCGGAGTCAAGGCGCCTAAGAAAGAGGACAGTGATGATGATGAATGGGATTGAGTCCACAACGATTTTCTAGCAGCAATTGCATTCATATCGAGTACGCCCACGAATGCCATGGACCTTCTCTCATGCAATATGTACATTCAAGACATGCCATTCCTGGCTCTTCTGCGCCCGTTTAACCCAGCGGCTTCTTCAAACCCAGTACTGCTACCATCGCAGCGCAGCAGGCTCACCACATGAGATATCATCACTATCTGCGTGTTTCAAAGTCATCAATCGATTGGCACTACAATTTGCTCCCCGAGTCTGAGAGTATCGTGGTTTCAGCGCCGTCCTAAGACCACACGCGAATCCTGACAGACATGGAAAGGGACGCCACTTCCTCAGTGAAACCGTTTTGTCAACTATCTACTGTGAGCTAATCTACTATCCTACAAATAATGACAAGGAAGGAAGTTCATTAGTATGATCATTACATTTTATACCCACCTCAATCAAGACCAAATTTTCACACTGTTGCCCTACAAACTTTTCCATACATACTGGTTGACGTCGATTACGAGTAACATTAGGGTCGCTGGGACTCGAGGATAGTCTATCGTCTTAGGCTGCCGCTGACACTTCTAATGCCCTCAATGACCATGATCCCGCTTCCCCTCGCGCTACCGATCATGCTGCCCATCCAGCTCGCCCTAAAGCCAGAACTTGACCGTTCCGAAACACGCGGTTGAGCTTCATCTTTCGCGACCGACGTCCCAGGCGCCTCATTAGGAGCAAGATCCACAGATCCGACATCTTGGCTAGGATGATGAGTGTGATGACCCATTCCGCGGCCATCGCTAAATCCGGCAAGACGATTGACATCCCACGCTCTTCCGCCGTGTCCACCAAGTTCCAAGTCATCCATGGCTACCTGCACCGCCCCTCCATCAGTCATATCGCTGGCTCTGTTTCTTCCCAAACGATGAGCACTCCTTTGGCTCTTCTTGCGGAGAACATAAGAATCTCTACTATCCACCTCTTCAACTTCGGCATCGTAATCCCAATCTCGCCAAAAGTCTTTCTTACCTCGACATAATCGCTTAGGCCACCCAGGCAAGAATCCGCCTCGAACTTTCCAGGTCCAAGGATCTTTCAGATCAATCTCTGGCGGAATGATCCTACCTGAGGAGACTACTGCAATAATCCAGGCACCAGTGTTTAGAATGATATAAGTCACAATACCAGTGATAAGTCCGTATGCGATGGAGTATGTAAAGGGCATAACAGTCATGGTAAGAAAAGCAGGAACAGAGTCGCCGATGTAGCGCCAGTTGATATCAGTAATAGCGCGAGCCATCATGGCACCAACAAGAATCAAGGCACAACCCGTAGCCCAGGAGGGAATGCTCGCGAAGACCGGCGCGAAAAACAGTGACAAGAAGAAGCAGATACCAGTGACGCATGCTGTAATTCCTGTTGCTCCTCCTTCTGATATACCCGCTCCAGATTCGACGAAAACGGTCACCGGTGGCGAGCCAAAAAGAGAACCGATTGTTATACCCATGGCATCAACGAGGTAAGCGACTGACGAGCCCTCGAAGTCTTGCGTGTCTTCGTCTATGGCACCGCAGAAGCGAGCCATGGAATATAACGTCGCAGTTACATCCAGAATATCCACATAGAGGAAAGTCACAAGAGCGACGAAGAACTGCGTTGTATTCTTCCCACCAATGTCCCAGTCTTGTGCTACTAGGACTTTCTCGATTGGATGGAATGTGACGATCTTCTTGAAAAACGCGAAGTTATAGTCGCCAATCTCAGTATTCGGGAAGTGCGTGACAGGTGTATTGCGCGGCCAGGATATGATAGACACAACTAGAATCCCGGCAATGATGGCACCTTTTATGCGATACATCATGAGGAAAGCTGTAAATATACCTCCGCCGAATATGCCAAGCCACATGGTTGGATTTCTCATCTTTCCATGTTGACAAGATTGATCCGATCCTCCACGCGCAGAAGGAACACATCCGCCGAGCTTTAGGGGGTCATCGCTTCCACCGGTGATTGCTCCGATACCAGCGTCATATGTCAAGCCTATAAGAGCGAGATATAGTCCAATTCCGACACCGCTAGCGATTTTGAGACTCTGGGGGATTACTCTTGCCAACCATTGCCGCAATCCGAAAATCGAGAGGAGGACGAAGATCAACCCTTCGACAAAGATGGCTGTCAAAGCCAAGCGATACGACACCGTACCGCTACCATGGAAACCGACGACTTGATATGTGAAATATGCATTCAACCCCATGCCAGGCGCCAAAGCTAATGGCATGTTGGCGAAAAAGCCCATGCTAAAACTTGAAAGAGCTGCAATTGCCGCTGTTCCCGTTATCAAATCTCTGTTGACTTCTTGAACGCATTTTTCGTAAGGGATATATGCAGGATTTTTCTTGTTCATACAAAAAGGATCCGATGGCAGAAACCCATTAGATACACATATACAGGTACCGCCGCTATCTAAAGCATACATGTTAGTGCTATATGTCTATGTGGTAGGGCAGGGCCATTTACCAGCTGTAATTTGAGCATTGACTGAGATGATATAAGCCATTGCAAAGAATGTTGCCAATCCAGCTCTGACCTCTGTCAGAAATCTCGTTCCTTTCCTTTCCCTCCTATGCCCCGAGAACTCGAGTCTAAAACGCCTTCCAACCGCGCTCTGGGCCACGGCCATATTCGTCCGCTCGACCTGAACTTTGTTAGCCGCTATCCATACAACATTCTTAGAAACTATACCCAGCCCATGGTGCCGATCGTTATGTGTTGACGAAGCGAGTCCAAACAATAGTTGACAACAAATTACGGTCCGAAGTGAGGTGTATGTTATGGTCTGCCGAAAGTCTACTTCATCAAACCTCTTCAAAGGCGAACGATACTCCAGATAACGCCTTGCTTCAGAACTAAATCATAAGTCGAGCCTGAATCACCTTTTGCTAACCCTGCGTACCGAGGCGCACGTGGCAATACTACTCTCAGTAAACTAGAAAGTATCACAAATGGCGGACAGTCGATTTGTTGGCAACGGTTCAGTAAAACAGAGCAACCGGTATCCGATGATGATGTTAAGAGAAGGTGTTCTAGGAAGAGAAAGATTGCGTATAAGAGAGGACGTCGTGGAAGCAATCTGGAAGTGGATGAGAGAAGGAGATGGACCATCATCCAGGTCGGCGGGCGCAGGAAACGGACAAGCCTAAGCGTAACAGGAACTTCAATAGGGCCAAGCGACCTGGATTGAGATCATGATGCACAAGTCCTGGTCGGATTAGCAACGAGCGCAGATAGTAGACGGCATGGCAATGCATGGCGTGTGCCTGTCAAGCTTCTGGGGGTGTGTGGGTCCAGTCGAGCAACTGCATTTCATTGCCGTATTTGATGTGACACTGATAGCACAAAGCCAGCGCGGGAGAGGGATTTCCACATGGTTTAGAAAAAGTTGGGATCTCCGAGCCGACGAGAAATTCAAAGTCCTATTCTAAAACTCATTAGAGATATCAGGTTTGATGAGAAAATAGCAAACACTTCATGGGAAGCGAATACATCACCAGCCGAGCGACATCTCACAACAATGATCGTCAGAGCTTGTAAACACATTGTATTGCTTTGTGTCTATTGCCTTGTGCTTCCTTAGCACGGTGAGTACAGTAAATACCCACAAAACGCAATCTGGGTCTTAAATTCTGGCCATCTGATAGCCACAGGCCTATGACAGTGTACCTTCCGATACACTGCCCAATTCGCATAATTTTCCATATCGGAGGTTGCTACCAAAGCAGCGGTTTCACAAAGCCCTTGTCGTGTGATACATGAGGTGCGAATATTGCTGTACTGCGGCCGTCATTACTATCTCTTCAACCATTCAGATATCAATATGTGGTAGAGTGGCTGAGATGAAGGCGGCGGTCTCCGGTCACGACTTGCCCTCTCTGCGGCAGGGGCGTCAATAACGATCGCGCTGACGACGGTCTGTATGATAAGTACTCTCCAAAGCAGGGAAAGATCGCTGTACCCGGCGTCCGCCGCGTCAACTTAAAGTGGTTGTTTGAGCACTGAATCTACAAAAAAAAAGAAAAAGATAGAACGTCGGGTCGTGAGCTCGCTTCATCGAGCACCAAAGCCCCACAAAAGCGTTCCCCCCCTATTACCCACTTCGTAGGTGCTTCTCAAGAACAAGGGCCTAAACATTTTGATCTCTAAATCAAGATTCATGAAACTAGCCCGTCTCTTATTATTCTAGTGTGAATTCGAATTTGAACACTGCAACCTGTGATTTGAAATTTTAGCTACTTCTAACATAGTCCCCAGTTTCATACTCATCTTACAATCAGAATTACCCTGTCCCAATCGCAGAATTCAAATTTATCGTTAGTCTTCTTCCCAAAATTGTCCCTCAAAGTAACTTCACAAAGTTTCTACTTTGATATGATTTATGTAGAAAACCATAAACATCATCAACAACATAAGGGTTCTATTCAGTGCTATTAATAGCTCACATTCAGAAACGTCAATATTCTTATAGCTAAAGTCTGGGTGACCTTTGCCCGTCTAGTAGAAACTTCCCCGTGAATGCGTTACCGGAAGCGTTGCTGCTGTCATGGTCAGGAAGTACCGTGGCTTACCTGAAAGCAATCATCGGATGTCATTCGATTGATACTGCTAGATCGATGAGACTGATTGGTTGTCCGGAACGTAGAGAAATCAAATATGGCAACGGAATGTCAATCTGAAGACATCTCGTAAACCAGGTTGATGTGGCGTTGTGGATTACACCGCACTTTACCTTGAAGTTCGAATGGGAATGCCTGTAAAGGATTAGCATTGGCTACGTGCATTGGTCTTACTTTTCAGATATCTTGACAGGATTTGTGTAATCTGAGAGAGCATGTCAAAATTTGCGCAGACCTTGTAATGCGAAGTCATCGATGGAATACTCCTGTTAGGACATTTCACTTGAGCAATACACCGGCAGTTGAGAGTCTAAGTTCGTGGTAGTATAGTCTGCTGAACAGAAAGATCACTGTTCGGTTTCTCAGCATTCGCCAATCGCTGCCTTCGTCGTTCTACACGAGAGCCAGCACTGCATAGTCTCCCATCGCTTGTTTTGTTGTTGTACCGGAAAGCGGAAGGCTGCATCGACTTTCAGCGCAGATGAGCTTGGCAGCAGCATTTGGGAGAGCTGCTACTTACGCGCAGGGTATAGAATAAATTTGCTGTGAAGGTGTGTTGATCCTTACATGCGCCAGTATTTTCTCCGCGGTGCATAGAGCTGAGCTTGCTTCAAGATGTTTGGGCTCTTCGATTCGAATTAACCGAAGTATGAATCCAGGACCATTTGTTTTCTCGAGGCTAATGAACTGGCAGACGGCGCAAGCTGTTGGGACCGTTACCGACTGATATAGCTCTAGGCGTAAAGGTGTTAATGTGTGTTGGCAGACAGTGCATCCAAAGCCGATGACTTATGAGCGAAGCTTTCCACCACAGGAACTACCAATACTAAGTACCACAACCGTATCTTGGCGCTAGGATCTCTGAGACATAGCGAACCAGTTTAGGTTATTCGACGAGCTGCTTGCAGAGCGCAGCTTCGTGGCATCAAAATTCCAACATGCTGTACTCCTTCAACTAGAGTATTGCTTCCAGCGGGATCGAGAAGATATGATCATTAGTACCGCCTCCACCAAAGCACCCGCTAATGGTGCCCTTTGCGAGGGTTGTTGTAGCCGGTCATATCTCATCCCGTATTTGAAGACAAATTGTCTACTCCGAACAACAACGCATGATACCCCGAAAGCGTCGACGACTGCATCCGCATATATACCAAAGTCCATAATACAGCTACAAGCTTTCACGTCTGCGCCTCCTACTCGACTAGGTGAAGCTGTCGCCAGAAGATGTTCATAGCAGCGACGACTCCGGAAACTGAGACATATTGATATTACACAAAAAGGCAGGGAGCCTTCCGCATGCAAAGGGACGGACTTACTTTTGAACAAAGCGTGCATCCGTGTAGCCGGCGAGATTGACGAAAACAGCTGTCGATTCCCACCGGCACTGCAGTCAGAGCTAAAAGATGCCTTGCCACGTAAACGTGCAAAATTCAGACCTTCCAAGGCGAGTTGCGGCATCAGATTCTTGAATATGACAGAATGACAATGCGGGGTAAGAATGTTGTCTACTGCACGGAGCCTCTCATTTCCTCCCATTTGATATGCTGTGGTGAGCTATTCTGGATGAAAGAACAGGCACAAATTACTTGTTGATGAAGACAGGCAAGGTGTGAATGATTCCGTACGCCTTCCAGAATCCAATCAACCACCCATTGTGATTCATCTGCTCGATGATATACCCCTCATTATGTCAACCACCTATCAGCGTCTCTCTCGTCAGCTCTCGGGAGGAATCAAGCGTCGTCTCGTTGTTTCAGGTAGTCTCCTCCTTCATCTTCACTTCCAGGCCCATGTGTGAACTACCGAAATAATCTGTCAAGCAGAAGTTTGCAGCACAAATCCGTCAACAAAAGATAACTCCTTTGCGGAAGAGAGACATACCTTAAGAACATGTCGTCGCCCAACCCAGTATATTCGGTCCCTATAATCTGGACATGCCGCAACCACTTTTCCGAATCAGGTGAAGTTTTGCCCGTATGCAACCTTTCCCTTCAAACCTACATTCATGGTGCCCGGGCGAGAGTTTCATTACTAGCCATGGCTTCCGTCTCTGCGGCCAACGACTTAAACATATGCTAACTTGTTTCAGAACAACCTCTCATTCCCTTCCAACTGGCGTCCAATTCCCAGATGCCACAAATGTAGAAAGTGTATGACACCGCTTGTTGTAGAGAGGATTGATCTCTTGGTATGCTGGGAGTGCAAATGCCAGATTAGGAAGGAAGAAGGGGAAGGGAAGAGTTGTGAGAGGTGCGGAGGAGACTTGACATTGGCAACCAAGGACCGAGAAGAGTTTTTGGAGCTGTGTGAGGATGCAGTTAATGAGGCGGAGACCGAGAGAGAGCTATAAGGCCGGTTTTCCCGAAGAGAGTGGGTTGTGTTGAAAGGGTTGAACCATCAGTATTCAGCTTCTCCAAATTTGCTCGTCACACTTTCACCGTCCGGTGACCCAGGAATTCATTTTACTGAGACCAGTCAGTCTAGTTCGAGCTTACATTTCCCGGCCTAATAGTGCAGGCGAGTGAAGACTGCTCAAATGCGCCGTATAAAAGTTGGTATGAAGCCTTGCTGAGCCTGGAATTAGTTTATATCCAAAAATCCAAAAATTCGTTATCCGTCTTGAACTCGTGAATGCAGCTGAAGAGCACTTAAGTGAAACTAGGGAGAGCTGGTCACTTATTTGCATGAAGTACGAAAGGTACAGACAGCTTTCCATCGAATTGTATAGCTCCTCGCTTAACGTGATCCTCCTATAACGCTTATTCTCGTCGCTTTCAGCATGTTAAGTGGCCGCTGCAAAGGCGGGGATGTGTGCACAAAAGTTTCTGGCCAAACCATTAGTTGCGGTCGTCGTATTTCTGATATTAACGATCGCCCAAACTGAAAGTGTCACGATGTTTTGACGCCATTCTATCAGGGAAATGAGCACCTCCTTCTTGGGGGTCTTTCGCTTGCTCTTCGAAAAAGATTCTTCAGTAAACCGATACTAGTCAACGCGAGACATAGTAATAAAAGAGATGTGTTGATAGCAATTCTAAGTTTCCAGTTTTTGGACGAAGAGAAGTTATGAAGCGTCTACTTTAAGCGGGAATATGTCGGTTAAACCCAAGCAGCTTGAATGACGCTAGCGCTTGGAAATATCCAGCCCAGCCTTGCGCGGCGTTCGAGATCCATCTTGAATCTCTATACTTTTTTCAATCCAAACCCTCACCATGTCTGACAACGAAACGCCGCCTCAAAATGTCGAAGCTACCAGTACTGAGGTCGCCCTTACTGGCGGAGAGGTCGCACCACCCGCAGAGCGAAAGATGAAGAAGATAATACGCAAGAAGAAGCGTCCGGCGCGACCACAAATCGACCCATCGATGATGAAATCTGAGCCTCCACCACAGACTGGTACAATCTTTAACATCTGGTACAACAAATGGTCGGGGGGCGATCGAGAAGACAAATACCTATCCAAGACGGCGGCTGCCGGTCGTTGCAATGTCGCGTTGGATACAGGATACACGAAAGCGGATAAAGTTCCTGGGAGTTACTTTTGTCTGTTCTTTGCCAGAGGCATATGCCCAAAGGGCCAAGAGTGCGAATACTTGCATAGATTGCCTGGGATCCATGACCATTTCAATCCAAACATTGATGTTTTTGGTCGGGACAAGCATTCTGATTACAGAGATGACATGGGAGGTGTTGGAAGTTTCATGAGGCAGAATAGGACTATATATGTTGGTCGGATACATGTTACTGATGACATAGAGGAAGTCGTGGCTCGTCACTTTGCGGAATGGGGTCAGGTGGAAAGGAGTAAGTAGTGCTGGTATGCATATTCTGGGGACTTTAAGACTAACTGACCACAGCTCGCGTGCTCAACACTCGTGGTGTCGCTTTCATCACGTACTCGAACGAAGCAAATGCACAATTCGCGAAGGAAGCTATGGCCCATCAAGCTCTCGATCACAGCGAAGTGCTAAATGTTAGATGGGCAACAGCTGATCCCAACCCAATGGCACAAGCACGAGAAGTCCGAAGGATAGAAGAGCAGGCCGCAGAAGCTGTCCGAAGAGCGTTACCCGCGGAGTTTGTGGCGGAAATTGAAGGACGCGATCCGGAAGCACGAAAAAGAAAGAAGATTGAAGGCGGATTTGGACTGGCCGGATATGAAGCTCCGGATGACATCTATTTTGCGAGGGGCGCTAACGCTGTTAATCCAGTTGGCAGACGAGGGCTCGAGCTTGAGGAGGAGCAAAGATTGATGATCGAGGCAGATCAAGTTGAAAGAATGGAGGAGGAAGAAAACGGAATATTTTCGAGCAGTACTCTGGCGGCGTTACAAAATACACAAGGAGCAATTGCGACAAAACCCAAGCCAAAGGCAGTTGGAGGTCCCTTGGTCGCGTACGATAGCGATAGCGAATAGGTTAAAATAAATGGCAAAGTTCTAGGATTTCAGGCAACAGGCTTAGACATCTTCAACTCCGTTGGGTATGACCACACATTCCATTTCTGTTCATAGACTGACCAGAACACTTGAAGTACCATGATATCTTGATCACGTTCAATCGGGTATCAGCTGTTGAAGATTCTTGAGTATAGCATCTCATGTCTTCCGATCCAAAGGTCCATTACCGGTACGCTCTGGCCTGCGTCTTCAGTTTTCGTATTCCACTCTCGGTCAATCGCTCGTTTAATACCGTATTGAACCTCCTTGCTAGCCAACACTTTCTGCGCGTGATATGGCCCGAAGATACTCGCTCTAACAGCGGCAGAAAGCAGACCTTTGACATGGCTTAACATGAAAACGTACGCTGTTTGCTGCAAGCTTATTCCTAAGATGGACGCGATCGCGCCGAACAGAGGGCCCAGATGAGCCGATGCAGTAGGTAACTCATTAGAAGCAACGGAAGATGTCGCCCGTAGAAGGATGGCAAACTCCTTCAGCGTCGTTATTATTTCAGTCGGGACCCCTGAGGGGAGAGCAGTTGCAAAAGATCGATCCCATATTGACAACAATGCTCGTCCTTGCGCCACAGACGCCCTGCGACCAACTGTACACATTATAGCCGCGTCTAGATTATCATCGAGCTCTACCAGATCGGCCGGACTCCTGTACGCGGCGAGGACATATGGTAGAGTACTTGAGGCATAAGAGCTGAGAGAAAGGTCGAGAAACGCGGGAAATGAGGATTTTGGACGCGTGTGCGCAACATATGATTCGAGACCGCTGCTGAAAGCAAATGAGCCAAGAGGAAGAGCAGAATCTGAGAGCAGCAGTAGGAAGTGCTGAGGTGAAGCATTTAACGGCCCTGCAAACGATCAATACGCCAATCCGAGCCCATTGAAACTCCAATATCTACCATCACTTGCCGGTACTCTTGGTACATCTGCTGAAGACTTTTGGCTAATCGACGAGCCGTTCAGACGTGCTTTCGCACTTTGCAGTCGCTTCTCTAGATCGTTGATCTCGTCCTGGATGGCATGCGACTCCACAGAGTCCGAGGCGGTGTTCATGAGGATATCATGTTTGGTGAAGTCACCGCTGCGACCGATATAAGTTTGATGTGATGTCTTGCACCGACAGTGGGGTAGTGGAGTGGACGAGCAGACGAGCCCCAAATAGGCGCGCCACAGCCGACCGAGCTGCTTTTGTGGGGCCAAAGGGCTGAGTCGAGGCTTTTGGACTTTGAAACACCACCGATCAAGCATCGCAAGAGCCAACATCAGCGGCGCGAGCCTCATGTACGCAATCACATACTCGAACCACTCCAACTACTGAGGGTCTCCATGGACTCGACAAAGTCGTGCAACGCGCCTCGCCCCCAATCGAACTCTCGAGTCTTCAGGCCCAGAAGACAATGCCGTTTGGGGCTGAGAGCTCTGCCAGTCCATGGTTGCACAACTGCGGAGAATTGCGTTGGAAAGGATTGTGCTCGCCACTACGCTTATCGCCTCAACTCTTATTTGACATTGAATCCCTGGCCTGTCATTACATGCTCTCTGTCACACTGTGTTGGGATTTTGAATCTTCGATTAAGAGCCTGTCGTTGTGACGATCATCCTTCGTTTGTTGTTGGCATCAGGACTTCGTTGTCGTGGCAGGAAGTTCTGCGACAGTGTCTCCTCTGATATTGCACGTTCAATGCAAGGCATTGATTGCAGCCACGAGAGTTTTCTTGTGCAATGATCAGGTGCAGACTTCTCTGGATTGTTAAACTGGAGTATGCGTCCGGCTAGTTCTTGTCGCCAGGTAGGGTAGGCAACAGACAGGCGATTAATTTATGTCAACAGCAGGCTTCGACCCCGCATCCAATCGAATTCCTATTTTGACAACATCTTGTAACCAGAGCCCCAATGAAGTGCCTTCGTGCCTTGACCACTGTGCCGCGATCCTGCCGCTGGACGACTCCTTAGGGCTGGATTTTCTGCCCCGGATACCACTGCCACCAACACGACGTCAATGACCCGGCATTCTGAGTGGCTATCATTGATGAAACTCTTGGTGAGGCTATCCGTTCATTACGAACAGGGAAATATGGTTGCACTGCTAGGTCAATTTCGATCGACCTGGTGGCCATGAGTCAAACGTGTTGTATGCTATAATACATCCATCCCCGCCCCAATTGTGAGCTTTTCTTCTCCGCACATCTGGTCGACATATACCTCGAAACCGACTCCCAAATATTACATAAAACCAGCCTATTCTCAGTTACAAGTGCATCTTTTATCGATACGAGACATATCTTCATCATGATTGTCACCTTGGCTGCTCGCGCCTTTCAGGTATGATATACGCCGCCGACGTGACCAACTGTGCCTCGCTAAAATTTCATCAGGCTCTCTTCTCCATTGTAGTCCTCGGTCTCTCAATTGCCCTACTCAAAGGCTGGGGACCCTTCTATTCATCAGAAGAGTTTCACAAAAATGGTTCACCGCCTGCAATCCATGGATATGGTGCATTCTGTGGAGGTGCTGCTCTTTTGGTCTCCATAGTTGGAATCGTTTCATGCTTTTTCGAAGCACTTCAAGGCATTGTTGTACTCGCCCTCGACGGGATTGCTTGCTTGTTCGTCGTTGCGGGAGGCATTGTAAGCGCTCCATGCCTACTCACTTACTCCAGACATTTACTTACACATTCTCCGCGCAGGCATTTGCAGTCAAATCAGGAGTTGGAAGCTGCGATGTCAGCAACCTTGAATATTTTGCTAAACATCTGGACATTTTCCAGGCCAGCCCCAACAAGGACTATGGTCAGAATGAGGATAAGATTGTAAAAAAAGGATTGGAGGACATTTCAGCCCGTTGCAGAATGGTTCAAGCCGACACAGCATTTCTCTGGTTTACTTTTGCAACATTTCTTCTCACTGTCGGCCTTACATTCTTTGCTAGAACCGGAAAGCGAAGCGGGACCATTGTTTGAGTCTGCGCTTGAAAATGGAAGTCTTAACATGATTAATGTCAAATGAAGCAAGAATGACGGGTTGAATGGCCTTGAAATGAGATATAACTAGCTAAGAAGAACGAGGAGGAAAATTTGAAGCGAAGACGTCTTGTTTGGATTGTTAAATACCCTGAAGCTATATAGCAGCTTTAACTTCATTTGTTTATCTGAAGCACAACGTATAATGAAATCAATTTTGTTTGAATAAGAGTTCATCTCTACCAATATACAATGACTTTCTCATATTAACTCACACTAGGCTCATACAATGTAATAGATACGAGAACACTAGACTATGAAAAGTACTAAACTATCTCCAACCAACATTCTCACAAACACAATCCTCCCCTCATCAGAACACCTCACCATCCCTCTAGCCCAGATTTTCACGTCCATTCTCCTAAAACCAGAAATTCAATCATCACCACCCATCCGAGTGATCGTCACTCCTAGCGTCGTATCAACCATATGCACAACCCCATCACCTAGGCAGCCATGACTCAGATAGGCACAGCAGCCAAATGCGGCAGCTAGAACAGATAGAGCGAGTCGCGCACATAAGCAACGGGAGAATTATTGCAGCGAGGTTACACAGAGATATTTCAGGAGGAGATGGTAGCTGGTATGTGCTTTGTCATGGGCTAGGGATCGCAATAGGTATAGGTGGAGTTCAGTGAATCTGTGCTGTGTTAGAGGATATAAGATCGGATAGGGTTTAGATATAAAGTTATGGCAAAGAAAGACTTGCGAATGAGGTTTGAATTCTGTGTTGTAAAAATCTGATCTAAAGTTTGCCTTGGTTTGAATGGGCCAGTGCCTTTCAGGTCCGGGGGGGCTACAGATGTATCATTCTCAAACTTTTACGAGCAGCATGAGCTCTGTATCTCTTCGAGGGCCCAAGTTCAATTGATAGTTCTCACGATTTCTTGTTCTGTTTCAAGTCATTTGATCAAGACTGGGTTTCAAAAATGCCTGCAATTTCAAATACTAGATACAGTCACTTTTAGCCCGCCTATCTAGCGTTCGGATTTGTCGGGCGTAGTCTCTAATGAGTATATCCATTTCAATACTTTAACAACAGTATCATTTCTGACGACCTATCAATTTCTCCACCATGCACCTCTTCCCATTCCCATGGCAACTTTCAGCAAGAGCCTATAGATTTGTGGTCCTAAACTGTGAATAGTTAGAATAGCTTCTTTGCCACCACCATTCAACATTTACCTCTGCTAGGCGTATACTCAACTCAAAATGCTGTCATAACGGACCGCAGCGGGCTGGGGCGTGGTGCGGGTATTCCCACACCGCGGCCAACACCAGCAATGGACTGTTTTGGAACCTGCTGCGCGCTTGGGCGGGGTGGCAGACTTTGGACTGGCTGGACATTTGGAGTTGGTGCCTCGCTCACTGCGAGGGCATCAAACTGTCAATCTGAATATGAATTAGAATATGTCAAAACAAGAGATAGGATAATGTCAATACCGTCATAGTAGTCATCATCGTCGTCAACTTCCGCCAACTGCTCGAAATTGACTTTATATCGGAGAAGTCCACCGATACCACCAAAGCCCTTGACGAACTGGTTTCCTTCACTGGAACGATCCGACACAAATTCGAGATTGGTTCCAAAGTCCTTGTACTTCTCGGCAATCCACTCAAGGAAAGACTCCTGCGAAACAACCTCCATCTCCTGCCCAGTCTCTCTATCCATAAACTGATCACGGTTGGCTGCTTCAGATTGCTTGGTGGTGTGGAGAACAATGACGGTTCCGTTGGAATCCTTTAGGGTCCATCGGTTGATTTCGAGGTTTTCAAAGACGATAAGTATTTCTACAGCACCCAGTTCGAGAGCTTTCAAGGTATCTTCGATTCCATAACAGATTCGTCCAGAATCTTGACTGATCTCCTCAAAGTATTTGCCGATCAATTTTTTCTCCTGAATGAATTTGACATTGCTCAGAGTTTCTGCCGAAAGCTCAATGGCTTGGTTGAATCCGTTCTCACCTCCATACGAAACGTCGACTACCTTGATAACCTTTGTCTGCAGACGATTGTCAAACAAATCTGACTGGTTCAGATCATTTTTGAAATCAGCTGAACCGGCGAGAATAATCCCAGCGACATTGACTTTATCCGCTGTAATGAAATTCTGGACAGCCAATTCTGCAACCTTTCGAACATAGTTATGACGTTTCTCCTCACGAAGACGAGCGAAACGCAGGGCAGATTGTCCACCTCGGCCGTGCTTTTTCGGGAGATCGACGGAGAATTTGTGTACTACATCGCGAGTGTTTCCACTGAGGGTTCCGAACAACGCTCCATTACCATCCATGATAATGAAGCCAAATTTTTGATCCGACTCCAACAACTCTGCGAGAGCTTCGGTATGGAACTTATTGTCACATAGGTACAGAGAAGTGTTGATTGGCTTGAAGGGTTCGAAATCAATGTTGACCTTTCTCTCCTTGCCCTCCGAGGTCAAAATTTCACCGCAGTATACCACTAAGCCATTTGGTGGGACTTTGTTGTACAACTTGAGCCTCTGCTGGGTCGAGGTAATGGCGGACAACACGGATTGACGATTGACACGAGATTTGATATTGGAGGCGGTACCCTAGACAAAAATCAGCGAGCACGCTTGAAAACCTCAGAGCCACCACATACGTATTCTTCTGCCAACATCTTTGCTGCACGAGAAACCTGATCCTTTGGGGCTAGAGCAAAGCAGTTAGTACTAGAATAGACCACCCTGGGAGAGATACGTACGAATGATGAGGGAGATCATGGACGTTCCATTTCCCCTAGCTGCCTCGAGCCGCTTGATCAGCTTCTTCACCTTCCAGATTTCGATATTCTTCTCGGCCTCGTTGGCCTGGGCGTCACTCATGTTGGCGGTTGCGCACGCTTCAAAATGTCGGTATCTTGCTGTATCGATGAACGATACGAACTGAACTCTGAAGAGCGCAGCGACAAGTTATAACCTTTTTCTGTCGTATGTGTGACGTGGGACTGTGGGTTGAAGAACCGAATTGTAAAGTAGGGTAAAAGGGTGGAATGACGGCACGTGATGGCATGACTAAAATAGACCCAGGACCCCGCCAATGACCTGTTAATGACAGCTCTGACTCCCTATTTCGTCAAATTCAGTTACAAATATGCCATGAATGATTCATGACTGAGGCTGAGAAAGACTAGCAACTCAAAACCCACAATCGAGTTCTCCTGTGACTGTCTTGTTCGTGAATGATGGCCGACACCGAGTCACTATACATCCACACAAGACAACCTGGAACGAGACAGGTTTACAGCCTATAATTCGATAACAAGTTTCTCCACGAAACAGAAGCCAAAATAGTCATGTAAATCTCACCTTTTACTAGTCAAATGTTCGATTTGACGTAATAAAGCCAAGCGAAACAGTGCCTTATGAAGCTGAATTCCACTTCACTGCGACGGGTAGAACTACAAGTACCACCCGTACTTAAAGAGACTCCAAATTGCAATTGGTGAATGAGGGTTCCTGACGGTGGAAATAAACGAGTTTTCTCCGCTAATGCTGCTTGTGATATGGTCGCCAGCTGTTGAACTAGGATCGATAATAACTGTCCTCTCAGTTGCGGTGGCAGTATCTCCTGTTTATTACAACTGCAGTACCAAACACGACGGAAGTAGAACAGCTCTAAACCGAGCTTGGGAGCCCTGGCGTCACACCACTGGAAGATGCTGGAGCAGTGTAGCTTTGATTCTGAGATTCTGAATGAGACCTGTTAGCACACGCAATGTTGATATGAAGGATTTCCACATTTAGTAGATCCTCTTTGCTGCCGATACATGTACAGAATCAATTGATTGCATTGCTTTACGTATGTGAATTATACGCCTCATCCGACGATATCTAACTCCCCAACTCCGTAAAACATTAGAATACATGTGTGTTTCAATCTCCACCTGAACTCTGGTACTCATAAAGCTACATAACATCAGTAAAACACGGAATTTGCCCATATCTTGTCAAACTCACATCTCCCACTTCCTTTGCAAATTTCTTGTCCTTGCCTAGATTCCCTAGGCCATTCGGTAACTTCCAATTGTTTGTTTTGTACCACCATCTTCTAGCTCGGGCTCCAACACTCTCCCCACTTAGTTGTGCGGTTCGATTCCAATATTTCCAACCGTGAAGAGCAAGTGACCATACCATGCCTTGAACAAGTGGTAAAACAAGCTGTAAAACCCATCAGTATTCTGACGTGCTAACAATAGAAGAATGTAATGTACCTGATCTCTGATTGTAATGAAGGCAACACCCCAATTCGACTCCGCGCCCGCAATACTGCTTAGATAACTCTGCTCAAATCGCAAATCGGGTAGTGGACCAAAACTTTGCCGTCTAGGTAAAGGTTTTAACACGCTATACGGAACGTCCTCATCCTCATCTTCGTCGATGCCTTCTTCGTCATCGTAAGCATATGAGGAATCGGAAGATGGCTGTGATAGCTTTACGGGTTCTTTATGAGAAGCTGCCGTCGATGGATTTAGGTCGTGGTGCGGTGAAGGGTTTCGTTTGATGGAGGCAGATTGGATTGTTGAGCCAATCTCCATAGGAAGAGAGTCGGCCATCTTAGATGTAGATGCGATTGACAAATTTCGGGTCTCGTCAAGTAATTGTGGTCTGTCTGTCTAACTGGCAGAGCGGCAATAATGGAGTTGGGCCGAGGATTGGGAAGCTTGATCGCGACCGGGCCGGGGCCATGCGCCGAAGTAGACATGGAATTCGCCAGTGAGAATGATAAGGTGTTAATTGATGGCAGGATGGTAAATAAACAGTAATAGCCGTCGAGAATAAGTTTGCCGATAGTTTTAGAGGAATCTTATCTTTTCACATGCTATGATTTTAGTAACAAAATATTCGGACGGGTATATTTATATTTCGCAACCTCTAACTTGTAGAGTAACATCTAAAGATTCGACCCAAAAGCCAGCAAAAGCGATCATAATCGCTAACTTTCCTAAGCGCGAGTCTAGGTTATGGCAAACGTCTTTCACGGATTGCTGATACTAGCTCGTACAATATCTGCAACTCATTTTTCATATTTAACAGCACTTCTACCCGAGGAAAGTCTTACACGCTTCCCCGGTGAACACCAATTGCTGCCGGAAGTGGTTGCGGTTTTTCCGGGCTACCACGAAAAGCCAATGGAGACATTGGGGGAATCTGATCTGAAGTTGGTTCAGGAGATTTGGGCATATTGGTCATGTCGGTACTTCCATTTTCCAGCGCTCCTGTTGTTGCAGTGTTGTTTGCACCAGCAGATCCATAGTCATTAGAACTATGGACTGTACCGTGACTTGTTGATTCTGGAGGTCTAGAATTTAACTCTTTCTCCGGCGATAATCGTAGCTTTATGGCCGTCTTTCTTTCTGGCGTAGGCGTTTTAATCGGCAACTTAACCACCAAGCTTTTCTTTTCTCCATTATCTAGAGTTGTTTCCATCGGCTCCCCTTCATTGTCAGTTAAATCATCTTGCTCTCCACCTTCGCTTGCGAGTGAAACAGCTTCCTCTTCTTCCTCATCATCTCCGTAGTCTTGTTCGCTAGCATCTTCTTCATCATCGCTCGTCATCTCATCAACATTATTGTAACCCGCGATGTGGCGACCACCTTTAGGTGCGGAATTTTGAAGAGCCGCCGCTCTACGAGGTCGACCACCAGTATTGTCACTTGTGTCAGCTTCATCAATCGGGTCGCCGAAATCCCCAACAGTAACAGCATTGGCCATGTTAGCGCCGCTCAGCATGCTCTCGCCATAATGTCCTCCTTGACGAGCTTTTACTTGACGGCCGCTTTGGGTCACTGTAGGAGCTGGAAGACCTTCTGCTGGGGTGTGTGTACCCGTATTTCTCATTGAACGGCGACTTGTGGTAGCATCGGAATATACTTCTTCTTCTTCGTCAGAATAGGTGTACTTCATCCGCTTTCCACGAGTCCGTCCTTCGTACATGGAAAAGTTGGTTTCTGGCCGTTTGAACTGCTGCTTACGGATTTGTCGATATTCACGACGCTTGCGTTTCTGACTACGAGTTAGCAGACATAGCTGTCAATAAAGGCTGGGAAGACTTGCCTCTTCAGTAGCTTCGAATCGGGGGATCGCAGCATTAATTTTCGTACTCAGAACCCGTGCCTTTTGACCGCCGTCTTCAGTAGTGAGTCTCTCTGCCTGAAGATAACGTAGTCAGCCACTGTAGAGCAACGTCCTTGTTTTATGCTCATGGTAGCTAGAAGTAAAGCGAGTTACATACCAATTGCTTCAGCTCATCTATATCACCAGCCACACTCCACCACGTCCGCTTGATTCCCGTATGATTGCTCTCTCTGTAAACTCGAAAATGCGTGTCGTCGAGCCCTTCGATTAAAAAGTAACGTCGTCGATCGCCGTCAGAGCCCCATGGTTGAACGGAAAGTGGCTGGTTAAGGTCGTCCTCATGCCGATTCTGTTTGTACGATGCTTGTATAATGCCTTTGACAGATTCAGAAGACGACAGAGACCAAAGAATTAGTGTCCGAAGAAGAGTTAACTGTTGTTTGTTAGTATATGTCAGTCAACAACCGTCGGCCAAGGCGCAATAATATCAAGAATTAAAAGGGAAAGGCATCCACCAAATCGAGCAAACGCAATCTTCGCTATAAATATCATGTTTGATCGAGAAACAGCCAAGCATAGAGAAGACGCATGTGAAAAGATTGCCCATCAACTGTATATTGAAACATTCACTCACTCGCTCTGTTGGAAGCATCGAAGCAAATGTCCCCCCACCAGAAAGTGGATTCTTGCTTTCCCAATCCCTTGCCCATTGCGATTTATGTGTTGATATGGCCTCCTCTAATGCGCGATTGTAATGTCCTGCTCTGCGAAACCGGTTGAATCAGCATCAACAAATATAAAATTGTTCGCATCACCGAATGTTCTCACTTTACGTCTTGCTTGCGATTCAGCAGCAATCCTAACAACGCGCAAAGGAAATGCTCCGCTATTTCGCCAGGCACTGTGTCTATTATATCTCGTTCGAGTTCTTGTGGTCCGAAATTTGCGAGAGATTTTGGGAAAGCTTCAGTGAAGCGGGAACGGAACATGACGATAAACTGGGAGATCGCGTTAGCAAGCTACCAAGTACCAAAATACGCGTTTTTGTACGCGCATGTATTGACTGAGAGGAATAGAAATCTGAACACATACAGCAATATCTGGATTATCTGCAAGGACATATTCGTGAGGTGGTGAAGGATCTCGTTTTGGGCGTGGTGGTGAGGCCTCAATCTTGGGTGGTGGAGCTGGGCCAGGAGCTTTTTTGAAGAACTTGAGAATACCATCTTTTTTAGTCAATTGCAGGTCGCTCTCGTCGTCTGATGGGGCGGACGATAAATCTGAGGACAGCTCTGATGAGTCCGACATTTTGTGGGTGGTTGTGGTTGATGGCGGAGCGGAGGTTGTTAGAGAAACTGACAACGCTTGGAGGAGAGCAAGCAGGGCTGGCCAGCATTTACCGATTAGAGTGCGGCGATGAGGATAATTCATTGGTTTAGAAGCTAGTAATTCACCTTTGTCACGCACAATCACATTGAGCTGCAAGCAAAGCAGCAAACCGAGAATTGTAAGAAGTAAATTGGAGATTAGAAAGATTATCTCCTAATCGCATGCCCATGATCCACACATTGATGCTTTTCCCGCCGTGCATCGCAAACCACGCTCAGGCTCCACATTCTCCGACGCATTTGTACATCAAAACCTTCTCTGCTAGCAGAACACGAATGATTTTCAACTCGCTCGGTGATTCTGGGTCCTTCTCAATCCTCATCAGGCTCCCTACCCAGTTGCCAAAGGATCAGTGAGTGGATGGAGCGTCCTAGAGTCCATTACAGAAGCTGTCATAATCTCTGCGATGGTGTTGCGCTCATACATTTGGGGTCCGGTCCCTGCAAGCTGTTAGATTTTGTTGAAGGTGTGGGTGGTGGAACATGTTTGCTACATGTTTAATGTAGTTTGTTCGCTTACCATTTGGACCAGCATTCTTGGCCTATCCACGATATGCCTCTTTTGATATTTTTGAGGTTGTCTTCCAAAACTTGCCATACCACGATCGCAACGCACCCTTTCAATCAGCGTCGAAGAGCTGTAAAACACCACGAAAAGTACTCAAAACGTATTCACGGGAATGAGGTCCCGAAGGATAAGAGACACATACAAGAGTTAATGAAGTGATATAAAGAAAATGAGGCTTCAAAAGGCTCTCCCAATGCCCAGGTGCCAACACGACCGTACGTGTGGTCGGAGATATGTGAATATACCGAAAAAAATCCTGAAATCGCAGCAATCCAGAGCGCGAATTTCCAGAAGTTGCATCGTGTGGGCCACCGTAAACTCAAACAGCCCCTAGCATCGAGCACATCGCGCCTCTCTTTCGCCGTGGGAGAAAGTGTAGGAACAGGGCTCGACTCCAACTCCGCACCTGCGACTATGCACTGAGGTATCAGACCCCAAAATCGTAGGACATCGTCAACCACGGAGAGTAGCGGAAATCTTTCCCCAACCCCACCGAACAGAAAGGGCACATAGCGGGAATTCCAAATTACAGCACACACTTGTGAGTGTCTTCCGGAATTCTGCACCGCATGCGGCACCGTTGTCACAGAACAGGTCTCGCAGCCTCTTCATGTCTCCGTATGACCATAATTAGACAAATCCATATGAAAGAAATACTTCGTTCATCGCACTAAGCACAACACAAGCTCTACGCGATGGATGTAGACGCGTTTCCTGGAACACTGCGTAGCAAAACCACGGAGCAGTGAAATCTGACAGAAATGCATTAAACACCCACGCCACTGGACGCACCAGTGTGAGGTCGAGTATTGATGCTAGACCAATACTGAGGATAATAGGACAGCTTGAAAATAGATGATGCCTGCAAGGAAGTAGCTTAGAACCTCGTGCTCAAATGATGGGAAGGGACTCAACCAACCTCGCGGTAGACAAAATAGCGGGCAGTCAAAATACGGTATTTGCTCAGGACAACTGACGAAACATAGTATATTTCGTGTGCAGCTTTTAGAAAGAAGGCTTTTTGACTCTGTTACCTGTCCAAGTATAATATGAAAGAGTCGCCAGGAGGCCAGGGATAATTTCCACTTGGATTTGCCACCGCGAGACAGCCTTCGACTTCTAGTGGACTGTGTTGCAGCTGTTACAAGTCGCAGGTCCGGTTGCATCTCTAAAGATATGAAAGTTCTGCGAGGCTCGTTTGGAGCGTCGTCGAGATGAGCTTGGCGAGAATCACGCTAAGCTTTGCAAGTGGGTCGCAATCACGTGATAACAATGCCCTAAGCGACGCACAATTCTAATTCTCGACTGCGTAGGGAAATTTCGACGATACTAAATAATTACCATCAACACCTCTTGACCACAACAACGTCAAGGAAGGAAGATGGGTCGTGTTATTCGCAATCAGAGAAAGGGCCGCGGCTCGATCTTTACCGCCAACACCAGACTCAACAAAGCGCCTGCGCAATTCCGAACCCTCGATTATGCTGAGCGACACGGTTATGTTCGTGGTGTCGTAAAGGACATCATTCACGACCCTGGACGAGGAGCTCCTCTCGCAAAAGTCGTATTCCGCGATCCTTACAGATTCAAGCTTCACACCGAGACTTTCATCGCCAACGAGGGAATGTACACTGGTCAATTCATCTATGCTGGCAAGCATGCAGCCCTCACAGTTGGAAACGTCCTTCCACTCGGCTCCGTCCCAGAAGGAACTGTTATTTCGAACGTTGAGGAGAAGGCTGGTGACCGTGGAACTCTAGGCCGTACATCTGGTAACTACGTTACTGTTATCGGACACAACCCAGATGAGGGAAAGACTCGTGTCAAACTTCCATCTGGAGCCAAGAAGGTCATCAAGAGCAGTGCGCGTGGTATGATCGGTATTGTTGCAGGTGGTGGACGAACAGACAAGCCCCTCTTGAGTACGTAGAAACCCGAGACTAAAGCCATTAAGCCTCTCTTACTAACTATAATTCACAGAGGCATCCCGTGCTAAGCACAAGTTCGCTGTCAAGCGTAACTCATGGCCAAAGACTCGTGGTGTTGCTATGAACCCTGTCGACCATCCTCACGGAGTACGTACTCGTAAACTCGAACCTGCTGGCGAACAATCACTAACCATAACTAGGGTGGTAACCATCAACATATCGGTAAGGCGTCTACTATTTCAAGATACGCTGCACAGGGTCAAAAGGCGGGTCTTATTGCTGCACGGAGAACTGGTCTGTTACGTGGTACACAAAAGACCAAGGATTAGATGGCTGGTTGACGGAGTTTTTCTTTGGCTTGGGGAGTGCTGGCTTCGCATTTTATGTAACTCTCTACAAGAGCATAGCGAGGATGAAGGCAGGACTTTAAGCAATTGTCATGCGATTCCCCAACTTGTGAAAAATAATGGTCATGAGCACGTTATATACGTGTGTATACAACTTTACATTGAAAATTCTAGAATGTGAGTACAAAAGGATCCGAAGTGAATTGAACATAGTCTTTCAATACTTTTTGGCTGGCTTTATGCAAACGCAGCGAATAAATGAATTTTAGCGTTGCTTGCGAAATGTGATACAAGGCTTGCAATGGACAGTCCGACAATCTGACAGTGCAGGGACTGCAAAACCCCCCGCCAATTGACCCCGCCAACGACTCGATCCTTCGGGGTCAAAGACTCGATCCTTCATCATCAACAAACCAACAGCTCATTGCCTAACAACAAAATATAACTCAATCGCAATGGCCGCAAACAAAGAATTCGCTCTCCTCTGCTTGGAGAATCCTCTTCTTGGTAGGCATTCAATCTCTCATTCTGCTCTCAATAGGCCTTCAGGTGTTGTTATTGCTTCTTTTCATTGCCGTTAGATTTGATCCTTCCACAAATAACTTTAAGAACGATATACATCCACCCACAGCTGCTAAATATTTTCGCCAGACATTCAAGCTCAAGGAGACGAAAATCTGCTCAAGAAGTATGGTCTTAAGAGCAACGACGCCATCCTCGCCTCCCCAGAACACATCCCAATCTATGAAGATCTCCTGAACAACTATTCTGCAATCCTTATTGCTGGAGGCGGTGCCCAGAACACGGCTCGTGGAGCACAATACATGCTTCCACCAAACTCGGTTGTTTATCTCGGTGGTGTTGGTGACGACAAATACGCAGCCATCCTCCATGACGCCGTGAAAAAGGCCGGCTTACGTGTTGAATACAGAGTTGACCCGAAGGAGCCCACAGGACGATGTGGAGTTGTCATCACTGGCCATGACAGAAGTATGGTCACTGATCTCGCCGCAGCGAATCACTATGACTTGGACCATCTGAAGAGCCCGGAGGTATGGAAGCTGGTAGAGGGTGCAGAAGTTTACTTCGTTGGTGGCTATCATTTGACTGTCTGTCCACCAGCGGCCATGGCCCTCGCTGAAGAGGCTGCAAAGAACAACAAGACTTTCGTGTTCTCTTTGAGCGCACCTTTCATCCCTCAATTCTTCAAGGATCCATTAGATGCTACAGCACCTTATTGGGACTATGTCATTGGCAATGAAACTGAGGCCCTGAGCTATGCCGAAAGCCACGGACTGGGCACTAAGGATATCAAGGAGATTGCCAAAGCTTTGGCCGCGCTGCCAAAAGCAAATGGTAAACGTGACAGAGTAGCTATAATTACACAGGGCACCGAGCCCACCATTGTTGCTACTAAGGGGGAGATCAGTGAGTACAAGGTTCACGCCATCGACGCTAGCCAGATCAACGACACCACAGGCGCCGGAGATGCATTCGCCGCTGGTTTCACCGCTGGTCTTGTTGCTGGAAAATCCCTAGCACAATGTGTTGATCAAGGTCAATGGTTGGCTAAGCTTAGCATTCAGGAATTGGGTCCTTCGTAAGTCTTCAAATCTCTTTAACAGTTCAATACCCGACAAAATGGTAGACATTTGTTTGTCTATCTCTCTAAATACAAGCAACCTACAGTACCACTCCTCTCGTCCCGGAAATGGCCAACTAACAATCATTCTTGTAGTTTCCCGTTCCCAAAGCAGACCTACCAGCCATCCAACTAGCTGACCTAAATTTCTTTTGACCTCATCGAGATTTATAGACGGCGTTCGGAAAATGTTTCAACAACGGGAGCGTCTAAAAATCTCATGTTTATGGCGTATATGATGAGACGAACATAAAGGGATGGTCCTCCACGATCATGCGTATAATAGTCAGCGTTAGATTAGGCATAAAAGCACCTTTGCTGCTGAGAACTGAGAATTCAATGCCAGTGACAACCATTATCCATAGTATGACAGACATCTCAATCACCACAGATGTTGTGATTTGAAACTGAGAGAGTTGTATTTCAACTGGCAGAAGTACTGTTCTACGCATGAAGACCACAGTCGAGTCTATTAGCGAAACTTAGTCTGCTCAACCGCCCTGACCGCCAGGAGGAGTTTGATTATATGTATCCTTGCGGCGCTGGCTACCAATCGGCGATGGTTTATATTCCAACATGTCCATCTCCGTAGAGAATGTGCTTTTGTTGCCATTTGCAAGTGCCGCAGCGGTTCTCAGTCCCGCCCCCGTCGTGTAACGATTTTTGTTTGTAGGGCTGTTAACATCAATGCTGGTACTATTCCACGAGTCCGTCGTCATTGTTAAAAATGCATTTTGTCCGTGCTCCTCGTAGTTGTTGATTGGAGACGTAGAACTCAGGGAAACCAAGCGCGGCGATAGGGGTCCGTACACAGGACCTTGAGCCGCGTGATATGTGCCATCCATTTGCTGTTTCGGGGTCCCAAGACTGAAAGGGGAATACGTGGAGCTGAGAACATGATTTTGACGAATTGGACTAAACTTGAGCTCGTCTGGTTTAGGCGTCCAAGTCTCTGAACCTAGCCCTGGAAGATTGGGAAGAGCCTTTGGTATGCTTCGAACCCGAGTGTGATGCTGTCCGTTTGAAGATGTGCGGAGCATGATATCTGCAGTTGAAGAACCCATTCCATAGGTGGTGTCGGCGTCATCTAAAATATTATCCACCATGTAACTCATCTCGTGGTCAAGACTAGTATGAGATTCAAAAGCTGCTACGCTTTGAAGAGGAGCAGGAACACTAATGTCGGAGTCCTGATATGCTTTTGGGAGCGAAATGTCCTGGGTAGCCTGATCTTGAGGAAGTGATTGTGGGAAGGGTTGTGACGACTCGGAGACATGGGCGACTGGCAATGCTTCCTCAATGTAAATGAACGCTCCATCTCTTACAGTAACGGGAACATTGGGATACTGGTCCTGTGGTTGTAGCACGAGACCGCAAAGAACAATGTCTCGGATTCTAGACTGCATTTCCATTGCGGGCAGATGACGCTCGACGCCAGGATCCGTAACTCGGGATTTTATTCTATGACTGGCATGGTCAAAATAGGGATTGCAATCTTGCGGATACTGAGGATTCCAAAATGGTTTGAAGCCCTCAGTACTTTCATCCTCCTCCAAAAGATAGCCGACAGATTTGAGTTCCTGAGGGGGGAAAACGTTGATTATTTGTGTTAGGATGTCTGCGAAGCTCTTCCATAATTCCTTGATGTACGGATCTGCGTTTCGTCTGTCTTCGATAGGTGCAGTTATTACGGTGATTTGAGAGACGAGCCATACACAGTATTGCCGTAAGGCTGGAATTATCCTTCGCATCGCAGGCGTTACACGCTCATGATTCTGCGTCGAAGTCGACTCTTCGCTGGGAAGATGCTCGCCGCTGCTACTTTCTTTAAGTTCAGGTTCTAGAGCTTGTAAAAGCATGCACATGACCCTCACATTGAACCCCAGGCAGAAGAAAAAAGTGCGAACTGCCTGGATGCCCGCAGGATTTGAATTACCACCTAGAGCTTCGTAATGTTAGGTAATAAAAATGATACAGCGCGGTGCTTTACTCACCCTTGACTTGTTCTCCAGCGAAATACTCTGCAGCAATGTTGATAAGGACGAATTTCTCCAGGGTGTCTCCAAATTGTTGCTCCTTGAGTAATAAGGCCATTCTTGACAGAACCTCCTTTTCTAGCTCCTCACGAGTCGCGAAATCCGCTCCCTCGTAATACCTGGCGTGAAGCAGGACAAACCACCAAACCAGAGTCGTGAGACTATCAGACTTTAGCTGAGAACGCTGCTTTTCCCACCCTGCCGTAATTTTCTTGAATTCGATCTCGAGATTCCCTTTGGCAAGTGGATGTGGTTCATTGACAGCAACAGCTCTGTACAAATGGTAAACAGCATCAAGGTGATGTCCATCGGCTAGTGCGATTACCGCCATTTGGTTATGGGCGCTTCCATTGTTGGGATCAAGATCGTTGGCCAAACTGTAATAACCTAAGGCGGGCTCCCAGCTTCGATTCTTCGTTCGAAGATTGTTGCGGTAACGAGACAAATCTCCAAGTTTGAGCAGGGTGGCATGACAAGACATGTCAATAAGCTTCTCGACCTCTGGTGAAACTTTGACTCTTTCATCCACACATAAAGCCTCTAAAGATAGACGATGAGCAATTCTTCGTAGCTCTTTCATTCCCGAAAAATGAGACGCGAGCCGCTGGATATAGCCCTTGTAGAAAAATTGACTCCTCTTGATGAAATCGACATAGCGCTGTTCAACCTTACGTCTTTCTACCACATTCTTCTTCTTGTCCCCTTGTCTGTAGTGGTCAACAACCTTTCGGTAGCGTCCATTGATCTTAATGTGCGCATCCCATAAATGTCGTTCCACGCTTTCCTTTTGTGCAAATTCGAAATCGAGGAAGATCGTCCCCTCGCAGGTAAGGCGTAATCTAATACAATCAGCAATCGGATATTAGCACCGGCATATTGTTGCCATTACTTCTCGATCAAGGTTTCGACATCGTCGAATCTTGGGGCCTTATCCTTCAACAGGGAACTCAGATCTTTTTCTATTTTCAGAGCACAGCTAGAAACTGTCAGTCACAGTGCGTTGGATTACTGAGATGAACCAACCTCCATTTTTCCATGACCTGTGCAGACATTGCGGGATTACGACGAGGGAAAGACCGCACGGTCTGCTCGTATGTTAGATTTGCGCGTCAGGCTCCGCAAACCAAAGACGGTAGATGCGATCCAATTTCCATCTCCGCCGCCGCCTCCCCAGCAAGCAAATTCGTGGGTGGATTCTAATATTCGTAGCGACGGTGAATGTTGATTGAATGTATGATTCACGAGGCTCAAAAGTCATGAGTCGTTGGCACTCTGAAGCCCCAGCGTGTGGTGGGAACAATCGGTCTCGAAATCAGAACCTCACGGAAGAAGTTACAATTAAACCTGCATAGAAGCGAAACCCTCACATAAATTCGAACTTCTAAAATGTTTCGAAGTTGGAAATCCTCCCGCAGTCTGGACGCGGCAGAATGTGGCGATCTGCCCATTTTCGATTTCGTACCCCTGTCAGAGCTACTTACCCGATAGCACAGACCAAACAAGGCTGAGGGGACGCCTTTCTTTACCTACTCGTACTTCCTTTCCCTCCACAGGGCTTCTTCGAATAAATCAACAACGTGAAGATTTAACTTTTACCTCTTTCCCATTTATACCCAAAGTTCGTCCGGTGCTCGCCAGCACACACAGGTTTCAAATCTATTCTCTTATTACAAAGATTACAGGGAATACAAGAGATAACAAACGAGAGATATCAGAGTAATAAATTCCCCCGCATCGTCGTTTTCTTCAAAATGGCAAAACGGTCTTATGATGATTTTGAACCTCAATCAGACGCAGATAATATTGCCAGCACCGAGCCTCTCCCCGTCGCGCATTTCACGTCCTCCACGCCATCCTCGTCGAAAATTCTCCATCTCGATTCCGAATCTCCCTCCAGTAGCGGTGAAGCTCCAACAATTGAGATGAAATGCTCCCTCGCTCCACACAAAGAAATTCTTTCATTTCCGTCGATCGAGGCGTTTGAGATTCATTACAAAAAGGCTCACCTCAATCGATGTCTTGAGTGCAGGAGAAACTTTCCCACAGAGCACTTTCTGGATCTTCATATTCAGGAAAATCATGACGCTATTGTTGGTGTAAGAAAGGAGAGGGGCGAGAAGACGGTGGGTTTAAGTATGTCTCTTTCTTATCCAGCGAACTGATGATGTTAAGTTCGCATGTTTCGTTGAGGATTGTGATCGAATGTGTTCCAATTGGGAGAAAAGAAGAATGCATCTCATCGATAAGCATGCCTTTCCGAAGGAGTACGACTTTGCCATTGTGAACAAAGGAGTTGACAACCGGAGTTCCATGCTCATATCTGGGAGACATCGTCGCAGAAGTTCGGCTGCACAATACAAGATCGAAGCAGACAAAAAGCACAGCTCAGCTTTAGAGACAATCACGAGTATCGCTCCAGACGAGGAGATGAATGGAGTGACAACAAAGACCGAGAACCAACAATCGCCTGCAAAGAATAATGACTCGGAAGTCGACAAGCTGGCCAGCGCCATGTCTTCACTACAATTTGTCCCTCCGAGTATCAGGTTTGGTAGAGGTCGAGGTCGGTCCAGGGGAGGATTTAGTAAGACGTGACTAGGAGCCGGATTATGAATTATGAATCAAATGAGCACTTACGAAGAAGACATCAATAGAATGAACGACATATATGTCGATTTTAGCAAATAATTCATTGGGTATCTGTCTCCAAGCCTGTCTATCCGAATACTCCCAACTCCCTAAATCAAATTTCATATACAATTCTTGCTTGCGATCTGGGCTCTAAAAAATCCCCATTCGAGCACCCCAGCTGTCTCCCTTTGGATTTATGACGATCTGATATGGAAAAGGGTTCGCCTCGCTCGTCGTAATCGGTGGGATGTGATCCTTCTCCCGGTTTACAGTCGTGACTATCTTCATAGCGGCTTTAAGAAGCATGGCTTCCATAGCGTTCCGTACCTTGGCTCGTTCTACCCTCAAACATTAGCCATCCGTAGTTCTATAACTGCACCATACCTACCACTCTCTGTCCTCGGGGTTGCCAGAGTGACATCTAATGTCCACTGCTCCCAACACACTTCCTCCTCGGCTTTGTGATACCAAGCTTTCCTCCTCTTCAGGTTCTTCTCGAAGAACTGCACTGCCATCAGACCTCTAACCCCCGTGTTCCTAGCGCCCGTATCCGAACTTGTGCCCAGCTGTCTCACCAACGCCGCCGTTCGTTGAACGATGAGTGTTTCCAACTCCACGTCGTCCACCAATGGTAGTGTCAAATCAAGAACTTCTCTCGTCTTCGGTCTAATAGTGGGAAAGAATCTATGAAAGAATATGGTATTCAAGATGCCTAAAAATCCCCGATGTCAATCAGCGCACGAAACTTGAGGATTCGGGTTTTCCGCGCAATGCATACCTGAGACCACATCGTTGACGGAATCTGGGTCAGCAAACACTTCTATAATGAACTCTGGCGGCCGGCGCTGTTCCATTGCCAATAAGCTGTCCAGCATTTGTTTTATAGCAAATGTATAATAGGTATTCGTGCGTGTAGATGCCGGAAAGAGATAGAGGGTTATGGCTGGTCCTTCAAAGAGTTGAGTTTCGAGTTTGAGAATGGAGGGGTAGAGTATGTGGCTTGTGATGCTATGTGGCTTATCTTGAATCACCCCCGGGCCCGGCCCCGGCCCCGAATGGCACCCTTGCTACTTTAGTATACTGTAATACTTCACTTAGGTTGTTATTTTTACCATTCGTGAAAACACATTTATGTATTCGCAGGAAAGTTTCAGAAAGCTACCTTCATAGATTAAAGTTTAGACTGTAAATGTTGTCTCTTTATTAAAAACCCACGTTATCGTAAGCAGCTTTCCGTCCGAAAAGGTTCCCCAAAACTAGGGAGCTCGGGCCGGCTATCTCGTGCCTCTGTCGACCTCGGCCACCAAGGCGCGTATCATCCTTGAATTGCCAGCCTCCTCTTTCATGATCTAATCCTCGCCTTGCCCAAATCCCCACGCAAACAGATTAATTGTGCGGCATGTTATAAAGATCTCAATTTCACCGAAGCCATGTTATCTGCTTCAAGAAGATGGCTTAAGCGGAATAGGACTCCATTAGCTGTGGGTATTGGAGTTGTCGGTGCTGGTTATGTTGTCACACAATATGTCTTGGGGAAAATATCCGATGTGAGGGAGCGCATGAGTTCAGATCGCATCGCAAGAGAAAAGTGAGCATTTCATAGACGGTCGAAGTATTAGTACTGATGGCTTGATAGCTTACGGAGGCGATTTGAACAAAATCAAGAGGATTGCACCTTCACTGTCCTCGCCTTACTTCCCACTGCGACAGATAATATACTTGCGGAATTGGAAACTGAGAGAATAACTTTTGAGCTGCAGCAACAGAAAGCAGCTAAGCTAGCTAGAAATGGGGAGCCACACCCTTCAGAGTTGGGATCTGGGCCGCCGAGTGTGACTGATGTCGACGATGGCAAGAGCATGATAAGCTCACAGAGTGAAAGTGGAATTCATGCTAGTCAGATGGGCGTTCCATCCCAAGCGGTAGTAGGAGACGGACCCCAAGATGGTGGGCAGCAAGTTCAGAAAGCCCGGAAAACCAAGATGCAACTCTGGAATGATCTTAAGATTAGTGGTAAGGCAATACTTAAGTGATATGATGACGTTTGCTCACTTCTTGTAGCCATCACCCGATCATTTACGCTCATCTACACCTTGGCCTTGCTGACTTTGCTTACTCGCATACAACTAAATCTCCTTGGGCGAAGGAGTTATCTTTCCAGCGTGGTGTCGTTGGCTTCGGGGGGGATGGAACAATCTACCATTAGCTTGGAAAATCATGACGACGATAATTCTGACCAGGCCTATGGTAACGACTTCGAAACAAATAGGCAATATTTGACGTTTAGCTGGTGGTTGTTACATCGTGGATGGAAGCAGGTGATGTTGAAAGTAGAAGAGGCAGTGAAAGAGGTATTTGGTGCGCTAAGTATCAGAGACGATATTACTATGGAAAGGTTCTCCGAATTGACTTTGGAGGTCCGAAAGCGAGTGGAAGGCGCCACGGAAGCGGAGCGGAACGCTGGAGGATGGCTAGAATATGTGCTCCCCCCAAAGGATCAGGAGGACTTCGTGTTGAAGGAGTCTGGTATGGCCTCCGATAGATCAACTTCTGAAATCGCTCCTCTTCGCCGCCTTATCGACGAGACCTCAGACTTGGTCGACTCGCCGCCTTTTTCTCACGTCTTGACATTGTTGCTAGACGCTGGCTATTCAACGCTAGTTGACCAGAAAGTAGCTCAGCAGGCATTTAAAATGCCACCAGTCCCCGAAATTTCAGATATTGATGGGCCACGGATCACGGAGGTAGTTGATACCAAAGTCAAACTACCAATTGTTTTAGCCATTCTGACGCGACAAGCGCACTCGATTGGAAATGGTGTGCCAAATGAGTATCTCCAAGCGATGGAACAAGTCCGTGATTTAGAGGGATTCGCAGCGGTCGTGTACTCGTCAAATTGGGAGAGCGAGATCCGCCCACCCGAGGAAGAGGTGCCTGGAACAGAATCCCTATTAGGGAAGGGCAAAGCCGCAGAAACGATATCATCACTGCAAGAAAGTGTAGTAAACATCGATCCAATTGGTGCTTTGGAAAGCGCATGGGGGAATGCTATGGAGACAGTTGAAAAAACCAGAGCACCGTAAAAGGATCGGTTGGAGTTCGGGGGTTAACCAGGCTTGGTTGGTTGTGGATATGTGTAATGGTTGGAACTCGAATGTTGTGTTTTTAGCAGGACTAAGATGTGTACGATACCAGATACATGCCACTCCCGATGGTATGAATTTAATGATATTTAGCAACCAAACGCCCCCAATGGCAATCCTCGCCAACGCCCTTAAATGCTTGATCATATACTTCATATACCATTGCTAATCAGCATTTTGTCAGGAATCTAGAGAACACCTTTCACGAATTGATCTAAGGCCAGCTCAAAGAGTTCATTCGCTACTCCCTCGCCTCCTGGATGTTCTACCGGTGACAAGGGATTTTTGACGACTGATAAATATGTCAGCGGTCCACATGTGCAGTATTGTATTGCACGTGGACTTACCGAATTCCACGTAGAGATTTACATATATCTGATGTAGCACATTTCTCATATTTAAGCTTTGCGTATCCGTGAGCATGACGAATTTTATGCTCGTCGGAGTCTCGTAATAATGTAGTTTGTATTGGCCTGTCCGGTATGAAATAAAGCTGGATTGTCTTGTTAGTCTTCCTTTCCTGATTGTGCAACTGGGACGGTTCTCTCTATTGCCGCGCAAAGTAGCATTTCATGGGACAGCTCCCCGAAGATTCGACTTTTACACAACTAGCTCCTCAACAGTATCATGGCGTAGGCTCCAACAGCGCATTTGATGCATGCATTCCCTTACCTGTCATCTGGCCCTCCGAGCTTCCTAACCATATTTCGCAACGAGAACACAGTTCCAAATATAAGCTTCGCATCGTCTTTGGCGCTTAATCTCGACGGTCGCGCCCTCGCGGGCCCCAGATCGGGAGGCGGCGCGCCGTTACTCGATACATTCGCATCTGATAGTGGGCGAGCTGCTGTTCCGGAGTCTGAAAGGGGTCTTTCCTGACGGTTCCAGAGCCGCTGGTAAATGCACTCCGCTGTTTGAGAATTAGCTGGGTAACAGAGAGGGTTCAGATGCCCAGAAACGTACTGTGCCGGTCGAAAATGTAGAAACTGTAGACAACCATGTTGTCACAGCTCAGGGTACCAGAGAACAGGCTGGAAATGAGGCTGTCTATTTGTTCGGAGTGCAAGACCCAGAAAGACAAGCGCGAAGACCCCCAAGTTCCATTTTCGTGCAGTTGGCCGTTACAATCAAGCTTTCGCCAAGCCCCAGCTAGAAGCTCTGAAAGCTGCCACTCTGCCCCTCAGTGTCCGAGCGCTCTTCAGTCGCTACAGCATCTTGCAGGTCCGCCGTTCAGCCTCACGAACACTATATTTTAGGTAAACCAACGGTCCAGCGCATTACTTCTACACTCGCACTTCGATATTTCTCACCCACCGAACATGTGGACACAGTTCCTATCACTTCAGCTATGAGCCAATCCGCAGACGGTTGTCCAGAACCAGTCCATGCTGGGGACATCACACGCAAGGAAGAACAAGCGGGGATTCTGCCTTCACATGGTATGATCATGCTGCTTGGACCACAAGGTTGAGGGAGACTGACCAGCTTTAGGTATTTCTCTTGATGTCGCTGGCGATACAGAAAGCGGACGACCTCCTATTCTACAACACCTGTGCGTTCCATTTGGCCTGAGCTGAGAATGGGATTTTGAAGCTGATAAGCTCGTAGCTCTGCTCCCGCATATCACTCCCCACTGAGGCACCATAAGCGACAAGCCTCGTACCACAAGCAAGTGAAGGAAACACTCAATGCGAAGTCTGAATATACGAACAATGAGGATGATGGACGTGGGGAGCATAGAATCAATCAGTACATCATCAAGGATGAGATTGGACGAGGCTCGTTTGGTGCCGTTCATCTGGCTGTCGACCAGTATGGAAAGGAATATGTGAGATTAATTTCTTTACAAACGTGATGGCCTCGGATAGCTTTAACACAACGCTAGGCAGTCAAAGAGTTCTCAAAGTCACGGCTTCGAAAGCGAGCACAGTCGAATATTCTAAGAAGGCCTCACGCAGCAGGTCGAAGACCTGGGCATCTGGCGGCTGGTCTTGGGTTCAATGCTCCGTTACACCGCCACCCAGCGTCCGATATACACAACGGAGAAGAGAAAGGCAATCCCTTATATCTAATAAAGGAAGAGATTGCCATCATGAAGAAGCTAAATCACCCCAACTTGGTGTCCCTTATTGAGGTTCTAGACGATCCTGAAGAAGATTCATTATATATGGTGCTCGAGATGTGCAAAAAGGGCGTCGTTATGAAGGTTGGGCTTGGAGAACAAGCAGATCCATATGATATGGAAAGTTGTAGATGCTGGTTCCGTGATTTGATTCTTGGCATTGAATACTGTACGTTACTCACACGGCCCTTGTTCATGCATTTGCTAACATGATGTTATCAAGTACATGCCCAAGGAGTAGCTCATCGAGATATCAAGCCGGATAATCTTCTATTGACAGATGACGATGTATTGAAGATTGTCGACTTTGGCGTGTCAGAAATGTTCGAAAAGCAATCCGAGATGCTCACAGCAAAGTCAGCTGGATCACCAGCTTTTCTACCTCCAGAGCTCTGTGTTACAAAGCATGGAGATATCTCCGGCAAAGCTGCTGATATCTGGTCGATGGGGGTCTCTCTTTATTGTCTCAGATTTGGCAAAATCCCATTCGAGAAAACTGGCGTCTTGGAACTGTACGAAGCGATAAAATCAGATGATATCAACATTGAATCGGAAAACGATCCCGATTTCTGTGATCTGATGCGGAGGCTTTTAACTAAAGATCCCGAGAAGAGAATCAAAATGCCAGAAATTCGAGTAAGTTGAAATTCCTTCCTCGGCCAACGCTAGACTCATCGCTCTACAGAATCATCCATGGGTAACTAAGGGAGGAACTGATCCTCTCCTATCTGCGGAAGAAAATACAGCGGATCTAGTCGAGCCCCCTAGTGATATCGAAGTCAACCACGCTATCACGAGCAAGATGAGGAATCTCCTGACAATGGTACGTGATCTTATAACTCATAACGCACCTGTACTAAGTTTGGAACGCAGATGAAAGCAGTCAAGAAGTTTAAAGGACTTGTTGATGATCGAAGACCGCCAGGTGGACTACAAGGTATTCTTGGAAAGGGTATGCGCTCCGTAAAGTCGCCCGAGACTACTCTTTATAACCTTCGAAGTCTCGCCGAGAAGAAGGATCCAGCGCAAGGGCGTCCTCAGACTTTACACGAAACAAAAAGCTTAGATCTCGATGACCGACGGCCCATTGAATCAGTTCTCAGCGCTCAAGGTGTCCATCATGACTTGAGGCTAAGTGACGCAGTGAAAACTATGGACAATCGTGTCGATTCGTCAATGGTCTCAATCGATCAGCAGTCCGTGGATCGTCAGAGATCACAGACGAGTACCAGTAGCGCCGGCGAACTACCACGTGTGGACTCGTTCGGTGAAAAGGGCCACGCGCATGACCCATTGGATGAACAGCCTTTATTTCTTGGTATTGGTGCTGGTGACGCTGAAGACGATGTCATGGCTGAGAGTGGTGCGTTTAATCAAGTGGCTGAGTCTCCAACAGCAGCAGAATTTAGTATCTATGATACTGCGTATGAGCAGGAAGTTGAGCGTATCCGTGCAGCGCAGGGCAGCACTGCGAAGGTCTACCTTACCCGCCGAGTCGATCGTATAAAGAGGTACACTACAGACGACAACATGATCAAGGTACCAAAATTTGCCGAGACTTTTGGATCCCACACCGGGTTCAAATCACTACTTGAGCGTGCCCGGGATAAACAAGACCAGACACCCGTTGATCAAAGGGGTACTGAGAATCAAAATGACAAGGATATTCCGAGCGAGAAACAGCCCAAGGCAAATCAAACATTCTCTGAGCTTGCCGCAAAGCTGATGAGCGACACTAAAGAGGTTGGGAAAGATCTACAGGAGAGGGGTGGTTCTGCCATCAACAGTCTAATTCAAAAGGCTACGGAGAAGAAAAATGACCATGCAGCAGGAAAGAGTGCTTAGCGATTTTCAAGATATACCAATGTTTTACACGAGCGAAGGGGGTTCAGCAAGGGGGTTCTGGTAGAGGAATTACAAGTAATAGGTAATAAACATTCTGGCGCGGTATAGGGTGAAAATTGGGAATTTCAAGTTAGCTAACCACCCGAATACCGTGATGTTGAAACCAGAAATAAGACTTGGAACTGAATTCAAATGCCTGCATCTTTGATCATGTGAGATAGCTTCAGCTACACTGTGTGATGAGAGTCAGCAAACATGCTTGCTGGCGGTCAAGAAAGAGCAAGAACCTTTGTATAACTCCATCGACAACAAAACCGCTCGCCGCGACACCTTGCCCTGCTGAATTTATAATATCCAGCGCTTCCTTGTCCATACATGTCCGTTGGGTATCCAGAATAGCGGACCCCCTGGCTAGGTCTCTAGCCATTTTATAGCGACTCCATGATTTAAATTTCCATATGCCTCTTTTCTGATAGACACTTCAATCGCTCGACGCACATCCTCTGCACCCACAGCTTACACACTCTACTTTCTGGTCCTCTTTCATCTGAGCCTTTGGAACACGGCATATACACGTAGAGTTGAAGTTGGTCTCCTTAGTCTGTACGCACCGCAAACAGCATAACTAGAACCCTAGTCAACATAACATCCTTCTAAATCCCTTCTCTAACTCCTCAAAACTCAATATAATAGTACACATACCTTCTCATACCCCGTCTTCTTCCACTTCGCAATCAACATCGCATCAGCGTACCCATTCTTCAACAACCAATCATACAATTGTTTCGAGATCGCCTCTTTCTCATAGTATAGCTCGTACACGTATCGTGACCGCTGATGTGAAATTTGGAATATGGGCCAGTGTACGGCATGTCGAGGGACGTTTACGGACGTGGCATTCTCGGCGTCTTTCATCTTGTTCGAGAAGATGAGGAGGTCGTCCTCAATGTCTGAGAAGCCGGCGGGGGGCGCTTTACGCTTCGATGCATGGCGGATCGCGGGCATTGCTTTAATCTGTGTGGAGGTATCGGAGGGGAGGGGATAGGCTTTCGTCTGAGAGATTCTGAGGAATTTGTGGATTTGATCTGGTTCTAGGGATGTGGTGGGGTATGAAGGTCGAGGCTTCAACCCAAATCTCAGCCTTCTGCTAGACCGACGTAACGCTAGTTGCAGGGGTAGGCCTGTGGCGGCCTTATTACTAAGGCACTAAATGGCCCGCTTCAACCTCATTCCGAGCTTCAAGAACATTGAACTTGCATGAAAGCTTTATTCTAACTACGACGACAAGATGGTTATCAATCCAACATATCTCGCGCAAAGGACGCGCCAATGTAAGTATTTGGTGCCATGTCTGAAGTACAAATGGTGCTAATATTCGCGGTGTAGCTGTCAATTGGCACGATGCGCAGAGGAGGGTCTTGAAGAATTACCGGGAGTGGATTCGTGCTGTATGTTATTCTACGATGCCGTTCGATTCCTTGTATTCTCAGTTGAGCTGAGTCTGGATGGGGCTCATATGGGGGTGGAAAGAGGAGGCTGGATGTGTACTAATGCTTGACAGGCACCGGAGATTCAAACGATGTACTCGCTCAGTATACCAGTGGCTCAATTACGAAATAAGATGCGGCAGGAGTTTGAGAGGCATCGATACGTCAATCAGATTGGGGTTGTGGATGTGTTGTTATTCCAGAGTCACAGCGAGTTCCAGGTTAGTCGATTTTGTTTGGGAATATGAAATCGAGGGAAAGTAGTGATATACAAGATTTGGGCTATGACTCAATTGCAAGAATAGCCAGAACGCTTGGCTCGAGTTCGAACACACTCTGGTTTTGAAGCCTACCACCAATTACTTCGGGATTGTGCAATGAGCTGTTATGCCGAGCTTGTGGGTGTGGGGTTGGATATGTTTGAGCATACACGGGTTTCCAGAGTGGTGCCTCGGGCGTTCCGTCTCGTTGCTTTATATTCTATGGATTCAGAAGCTAAAATGATTTATAGGAGACACTCAATTACTGGAAACAACTACCACATATTCTGAAGTATTTCCGATCAGACGAAGATCCAAACTCAAAACTGCCACAGAATTTCATGTCTGGTTTCTTAGAGGTGAGCTCTATAAGATCCTTAAATATGTCATGGACTAACATCAATACAGGGTCGCAACTGAATGTGCCAATATTTCATAGCCTGTACATATCCCAATTGAACCATAAATCCAGACTCCGTGCTATCTTTTACCAATACGCCATGCAATGCAGTCATGTGTTTCCCGCCAGTATTAAACTTCTGTTGGGTTTTCTTCAGCGAATTCGATTTGGGCTTCTACGAATTTGTCGGCTACTACATCGCAAAGGTCCATGAGATCTTTGAACCCCTTCTCTAAAGCCTCCGAAGCCGTCGTACCCTCTAAATATACAGTCAGTCTTATCTAACGATTAGATCCTGATGATTAACGAACCGTATGTTTGAATTCGGATATTCATTAGAGGTTCTGAAGGATGTGGTATCGAATAACCACAAAACTCTACTTCGGGACTGAAAGATTACAGTGTTAGCAATGGATCCTCCCTTCATGCCTAACCCCACAACCTCGAACTGTGTGAATCCCCATGTCACAAAATTACATACTTCTTCATAATGATATATCGCAGCGCATTCCCTAAAGTATGATCCTCGTCCTTAAACTCGAAACTCGCGGCTGTTGCTGAAGAACCGGGAAGCTATTTTACCAATTAGCAAAACTTCCTGCCTTTGCCATAATGTAAATGGCAAACATACAACTCGTATCCTCTGTTCCTTTTTCGCCAACTCCTGCGGGCTATTCTCATCTATGAGAACCTCGTTCGACGGGGAACCATAATCCATTTCGACATCGGATTCTGGAGCTGGAGGTGCAGCTTCTGCCGCTTTCTTTGAGTTTTTCGGCGCCATAGTTCTTATGTAGTGGCAGTGAGTTCGATTGTCGCATGCGCTTCGTCATGCTCGAAAGTTTTGGGAATTTTTGGAGGGGTCTTACATAATCGCGGGTGGCGAAATATTCCGGCGCCGATGTATTTTGTACTCCTCGAGTTGGGGATCACAACGAATCAACATGAATGCGGTCCTCCGGAGCAAAGTTGCTTCAGCTTGAGATGAGGCTGATCAGGTCTTTCCAATCTTGGATAAAACCCATCACGTCCAATTTTCCTTGGGATTTTCACCAGTCTAGGGTGTTGCTTCAAGGTTTTAGACACGAACGCCTAGAAACATGGAATTCAAAAATCTTGACCTAATTGTCGATTCCTTCTATTCCACACCAAACACCAACCGTCTCGCAGAGCGCGAAGATATGTCAAATATCCTGCAAGTTCTATGAGTCTTGCGTCCTCAGCCTTGAAGCAGATCGCGATGCTTGACAGCGGCTACACGGTGTTGGTCCTCCGCGATGATTTGCCCGGTTGACTTCCAGCGAGGGGAGCATTACTTATCGATTAAGGATTCTCTCATATGGCACGTCATCAGGGGAAAGGTTCTGTTGGATTTCCTAACGCGGAAAGAAGGTTTCTTACATATCAATATTTTCTACCGCGCGGCAAAGCACAGGAGAAGCTTGACGATTTGATGACAGGAACAGGCCAGGGTGCACGCTCACTCCTTGGTTCAGGAGTTTTGTTTCGACTGCCAATATTTTGACGTGAACTCCCCTGTTTTGCAAACATTTTTATTTCATCTTTCTAAGTTTGCGTGTTCAATATTCCGCACAGGCTGTGCCTTGCTGGATCGGATTGTTGATATATCAGAAGTGGCGCAAGTGTTTCCGTCGCGGAGACCCCCAGGCCGTTTCCAAAGATTTGTCCGATTCTGCTCCTACAATCTCGTATGATGGTCCTTTATGTCGAGCCTCGGGGTTGTACCTGAGACAGTAGTCGAGAGCATTCGGGGTAAACAACGTGACTATCTTTCTCACGCGTTAGGAGATGGGTCCTGCCATTGGAGGAGGCGGCTGAGCCGCGTTTCATGAAAAGTCGATCTTGTCGGCGTGTGGTTGGTCACAGTTCAGAAGCGGATGTTTCCTCTAAATGCAACCTTGTTTCGATTGGCGTGTGTGGATCCTGTGCCATCGCGCCTTTCAAGGATGAATCTGAGATCGCTTGCTGAGAAAGTTATCGGAAGATCACGATACGCAAAATTCAACGTTGCCCTCTTGAAGCGCGGAGAGCTCATGCCGAGTGATGCCATCCGTTGGTTGTGTAGCTCATCGTGTCCTATTGGATTTGAGTCCGAAGATTTATTGCTTGTCGTGGAACCTGTCAATTTTCTTTGCAAAGGGGATGCTCATGACGGGTCTGATGCTCCAAACATTATTGGAAACATCCGTTATTACAAAATTGAGTGCCTCTGTTTTCACTTGGCTGAAGCTCTGAGATTGTGATAACCGTTTCGGGTATGATATATATTAAATTCAAGGGCCGAGGGGAAGCCTTACGGATGTATTGAAACGGTTCGCAATATGCAAGGCCATAGACGACGGATAAATCTGACCGGTAAGGTTATGCATGGAACATCCGAAATATTGAATTTGAGATCCTGCAGATCTGGGATGTGGTGGGCGGTGGGCCTCTCAGGTCGCAGAAACTCGAAACCCAACAGCGCGGTGTCCTTTTGGCTTTGCCTGTCGACCTATCCAGTCGCGTCGGTCCACTCAGAACAATTCAGCACTCGAAAAACTCCTCATGCGGCGTACAGAGGGCGAGGAGAGGGCGAAAGAACCAGTCACGACTCACGATGCACCCATCCGTGTATACCTTCTCGTTCGAGGAATTTTATATACAGCAGTCAGTAGGACCAAAAGCTCAAAAGTTTGGTGCAAAAAGCCATTGCCTCGGTGCTCGCTCTCAATTCAGCTGATCTTACGCTTTTCTCCAGCCAGCTCTGCCCACTAATGTAGGTTCCTGCTTGAATCCACAGGTTCTTGCAGAGTGCAGTTTAGAGCTTGTAGTATGGTAGATTTCTCTGAAACTCTGGCACCAGCCTCTCACAATCTCTTCGAGGCTTCTTTCCAGAATGAGACGAAATAGGCCGCGTTATATAGATGATCCCCAGTCTTAATAATATCCTCTGCAGAAAGGTCAAACAAGCGCGGCGCTGATGTTCTGATATCCCATGAAAAGTTCCCAAACGGGCGAAAACACTTCAGACGCACATGCAGAATCCTCCGATCCTCTGGGTTATCGCTCCACCAGGAGCTGGGGAAGAGCTCGTGAAAAATGGTTGTTCGTGCGATCAGATGTTTTTCGTAAAAGAAGCAAGTTGTTGAATCATAGAATTCGCAGTAGGATTGTTAGCATGAGCATTGGGAGTGTCGTCTTGTTTTAGCTCTGCGGAACGAGTCGAGCGACGGGTCTATTGACGAACTAATGGTCCCTCATACTGTACGAAAGGTACTTGTACAGGAAGGTTCTGGTAGCCCCTCGCGAAGGTTAGAAACCTTCAAACCTTACTGTAGATGAATTGATTCTCCGCAAAGTGATTGGAGCAGAGCCGTTGGATCTTGGCCGTTCTTTGCAGTGGCTGCGTCAGCGTCAGATCCGACTCATACTCATCGCACTGACAGTCTGTCTGAGGTGCTATTCCATCGCCACTTTGCTGCCAACGAAATGCTCCTTTCGAGGTGCTTTTAATACTGTAGATGCTGAAACTAATGCTAACGGCAGCGTACAGGACGCCATTGACACGCCGAGACTGACACTGCTGCATTGAGAGCACCGGCGTGGAACTGGCTGTCGCTGGCAGCGACTGGACTGCTGCTGTTCGACGGTTGGGGAATGGTCGCTGGCGCATTGATTCATCTTCCGCAGAAAGCAAAAGGGCAAAACGGAGTCTAGTGGGCTCATGGCTGCCGTGGTGGGCGCAAAGCAGACAAGGTTCAGCCATCAGCACTGACACTCTGGTACGAGCTGCTGCTGCGAGTCTGCGACTGACTCCCTGCGCGACTGAGGGACTCCCACTCCACCAGAACAGGGGGTGGACGGACGAGGAGAGTCCCCTCTTCACTTAATATCTCTGTCTCTGAAACACCTAAAACTTCAAATCCTCCATTCATAAAACCATCCGCCCGCCGCTCCCATCCCACCGCCGTTCTTTTGTTCTTTTTGCGCTCTTCTCCCACTTTCTCCTTCTGGATCTCGACCGTCGTTTACATCCCTCCATCTGGTGTTTTGTTGATTGCACCGGCTTGGATAACCACCGCCCTACCGATACCCTCCCGCTTCTCCCTTCTCACCCACCACCACTACGACGACCTCCTCCGCTTCCACCCCTCTGTCACCACAATCGAAAGTCGAGGCCAGCAGCAGTTCGCTCTGCTTTGGTGGCACAAGTCCTCTCGTTTCGTGCTGGGAAGGAACACACAAGACGCACGAACCCGACTCTCATCGAAAACGAAATCAGCAGCGCAGAGGAAGGAGCAGTGCCAGCAAAAGCATAATTGCAGGCGCCAGAACACACATCTACATCAATACACTCACGCCAGACGCGATGAGTACCGTCATCGCCATGGCACCGTCGCCCGCACCTCACGACCGATCATCGTACGCTGATATGGTCCCTCATGGTCCATCGTCCAAATCCCCGCCCGCGCAGCGAACATCTGCTTCGGCAACCCCGAACCATAATGCACAACGAACAGGGAGCGGGAGTCCCAAAACGACACCTGCATCCAAAACCTCACCTAATGCGTGCGTCTGATATACCCCAGAAACCTTTTATGACACTTAGTCAGATTAATACTGACTTCGCGATAATTGCAGATCGAGAAATGGTGTTCCACCAAAAATAATCGTAAAAAAAGAGCCGCTGTCTTCGCCAGATTTGCCCACCTCGCGACATCGCCCACGCAAGCTTGACCTCACCAAGAATACATCCAGCGTGAACCCGGCCACCTCGAGGCCGACGCCAGGTCAATTGACGAGCAGAGGAGCAGATACTGGAGGACTCGGAATCCAAGACGTGGGACTGGCTTGTTTATCTCCAGGATTCGTAACACAGGATCCAACCATGAGAGAGCAGCTGCAGCGGAGTATATCGGTCCGAGAACAGCAGAGACAGCTCATCGAGTCGAGGTTACAGCAAACAGCGAAGCCAGGTGATGCACCCACAGAAAGTGCCAAAGAGAGAGAATTTGGTGTCTTCGGAGCGAAAACGCCGGGTACATCGAGAAGAAAGGCTCCGCCAGGGTTGAGCATTGTAGCACCATCACACGAGCAATTCGCTCACGAACGAGTAATTCAATCCGCACCACTCAACCAAAGTTTCACAGGAAGACATCAACCTCATCCTCTGACTCGTCACATTGCAAATCAACCATCCAATTTATCCAATACTTCACATATTCACCACGTTCCTGCCCAACAGACTGCAAATCGGCTGCCACCTATTACAGATGTGTTCGCAGAGAATGGACTCGGTGCACACCGAGGGGGTGAGCCTACTGGGCCTGGACGAACATCTGTTTCACAATTGAACAATACAACATCGGCAGCCAATTCGTCCCATTCGAATTCAAGGCCTGCCTTTCCTTCCCCAGGCCATAGTCAACCACAGCCACCGCATACGGCAACCCATACTGGGCGACCAAGAGAGTATCGCTCAGCAGAGGAAGCACAAGTAGAGCTCGCTGGCGGTCGCCCGGAATTATTGCCAAAGCTTGTCCATTATGGAGGTCATCAACCGCCAACACCCCCATCCCCTCTTACCGGTAATCCAATGCGGCACTCAGAGAGAAGTGGTGGCGGCCGACGACGTCAAAGAGCAGAGTACGAAGAAGGGGGCAGCCCACCTTTGGGCAATGGTCCAGCAACGTCACGGAGAGGGCCATTTGGCGAAGGCCGTGACAGTCCTAGCACCCAGCAAAAGAAAAAGCAGGAATTTATGCAATTGTGTGATCGAGCTTGGGATCTCTTCCATTCCTAATCAATTCGGCGGAGGAGCAATTTTGTTCCCGCTTGGGAGATTAATATTATCTGCTTCTTAGCCTTTTTTTCTGGTCACTGATACCCGGAACTTCGTTTAAGGGGAAGGCCTTTTTTCCACCGCGATGCTTATAGCTCGAAAATCGCCAATATTACTTCTTCTGTTAATAGACCTCTTCTCGACGTAAACAATTTACCTCATACGGGATGTTTGTTTGCCACTTGTGTCGGTTTCAGGACTGGCGTTAATACACTATCAGGATTTGGTGAGGTGCACAACATTTTTTCATGTTTATGAACGGGGCAACAGAAGGGATATGAAGGGAGCTAACTTCGATTCGATGAACGTGGTGGGTTATTTATACATGAAGGGAGGGAAGGGAAGGGCTCTGGAAAGAACTTCAGGTGGGATATGATGAGGTGGGATTACTTTGGATATGAAATGAACAAGGGGCTTGAATGGAATGAAATGGAATGGGTTTGGATGATAGGGTTTAAGGGCACATTTATTGAAACGGAATTGGAAAGTTTTTTTTACTATCTTCGGGTCGTGCTGCTGCCTGCTTTTTGACTTTGGTGCTTCTGCTTCGGGTCGTTTTGGACAATCTCGACTTTTCCTTCTTCTATTCTGTTCGATACTTCTACGCTTGTGTTTATACCTATTTTGATTCCTGTTGGAGCACAGCACAAACGGAAGGCTTCCGGGCTATTTGTTTTCGTCTTCTTTTCTCTGGTGTCGCTTTAGTGGGGGGTGGTGTTTGGGTGGTCATTATTGTTTTGAATTACATGTGTATATTTAATATAATACTTTTATACTGTCGAATACCATTGACTCTTTCTTGAAAGTATAGTGAAGGGGTGATCAAAGTCGTCACGGTTACTTTTATGTGTGATAGGTTTAATTTTATTCGATTCCGATCTCGGTGAACCCAGGTCGGTTTCGATACAACTTAGTCCATCACTTCAAATTACTCGTTGCACTAGTCCTTGATGTCCTCTTTCACTTGTATGTTTACCATTCTAGAAACCACATGAAACATCCTCCTTCAGATGAAAGCTTGATTCACCTTTCCTTACTTGATATGATTGCTTGCAGATTCCGACAACTTTTTACAAAGCCAGAACTAAAATCCCCAGCATCTTGTAGTTAATTCCATTACTAAAGCAGGGGCCCAGGGTGGACACCAACAAAGCGGCACGTTGAGATATCGTTTTTATTACCTAATCTCCAGTATTTCAACCCGAGTCAAATGGTTGAGTTCATAATATATGCTTTTGTGTTTGACGTATTGGAGGTTGTGAGATGGACGTTAGAATTAGATGAAATGCATTTCACTCCTTCTTCTCATATCCCTTTACATTTACAAGCATAGTGGTTGATTGTAAGATCATGTTTTGTACATCGAAGTAGTCTCATCTCGATGTCTAGTCCTTTGTTACCTATTCAGCGAAAGTATCTGTGAGCGTCGAAAGGGAAACTCATCTACTTCCCTTCCCTCTCAAGTGATTTTGTGTTCCGTCTATTCAGAAACCTAAGAATTTTGTATATGATGAATGATCTATGGATCTAGGTTTGCCAGGTGTATTGAATTACTTATGTTGTTCATAAATTACTAGAGTATATATCATCCACATTTAAGTGCTTACTAAAATTAGTGATAAGTCATTCAACCAACATACATCTATCATTTGCCCACTAGCCAAAGAAGAACAGCCAAAGAGGGCCTTCAGCTAACCTCACCTCATCTCATTTCAAGCTATGATTCCTACTACTACAAAAATTCGCCCTTTTCTTCATCATACCTTCTGAAACATACCCATAGCTCTACTTATTTACTCATAACGTTTTCCCGAATCTCATACAAGCCATAAAGTAGATTAAGTTTATTATTAAGAGAAATGTGTTTGTCCGGTGAAAAGCTACAAGGACGGAAGATCTCTTGAAAGCGTGTCATTTCTTAGGATGGAGGAGTGTAGTGGATGTATGAAAGTGTCCAAGTAATCCCAAAAAAAATTGAAAACAACTAAAGTCATTAGAATAGAGGACATGGTTAAAATAAGAAAAGTAATCAAGACAATCAGAATCAATTAAATAATCAAAAATCATCAAAGTTATCAGAATCTTCAAGACTCTTCAAATATCATGGTTCTTCGACTTGACTAGGAGAATTGGTTTGAGCTAAGTTTGATTCATTATTGCCTATACTAAATCAAAATAAATCGGGATAATAGAATCCACAGCAAAAGCGTAATTGTTTCATACCAGTCAGAAGAATCACCAAACCGCACAGCAAAAGTGCAATTGCTTCATACCAGTCAGAAGAATCACCAAACCGCACAGTCAAATAAACTTTGTTAGAAATATTCTTCATTCTCGAAGAACCGTTTATTCCATTCATATCTGTATTTCATACCCTACAGACCAAACACTCACTACAAGTGAGCCAATCAATCCGTCCCAGTCGTCTCTCTTTCTATCTACAAAAAGCCCTTCATCCACAACCTCCACTCTCCAGTCCAGAAACCACTAGATCTCCAACCATCCCAATCATTCACCTATGAGGCCCGCCACCCAAAAAGCAGCCGTCCACCCCACCCAACTTTCTACCTTGCCATAGAAAAACGTAAAAAGCGACGATGCCTAAAACCCTTGGGTACTGGAATTGACTTCCCCGTTGAGCCTTTTCTTTTGTTCGAATCGGCCTAGCATGTTCCCGCCGCGTGTAAAGGACCCAAAAACGCCGTGGGCAAGTACCCATAATTGCCGTTGGAAAAAGTCATGAGAACAAGAATCGAATAAAAGGAAGAGATTGATGTCGTTTAGCACCATGCTTGCTCCCGTCTTTCTGAATGAGTAATGAAGAGCTTGTGGTGAAAGAAGAAAATAAAAGAAACGCCAATAATCACACCATTGCTCCATGCATCCATAAAAATCGAGACTGTATTCAAGTCTCGGCCTCCCATTTGTCCCATTGATAATTTGATAAGTTCATTAGGGCGTAAATATATGTTTTGAAAGAAAAGTTGGGAAAGGGCACTGAATGGTGCTGGGAGTTTGAGGTATTGATCGAGTGGCTGCTGCGTGATTTGATCGTTAGAACTTTGTTGGTTACCTCAAGCTGATATCTCCCAGCCTATTCGTGTTAGAGACCCTCTTCACCAGCTTTACATATTTTTATCTCGCGGCCCCACTCAGACTTCAGGATTTGGGATGAGGTGATACGACGTTTGGGGTTAGGATCGAGGATGGAATATATAACGTTACGGCAACGAGCCTCCTCTTCGTCAGTAGCTTTTGTACGAAGAACTGATTTTCCACTTACTCGGTGCAAAGACTCAATCGGAGCGTAACCCTCCTCGTCTTTCCGCCCGTCGAGGTATTTTGCATAAAACTCATCCTCGTCCTTCTTTGCAACTCGCCATAAATGACGGCCGGTACGCATTGCCATATATATAACACCACAAGCCCAGACATCTACAGCGCGTGCATCAAACTCTTTCTCGATGTACTCTTCGGGGGCAATGTAAGGGGCAGAACCGCAAAGACCAGAAACCATATGAGGATCCGTTTCCCAGGCCATTCGAAAACATTCGCCATTTCCGAAATCTGTAATTTTGATCGCGCCCTTCGTGGTAAGTAGCAGATTCTCAGGTTTCAGGTCACGATGAGAAACACCCATCTCGTGCATGTACTCAACTCCGCGCATCATTTGCTTGAAATAGCAATCCGCTTCGGTAACCTCCAGTTTTCCAGCGGCGAGTACCAGTGTGTAGAGATCACCACCGGCACAAAACTCCATCACCTCGCAATAATCACCTTTCGAATCTTGGAGCAGGTCGAGGGTGTGGATGACATTGGGGTGTCGTAATGATGAGGATATACAGAATTCAGAAGTGAGCCGTTTGCTGTACTTTTTCTCGCTTTCCTCTGGTCGACGGCGGAATTCCTTCACAGCGTACAATTGCTCTCCATTGCCATTCTCGGCTCGTTTGTGAGATATCCTGACCACTCCGAAAGCGCCGCGGCCAACAATCTCTTGACATTTGCCGTACTTCTCCACGAGAGTAGCTGATGCGTTTGGTCCTCCCTTTTTATCTGTAGCCAATGTGTCCCGCTCGCTCTTCAGCTGGTCAACCCAGGTCGACATTAGCGACAATTGCTGGTCGTTTTCGTGTGCATGTTCGTCCTTTCTCTGCTTGCCGCTGATGACATTTCGAAACATGTCAGAGAGCTTCTCCTGTCTCTTTGCGCTCTTGAGGTGATGTTCATGTCCACCCTGGACATCGAGACCGGAGACAAAACGTAAGGAGGAGACATTGCCTCCTCCCTTCTTGTCCTTCGATGGCGCCGTGGTGGCTTTATCTGTCTTCTCTGCTCGTACGAGCTTGTCGGTTGCTGAAGCTTTGCGGGAAGGTGGGGCTGGTCGGGTCGATACTGACTCTGTGCGGTCTGGACGTTCTGGTCTTGTAGTCGAGTGCGAAGGAGAAGTGCCGTTGGACGAGTTTAAGGAAACATCACCTCTTGTCGCATCCTTGGTGCTGAACATTCTAGTCAAACGCTTCGTCATCGAAGGCTTTTCTGGTGCAGTATGGGCAGGGATTGGCCTCTGTGGCTCTGATGGTGGCGCAGCATGACCATTGGGAGTCAGGTCGTTGGTAGGAATTTTGAGGCCATTCTGAGCCAGCACTGGGCGGCTTTCTGGAGAGCCGGTTGATGACGAAGCAGAAGAAGCCGAGGGCGATGGCCTGGTTGCTTCTCCGTTTGTGGGTTCTCGCGGTGCCATGACAGTCGCCATGATGGCGACGGGGTCCAAGACGAGCGGTTTGGAGGTTGCTGAAGAGAAGTTCTTTTTGCGCTCGCTCGGGATGTGCGTGTCAGGGTACGATTACGCAGGTGCAGGCAGATGTGATGGACTGCAGCAGGCGAACGGTCGCGCGAAGCACTCTCGCTGGTGGGAGGAAGGCCCCAAAGCGCAAAGGTGTTCCGTCGCGATGTGTTCAGTTGTGTATGATCGAGGCCGTCGCCAGAAGGAGATATTGGTAGGAATCAGGGAAAGTGCCGTGAATTGTTCTTCGTAGGCAAATTTCCACTAGCTCTGGAGCTTGAGCGTGAGCGTGAGCGGTCTGAACGGACGGAGTTCTCGTGCTGCCCTCCGCAGAGGCGAAAAGAGATAGCGTGTAAAAGGGCTGCTTCGGCGGTCCACGGGATTCTCGGGGTGTAGCTGGTGTACCTTTGGTACTTTGTAGAGGACTGGCTGGCTGGCTGGCTGGCTGGCTGGAGTGCACCGTGGCTGCACACAGTAATCTGATGATGAAAGAACTCGACTGTGGTGGCTCGCAACACCGGTTTGACTCCCAAGCTGGGTGCAGCGACGCAAAGGGTCACGACCAAGGTGGCCAGACAGGAGCGAAGACAACACAAGCGCACAAGTTATCCAAAGCCAGACCGGATACCGAGGACAATTGAAGTAAATAGGAATGGCGAGGACACCGTACTCGTAGACTCTGAGCGGTAGGCACAGCGAAAACCAGCGATTCGCAGCGGAGAGGACTAGACCGAGCAGGCCTGGTATGCACGACGCGTGCAAGTGCAGCAGCACCGCAGGTGGCAGAATAAAGGTTGGCTACGCGCTGGAGATGCGTTTGAATCTGAAGTATATGAGGGATTTTTGAGCAAGGAAATCAATAGCAATGGGTGGACGGGGCAAGTACGAGAAGAGCCAAAGGGGAGGGGATGCAAAACGGCCGCGAGAGGAAAGAGGCGGAGAGCAGAGCAGTTGGATCGGAGGAATGGCAAAAGGCGGCTGCAATAGACGGAGCAGACTTCTTTTTTTACAGTAATGAGCGAGCTGACTGCTGCTCCTACGACGATGTGATGTTTTGCTTTTACGCTTCAGCATTGCGTGCAGCTGCAGTTGCATTTGAGTTGATGCTGTAAGCCTTATAAACCATGCGTCTAATCACCTTGAACCACTTATGATGATATCACAGGTTAGTGGATTTTCCAAAATACAAAAGAACTGTAATGATACGGTCGACGGTAATTGAGTATTTGAAATGCTTATTTTCTTACTTGGAGTCGTATATTTAGCACAGCTAATATCTAAACGCAGCGCTCTCGTTGTTGTGTCTAAGACTCCCTCGAGCTCTTTGATTGCGGACACATGATCAACCCCCATCCATAACCGTGTCTACCCTTTGCATATCGAGAGGATGGAAGGCCCTCTTACTAGAAGCTCGATTATTCTTGTACAAAGATTGAAAAGAGGCACCTGATGCTTTTGGACAAAGAACACACTATGTATCCAACAGCCAGCCATTTTACCAGGGGTCGAGATGGCTCTTCAATGAATGAGGGGTAGTCGAGGTAGCCGACCTCGATTTTTTCTTGCATTGGTAAGACGAATCCACATACCTATACGATGCTAGGTAGTTGGTAATTAACGCATCACACCAAAGCCAAAATACATAACATCCCGAGTGCGGTGAGGTAAGCACGATTGCAGCTGAAGAGTGAGATGTGGACGATTCCGGCAGAGGGCCTCGGTATCAAAAGCGTAGGTAGGCAAGGTAGTCAGCGATATCAGATAGAAAAATGGCGGGGTCTTCTTTGCATGATCCCCTGCTCTCTCGAATACCACCCTGCTACTACCGATGTAGAAGTTAATATTTAATAATAAGTAAACTTTTTGTAATACTTTCGTATTTTACTAGTGAGTTAACTTTTCGCCTGCAACCCGCAAAAGGCCACTTTTATATCAAGCCCCACGCTACAAGTCTACAACGTGTATATCGCGCGGATTGATTGAGCCCGTACCACACCCGACATGCTGGAATGACGAATTGTCCAATGATGGATTATCACTACAAGTTCAGTTGGTTGGTATCACAACTCCTGAGTGCGTTATTATTCTAGCCAAGCCTCGACGAGTGCCCAGGTGGTGGCAGTAAAACACCAGAGCACAGCCCCAGACCATCTCGTTATTTCAAATGCAAGACCACGCTTGCTCCCACTCACGTTGCGCAAAGATTCCTCATCCGTCTCGGCACCACGCTTATCAGCCTTATTCTGGAGTCGAAGCCATCAACAGATGAAATCCTACGTCACAAGCGCACATAGCATTGCCGATCTGTGTGTCAAGTTTCATCTTTCTTCAACGTCAACGCATCCTGCAGGACAAGCGCCGCCGAGGCCTTCACCGCGACATCGATATCGTTCTGCGGCCGGAAACGGGTTGCTTTGATACCAATGTTCATGTCGTTGAGAGGTAGTATCAACGGTGAAGCTATGTACAACTAGGGCACGGTGATCTCTTCCGCATATCCAACGTGCATTCCCACATGTCAAAGCTATTTATTGTCTTGATTGACGAGGGACGACATAACGGACTACATAACACCAACAGCAATTGTCCAGAATCCGACACTTACATCTCCCGCCCTGCTGGCCTCCATCTGCTTCCTCTTCACGAAATCCACATTGCCAGCACAGCGCGCATTGCCTCTGGCCAAGACCCAAATGGCAAATACCACCTCGAGGCAATAAGCACATCATAAACCCTTCTCTTACCTTCCCCGGATAATTCATCCGCCCGTCCAATGGTGCGAGAAAAAGAAAACATGGCGAATACGATAGAGTCGGACTTGAGAGACAGGCAAACATGATTTCTCTGACCAAGCTTGCGAACCATCGCAAATAGACACTGGCGTGGCGCGAGCCCGCGAGCCTGTATCTACTTCTGGACACCCGTGCCTCGTTACCACCTTGCTGGAAAAGTTGCAGTCTATACTCTTGTCTAAGTGGTCGCATATCCAAGATGGGTGCAATCAGCTTGTATCTGCATGCAGATGCCTGCAGATACAAAGCAGCCCTCGCAGGTAAGCATGAGGAGACGTCTCTTCCGAATGCGGCGCGAGCCGGTGTACCCTGGACTTGCTTGAGTTTGCAATACGGTAATTATTGATGTTGGTTGTTCAATCCGAGAAAATCGAGTGGTTTTGGTTAGCCCAGTTTGATAGCATTTCTGCTTTCTGGCACGGGAGATTGACATATTGGGTCATTGCCGGGTCTTCACTGGGCTGACGATAGCTTACGGCTAAGAATGCCCCCCCTTCTATAAACCTTGAATGGACTAGTCTGGATTTGACAGAGGAAGGCAAGTCGCCTCACTTTGCTCTATCACCGCCTTCAATTGAAGGAGCCCCAAGTCTGCTCAGACATTAAAACAGCGCTTTTGAATTAAATTTCTTAAAGTTTTGGTTAATCTGAAGTCAACCTTGTGGCGCGACCCAAGACTCGTCCAAGACTCCAAGACTGAAGAGCAGCGGGACAAGAAAGCTTGAGCAAGAATGACCCTTCAGATCGCGTTATGGCCCCGCAATCATAATCCTTCATCCCGGAGAGTTAGTGAGCAGCTGCGAATTTCATTGTTATTGTCTTATCCTGAGATTATTATATTTCTACTTTTACCGCTTTTCAGGGGTTTAGGTATGGACAACCAGGGAATAGTTTCCATTTTGGCTACATTCAAACACCACAATGATACCAAGATACACGACTGAAATGACTGCTGGCAGCCAAGACGAATGCCTACTTCCATAGACAATCTACAGCTTGGTACTCGTACTCGTCCTACATATCAACGTCATGATGGCTTTCTCAATGCCATTGCTAGCCGTGTGTTCGTCCATTATTTGGCATCACATGATTGTATTATAACTTGATATGATTGATGTGCCGGCAATTGGTTCACAACACCATTCAGACGAAGTGGTCTATGGTCGGAATTATTTTCCTGTCCTCGAGTATGAACTTAGCTCGAGGTTGGAACTGAAGATACACGTCTCACCAACAAGGTCGTTGGTCAGACAAATTCTAGACTTCCGAAAACAATTATTATCCCTGTCTTGCCTCTCTCACCGGCCTCTTCATCCCATTCCCTATATCCTGACCCTCTCATAAATCACGCAGCACACAGATCTATCCCCTCCACAGATCTCCTTTCAAAAGCCCAATATCCCATGCCACCAACTCATTCACCGCCCATCTCATGTACAACTCCATAAATAGGGAATGCCGATTATGTACGGTCTATCACCAACAAGCTCGCCGGTACATTACCTATCGGTCGTTACACAACATGATGTGCTTGGGTTTTCGGCAATGAAGATTGTTTAGCGAGGAATTGCATGGTAAGCGAGGATCGTACACGTTTGGGATGTGAGAGGTTTGATTCGTTGTTTTAAAGGACTGTTTTGAGGTTGGTATTGGGATTACGCTTTGAAGATGTTGATGTGAGAGGGAGGGGAGACGCTCCGTATGTCCGTTGGTTTATCCACTTTCTTCCAGATGGATGAGGTGAGGGTCCTAGAAGTAGGTGGTGGTTTCGAATACATTGAATCCAATTATAGGAGGCAATCCCTTGATGTTAATAGCTGATATTCAAGCGAATCTTTAAGGTGCAATCTCTCCCGGTATGTGACTCTCAAAAATCCTCGGCCAACGACTTTGAATCTGATAATGCAAAATGTCCAAAAGTAAATACAAAACCGTGACGTCGCACCGAATATTTAAATAGAACCTATAAGCTGATCTCGAAGCTAGAAGATTTATGTGTATTGAGAGAAGCATGGATTGACTCGTTGGTACGAGCAGTTTTCTACAAGTTTACAACTCTACAAGTCTGCAAGTCTACGAACTGACATACTAACAAAAGATTTCGCCAAACAGTTGAAATAATAAGCCGCCAATTCATCATTTACGTGTGAGTGAATGTAACTTCGAATGCATATTTCTGCACCTCTAAAACATTATGTTGAAGTTCAAGAGCTTCAATTTGGCTCACCCATTCCAAGTGAGTGAGCCAAATCTAGAAGTTTAAGTCAGCGCGAATGACAACGACCTCTCTAGTCAATAAATCTCCTCGAAAACGTGGGCAGGTTTCGGGTTGAATGGACTAAACATGTAGAAGTAAAGGCAGTAGAAGTGTTTTTTTCAATCGTCATAGGTTGGCACTTCAAAGTTGCTCCAATGTAGGTGGAGAGTTTGAGCTCGCTTAACTTTCGCATGAAAAGTGGATATAATAACATATGGCGTATCATTAGCACCCTACCATTTCTTCAACTCAACCATCAATTCTCCAACTCACCATATCTCACCCACACCTCCCAAAAAAACACACAGTCCTTACCCCCCAAATAAACAATATATCAAACCGTCCATGTCGCCCAAACCCAACGTCCAAACTCCTTCTCTTCCCCAGTTCTCTTCCTCCGCAGTCCACACCCTCACAACCATCCACAACCACCTGCATCTCCTGCACCACCGCAACAAAAACCAACATCGTCTGTCCAAATGGTATAAACCATTCTCCATCTTCCGTCGCCAGATCCCGAAATTAATCGCTGAATTGGAGAGATATGAGGGCGCACGTGCTATCAGGGAGACTAGTAGTTTTACGAGACAGGCGAGGGAGGAGGTGAGGAGACGGGTGGAGTTTTTGGGGGTGTTGAGAGGGGGGTGGTTTTTGTGAGTTTGCGAAAATTTACTTTCTCTGTCTTTCTCTAAATCCTTTTTCTTTTAAAAAAAAAGAGTGGTGGGGCAGTAAAAAAGCAGAGTTAAGCTAACGACAACAGAGCATTTTCGAAACTCGTAGCTGATAGCCAATTTTCGGCGCTAGGACTGATGTTGCTAGGGTGTCTAGCGCGGTTTTGGAGCGTGCTGAGGAAGATTGGGGGGGATGTTGGGGTGGTTTTTGATGGTGAGGATGAGGGTCACGTTCTTGGTGAGGGGTTAGGTGAGGTTGCTGTTAAGGGTGATGAAGTGGGTGAGGTTGTTGTTAGGGAAAAGCCAGGGGATGAGTTGGGTGAGAGGGTTGAGAGGGTGAGGTTTGTTGAAGATGAGGGACTTGGTTCTTTACCTAAGAAAAGTGTCAAGAGAAAGGAGAAAGCGAAGGGGACAGATGAGCTCGCTAAGAGCGGGCCTTGGCTAGAGAAAGGGTTAATTGAGAAGAGCGAGGACGTGGAAGACATGGCCATTAATCGACCGCCTAAGAAGAGTTCCGAGAAGAAGAGGCTGAAAGAGGTATCAGAGGACATCACACAAGCAAAGTCAGAAAACCGGCCGAAAAAGAAGAAGAAGAAAAAGGACGCGTTTGATGATCTATTTGGTAGTCTAATATAACCAAATCAACAGACATAATTTTTGACGCCGTATATGCATACTTCCTTGATCTTCAGTAACTTTTCCATGCCCTCAATTTAAACTCTTTTTGAAACTCCCTCTCTTGAACTTTTCACCTGCATACCTTAGATATACTGACTACCAAGCCAATACATACCACTGCCAAGCACAACATTAACACCTAAATGCTGTCCCAAACTCCACGCCATACTATACAAATACTTGGGACTGAAGACTGTCCAAATAAACAGATGCGTCCTTAATAATGTGCAAGAAGCCATGACGAACAGTAAGACGGCCGTCACGAATAGTGTGAGAATTGCAAGATGTTGATATAAAACGTCTTTCACTCCCTTCGACTTGAGTCTTAGGAGCATCAGAGTCGTGGCGGATGTCCAGAAAATCGGACCCGTCCAGTTATTTGCGAAAGTTAGGATTCCGACTGCGACGACGTTATAGCCGCTTACACCATTGTAGGCGGAGGAGAGATCAATGGAAGAAATGGCGTTCGATCCGCCTGAGGCGAAGAAAGATGTGTGTTGGAAAAGAATGGTTGTTGTACTTGTTTCTACAATGTTAAGGTCTAAATCGGCTAAAATCGGGAACTGTATCTCAAAAAGGAGAAGGAGAGGGATGTTTGTTGCCCTAGATTGCGTAATCAGGAATAATGTTAGAAGATTGTGGATTGCTCGCATATTTCCTGGAAGTTGTTAGCGAAATACCCATGAATGTAATGCAAACTCACGGTTTGGTCGCGCCTGACTGAACCCAGAAATGATCGTGTAGAGCATTGCAAGACCAATAGCTGCGAATGCAATTCTTGCTCTTGATACTAATAGAGCACCACCAAGGCCATTGTCCGCCATTTGCTTAGCAAATCCAGCTAGGAGCTCTGGAGAATCCTCGTGAGTGAAGGCAAGCTTGAATGTGACAGCAGCAGTTATGATAGCAGCTGAAATAGTACCAGCAGCCCAGCGCGGAAAGCGAGGAAAGCCTAGCCTGGTAAGAACCTGGAGATTTGCCAAGTATGTTACAGCTACAAAAGACCAAAGAACGAGTCGATGTTCAAAAAAGAAAGACTTGGCAATATCCCGCTCACCAGCCCATTTCTGCCCGGTTTGATTCCAGCGCCTTGTGATGCGGCTTACTATCATCAAAACAATTACGCTTAGTTGAAGAAATCCAGTTTGGACACCTTTTCGTCGACTACACAATCGTAAGTTCAGCTGCTTGACCAAACAGGAGATGAAATACCTTTTAACCCAAAGTAAAGCTAACCAAAGACTTGTAGCCCAGTACCAGAAATGATGCTCTTCCTCCACGAAGCTACTTGCGGTCATTGTCGCCCCGTACACTAGAGTCATTCCAATGAAAGGTAAGCTAGTCCTAGGAAGTCTTGCGAAAGTTGGCGCAGCCGATATTGAGGCTAGAACAAGCCCAGCACCTGTTATCACTTGGCCGGTAACAAGTTTCGACACATCGTAGTTACTAGCTGTGCCACTCATCAATTCTTGAGCCTCTTTGAGCCACTGAAGACAATTAGCTAGCGGCTTTTTTTTCCTTATACGTTGAGATTGTTACCTCGGAAGTGCTCGAGAACCATTTTTCAGTACTTCTGTTTTCGTCTTTAGGGTTAGGTAACGTCTGCGACATAATTTTCCATTTACATGCCAGACGCTCAATATCAGTTCCCAGCTCATGACAATTTGATGAAGGCCCCTCGCTTTCAAAGGATGGAAATGTGGCAGTCACCACATTCTGTATCTGTTTAGCATTTCTCCAAAGAATCTGGATTTTATCATTATCTGCAAAAGTCAATCAGCCATCAGGAGGAGATTCCATTTTATTTCCACTCACTGTTCTTCCAAAATGGCAAAAATTCGGGAATGAAAGTTCCCAGATTGTTTTGCGGTATTGGAAATCCTAACAGCGAAGCTAAAGTAGGAGCAATATCTGACTGTTCCACAAAATTGTAATATCGAAAGTCTTCTTTCAACGGCGCTGGTATTTCTCTGCCCGAATTGATTGTTTTTAATTTAGGAGACATGAACACAAGTGCTGGCGAAGTTTCACCTGGAGCAGAACCACCATGATTACCAGCATCATTCATTCCGTGGTCTCCGCACAGGACAAATAAAGTAGACTGAAGTGATCTCTGGGTCTCGATGGCTTTGTATATTTGGGAAACGATCCCATCCATCTCACGTTGCTTGGGGATCATATTCGGGCTGATCATGGTCAGCTTTGTTCAGATCTACGGCATTCAAGCTTGTTACCTTCGAGGGCCAGCCTTGTGCCCAATATGGTCAAGTCCTAAGTAATGTAATACCATCGTATTCCAATCGGAATTTGCAAGCTCTTCTGGGACATGTCTCGTAACATTAATATCCACTTCTGTAAAATCCTAACACCATAGATTCAGCTACTTGATATATACTCCTATACGCGATGGACTAACCGCAACAAAAAAGCTAGAAGTTCCATCTGCCCTGTCAAAGAAGTTTGGAAAGAGCTTAAGCCAGGTATCATCTCCATACATGACCATTTTGCCGTTTCCCTTCGCTTTCAGTTGCGCCAACCAAGTATCTTGTATTGCAAGCGTGGAGCTTGTATCTGACTCTGCGAAATTAAGTATAACATCTAGAAATGATGGTGTTGATCCAGTAGTAATTGCTTTGATTCTGGGCATGGTAATCGTGGGAGACGTCGCATAAGCAGTGAACGGGATCGCGGCCCCAGAGGCTATCAAGCTGCAAATACATTGTCAGAATGGTAATGGTAGGCAATTGCGGAAGGACACATACCTCTGTGTAAATTGGAAACCAGAAAGACTAGAAAAGACAAAATCACTACCGCTGTTAGCATTCTGCATGAATTGTTGGATATCTTCCTACCTCCGCAAAGCATCGACAACCATGAAAATAACCTTATCAAAAGGAGCTACTGGCGGCGGGCCATATTCAAGAGTTTCATACTGGGCCAGACCGGAAAGGAATGGCTTGTATGGAAAGAAGCCACTGGCAAAGATTAGTATTGCGATTGGGATTAAAATATTCGCTGCCAGGAGGCAGATGGCCGACATCCGTGAGACCATTTCGTTAGTGGTCTAACATTCAAGCGACTGAGTCGGCCTAAGGAAGTAACAGGTCTCGAATGTTGGAGGCTTTATGATAAAGAACAATAGCCATTGTAAGCACAAGAGTTGCTGATACGAAGTGAGATGTCGCGGCGAAGGGAAGCATCCTGCGCGAGACGCGAAACGACACCGATAAGGACCTTATCGCAAGAATACGAGGTGAAATATTTGACGGTCCAATGTTGCTTTTCAAACTAGATTTTCAACACAGTAAATTCAACGTATGGCAAAGTTGAGTTTTAAATCACCCTGTATGCTTGTATTGGAAGCTGAAAATAAAAACTTTATTTCAGCCAAACAGAACCTGCAATATCTAGTGAAATATCTCCGACATAACCCTTCTACTCCATGCGCCTATACACCCTCCTAGATCTATCCTTGAACGCCAGCCAATGCACCACATCTACCATCGCCTCGACTCTAGTATATTTTCTGTTTCTTCGTTTTGTTGAGATGCTTCTCTTTGTATTTCGGAAAGACTATCGACGCTTTGCGACTAGATTTATGTCTTCTCTTCTGGACTCGGCCATTTTTAATGGTTGATGTTTTCGAGGTGTTTTGATCAACATCCATAGCTGAGTAGAATCAGTGAGCAGTTGTATAGGGATCTTCATATATTGGCCGTACCTTCGGCATCCTTCTTTTCATCTGCGGCGTCCGCGTCCTTATTTTTCAAATCGCCTATATCCATAAGTCAAGGTTCAAAAGTTGACCATGATAGGCACCATACCGTCTTCAACTTCCATTCCATCATCTTCCTTCGCAGGTTTTGGTGTAGGTTGCGCGGCTAATTCAAGCAGTTTTGCAGATAGTCTCTCCATCCGCGCATTTTCGACCGGGCCAAAGACATTTTTCTTCAGTCGTACATTATTCGCCTTCCGCGAAGTTGCTCGCGCACCCTTTGCCATGTTGACTGCGTGAATTGGCGTTCTAATACGGAAAGTGGAAGTATGGTGGAGGGGTAAGACCGATCTTCGTCAAAGATTGATTTCTTGCCTCGCTCCTCGCTTCACCTGTGCAAAAATCTGGCCAGCTTTCTGCCACTAAATCGTGACACCGCCTAGACCAAAGTGGGCCCTCACTGACAACCTCGACTGACAAAATCGTTGGTAGAGCACAGCCTAAGAGGGGCAATTAGATTCTTTCGTGAAAATTCATGACGTTCGTTGCCAGATGAATGTCTCAGGATGCTTCTGCCCGCCAGATAGAATTCACCCATTCCGGCAGCTCCAACTATCGCGACTGCTCCCCTGGATGCAGCAACACTTCGCAACTTCCCCCAACGCCTCGTGAAGCCCGTCCTTCAGAATGGCCTCGTTGGGGCCCGCTGGCTCGTTAGATACCGAGCCTCTTATAAGAACAATAAAAGATGGTGGCCTGCTCAATAAGACCCTCATGTCGATATGCGTCGCCGAGAGCATGAACAAGACTGGAGTCAAAAGTGAGCTCCAGAACCGGATCATCGAGAGTACGTCGTCACCTTAGACCATGCTGCGACGCCGCTTCCTGGCCATCTTGCTGTCGCCTACATGATATCGCATAGGCACAATACTAATACCTTCTTCTAGGAATTCGGTTATATGCGAACCAGAGGAACTTCACCAAGTTCGAGGCCCTAAGGAGCCTCATAAACCGCCCGCTCGGTAATTCCTCATCTTCGCCATACTCTGGAATGGCGAACTCGTCCTCTCCAGCACGAAACACCCCAGCAGCAGTGGTGGCTCCGACCGGATATCCAGCCGCTGGCAGTAACTTCAATAACGGCTTCAACATGGGTGGAGGTGCCAATGGCTATCGAGGATTTGGCCAGCTTGGTCAGTCGATGTCGCAAGGTTGAACATGCGCCAGGCTAATATGGTTCAGGAATAAATTTCAAGCCCAGCCCTTTCTATACGATCGAACAGCAACTAGGTCCTACTCAGACATGTGAAAGTAAGCTTTCTGGAATTTTGCTCTAATAGCAAAGCTGATAAGGTTCAAAGTCATGCAGCATCACCGACACACGGTAAAGATTACGCTTCGAGCCTCAGATCACCCAGCATTGCAGACCTTAAAGGTTGAGCCATCTCTACGAGTAATGGTGCTTTGCGCCGCCGAAAAAGTTGGCCTGCAAGACATTGCTTTCCCGCATCAATCTGAGATCAAGGTCAATACTGGGGAAGTCAAAGGCAATCTTCGCGGTTTGAAAAATAAGCCCGGCTCAACAAGACCTTTAGATATCACAAAAGAGCTTCGCTGCACCCCGATTTCTTACTCCAATGCGATAGAGATGACCTACGCATTAACAACCAAGGCAGGTGGTGGTTTTCAAGTTAGCGACCTCATCCACTCCTATCCTTGCATTTTCAACACCTTTTGAGTCCCTTTTGCGCCGTTCTGGATCGTATTCATGCTGACTTTGCAATAGAAATTTTATATGGTCTGTTACCTGGTAAGGCTGGTTCCTGTCACGCGATTAGTCGAACGTCTCAAGGCCGGTCAGAAAATCACTGAACAATCGGTGCTGAATGATAGTAGGATTACCTTGATATATCAAAATAGGTCGAAATGAGCGCTAATAGTTGCACATAGTGGCCATCAAATCCCGCGATACCGACATCGTGACAACCGCATCCGTGTTGTCATTGAAATGCCCTCTATCGACGTTAAGGATTAGCTTGCCTTGTCGTTCAGTAGCTTGTCGACATAATCAGTGCTTCGATGGAACATCTTATCTACAACTTCAAGAACAAGCTCCCACTTGGCTTTGCCCGATCTGCAGTAGATCGGCCCCGTTTGACAGTTTGGCTGTGGACCAGTAAGCATATCTCGATCTTAGAATGAGCTGGCACTAACCAGGAAATAGATATGTAGAGAAGATCCTCATCAACACACCCGACTCAGCAGATCAGGTCACTGTTCAACCGGACGGGAAATGGCAGCTACACAGCAAAAATGACAACCCTTCACAAAGCAACGGCGTTGCTAGCGATGACGACGACGACGACGATCTCGTGGAGGTTACCAAAAACGGCGACAACGTGACGATGGGAACCCCCCAGCCGTATGGCTCATTTCAAACTCCCTACAATCAAAGATCGGTCTCCACCTCTTCTGGTATGCAGGGCTCAGTCAGCAGTAAACGGCCTATCGCTGCCGTTATCGACCTGACCTCGAGCGGCGATGAAGACGAAGAGCCAATCTCTAGGACTCCGAAACGCCAGCTTACGAACGGGTATTCCGCCTCGTCCTCCGTCCCAGTCTACAGGCCTCAGCCGTCGAATGGGTATAATCACCAATTTTGATTTTCGTTACAATTCTGCATTTCATTAATACTGCAATGTCGAGCCTAGCATGTAAACTATTATATGATTCCCAGGGACTTCTAGGTTGATATTTGGCGTTCGGGGGAGATAGGATTATTGCTTGCGAATCGCATTCAAGGCGGCGTCTACAAAGGTGGCATGGTATAGGGAGGCGTTCCAAATGTGTGCTTGTGCTATGGCGAATCTGCACATTCTTAGAGCCTTCATAGCACGTTCATTTTGTAGAAATGAAGTGATTCATCACATGTAACTTTTCCCATTTCATTTGGAGTCGTCTACAATTCATGCAAAGAGAATTGAACAGAGGCTTATAATTGAGGTTTCTTGAATTCTTGGAAATTTATAAATAGTTCAATTTACTATCCATAATGCTCACATATGCCATCAAAGTGAGTACTTCATAACGCTTGACGTGAATTCATAATAACCAACATTCCTCCGCTCTACTGTTCTTTTTCTAGGTTATGTCTACTCGGAACGTCCTCACAAACTAATGTAGACCTTCCGGTACTCCGTCCCATGTATACCAAATTGCTTCCCAGCTAGTACAGTTTTGTTCCTTATCTCACCAGCCATGACCGCTAATGCAGGATTATTTACTTAGACCATCACGCCCTCAATATCACGTTCTCTCTTCCCGTAGCAGTCACTTGCGTGTCATCTCCCAGGCAAAGTCGCGAAAGGTAAGAAAACGGGTAACCCGCAAAATCATAGCGAAGTGTGATGGGTTATAATGGATGAGTTATAGTTGACCCATAAAAAGCAGACAGTGTTCAGCAACTTAGGTCTAGTCCCTGGAAAGCGGATTCTCCGGCTTTCGTGGCGGCGATGAAACCTTTGGTTTCTCAGAATACGTTCCAACTAGACCTGTTGCGCTAGTTGCGTTCATCAAGAGCGAGGAATTCACAGGCTCGGCCGGCGTTCCAATGCCGGAATGCATCGCAGGTGTACCCATACCTGACAGAGGGCTCACGAAGCCACTCGGGGGTACTGGGATTCTAATATCCTCTGGTGATCCTGGAATAATCTTGTCCGCGACACCCGGTATTATTATACGCTTTGCTTCGTTTTGGTAAGAAGCAGGAATGATCTATATCGCTATTAGCACACATAAAACCTGGAGTATGGAGCTTGTGCGTAACTCACTTCGATGATTTCATTTCGAGGAAACTTGAGAGTCGGAATACTCATGGCGTCACAAGCCATGAGATATCCATAAAGAACTCGAAGCACTGATTCATGCGCAATAATGAGAAGATCGTTTTGTTCACGCTCGAGTTCTAGAATTATCGGCTCCAAACGGACAGCAAGATCATGGTATGACTGATTCTATTAGCAGGAGTGATAACTCGGACAAGTCAAATTTACCTCAGCTCTTGGATATCTGTGGTGGTATGGATCCTTCTCATGCAAGCTAACTTCGTCAGGGAAGAGGCGTCGGATTGCACTCTCAGAAAGCTTCTCGCAGACTCCTGGATTAAGTTGGCTCATTTGGGATCTCTGCCGAACCTTGAATCCGAGCTCTTCTAGACATTCTGCGGTTTCCACTGTGCGCTTTCTCGTGGAAGTCCAGACAGTCAACGGCTTAAGAGGAGCATCAGAACCGCCTTCTGCAATCAGAGCCTCTCTTTCAGCTTCACGATGCGCAAGAAGTGTATCTGACATTTTCTTTGCATAGTCTGCACCCTCTGAGGAGAGGTGTGCGTCTAGTTTGTACGAATCTTGTTGGCTCGATGTACCCGCTCTAGCGAAGAAGGTATGTCGAGACTTGATGTGTAAATTCATCAAGTAGAACACAATACGGTGTGACAAGTAGCCGAAGCTTACATTGTTATATTGAATTCTCTCTCCAGCGTTTATCATTTTGACATAGTTGAGGTCCGGTTCACTCATAGTCTCAAAGTATGGAATTTTCATATCAATCCTCTTTAGGTAAAGTTGCGCGGCTTCATCAGGATCCATACCGACGAACTAAACCGAGTTAGATCCATATACAAGATACAGGGGTGGTATGAAATTTGAGTAGCTTACGTCCGGTGAGGATATTTTAACGGATCTTGCATTCTCTTGCAATATCCTCTCGTCAGTCACATACGACTCCAGGAACAGGGTCTGTAGAAAGTTAGCGGCAAGGTAGAGACGGCGAGTGATAAAACGAAACATACTTGGACATCATGTTTCGCGAATTCTTTTGCAAGTGACCGCCGACCATTTACTAACGGATTGACCGCGTCGTAGATTGCCACTTGTCCGTTCTCATGGTTGAGCCAGGCGTAAATATCTTCTCTACACTTCTTAAGGATCTTTTGACGAATCATAACCGAGGCGGCAGAAGCGTTGATGAAAAAGTAGTCGTCTGGAACATCTACGCCGGGGCCCATAGTTGCTCTTCGGTAATCACCAAGATGGAACACTCTTGTCTTAACACCGAGCCTACATCGGTTAGTTCCACTACATAGCTGGCTGGAAACAAAGTCATTTATTTACCATTGGAGGTATCGACACAAGGAAACTGAAACATGTCTAGCTTAGTTAGCAAGCGTCTAGTGATGACTCCAAGATCGACTTACGTTTTTCCACGAGCGGGTAAACCGACAAGCACAATGGCTATTCTCCCCGAATGGAAAAGTCGCCCTGACATGGTACTGTACAGTTGGGCCGGAGCCATTGGAGAGCTGTTTTCATTTGGAACATCGTGAACACCATCTATAAAAGTTGACGAACGTCTACGGTATCTAGGCGAATTGGCCGCAATCTCGGCGGTGCTACCATCAAGAGCCATACGGTCAGCCGAATTCTTAGCAAGAACGTCATGAAGTTCAGGACGAAGTGCATTTCCGGCATTAATGAGATCTCCTCTCCAGTCTATCGCCTCGTTTTCGTGTATTGCTAAATCCTGCTCGAATCGGGAGCAAAGCTTACGCTCAAGCGAGTCACAGAAGTAAGAAGGCCTCATATTGCTTTCTTTTCTGGCTGCGTGGTTGCGTCGTAAGAGGATGGTGTTCTGAGAAAATCCAGGTGACCAGGAGTGTTTTTGACATAGAAACGGATATAATTATGTATTTAAAAAGAAGTTCACTCACAGAAGCGTATCCATGGTTGTATTAGGTCAAGACCAAATTGGAAAAGTCTTCTTCAAGGAAAATGAGCAGGCCAGAAAATGAAACCGTAAAGCACGTTCGTCGTTGATCTTCACTTGCCAAAGCTAACTTGAAATTATGCAATGAAGGAAAGAGCGAAGATGCCAATTCGTCGATTCAAAAGCGGCAGACTCCTCGTATGACAGGGAACTTGGAAACCAGTTGAGTTTGTCGATGTGAGATTCTTGGTGTGAGTAGGTTTGATATTGAGATTTTCCGTAATTAGCAGGGGTTCCTAGAGGAATTGATGGCACATATCAGAAGCTATTGTAGAAATGTCAACCGGTGTAGTTGAGCCTGACGGGGACCGAAAGCGAAGATATCCGATAAGGAAGGGATTACGAGCTTTTAATCGAGGCGTCGAGGTCCACTCCAACCTATCAGTGCCCAGTGCTTTATTCTTGCCTCAGGCATCATGAGGCAGAGCTCCTTTCTGGGAACTATTTTCTAAACTTTTGTTCTTGAACACAAGCGCATCAAGCTCCGGTGTGTACGTTGTTGCGCATCCACCTCCATCCCTCGAATTCATCTTCCGGTTGTTTTCCTCTTAAGCCACAATTCGCCTTCGAAGCTATTCTAGATCTGGTTGATATCTCCCGCATCCGCTCATCAATATGTCCTCAATTTCGCTGGAGAAGGAGTCTCCTTTAGATTTCCTGTTCACCAACCCAGTAGGGACAGCTTTGGCAGATACATATCTTTCTTTCTCGCAGAGAAGGGCGGCGCTAGGATTGTCGAACCCAGGGACAGTTGAAAACATTGCGCGGGAGGTCCAGCGAGATGTATTTCTTACCAACTACACCTTTTCCGGGCTGAGAGCGGATCTTACCAAAGCTCTCAGCATTGCTCCTTTATTCCAAGTCTCGCATGCCTTGTCTATGGGCTCGCAGGGCCTGCCGCCATATACATTTGCAGCTCTATTCGGTACAAACAGGGTCAGTAGATTATCGAGACTCCATCGAATTGAGTCTGCCAACATTAAGGCGACCGAATCTTATGCTGAATGCTGACGCGCTACATCATAGATTTTCATGCAAGGGAATGTCGATAACGAAGGTCAACTCTCAACCAGATTCAATTACCGATGGACGCCCTCGTTGGTGACAAAGACTCAAATTCAAATGGCGCCAGGAAATCAATCGATGATGCAGTTGGATAACGAGTATACCGGTGCTGATTTCACTGCCTCAATAAAAACACTCAATCCTTCCGCACTCGATGGTGGCCTCACTGGTATCTATATTGGAAGCTACCTACAATCCGTCACCCCAGCTCTTGCTCTCGGTATGGAGGCAATCTGGCAACGCCAGGCCCTGAATCAAGGACCGGAAACTGCTCTATCATTCTGCGGAAAGTACAGAGGGAGTGACTGGGTTGCGAGCGCCCAGCTTGCTGCACAAGGAGCGATTAGCACATCATACTGGCGAAGACTTACGGACAAGGTTGAGGTGGGTGTGGATTTGAATCTGCAATTTGCTGGACTGTCAGGAGCCGGAATGATGGGAGGGGTGAGGAAAGAGGGCGTGACAACAGTTGGTGCCAAATATGACTTCAGAATGTCTACGTTCAGAGCACAAGTGGATTCGACCGGAAAGTTGAGCTGCCTGCTGGAGAAGAGAGTCGCCCCAATGGTCAGCTTGACATTTGCATCCGAAATGGACCACGTAAAGGTACGTGACAGTAGCTTTTGAACTTCGGGCTTTGAACTAACATACTATGCTAGCAATCCGCAAAGGTCGGTCTCGCCGTGTCCATAGAGGCCGGAAGCGAGGATCTTGTAGAACCAACCGGACCACCAGCGCAAATCCCATTTTAAGCGATTGAGACCACCTACGATCGAACCCTCCACTCTATATAATGCCTGAAAATAAATGTACTCCTGGAAATATTGGGTGCCGCCATCCTCTAACCACTTTTTTCGACTCACGCTTGTTTTACTACGACCACTGCTGGGGGAAGATTATCTTCACAGACGACTTATCTTGGTGGTAATGTTTCACGCCTACGCCTAGCTTGGTGTCCTCCCAATAGAGGCTTCCTTCTTTCTGCATATTTTGGTGGATAACATGAGAGATGTGATGAACATAGACGGGACATTATTTTCCTCAATTTTGCGTTTGTTTTCTTAAGTCGTGGCGGTTGCGAAGCATGGTTTGGGTGCGATGGGTGACTCGTTTAATGCAAATGAAAGTGTATGAGTTGCTTGTGTGTCGGTTTATTGCCGACAAGAGGGAGATTTATTGAGTAGTTGGACGATGGTATTCTGTAATATAGCGGCTGTTTCTAGGTTTTTGGGGGTTGGACGAGGTAAGAGGCAGACTTGGCATGGAATGTGCTGCTGTAGATACCTGTTGTACAAAATAAAAGGATGTAACATGTTGATATGATGTTTACGTGTGATATCTTTTGCTGGTGATGTGGTATTGGCAAGTGGAAACTAGCTTCCCCTCCTCTACATCGTGCACAGCAGGCACCCTTCCGCTGTATTCTTAAAACTAATAGCATCTCAATCAACAAATAAACCAAACCTCTGCTGTAGCCCAGGTATTTAAGTGGTAGAAAGAAGCCAAGCCTTTAATACAGTGTACCAAATGAGTCTTGTTGAGTGGAGTGAGTTGAGTTACGTGCCTCGATCAATGGCACTCAATGACGTTGAGGTTATTCAAGGCTAATTTAACTCATAGTTGAGTACCTCATGAGTAGTCTGAGTAGTCTGAGTAAGTTGAGTAATTTAAGTAACTTATGGGGGTACTACTTCAGTACCCCATTGAAGATATAGCCCAAGATGTACTTTGAGAACGACAATTTTCATCTCATTTTTGTGATGGAACCAGCGTCTACTCCCAGGTCTGATAGTCAAATTTCAGAGTCCACTTGCGCATTTCTAGTGGCATAAGACGTTTGTTTAGCATGCTCAAAGAACTTCCTGGTCACTCCTGATATGCATGTATTTTTCTTAGTCTAATGAAATTGTACGAGATCCATCCTGTCTCTCTCACACTGAGCTTCGTGAGATCAACGTGTGTCAAAAGGCATGATATGTGAAGTAAGTAGCTACTTATGAGGATCCTAAGAAAAAGAGGTTGTGAATACTCTTCAATCTTCTTACATAGCTCGAGTGTCCAAGAAAACGATAGAAGCTGATGTAGAAAAGCGTTGCAAGTTTATAAAACCCAGAAGTTTAGCAATACTCGAGAGTGATTTTGACACCTTTCTCTTGAATGTGTATTCAAAGTGTGGTCTCGTCTGTTTTCGACAATTTCTTTTCAAGTAAACTTTTTGATTACTTTTCTAGTTGAGGGCAAGTAACTTGAGATTTATAGATGCTTTAGGATTGGAGAAATTGCATTTTGGTGGTTAATAATGTTTTGAAGAAAAGAATAAACCGTTGCTTTATTTGGTCGTCTGCTCACTCTAGTGTAGAAAGTGGTTGGTTTGATACAGGAGGTAGATAATTAATCAGAAAGCCTTACCACACCAGGAAGAAACTTTGGCAGTTACTGGGTGAAGATGATACACGCCCACAATGTCTAAAAGATCAGATGTTATGACTTTGTGATACCACATGATATTTTGTCACATGCATGCCTCAGATTCCCTCCTTTTCTTCGATGGATATCCAGCAATGTCAAATTGCGTTTCCGCCTCATTATGATTCGCCTTTATAGTTCGAACATTTGAAATGTATTAGGACCTCCAAGTCATATGTCGTGGATTTTTGTGTCCAGAGAGTGTGACATAAATCATGATCTACCTTGTTACGCTACTACTGTGATTGTGAAATTGTGAAAAGAAGAAGGTTGGAGCTAGATTCTGGAAGATATGTAAAGAGCGAGGTGGCGTTGAATGTACAGTGTGGTATGAACTGCGTCATGCTTTTGGATCTTGAAGTGATGGTTTGAGGATGACTTGGTAGTTCTGACTGATTAAGGACATGAAAGATCAAATTTCACAGATACGAAAATAGCACAGTTGTATAGAGACACTTGAAAGCATGGAATTAAAAGTAGGAATGGTTTGAATTGTGTAAATTATGGGTTAGACGAAAATTCGCCTTTTCGATTCAAGATTACCAAGTTGTCCTATGATGAACCCTGTGCACTAAGAACGCACGTGCAAGTCCCTCGTAGAACATGTTATATAGCTCAATATTATGTGGACTATACCAACGAGCGTCTCGGTTATACAAATGCAATGTATAATAAGCTTACATAGACCGCAGCAAGCACTTTAAACAACATGTCGCTCAAAAAATCTATCCTATGAGACTTTGCATATACCAACAGGGAATCGGATCACAAGACCCTTTATAAGCATTCTCGAAACTCATCACATACATGAAGAAATGACCAGTGCAAATATATAAGAAATGCATCGATAATACGACACTGCGTTCTAGAAGAGGATACTAGCGTCAGGTACGAACACGTATTCTACCGACTATGGCTAGAACCCAGGATGAAGGATTGAAAGCGTACAGCGGGGAGATGTTCGGAATATAACATGCATTCCCAGATATATGTCGTCGCTTGACTGGTATTTGGAGACGAGGTAGACACACGTGGGGGTGTGAAAAGGCACTTCTTCATCCAGTGAGGAAAACTCTGGAAGAACTGTTGTGCCACGCTCTGACCGTAAACCAACAGCGGGTGAGACGACGCGCTGGGAATTTTGGGGACGTTGCAGAATCGATGGACAAAGACTGAGATAGGTCGACCATCACATGAGATCCCCAGAAAGAGTCAAGAAAGGGCGGAGATCGGGTAAATGTCCCCGGCTGTATCGCTGTGTCCCAAAGCTGGCGACTTCTTGGACAGCTTCATGTATTGAGTGGGGCTTGTCATAAATCTTGGATCGTTCGGAGATTTGTTTCTGATGATGATTAGTAGATTCTGTGAGTATATATGGACCTGGAAGGTATTTTCACACGTGATGATATGTTTAGCTGCTGGGACACAACAGGATTGGTGTGATATGTCAAAACTAACCTGGATGCCAGTCAAGACTAAGAGAGTTATGTAAAGTACCAACGTACCGGTCATTTGTCAGCTTATAGATATACTGGCACATGTCAAATCAGCTTGAGAAGCGCCGTATGCGATGGAAAAGTAGTATTTCCTGTGAAGGTACTAAGCCACACCCTCAATCGAGACAAAAGTGTTTCCAATCCTTGGAAACAACGCATCCGGATGTCTTGCTTGACGTTTAGTCGTTTTCCCGGACCGCGAGACCAAGGCGAAGCAGCAATTGATCAACATAAATAGACATCCACGATCATGGTCCGGCACGGGAGGAGGGAAGAAAGGGAAGAAGCGAGCGGAAGAGGAAGACTGTTGCGGGTGGTGATCTTCGGCGAGATACCCGTTTGTTGGGTTCCAAAACCGCATTCGACATATATCTACATCGTACTGGCGGGTTTGGGTGCGATAATGCCGGGTAGAGTGGTACCGATCTCTGTGATTATTGGCCGTGAACTGTGTCCTGTGTTGCATGAAGATGTGGATGCAGCCTCCTGAGAGCAGATCTTGAGACGCATCTCGCTCGTTTGGGACGGAAAGACGGGTTGGGAGAGTGTACCAAAGTACGCATTTTTCGTACCACGCCGCGATGGGATGCAGTAGGAGTAGGTGGGCGGCGGCGAGACTGATGATGAGGTTATTATGTACAGAACGTTGATGAGTGCGCATAATTCCAATGGCAGGCGGGTGATGATCCGGGTAAGCTGTTCAAAGACGAGTCGTTGGCTATGCGAATTGTGATATGTGATATGTTAAAGCTGTTTCTGGGACATGGTTCCATGTATAGCACTCCCAACTGCTCTCTGCATACGTGTGTGCCACCGGCATCGCTCGACATCGTCACTTTTTCTTGTGGTGTTGTCGTCTTGCTTGCTTGCAACCCCACCGGGCCACCCACGACATTTCATCGTCAAGCGAACGGAACCCCTCACTTCCCCTCACTTTATGTTCGTAGGGCCGGAGCCAATATGAATTCTATTTGTGATCCAGCATGATGTTCAAAATCGTATCTTTGGACGCGGTCTGGAGCTATACTCTGCGTTGTTGCTAGAAAATGGATAGTCGTAAGTCAACTTGTGTAGGAGAGCTCCCACATCTCGAGAGACAAATATCTTCTTTCTGGAAAATGTCTCAACCGTAGACATTGTTGTGCTCCTGGCAAGTGATATGGACTGAAGACATGAGATTATTATTTTCCCTTCTGGTGTAGTACTGGTTGCACTCACTGGCAGGCCATATCTCCGGCTTGTGCCACGGCTTGTGAGAGCTTGCGTTGGATTGGATACACATATGCGAGCCTACCTCAGGATACGGGCAGAATGGTGAACCCAGATACTCGCCCAAGTCAGCTGTGAACGTTAGTGATGCGAGTGGTTACCTGCGTATATGTCGGAGTTGCGTCCAAGTCACGGCTCTTTGCTTTATCTGGACCACAGACTCTGTACCTGTGTAATCTGCTTGGAATGAGGCTGGAGGGCCATAATCGACACCCGAACCTGTGAATGAGGCTTTCGTAGTGGCTCTACGTACTTGCCGAGCACAGAAGGCCTGGACCTAATCTGAAGAGTTAGAAGCGGAAGATCGATCTCATCACTTGTACCAGGCCGCTGGATGGTGTCACGATGTACTCGGAACTAAAGATTGGCGTTGCTCCGACTCTCGACTCATAGCGGCGTTTTGTGTCTACTTCTGCCCATGAGGTTTTGTCCCAAAAGGCATTTAGAATACTCGCCTACGTGAACTGAGACAAAGGGGGACTGGTCACGAGCAGTTTCTGGAGCACTGAATGTGTCCAGAAGTGGATCGACGAAGGGGTAGAACGAGGTTTGTTGGTCTCTTCGCTAGCCGATGTCTTTTGCTATTTCGATCCCGTCGCCCCAGCTTGCATGTGGCTGAAGGATGTGAGGTTAGCGTTTGAAGAATCCCATGAGAAAACCATGTCTCTGGAAGAGAAACTCCTGAAAGCTTCCCGTTTTTGGCTGGCGGGCGTGGAAACTCGTGACACTCTTCCGCTCCGCAAGGAGAATGAAGCTATCGATAGCTGTCGCACCGTCATTTCATTGGCCAATGAACCTAAGCGCAAGAAACACTATCCGGGTCAAGACGCCAGAGAGAAACACACGGCCGTTTGGTACGAAAGGTACGTAGGACTTCCGGCAAGCTGGTACCTTCGCCTATTGGCTTGCGTGGTCTGCTTTGTTCACAACTCCTGGCGAGGCACGGCGCGTCTGGATCACACTGCCAGTGCCATGTCGTCGCCGTCTCGAACCTCCAAGTTCGTGAGATGACCAAACAATGAGATTAATATTAGCTTATTAGCTTAACCTGCAATAGCCGTGCTGGATCACGGGTCGAAAAACAAACTACGTGAGCTGAAGTCGTTAACGACAACCGAACCTCCTCGCTTCACAAACTATGGTGGGTACTGTTGCGTAATAGGTTAACATTGATTTTTGACTTCCGGCACCTCGCCGGTCACCGTATTTTTGCACATTCTTCATACGCCTAGTCCTGCCTTATTTGCAGATTAAGCTTGTCTAAGAAGCCTGGTCTTTTGCCGCTCCGATATCAGGTTATTTTAATGTTCTGACAGTCCGTAATGGGAGCACAAATGGTGCTGTCCTCCGGACCAAACAACAGGTTATCAAACGCCATACTCTGCACATACGCTCATCGACGTGACACCACGGCTTACAATTCTGCTTTGCTGGTGTCGCTGGCCTGTCTGTGCTCAGATGGATCGATCCACCGGCCACGAGCTTGTCAAAGATTTCCGAGTGGTGGTTCAGGGAGGGCAACGGCGTGAACTAGTGTTACTAGCAAAGGCAATTGAAATTCGCTGAAATGACAATTGCTAAGTTCGTTGGTCCTGTACCACGAGTGCAAGCCGGGCGATGTCTTTAAAGTTCTAGACACAAGCACCATCCCAACAGGCACTTGAATTGGCTCCCACAATTGACCGCCAGTGTATGCGTTGTAATTGATGATATGTTACAGCTTTAGCGAATAACGGGGACCTGGGCAAGTCGGCATGATGGCCATCAAGTACATCCTTACCGCAAGGCACACAAGGCTGTCCGTAGCATGTGTTGGAGTCGGTGGAAAGTGCTTTGATCGAGCAAGCAATCATGCCAGACGGCGAAGTTGATGGCAGAGCCTCCCCGCCAACAGGTCGTCCAGCGAGTTGTCGCTTGTTAGCTACGAGTATGGGACTACATCTGGGCGAGCACTTAGATGCTGCACCTGCCCACCATATGACCCGGTGTTGTGAATGCAAGAGCTGGAATCCAAGGGATCTCACAATAGTCTTCTTGTGTCATCTCGCATCTAAGATTTGAGAGCTGCATGATGCCAAACTCATGTGTATCCGACAGTATTGCGCTGTCTTCAGCGACTATTTGGGAAACTTACTCGCTCAGTCGCTGCCATCGACCCGGTTCCCTGTGAGTTAACAGACCACAACATATGGACTTCGATTCAGCAAGCTTCCTTCCACAACACCAATAAGTGTGACCTTGGCCGTTGATGGGCCAGAAAGGGGTTTACCAGATGGGCAGAGATGAGCTGGATTGGCGTCACGTCCCGGCTTAAAGAGGATTTCTGTGCGAAGGACACACAGGTTTCTAAACCCGAGTGGCTCTTGCTATCCAGTGCCTTTCCAAGCATTAGCTCGATTGAGTATGCTCTATATTTGGTTCTGAGGAGTCGAAACAGCTACTATATGATTCTATTGCTGCATCTTTGTCATGCGAAGAGCACCATTCCTGAGCTACCTTTCCAGCGCGTTTTTGCTTCTTGATGTCGTGTCCAAGAGGATGCCAATGGCATAAACCGCTGCACGCTAGGTGCGAGTACCTGAGCGAGAAGAGCCCAGCGATGCACAAGGTCCCAGAAACGGTAATCAGCTCAAGCTGCTGGGTGTGGTTGAAGGCATTGCTGCTGGTGAGGTTGGGTTTGCAATAGGTCATATTGGTGCTCATAAAGCTATCTGCTGCGAAGATGCGATACGCTTATGCACTTCGGACTGCATTTGGAGGGGGGGAAGATGCAGTGCTGGTTTGCTTGATACGCTGACGCTCGAGGCGCGTGCTGAACCGCGTCAGAATTGGTCCCATGATCTCGAGTGCCTTTTTTGCCCCGCCACGAAGGCCAGGGAAGCCATGGCGGCACCGACGCTTTGCCCAAATGGTGGAGGCAAAGTTGAGGGTACGGGAGGGGAGGGACAGGGGACGAGGGAAATGGCGAGCAGCGATGACGAGGAGCTGGAAATAAAGGAGATGTTTAGAGGGGAAGGGAAAAGAGGAGGTAAAAATGGGACCTTATTGCGGGTGACAGTGGAGGGAGTGTGCTGTGCTGTGAGGACAGGAAATCATGAAAATGAGGTTAACGATGCTGGCGTTTACTGAGACCAACATCAAATTGTGCAGATTGAACTGTAACTGTTGCTTTCCGGCGTCCGGAACGGGTCAGAATGTTAAATTCATTGCAGGAAGGACTCTTTGCTCTCTGTCATTACCTACGGCACTCTCCCTCCACTGCGAATTACCCCTCAATCTAGCTCTTTGTCCATGACAGCTTGTTCTGCCAACTACACAACGTGAAAGAACTGTCAACACCCCGTCATCATACACCATTTGTCGGAGAAACACTTGGAGGCAGAGAGGCTCAAAAACTTGCAAGTCACGATATGGCCAGGCTGCTTGCTGGCTGTGTTTTGAGACAAGACGAAATGGTGATTTATGGCGGTGGTCTCCTTCTGGACCTCCCGATCTGGCCGCCTTGGACACCCCGCCAGCGGGAACTTGTCTTCCAATTGACCTGTGAAACACATTTGATAAATCATCAAATTTAGACCCTTGTTATTCGCTAGAACTAACTACTTAAGCTTGTACATTATTCACGCCTCGTAGTGTTATTATTCTTTTGCTCCTGTTGTTTTAAGGGCACGTGGTGCATTTCCGTGACTACGGTAACTATCTGATTCCGGCTGGAAAACAATACCAGCCATATCATTGTCAACCAGCATCTTTCTCCATCTGCATCCACAAACTCGATCCATCAACCGATCCATCAACCTCGCCAGCATCCGGTAACAAATAAAGGATATTTACACCTTGTGTCTCTCTCCCCCAGCAAAACCCAAGCCCTGGCCGCTGCGGCAGGGTTGCGAAAACAACGTCAGTCCAGCCAACGTTTTAGCGCTACGGTAAGCGAGTTCACCCAGGTGCAGGGTCACCTAGTCAGTAGCAGCCCACCAGGCTCATCACCAGGGCAGTCGACGGTCGTCGATAGTCAAACTCCAAATCTTCTACACCTACATACAAATCCTAACTCCTCCAGTGCTCTTGACCCCAAGAGTCCCCCTCGACCTTTACTCCTCCTATTCTCCTAGGACCTCATGCAAATCTATCCGCAAGCTGAACGGACCTCTCTGTGACCTTCGCCCTCGAGTCACCCATACTCACCATTGCCCTCCTCCCGACTCATCTGCCTCCTCGTCGACTTGGGCCGTTCCCGCGCTCCCAATAACTTCAAAGCTGCCAGTACGAGCGAGCTGTCTGCTGCACATCATTCACCACCATATCCACCCACACTCACACGAGGTCCACGGCCACGCCCACCCAGCACCCCCGGAAACCCTCCCATTCGAGTGAGCAATACGACGTTGTGCGTCCTGTCGTCCGCCGTACCCGCCAATATCAGCTGTCGACTAAACCAGAAGCGCCTTTTGAGACCACTGATCGCTCTCCAACGGCCGTCCAGTTCGCCAACCACCGTCTCGAAATCCTCTCCAGGGCCCACTGATTTAGACCCAACCTGCTCCTCTTTCCTGTCGAGCGCGTGAGCATAGCCAGTCTTTCGGGCCAAGCAGCTACAGCACCTAAGCACCTAAGCAACTTACTGCTGGCTCCTGTTCTCCTCTCACACTTTACTCCATCATACCTCTCCATCTCCTCCGCACGCTCAACCTATTCCGCCCGTATCATATCGAAACAACCACCACACAACACCGACTCCGACAGACGACATTCCTCGCATTCTTCTTGTGACCCCTCTGCCGACAGATCCACGACTAGTCAATCCAAACGCCTTGTCTTCAGCCTCAGAGACGACTCGAAATCTTGCCCGCTAAGCAAATAAATACCCTTCACCTCATCTTGGTGGGGACTGCTATCACGTTACGACCAGACTCGCGAACAATTGCAGATTCGACCCCATTGCTCTTCACCCTCTACCCCACGCTCAATTGCCCATCACGGACTTCACGAGGTTGTCGAATCCCCTCCTCTACATCCTCCTCGCATTCAGCCCACCAAATCCCCGGTAGTAAATCGTTTTGGAGCTCAAGATGTCGCAGAACCGGCCGGCTCCCTTTACGAGTTTGAGAATGGGAGGTAAGATCATCTCCCAACCCCTCGCTACCCCGCGCTTTTGCTAATGATGCAATAGAGGTTATTCGTGAAAAGGTGCAAGATGGTGTCACCGGCGAGACTCGGGATATGCAGTATACTCAGTGCAAGATCGTGGGCAACGGATCCTTTGGTGTCGTTTTCCAGACGAAGCTCTCTCCTTCCGGCGAGGATGCTGCGATCAAGCGTGTTCTCCAAGACAAGCGATTCAAGGTAATTCAAACAAATGGTGAGTGATTAGCACATGCTGACTTGGCATAGAATCGTGAGCTTCAGATCATGCGAATTGTGCGCCATCCAAATATCGTTGAGCTGAAGGCCTTTTATTACTCGAACGGTGAACGCGTAAGTTGTTCCATGGGACCTTATAGATTGCTGCACTCTCAGCAACGGGTAGATGCTAACAATTACAGAAGGACGAGGTATACCTTAATTTGGTACAGGAATATGTTCCCGAAACTGTGTATCGTGCCTCGAGATACTTCAACAAGATGAAAACTACCATGCCTATTCTAGAGGTCAAACTTTACATCTATCAACTCTTCCGCGCACTCGCATATATCCATTCTCAAGGAATTTGTCATCGCGATATCAAGCCACAAAATTTGTTGTTGGATCCAAGCACTGGGGTTTTGAAGCTATGTGATTTCGGTAGCGCCAAGATTCTTGTTGAGAATGAGCCAAACGTCTCTTACATTTGTTCCCGATATTACAGAGCGCCAGAGTTGATCTTTGGTGCCACCAATTACACCACCAAAATTGGTTAGTATCTAATTCATGTGAAACAGCGTAGGGATTTTGCTAACGTCCAATCTTAGATGTGTGGTCCACAGGGTGCGTTATGGCAGAGTTGATGCTGGGCCAACCACTGTTCCCAGGAGAGTCTGGCATCGATCAACTTGTCGAGATTATCAAAGTTCTCGGCACTCCGACCCGCGATCAGATCCGAACCATGAATCCAAACTACATGGAGCATAAATTCCCCCAAATCAAGCCTCACCCATTCAGCAAAGTCTTCCGCAAGGCTGACGGTGATGCAATTGATCTGATCTCCTGCCTTCTTGAATACACACCAACCGAACGACTTTCAGCGATCGATGCGATGGTTCATCCATTCTTTGACGAGCTCAGAAATCCATCTACCCGTCTTCCCGATTCTCGTCATCCAAACGGACCCATCAAGGATTTGCCCATATTGTTTGACTTTTCTCGACATGGTGAGTCTATTTTTGTTTTCGTAAAATGTGGTACAAATCGGTCGCTAATCATCATTAGAACTCTCAATTGCACCCCCATTAAACGCACGCCTGGTTCCACAGCACGTCAAGTCGGTTTTGGCGGGACGCGGGCTCGACATTGATCATTTCACCCCTATGAATAAGGAGGAGATGATGGCACGATTAGATTGAGATGCCTGATGCAAATGATTGACGACTAAATGCTTTCCTGTCGCTCAGCATTCGACTCTTCATCACGGGTCATGTTTTCTGAGCGTCTTGCTCAGCCACCATACAACAGCATATTTCGTGCCCTGCAAGAGTTCAGTTATACCCGCGCAGGCTAGAATGAATTTGTGAGAATACGTATCGAGAGACATGGCGAGATGACGGAGATTATGATGGTTATGTGTTACGGTTTGCGAAGAATACCCAGGAGACGGAACTTCTTTTCGAAAGACCTCACTTCCAACAACGGCATTCTTTGACCTCGGCAGCGGATCCTTCGTGGGCCGACATCACTCCTCAGATATAGATCACGGATTATTTTGTTTACGAGGACTTTACCACTTCGACAACCTCGTTTTAGACTTGTTGCATGAGGAACCCCAAGGTGTTTTACTTTCCATTCTTCTTGTCCTATTATGGCGACCTTTTTACGACAGCGAGCAGACAGGTGGCTGGTCTCCGTTTCCTCGACATCCAAAGATTCAGGCGTCTTAAATTTGATGGCACTTTTGCGGCCAACGATTTGCATGGACTGGGATAATATTTTGTGATGGATGGCAATACAGCCTCGGATGGGTACGGCGAAAAGATTCCTTTTCTTTGATTTGGGTGCCTCTATGGCCATCAAAAGGGTTTGCTGTAGCAATGGTCACAGAGATTTTCCACAAATGAGACTTATGAATACAATTGGTTTGTAAATTCAGTTATGTGTTCGTGTTTGTGACCACTTATTGCAAAGCAATCAATTCTTCTCTTCTTAGCATCCTATTAACTATTGTTCACCCATGGCATTTGTCAAAATAATAAACGACTTGGCCATGTGTATACTGGTGAGAAATATGCATTTTTAGCACTCACTGATCGAGCAGCGGCTCAGAGCTTTACTTAAACAATCGCCAGTTGTGTACCTAGGTAGGTGGCAGCTCTCTGCGACACGTGATCGAAACGCGCTTCTCAGCTCACATTCGCGTAACCTGAGGCATATGTGGTGTTTAGCTGACGAGCTCCCTCAGTAACAACGATTTTTGATGTTTGCTCTCCCAAGGATTTAATCTCGCGCCACCTCATTTTGAAGTATCATGGCAGACTATGATAGGGGACCAAGAGATGGGGGACGAGGGCGAGGAAATTACAACAATAACAATAGAAAGAGAAGATACAGAGGTACGTAGCAATTGGTACCTAAACAGCTATAGGTGTTCTGCCTTGTCTGCGGTAACGGGTTGTGTTCTTACGCTTTATGCAAAGAACTATAAAATTCAGGTTGGTGGAATATTGCTGACACTAGAAGTACAGATGATGACGATTTTGACCGTCGTCCGCAGCGTCGACGTTACGAAGAACCACTCTCTGTCAAGGTCCGCAGACAATTACTCTCAATCGCCGAATCCGCTTTGAAACGTGTCGAAGATGAAATCGTGTCGATCGCAAAGACCGTCTGTGATAATTATGAGGACGAAGAATTACGGAACTCTTTCTACGATCTGGTTATTCAATTGGTTGTGGAACAGCCCTTCAAAACCCCTTTTGTCGCGGCTGTGGTGTTGGTCGTCAATACTATGAGAGCCGAGATGGTCGCAGAGATACTCAAGAGGGCGACGGAAAGGGTCAACACCTGTGTTCAAATGGGCGAGTGGAGGGAGACAAAATTACTTATGAAGTTTCTTGGGGGGTTGCAGGGTGCGTTGGAGGGAGATGGGGTTTGGCTTGTGTTGCAGGACCTTTTGAGTAAAGCAATAGACCTGCAGACCGAGAACAACGAAGAGGTAAGTTCTCTTGTGGGTAATATGCCAGGAAGCATGCTGATCTTTTGGCAAGACCATTGGACCGGAGTTGGTCAAGATTATCCTCTTTACGATACCATACATTATGGCTTCTTCGGCTACCGACATGCAAGAAAAGGCGGCGGGAATGGTTGAAAACGCAGATATTATTGCGAGTGAACCACATGTGCTGCAAGCGCTTGTTGATCCTTATCCTGGCAACGGAAATGAAGAGGCTACGGCGCCGAATGGTGTACTCAGTTTGCTACAGAAGCAGCTACAGGGCGAGGCTGCGAATGGATGGGAACTGAGCTGTCTTCCACGACCTTGGAAAGTTTTGCTCGAAACTGAGCAAGAGAATCCTCTAGCTTCTACAACAAAGCATCCACTTCCAGCGATTGTAATTCCAGAGGCGGTCACTGCTGGTCCCAGACCACTATTCCCAGAACTCTACTTCTCAGTTTACGCTCACCAGGATGTCGAGACAGTACCGCCTATGACCGATATTGCGTCTTGTTTACTGCGAGATGCTTTAGTTGATACTATTAACATTCTCGACTTTAACCGAAATGCTACTGCCCGCTTCCTGATCGATATCGACTGCTATTTTTCTCCAGACACATTTGTTAAGCGAGCTACTCCTTTCGATAGACTACGAGATGTCGAAGGAGACAAGTCAACTTGGAAACCCGAAGATGTAGCAGTCGATGCTGTTTTCTCCCAACTTTTCCAACTACCCAGTCCGGAACACAAGCTGGTGTACTATCATTCGATCTTGACCGAGTCTTGCAAACTTGCCCCTGCCGCTATTGCTCCCAGTCTTGGTCGTGCCATTCGATTTCTCTACCGGAATGTTGACTCCATGGATCTAGAACTTAGCTATAGGTTCATGGACTGGTTCGCTCATCACTTGAGTAATTTTGGATTTACCTGGAAATGGACTGAGTGGATCGATGATGTTGAGCTTCCAGGCACAGATCCTAAGAAAGCGTTCATCGAGGGTGCTTTGGATAAGGAAATTCGATTGAGTTTCGCTCAAAGAATCAAGGGTACTCTCCCTGCGCCATATCAACAGTTGATCACTGAAGGAAAGGAGAAGGATACGCCCGACTTCAAGTACAACGATGATGGTAAGCTTCTGAAACTCATTTGCTGATTCAAAGCTAACAAATCATAGCTGTTCCTTTCGCACAAGAGGGACGTGCTATTCTGGCGCTTCTCAAGAGGAAAGCGCCGGAGGATGAAATTCAACCAGTTATTGATCAAATTCGCCAACTAGCTCTCGACATGAATCTTCCTGATCCGCTCGTGCCGTCGACCGATGCTTACATGACCTCGATTTGCTATATAGGATCGAAATCCCTGTCTCATGTCCTCTCTTCTATCGAACGATGCCGCGAACGCCTGCTCGCTATCGGTCCACGCTCGTCAGACGCTAGAAAGCAGATCATCGACTCTGTAATGGATTACTGGAAGGACCAGCCTGGAATTGGTGTCAACATCGTCGATAAACTACTAAACTACACGATTCTTTCTCCAGGTTCCGTCATCGAATGGGCGGTTTCTCAACACGGAAACCGACTATCTATGTCCTATGTGTACGAAATGGTCTCTCTTACCATCGGAAAAGTAACCGGTCGCACCCGTCAAGTTGTCCGTAGCTCCAAAGTTCCTGGCCTCACCGCGGAGCAGCGCACTTTGGTCGTCCAAAGCATGCAAGCTGAGCGAAAGAGCATGAAAGATCTCTTTGCTCTTATGGAAGATTCTCTTGTGTCATGGGCCACGGGCTCGAAAGACCAGGTCATGCAATCTGGAGATGGGACGTCGGATGAGGAAGCTGTCATCAGACAATGGGGCGAGCGATGGCTTAGGGTTTTCAGGAGGAAATATGCAGTTGAGGAGGCGTGGTTTGTCGAGGTTGAGAAAGTCCCTGTCATTGATGTCGCTCCTGGAGAGGGTGTGCTAGCAAACGGCAACGCGGATAAGGTGGACGAGGTTGAGATGAAGGATGATGGTATTGAGTAGGATGGTTATCGGGGAACTTTGCTATCCAAATACCCGAACATCTAGAGGTGTGGCTACAAACAAAAAACAGCATTGGAAAACGGGAGATTCACATCTGTATGATTTGGTTTTCACTTCTAGATTGAAAATTTTCTGTACGATCCTTGGTTTTTCTTGTACAGATAGTGTGCGTGGGCAGTGAGGGATGGGTGTTATGGGTCGCAAGCATAGCGATGATGAAAAAGCATTTACATTTGATGTTTCTTGTTCCATTTTTGATTCGGGGTCCGCGATGTTACATTTCCTAGACGACTCCGAAAAATATTCGGTTTTCAAATACGCGAGATAGGTTTCCAGTTGTTTTGTCATGTAGAGAATATCCCTGAGATCACCGTACGTTGAGCTGTTTCACAAATTTTGAATTGCTTTTCTTTGATATGGTATGGTATCTCTCATGTCACATTCTTTTATACATGGAATCTAGGCTTAAATTGCCCGTTGTTTCCTCGACTGCCTCTAATATCATCGGAGCAAATCGTGTCGCCTTTGCGGGTGAGACCCAGACCCAGTCCATTTCTCAGAATCTGCGTCTTCCAAGCCTGTGAACCGCAACACTCTCTTGTACCCATTGAGCGTAATTCTTTATTTCTACTCGATCTTCCATAGCTCATTACCGCCGAGCATATCCTGGCGGTCCTTGCTGCTGCTGTGGAGGAAATCCAGGTGGAGGCATAAAGCCTTGTGGCATACCACCAGGAGGACCAAACCCAGCCGGCATCCCACCTGGTGGTCCAAAGCCCGGTGGTGGCATCTGTCCCGGCACGAATCCAGGAGGGTGGTAATCTTGTGGCCCGCCATATCCGACTTGCGAAGGTGGTGGTCTCTGCGGTAGCCCACTCGGTGGAGGGGGCAACGGTGCATTCGGTCTCTGCTGTGGTGGTGGGACTGAATTGTAACCTCCATTCGGCCGTCCCCCAAATCCTGGTGGCATTGCGCCTGGTGGTGGTCCAACCATTCCCGGTCCTCCCATTGACGGATCAATCATCGCCGCTGGAGCAGCTGGGATATTTCCACTCATTAACAGCTGCGCTGGCATCTGCGGTAGGTCTGGTACCACATTATGTTTCTTTGCTTGACTAGCGAGCATTCTCTCTGCTTCGTCACCATGTCTCTCTCCCTTTCCGTCTTTTTTGTACGCGTATTGTACGCTGATGTCTTTGTTCATGAGGTATTGGCCGTTCATATTCGCAATCGCGTCATCTGAAGCTTCGAAGTTAGAGTATGATACGAATCCGTATCCTTTTGACAGGCCGGCTTCGTCGCGCGCAATTTTTGGAGGCGATATAAGGGAGCCGAAACGGGAAAATGTATCGTAGAGTGTTTTTTCGTCGACCATTGGATCCAAATTTCCGATGAAGAGTTCTGCGCCTACTTCTACCGTCTTTTGCTTGTCTGCTGAAGCCTATTCCGTACCCATTAGCATGCGACTCCTTATATAGACCAGGCGCAACATACCTTGTTCACTCGTATTGGCTTTCCATATAATCGCACTTGGTTCATTATACGCGCAGCATATTCTGCATCTTCTTCACTAATGAATTCCACGAATCCATAACCTTGGTGGGTTTGCGTTACGCGGTCCTTCGGGAGATGGACGTTGACTATCCGGCCAGCTTGAAGCATGAGTTCCCATACCAAACTATCCGTGACTCGCTCGTCGATATTTCCTATGTATACTGTCGCTTCCTTGTCTTGTTCCCTTGTGAAGTGTTAGCATACTGGGCTTTTGTGAGGGGAGTTGGATTGAATACCAATGCCTTGCTCCTGACATGATGGGCCAATTGTGATTGAAAATGTAACAAGGCCAAAAGTCCGGTGCGTTATGATATTCGATATCCACCAGAGATACAGAAGAAAGACAACTCGTAATAGAGGTAGAAAGCTAAATTCTCAGTCTTTTGGAATTCGTGTAAAGCTTTGGTCTTGCGAGGCTCGCGAGGCTGGACACTTTTTCCCATGTAGGCGGATCAGCAGCCTAGTCCTAAAGGAGTATATATTTGAAGATTTTTGAATTTGTGTACGACAGCACACATGAGGTGTTGAAACTATTGACTTTAAAGAACCTTTCATATGTTGCGATCTGTCTTTTATTTTTGGTTTGCACGAATCTCAATTAATTGCGTTCTGTTCCAGCTGTCTGTTGCTTTCCCCAGATTCGCTTACCTAAATTTCGAAGCAACGGGGACGGGCGCATTGGACTTTTTCTCAGACCAAGTCAACCCAGATACATCAACCAAAGGAAATTTGTCTTCAGCAGCTTGTAAGTTTACTCTTCGGAGTCTTTCCTTCCTGCCTACTATTTTATAAGCTAACGGTATCAGCTTCCAAAACCCGCGAAAATGAACATGCAACTGTCAGAAGAAAGCAAGGTCCCGATCCCCCTTCTTCCCCCAGTATTGCTTCGACTGACATATACACAGGAGCGCATCGGCAAGGTCATTGACTTCTCTCGCGTCGCTATCCACTAGTGAGTATACCTCTTTAGCAGTAACGGAAGACTTCGGATCTTATACTAATAATGTCCAGTGGTTATCTTCCTTTGATTATCTATCTCGGTACGCCTTTTCGAATAATCGACGCAGCGTTTTGATACTGACTAAATCAGGATATACTCGCAGCGAACCTCGTCCATCTCTCATTAGGTACGGCTCTTATTCTGTCTGGCTTTCCGGACGATGAGGATAGTTATTGACATTCGTGGCAGATTGTTCTCTCCCCTCGCATAAACACCCACCACTTCGATACGAACTATTTCGCAAACATAAGGAGATAACGACGGCGTGTATAAGACAATTCACAGGGTTGGGGATGCCGGATTGTCATGTAGCATAAGGAGGCGTAACTAGGGCACCAGATCACCGGGATTGGATGGATGGCGCATCGTGTACAAACATAACTGTACCAATACATGAAACATAATTGTAAAAATCCACCTCTTACAGAACCTCGTACCTGTTACAAACAATACCAAAAACACTGTCGGAGGATATCCGCTCCTGTGACGTCTTAAAATTGATTCGACAGAAGATTTCTAATCCACCTCGGTAAACCTTCTCAAGAAACTTCCCGTCGACTTTAGACATTATTTTCCAATGCTCCGGCAGAACAATGATAACAGGACAGCCACCCTGATGACCGACAACCATGCGCGAATTCCTCCCGCGCTGGTCGAGACGATCGCAGGACTCTCTGCAGGCACAGTTTCAACCCTAGCGGTCCATCCTCTAGACGTGATTAAAACGCGCTTACAAAGTAGATTTTCCCTTCACATACTTGCTACACAGACTGACATCACAAAGTTCAGCGCAATACTTCCACCGTTCCTGTTACCGCATATGGCATCTTCAAAGGATTGATTGCGAATGACCGGCCAATACAGAGACTGTATCGAGGTTTGACGCCGAATTTGATTGGAAATGCTAGCAGTTGGGCTATTTTCTTCTATTTCAAATCTGTCGTCGAGAGCCAGCTCTTGCAGTTCCACAATCGCCCTACCGCCAAGATAGGCCCTGAGAAGACACATCTTACGCCTGCTGATTATTTCCTCGCATCTGGAATCTCTGGAACCATAATTACGCTTACGACGAATCCACTATGGGTTCTCAAGACTCGAATGTTGAGTTCGGATAAGGGAACCGAAGGAGCTTATGAGGGATTATGGCAGGGAACACGACAAATGTGGAAGACTGAGGGTGTTCGAGGGTTCTACAGAGGTGTTGGTGTCAGTTTGATTGGCAATAGTCATGGCGCGATTCAATTTGCTGTCTACGAGCCCTTGAAAAACATATGGAGAAACCATTTCAACGACAAATTCCATTCCAGCACAGAAGACAAGCAAGAAGAGAAGATGGGAAACGCAGCTACGTTGGTCATTAGTGGGTCTGCTAAGATAATTGCTGGAACAGTCACCTACCCATATCAGGTCATTCGGAGTCGGCTGCAGACCTACCACGCCGACGAGAAATTTGGAAAGGGAATTCGTGGAGTGACTCTCAAGGTTTGGCAAGAAGATGGATGGAGGGGGTTTTACAAAGGCCTAGGAACAAACATTGTGAGGGTCTTACCCGCGACGTGGGTTACTTTCTTGGTCTATGAGAATGTTAGGTACTATGTGCCGCTTTGGAATAACCAGAGGCTTTGATTGAAACCATATAACTCCATCAAGTAATCTTGAAGCATCTGATATATTCGACATAGCAATGCCCAGTGCCCAGCGTGTGCCGTCATATTTCTATAACTTCTGATTTAGCCATCTCCGCTTCTCTGTATCTTTCGATTTGGTTTGTTGAAGCAGAAATCAAAACTTCGTTCTACAGCCTCAACCGCCTTAGAAAATATGGAATAATAAATAGAGCGCCTCTTTATTAACAGCTTCCTTAGGGAAATACCATCACGCCTTATGCCGGTACTAAGGGTGGGGCCGATGCGATGTCAAACGACGGGCCGCAGGGATTGATAACGCGGGAGCTTCCAACAATTTTTTGAACCAGTTTCAACATCCAACGCATCATGTCAACGACGCGCCTTACCTTCCTATACCCTCATCTTTTCCGGTCAATCAGGGTCAGTGAAGTAGCGTCACAATCACTTCAATCAAAGAGCCGGACATTACCTCCATCGTGTCGAAAACCGAGGGGCTTCGTAACGACGAGAAAGAGCGAGCAACGATTTGTGCGACGACATGGAAAAGCCGTAGAGCCCTTTCTGGCAGAAGGGGAAACTGGAGAAAACACGAAAGTTCTTACTCCAAGCGAGACGGTAACAAGCAGTCCATCAGGCAAAGATTTGAGTCCGGATCCCAATGACACGAGCAAAGCGGCAGAAGCTCAGGACAAGTCTACTCCTGCGCCCAAGGAGCCCTCGGCCTCCGAGCCCTTATCGGACGAGGTGATTGCAGCAGAACGGTTACCAGGCGACGATGGGAAGTACGTGGAAGATATGGAAGCAAAACAAAAAGCGGATAGGGCTGCAGCGGGGGCAAGTACAAAACCACCCGCAAGTGAGAAGAAGTCACCCACGGAAACCATCCTTGAAATGCCACCCCCTCCCACCGCAGAGGAAGAAAACGCCTCCAAACCTCCACACCTCCAGACTCCTCCATATGTCCATCATTTCGACACGTACTCCCTAGTACAACAGGTCGAGCAAGGCGGGTTCACGAATGACCAAAGTATCACTGCAATGAAGGCTGTTAGGGGTTTATTGGCTTTAAATTTAGATGTTGCTAAAGCAGGTCTCGTGAGCAAAAGCGACGTTGAGAATGTAAGACAGTCAAGGGGCGGGAAATACTTAGAGTGTTGTCTAACATGCTACAGGAAAGTTATCTCTTTCGCGCCGCTTGCTCAGAGCTGAAAACAGAGGTTGAAAACTCTCGAAAAGCTAGTGAAGAAGCCATGCGCCGAGAAAGAACACTCCTACAACACGAAGTGGATATTTTGAATCAAAAACTCACGCAAGAAGTTTTAACTCTTAAAGACGAGTTGAAAGGGATGTTCGATGATCGAAAAATGGCTGTTCGACAAGAACAACGGGCCATGGAGAGTGCTGTAAGTTGACTGGGGAACATTTCTCAACATTCTAGGTACTAGATTAGTCTTCAATTGATCATGCTAATATAATCCAGATTCAAGAACTAAATTACAAAATTACGGTTTCTCTTAACAGTGACAGCAAGTCCGAGGTTGAGGGACTCCGCTGGGTATTGACCAGGCGGTCTGTGATGGGTATTTTGTTCATGGCATTCATGGTGTTGACATCGCTGCGCTATGCCAGTTACAAGTCACATGAAGATGAGGAACTGAGGAAAAAAGCAGCGAGGTCGAAGAAGGAAGAGCCGCTCCCCCATTTCGAAGATCTCCCCGCGCATAGAGTCGCAGAAATCTTGACGGCGAATTAAGGCCGCGCAGCACAGAGATACCTTGTCCGATTTACGTCGTCAGCTCCTAGATACCCAATACGATTACCATTACCAGCAAAATTGGACATCGTTCCGTTGGAGAACCCCTGCTCGAAGCAGTGTTCTTTGAGTATAATGCTTCTGTGATCCTTGAAATACGAAATCATCTTAAGCGAAACTCCTCAAACGACATGAGCATGCGTCGGAGCTGAGCGACCCGAGGGCTTTCTACAAAATTCACTAGCAGGAGAAAACTTGGTACTCTTGTCAGTTCTTTGCGTTACATGTCTCGACACACCAAATCAACGAGGATGCACGTGCGGAATACCACCCCCTGCCAATCTCACTCATGCAACCCAAACAAGAAATTTTAATTCCACTTACTGATCGAAGTGACACACAACACGTTACTTCAGCCTCTTGCAGCCCAGCCCAAGGACATCTTTACCTTGAGTTTTTCTTTACGAGTTGTCGAATAACGAGGAGATACTGGCCCTTGTAAGACCTGTGCATTCACTTGAGCCATCGATGAAAACGAAATCTGGCCCGTCTTCGCCATTGCAGTAATCTGGCCGCTCGCTTTGGTTTTCCTGGGCACCTGGTAGAACACGTTCAACGCCTTGTCGATCAACTGCAGCGGAAAGCCTAGCACTTACAGATCGGGGTCGGCGCCTCACAATATCAGGAGTACGTGATTGATTCTGTTGACCAACGGCCGAAAATTGTGCTCAGAAGCCAGCAAGTCGTTTAGCTCTTTGGAATCAGCAACCTGGGACTCTGCGCCACCTATCAGATTTCAAGCTCAAAAGCTCTGTACGACCGAGTAGGAGCGATGAGCGGTGATCCATCTGGGTCCGGGTCCGGCACTCTGAGTAATTTTTGGCAGCGTTCTACGGATAAGTTGAATCCGAAGAAATTCAAATTCGTATCCAATGCTGCGAAAACGGGGAATAATGGTAATCAATATTTCTTCTTTGGTGATGTCTCTATCGAGAGTTGTAGTGTCTAAGTTTGTAATTGGTCAAATGTACTGTATCTTTTGTCTTAAGGCAATTGGTAGTCCCCCTTCATCTCCATCTAGTGTACACTGAGAGCCTATCGGCCCACCATCTCTCCAATATTTTGCCTCTTTGAGGACCATGCCTCGAAGTCTTCGATCAATTACTAAAAGTGTGTCACTCATAGCTAACGAAACAACCGATGGCGCCTCTGCTGCTCTTAACGCTAAACAGCATCGGAGGGCTCAGGTTCGGAAAGCTCAAATGTGAGTACTTCTTCGGAAGTTCGGTTGCTTGCCCACAGTTGGTTACATGGTTATTCAATGGGGGTGCTAATATAAGTACAGAGAACATCGGCAAAGGAAAGCCAACTATGTCAAGCATCTCGAGCAAGATATCATTGATCTTCGGGAAATGATTGCTGCTGCAGAAACGGAAGCTATATTGACTCAGCAAGAGAACGAGGGAATCAGAAACGCAATGCATTCAGCCCAGATTCCTGTTTCTGTTGCAAGTGTTGTCTTACAGATTGCAACGGCACAGGCGCCCTCCTTCACCTTCCAGTCGGACAATGATCCAGCACAATTGGCATCTCAAAGTCTCAACATTAACACTTCGGTTACGTCTCAGCCTCTACCGCTAGATGAGGAGCTTGCTTGGCTTTCACAAGGCTCTGGTAGCTCGATAGTCAGTACAATATTTGATGAGATGCTGTCACAGACTATCCTGAAAGTCAATCCTCCACCGGGATCAAACAATGGCACAGGAACAAGACCTTCTCCTAGGTCAGGTAATTCTCCTCATGTTCGCAGTAGATCCGGTGCTAGTTTTGGTTATGGGAGGAGTCCATCTGCTGGCCCTCCAAGACACCGAAGAGGGGCTTCGCTTCAATTAGTCAAAAAGGAGGAAGTAGATGTATCGACATTTGCTGTAAATTTCATCCTTGCGTAAGATCCATTTCACTACCCAAGTCACTATTTTTCTAACATTTATCTAGGCTCGAGCATCCATGCCGCACCCACTTTCATGCGTCCTCCGAGAATTTCGATCCGGAGGGCGACCCCTCAGGTCACGAACTCCTCGCTTCGACGGTCCTCTATCACAATGCGCCGGCATCAGTGTTTCCTACGCTCTCTGCCGCTGTACCGGTACCTTCTTGGACCATCCCCTCCTCTTCGGCATCGACGCTTCAAAAACTTGAAGAAATGTCTCGCTCCTTGCCCAAACAGGACTGGGAGGTTACACCCGTCCAAGCATGGTTTCTCATGGTCGACAGATATGGCATTGAGAAGGTTGTGAATGGCGAGGGCGTGGAAAAGATGAGGCAAGGTCTTGCACAATTGGTGGAGTGTTTTGCTTTCGGAGCTGTGATGGACGAGAGCCGTTTCTGGGAGGTCGTACAAAATGCATTGGGAGACGGTTCAGGGGGACTTGGACAGGGTGACGGATTTGGTGGAGCTATATGAGATGCACAACTTCGCAACTTTGGGTGAAAACCTTCCTATTTCAAGCATTGTGAAGATCTGATACATCTTATAGTGATAGTTGGATATATCGAATGGAGACGCTCCGGCATAATGTATAAAGCGTTGGGTTTTACATATTGCGGCTGTTTAGGGTTCGATATCCTCGATGGAGTATAGAGACTTAACGTTCTGGAACAGCTTTATATTTGTTCATTGATCAGTCATATTTGTTTCACTCATATAGTCAAGCACGTCGATGCTTCGCCTCAAAATTTGCAGTCCCTAACATTTCACAAAATATAAAAACATACCTATTTTGAACTGAAGCAGCTTATTGTAAACAGCTATGGGATTTTGTTTGCATCGATATTCAATTTGAATAATATCAATAGGAATCTTTCTGTGAGGGTTGGTGATCCGGGGGTCTTCTAGAAAAAGTCTTCGTATTTGTGTGCGTAGAGGTTTTGTTGTATGTCGCAAAAACCTTCGACCCCCATTTTGGGTAAGTTATCAATTCACAAAACAATTGGCACTCGAGTCGACACATGATGCTCAATTCAGCACAAAATCAATTCCTTCGTTTAATGATTTAGTAAACAGGAAATTTGTTATAATTTGCTAAAACATTTGAACTTTCAAAAGTCTCAGATGTCGAAATTCTGTTGATGTCGTTGGATATCTGAAGTCGGATTCTGAAGCCTTCCCCACAAGGCTGCATATGCTTCACCTCACATTCTGGCCAGACCTCGAACCTTGCTGATCGCCGTTACAACAACCTGCTCATAGCATAGGACCACGAGAGTTTCGGAATTTTCATGCAGCAGATAATTGTCATTCAACTATGATAATACCTTGACCTCCGCATCAATTGCGTCTTCCTCCAAAATGGCATCCTCGACCCTCTCTCCTACAACCACAACCACTGCCTCCGCCGCGTTTCTCGCTCCCCTTCCTCAAGTTCGTCAATTCCACCGACAGTTGACTACCTCTCTCGACGAAAAAAATGCGCGTCTTCGCACTCTCGTTGGCGGTTCTTACCGGCAACTACTCGGGACCGCCGAAATGATATTGGAAATGCGGGAGAACATTGATGTAGTGGAAGAGAAATTGGGGAAAGTAGGAAAGGGATGTGGAAGGACTGTGATAGGGGATATGGCGAGAGGATTAGCGACATTAGAGGGTGAAAGGGAAAGAGCGGGTTTGGAGTGGGCGAGTAGAGTTAAGACGCTGGGAGCCACAGCGTTGGTTATCGGGAGACTGTTGAAGAAGGGTGGTGGTGAGGATAGGGTTGTAAGGGCTAAAAATCTCTTGACTGCGGCAAAGGTGCTAGTCTTAAGCAGGTTGTTGCTCAAAAGTGTTGGAGATTTGGCAGCTACCCGATCGAAGGGTGATAGGGAGGTAGTGGAGGAAATGAGACGGAAGCTGGCTGGATCGAAGAGGAGACTGGGGAGAGCGATTAACAAGACACTGGAGAAGACGGATGGGGATCAAAACAGGGAAGACTTGGTGCTGGCACTTTCGGCGTACAGTCTTGCAACTAGTTCGGGCGCGAAAGATGTGCTGCAGCATTTTTTAAGAAGGATTAGAGGCACAGCACTGGCATTAGCTTTTGATGATGAGGATGAGCATGTTGAGAGACACGTTCCCGGCGTCATCAAAGCTCTTGAATTATACACCAGAACTTTGTTAGATGTTCAGGCTTTGGTTCCTAGACGACTTTCGGAAGCACTAGCAGGACTCAAGTCGAAGCCTCTCTTGAAAGATCCTGCGCTTCGAGATGTTGAAGGTCTACGACTGGATGTGTGCGAAAAGTGGTTTGGTGAGGAGATTCTCTTCTTTACCCCGTACATCAGACATGACGATCTCGAAGTTTCGTTAGCAGTCGAGACACTTCACAAATGGGCAAAGGGAGCCTCCGAAGTGCTCCTCTCCGGCTTCACCGAGTCTCTCTCAAAATCCAACGAATTCAAACATGTTGTCGACTTACGAACTCGCATCCTTCAAATCTGGATCAAGGACGGTGGGAGAGCACGAGGTTTTGATCCGTCTATTCTCCTCGACGGACTTAGGGAAGCGATCAACGATCGACTTATCTCACTCATTGAGACCCGGCTGAAAAAGCTTCATTTAGTAGCCACAGAGGTCTCTGGCACTTTATCATCTTGGTCGACGCAGAGACCAGAGACACATACATCCCTCTGGGATTCCTCAATGCTAGACTTTGAAATCACATCAGGCGCAACATTATTCAAAGAATCCATAATCGCACGCACTCACGGGCGAAGTGATGCCGTCTCTCGAGTTTTTAAAGGATATCAAACATGGCGCCATCTCACCGATGAGATTTCTACTATTATGGCGCAACTCAAGAAACAGCGGTGGGATGATAATCTTGAGGATATCGAGGATGACGATGTTCTTGAGTCTAGGAATACTCTTTTGAGTACTGAGGATCCAAACATGTTGCAAGAACACTTGAACGAGTGTCTGACAAAAGCTTACAAAGATCTTGACGCTAGACTCAAGGAGTTGTTGGAGCTACATGGTGATGATGCCGAAGCTTCTATATACATCCTTCGTATTATCCGCGATCTTAGATCTGAATTGCCGAACCACGAATCTCTTCATTCTTTTGGCCTTGCGCTTATACCCACACTCCACGAACGTCTTGCTACAAACGTAACGCTGGGTCCAATTGAAAGCTTTTCGAAGACATTGAGAAAGAAGAAGGTAGTAGGAAGGGCGTTGTGGGAGGGAAAGCCTGAGTTGCCGGTTCAGCCCTCACCAGGGACATTTAAGTTGTTGGATCAATTGATGAAGGCGATGGTGAGTGTGGGTGGTGATTTGTGGAGTGCCGTCGCTGTGGGCGTCTTAAAAGATAAGATGAGCAGCGACATTGCTGAGCTATGGACCGAAGCGTTGCAAGAGGTTGAAGCCAAAGAAGAGCAGACCAACGGCGAGGATGAGAAGATTACTGAATCCCCGCAATTACTATCGACATCTCAACCTTCTTCTCCTACTTCTTCTCCTACCGATAACGCTCCCCCGCCGTCAATACCCGTACCACAACCTTCTCCCGCCCAGAGAAAAGATCTGTTCATACAATTCCTCTTTGACATATTGCTTCTCCAACTCTCACTTGCTTCTGCACAGGCCAAGGAGAGTAGCTCTGATAAATTCGTCAAGTTGGGCGACAAGATTAAGAAAGAAATCAGTCTTGAACCTGGTGAAGAGAAAAGGCTAAAAGCCAGTGCGGAGGAGTATTGGAAGAGGAGTGGGCTGTTGTTTGGGCTGTTATTATAATTAGAAATCCAATAAAGTCGTGAAAGATTTAGGACATAAATCAATTAAAGCATAAATCCGTTATGTCTAATGGGGCCTTTTAGATCAAAATTATAACTTGGTAAGACTCTGAGAGAACTAAAGCTATTTGCTATGTCGAATTAATGGCAAATAAAATGTGGAGTCTCAAAACACAAGATCATCTGAAAGGCTTGGATGTGTATTCTACCCCCTTCCAAAAAAACCACACTTTCTTCCTTGGTTCCCGAAGACCAAGTGAAAATGCTGAATTCATATGACCAAAATAATAATCATTGTCTAAGCCATGTTTATTCATGGGTACTTTTTGATTGCACAAACGAATTACACAATTCTCTTTCAGACCTTCCTTTACCATAACCACCTACTGCACACTGAAACACAGCACTACAAGTTAATTCCATACACAACGATTATAGCTTCAAAATCTATCCACAAACACGGGAGATACTTACATGGACTTGCTGGAAGTGGTTCTATTATTATTAGTACGTGACAGGCTACTGATGCGGACTTTTGGAATTCTATGTAAGAGAACGAATTGTTGATTTTGAGAGGATTTTAAGAAAATACTTTGGCAAGTAGATAACTTTGTCATCGAATTTGATTTTGTTGCCAAAATCAAACATGTGGTGTGTTTTCTCTAGCTTCTGTATATAGAGATATACTGTATATCAATCCCCCAGAAACAACTTAAGCATCATTCCATTCAAGAAACCTGTATACTTCAATCTATCACATACCATTCAAGCTTATCACGTAGCCAGTCTTTGTCACCCTTACTACATTAGTGTTGTTAAAAGAATAATCAATCTATTTAAACTAATTGTAAGTAGTGTAGTGTAGAGTATAGTATGAATAGTCAATAATTATTTTGAGGAGAGTATAAATAGTATCCATTACTCTACTCTACTCACTTAACACACTGGCCACATTTCACATTCACTATAAAAACAATCAATTGAAACTCCACTCCTCCGTCAAACCAACTTTGGCTTTCAAGCTGTTCTCCGAAAAGCCTTTTCGCCCCACGACATCATTGGACTTGTGAATTCAATATATCTATTACTACGTAAAAGGTTAATGATAATTGCTATAAGACCTTTGTATAAGGGATACAATTTTTGATGTTGAAATAAGAAAGTAGTGTTGCTGTCACCGAATTGTATGTTGTTGCCGGAACGAGATAATTAGTATATCCCCTCTCTTATTCCCTCTATTTTTGTCATTATGTACCATCTATATCACATACTTTAGGCGTCTCCCGACAATACACCCACGAAATCATCACACACCAACCCGACTTTCATCCCCATAGCTATATTATCTGCTCACGATCGAAATTCCGGGTAGCAGTCTCGCTATCCAACAAGCAATACCCAGCAATACATTATGCTTTCCAACCAGATTTTATCCATAAACGCGGACTCTGTCTTCACGAAACTGCAATTCATACCGTGTTTCTAGGGCTACGCGACCATTATCCATGTGCCATCACAAAGTCGTATTAAATCAACAGTCTGTTTCAGCTCGATTATTTATTAGAATAACGTATATAAAACCCCATGAGCTTTGTACGACTCAAGTACCCTTTAGGAAGCCATTAGGGATAGAGTCTGAAATGCCCCGGTCAGTCGAAAGTAACTACTACTGCTACTATTATTATTAATCCAACAAGGTCGTGATATAACTCTTGTGAGAGCTTCCGTCACCGAATTCCATCTCGCCACCGAATCCAATGAAGCAGAATATTCACAAAATATCTCAGACATCTGTCTCGGCCCAACAGATATTTCTGCTCAGAAAAGTGCACGCCATGAATCCCTATCTCACATCTCACTCCAGCATCTCATCTACCCTTTCACCACCATCTGGCTGTAAACCAGATTTTCTCTAGCCAAACATACATGAGTGAACCTCAAACTTGTGTCACATTTTATAAACGAATTTCCTCAGATCAGCCATCCATAGTGAATCTACCACTTGAGTCCCATCACTTGCTTAACATCCAAAAACCATTACCGAGCTTAAACTCATCATCTTCCTCGACGTTAGGTCCTCGTTAAACAGTGCTAGTCCTATTACCTTATATCCCTGGACCTCGACCAGAAGGTCAGCTGGTCGATTAATGAGCTAGTCCATAGATCTCATGATGTAAATAATGTAAAGAGCCAACCACCGCAAACGAATCCAGACGGCCATCCATCTTTAGTGATATACTCATTCAAGTCAAGCGAAGCGTACATATAAACATAGTAGCTGATAGTAATTCGTTTACATGTCATGCCGCCCTGAACAGTTTTCGAAGCGTTGGGACTAAAGACTTCATCTCGTCACGAAGGACCAACGATTCAATATGAATTAAAACGTGTTTTATTTCATCAATCTCATCACGCGACTCCTCTTCCCGCGCTTAGCTATTCTATCCAGTATTCCCCCGCACTGCATCGTCTAATCGAGCAGCAATTCATCTCATCATCTATCTCATCTAACCCCATCTAACGCAACGCAGCACGCACTTAAAGCAAAGCAATAAGCAAAACCCGATCGGTCCCCGGAGGAGACAAATGCAACGTCAGTTTCGCTAGGATAATTATCTACTAGTAGTAGCAGAATAACAAGCAAAGTCAAATCCCTCGCAAACCCAATGCGTCTAAAAAAAGCAACCCGTCACCATCCCTTTTCCCATGCAATTTCACAAATCAAAATGCTGCAAGAACTCCACAAAAAACAGGAAAAGCTTTTTTTGGCTTTTGTTTATTCCTTCCCATGCAAACGGAACCGTAAATCTATTGTTGGATTTTCTTCATGCGGTCAGACATGCTACAGATATGTTAGTTTGAATTCCTCATTTGAGATATAGATATGAGGGCGACTTACAAGTTAAAGAAAGCGAATTGACTAGGCGCACTGCCGAATTGGTAGACAAAACGGGATGCAAGATACGAGCCAAAGATAGCACGAAGGTAGTTATCAGGGACACGCTTGATAATCAGATCCAGACCAATCTTCTCAAGCAGAAGCTTAGGAAGGGCATCTTGGAGTACAGATCGGCGAAGTGTCTCGTTCTTCCAAAGATCCGTCTTTTGAAGTTCCTCGTCGAGCTTAGTGATGGCGATACTGAGAGTATCTGAAAGTGTGCTTCGTGGAATCTTGGTGGCTTTGTGCTCTTTCCAGATGGCTTCGAATTCAAGTCGAGCGTTCTCCTTGATGATCTCTTGAACACCTTTGACATAAGCCTTGTAGAATTCTGGTGTTTGGCCATCACTACCAACGCACATATGCTCAAGAAAACCTGCATCATCGAAACTCAAACTTGCGAGAACCTCGAGAGAAGATGAAGTAACACCTCCTTTGTTGGCACTGGCATCCTTGAAAAGAATGCATCCAGCAGCCTCAAGACGAAGCTTGGCATCTTGTGTAATGAAGAGATTTGCTCCTTCCACGATATAAGGAATTGTAGATTTTCCGTTCTTGATGAGCTTGCTGACACTGGCCAAATCGATCGACTCTGGACGACCACCGCAAGGAACGAAGGAATCTGTCAAGCCAGTTTCACGAAGGTGAAAGGTGTTGCGGAAAACGGTGCCGTTGTTGACGACCTCTCCGTTAGGAAGCTTGACATTGATATCATCAACGAGGACGCGATATCCAGCTTTCGAAAGCTTGGTGATATCGAATTCAGAAATCATAGCTCGCTTCTTAGCAAGACGGATAAGCTCTTCGTGATTGATTCCGTGAGGATCCACAAGAACACCAGAGCCATCGATGAGAGAGGTGTATTTTTCATTGCTAAGCAAGATTTCATTGCTTCCTAGATCACCATCTGGTCCACCAGTCTGCATCTTTCTGACTTTGCTTGGATCCAACTCAAGCTTTCGGTAGATACCCTTGACATACTCGCGGACGGAGAGCGTAGTCATACCATAAGCATCGTGGGGAATACCACCGAGCTTAGGCGATTTGCCAGTGAAGAATGATTTCCACCATGGCGCAGATCGGCTTCGTGCGTGTTTGGTCGCCCAATCGACAAGATCGGCAGTGTTCTCATCGGGACCCATGAAAAGAATTTCTTGCTTTCCATACAAATCGACGATAGGGTTCTTGATACCAGGAGAAGTGGGTGGAAGGAGCAGATCCATGATACTGTCAATATACTTTTCGAAAGCGACTGAACCTTTGTCTTGGTGAGCAGCGTCAAGCAGAATGACACCCTTGGATCCACCTTCTGGAATGTCCTTGTTCTTGCGCTGTTGGGTGTTGGCGAGACCATAGTTTTCGTCAAACATGCGGCGAGCGTTAATGCCGTACGCCTCCTTGTTGCGCGATTTGACAATACGGATTCCACCTCGAGCAATATCTCTAAAGCGCAAGTGGAAACCTCGAGATTCGGAGCTGATGACCAAGAACATACCAAAAAGTGGTTGAGGATATTCAAGTTCTGGTAAGAAGGAAGGGTTAAGCCGGAAGCTAAGAGCAACCTTTGTGGGTGTGTAGAAGTTGGTCTTCAGGAGTGAGTTGTTGAAGATTCTGAAAGCGTTCATGACCATTTCCTCATGCTCGTTGGCAACGGTTCTTGCAATGAGCTCCTTGAGTTGATTGTCGGTCAAGACCTCCGCCGAAGGAGTTGGTGGGATGAAGTCATCCTCGAAGCCAGGACCAAAAGCTAGATGGGTGCTGGCAAATGATGCGTAAAGCGATCGCACCAATTGGGGCTGCGAGTTGATAATCTCAGCGATGTACGCAGAAGTGAATGTCTCTGTTCTCAAACGACGTTTGATTTTGGAGAGGATCTCTACGTGGAGACTGTTGGTCGAATCCAACGCCGACACAAGCGATGAGTACTCCGATCCGAGTCGATTCAAGAAATGTTGAACAAACACCCAAAGGCAGTGAGCATAGACAGTCTCCTGCAAGCTCAATCCACCGCCGACAAAGAGTGCTTGGAATTTGTTGCGAGGAATGCAGTAGAGCAGCGAGATTTCCTTGGTGATTTGGTGGATGGATTGATCAAGAGGGGGCGAATCCACGATATTGGCGGGTTTGAGATACAAACAAATAACACAGATGCCATTCGAGAACTGCTCGACATATTTTCTGGAAGAGGTGACCCCTGTAACTCGTGATCAGTTTTTGATGCATGTGAAATCGCGGGGTAACGAACCATAGTAGTGATAGAGATCCGACAAAGCAGTAAACATGCCAGTAGCAGTTTTGCGACGGAAAGCAACGACGAGTCTGACCTCTTTGGAGTTTTCAATGTCGAAGTATTCAATGACAGGCCCATTTCGTTGGACTGCGGTTTCGATGATTTCTTGATAGATTTGCTTGGTGTTGCTTGTGGCTTTAGCGAGGAACATCTGATCTCCAATAACCTCAAGCCTGGTCTCTTTCGGATCAGCATTAGGCTCGACAAATTGACATTGGTAGACGAAATAACATCGCATGGTGCTCTTCGCCTCTACCGTGCCAGCCAAATTGGTTGGGGATCTGAAGGTTTCCACTCGATATACGTTGTTTCCTGACGCTGATGCGTCGAGGTACTTGCTCTCCAGTCTGCGTTCATAACGAGGCCCGTCAATCTTACTGACACCAGGTTCACTTGTGTCAATGTAGATGGCGTGGTCTGCAGCTTCCATATCCAATCGAATTTCTTGCTGCTTGTCTTCGCGCGCAAAAGCTGCAATTTTAGCGGCATAGAGAGAAGTGATGTTGGAAACGATTGCAGATACGCTTTCTGTCTGGAAATAGACATCATCGATACCCAAGTCGTTGTAGAACCAGTCAATTTGCTGATCAATGAGGGAAGATGGTATCCAATTGCCAGCCTCTAGCTTGGCCTTCACTATTAAATTGTTAGTCTCGACTTTATGGAGGGTTTGTTACACTCAGTGTTTGCAAAACTCACCTTCTATCTTCTGTGCTTTCTTTCCCTTGAATTCGGGTGCAATGTAGCCAACGGTGGCAGATCGCAGGACTCGATGGCCATTGCCATTGCCGTTCTTGTATGGCACATCATGGCCACCGAAATGTGTAGGTTGAGGTGAGGGCAATCGACCTGGAGTTCTTGATATTGAATCTACCAGCTTGTTGACCGGGCGATCTCCTGCCATCATGTTGGGCGGCTCGAAATGTTTTGGTTCTGGTTCAATTGATGGTCCAAAGATATCTTCGGGTTCGTAATAAACAGGAAACGGAACTGAAGAGGATGTCAAGTCAGTAGTGTTTATAGTAAGCGTCTTCATGGCGGCCATGATGGGCGAGATGTTGGATTCAGTGTTTGTTGACTTGACAAAGTGACTTGCCCCAAGCGAAATAGGGGAGTCAGTCGTTATCAGAGGAGGGAGGAGCGTAGTGAATAACATTGAATTTGATATCACTGCGCTGGTGCTTATCAGGCTCAGAAAGGTAAGACTCACCACGGTTATCAGATAGCAGAGAGACAGACAGCACACTAGACTCCAACAGCCTGAGGCTAATTCCCAACGAATCCGTCTGGATCCCCAATGATCAAGGGAATATACGGATGTACGAGGCGGAGCGCTATCTTTTGCAAAATGCGGTCTGACAATGCCGTCAACACGGTGAACAAACCCCCTTGCTCGAGATGAATGTGTGACGGTTGATAGGAGCGATAAGAGAATCTGGCTCGCGCAAGAATGCTTAAGATGATTTCTGCGAGACAACGGGCGGGAGATTACGCAGGTTTCCGGTCCGGGAGGTGCGGTGTAGCAGGCTGAAAGGTTCGGGACTCAGATCACCACGGTTGGTGGGAGCAGATCTCGGGATATACTGGGTACCTGCTTTAGTGAATTGATGGTAACGCCAGGTGGGTGTTGGAGGGTGAACGATAAGCTGATGGCAGTGAAGCTGTCGCAAAGGAGACGTAGACGAGAGATATTCGTCAGAGGAGGAAGGCTGGCTAGCTGTTGGTGGAGGAATCGGATGCTCGTAACTTGTCTGGCAACTTCTGCGCCCTGTTGTTGTTGTTGATATCAAGACAGCCTCTTTGGGCAGCAGCCATCTTGAGAGCAGCCATTGCGCTATTTAAACCAATGGCTCTACACAATACCGAGGTGGATTTGGTAACTCTGACAGACCCAGCGGAATGGAATTTTTCTTTGCGCGTGGACTGGGAGACTGGCTTGTCGTGCGTGTATCGTATCCATCGCCGGTGCAGGTTCCTGACGACAAGCCTCCGCGACCCAGCTCTCGTGCCTGTCGAGCGATAACGACACGATGCAGATCCCTGCTGGGGGACGGTTATTCAAGGCTGATACGGGAGTGGTCTAGTCCGTTTGAGGAATTTAAGAATATTCTGCAATATTCTGCTGCAGCGAAAAGCTGACAAGTACCGAAAGGGGCTAAGTGTCTACCGTTGACCCAGTGGCAGGGGGGATTTTTACGAAGATGCATCCAAACGCCTCTTCCAAGATCCTCCTGAGGCCACTTTATATGGCAATGACAACATCTGTTTGCATTAAGTATTTGTTTGTATTTTTGGGCATTCAAACAATTTTATGCTCAAAAAGCCTTCTTCCACAGAATCATTGACTAGAATTTTTCAGGAAGCTAAATGTTCATTAGAATGCACAGCCCAAAGAATTTCCGTCTCAAGCAACCCCGCGGTCAGGTCAATCGTTGACGACAATTAATTCTACAGGCCATGACTTTGTCCTGCTGCCATGATTCTTCCGAAAATCTATCCAAACATGCAATTCCATCTCAATCCAATCCAGTAGTCGCCAACTCCATTGAAACCACCTAGTCCATACATAACAAGCCATTGCATGGCGACTAACCCGTGATCCGACCCGACCTCAGCGCCAACCTCGTCTTCCTCTCTCCGCGCTTCTATTCCCACCCCATGACTTCGCATGACTAAGTCTGCCAATCCAAACGCGTCCAACCCCTCGACTCTTCCCTATTTCGAGTTTCGAAGGGGTAATTGAAAAGCTTCACTCTGCTCTAGACGACGCATCATTGTCATCATTCACCTCATGGTGCGGATACGTCGCAAATTGCAACATCTCCTGACACATACCTGCATCGTCGACGGCCCTTGTTTACGTTTTCAATTACACATCGTTCCGTTCCATTCTCCGCCTCGACACTGACGTTTTGCCTTACCCCGGATTTCAATCACTTGATCGTGGCCAATTCTTCTTGCATTTCCTGGGGTTGCCGTTCCCAGCCCAGTTACCAGCCCGTCGGACGCTATCCGTGTGGATTGCGGAAGAGGAATCTGCAAATAATCATCTCCACCACACCTCATCCTCCCTCACTTACACCGCTTGCCCAAGAGCTAGTTGCTCGGGATCCGTCTATTGATTAAGCACAGAAGCCATTTGCTTCTACGCGTCGAATCCGGAAGTCCGTGATAACCTTAACCATGGACGGTGAACCTCACGATGTGCCAATCTCAAGCAGAGAGCACGCACAATCGCTTGATGCCCAAGACCCCCTTTCCCACCTCAAAGAGCAGTTTCTCATCCCTTCCAAAGGGCAATTGAAAGCGGAGTCATTGCAGGCAGGTACGAGCACGCTATTGATTCCCGTTCCCTTACTTGCCAGAGCTGAGAAGTTTCACAGCGTCTCGTGATTCCGCGTCAGCTGATGGCCATGACTCTGAGAATTCCATCTACCTGGTGTACCTCTGTGGAAACTCTCTCGGACCCCAACCAAAGCTGGTAGCCACCCGTTTGCAGCAGCATCTGAATACGTGGTCCTCTCAAGGAGTCTTTGGCCATTTCAAGGCATTGAACCAGTCTCCCTTGCCCACATGGCTAGATGCCGACGCAAAGGCGTCAGAGAGCATAGCTCCAATCGTTGGAGCACACCCTGATGAGGTTGCCGTGATGCAAACACTGACGGCCAACCTACATTTTCTGATGAGTGCTTTTTACAAGCCGGATATTACGAAACGTCACAAGATTATCCTGGAGACCAAAGCTTTTCCTTCCGATCACGTTCGTATCAATTACCTATTCGCAATGCATGCAGAACCACTGACATTCTCTAGTTTGTCGTGGAAACCCAAATCAGACACCACAACCTCAACCCAGAAACTTCCATGATCACAATCTCCCCTCCGACCCCGGAAACACCTCTCACAACCGATCACATCATCTCCATCCTCGACGCCAACGCCAACGACACCGCTCTCCTCCTCCTACCCGGAATCCAATTTTACACCGGTCAATTCCTCAATATCCCTCTCATCACCGCTCACGCCCGCTCTCTCGGAATCTTCACCCTCTGGGATCTCGCTCACGCGGTTGGTAACGTCCCTCTTCAACTCCACGACTGGGACGTAGACGCCGCGGTATGGTGTACCTACAAATACCTCAACAGCGGCCCTGGCACCATCGGTGGTCTTTTCGTACACTCCCGCCACGCAGAGTCAAAAGTCAATCGTCTAGGCGGCTGGTGGGGAAGTTCAAAATCGACTCGTTTCGCTATGGATAATTCATACTCGCCTATTCCCGGTGCGGCAGGATTTCAACTTTCGAACCCGAGTATATTAGATATCACCGCTCTAAATGCGTCCCTTGAGGTCTTCGCCATGGCAGGCGGAATGCAGCCACTCCGTGCTAAATCTCTGAAATTAACTGCATATCTCGAATCACTTCTTCGCGCCTCACAGGCTTTCAAGAATCACCTTTTCAAGATCCTCACACCTTCAGATCCCGAACAGAGAGGTGCACAACTCAGTTTGCAACTTGTACCAGGATTACTGCATGTAGTCATGCGGGAGTTGGTACTAAGAAGTGTAGTTGTCGACGAGCGACAGCCGGATGTGGTACGCGTAGCTCCAGCACCACTTTTCAATTCTTTCGAAGACTGTTGGGTGTTTGTGGATGCTTTTGCACAAGCGATTGAGATTGCTGTGAAAGCAAAGGAGAACGGTGATGATGGGAAGAAACAGGGGATCGAGGGTGGAGAGTTGGAAATGACAAGTTAGATCTTGCGCATGCGAGGTTGGATGTGTGGATTGTAGGATACTGGGATAGAACGTATATATAGATTTAGATTAGAATATATAGATACATATTCAGAATCTTTGACATTCATTTGAAAAGTATACTTCATCATCCATGTACATTTTACGGTGTTTAAAAAACCACGAGGGACACTCATAATTAATTTCTCAATATCTTGTGTCACGGCGACCGAGTCGAAACGGGTAATCACCTACTTGATCTACGAGTTCTGAGAATAGTTAAAGCTACCAGATCCTCTGCATCTCATGCATAACTTTTGAAACCCAATATTTTTGATTTGACAAAGGATTAAGAAGCAGACTCCGTGTCAGATTTTTGCCTCCAGCTGCTGAGAGGTGACTTGCAAAGTAATCTTGTTGCCAAGTCTACGCCACATACAGTTTGGGAATCTCTATCCAAAATCAATAAGAATATATCAGACAATATTTTATTATCTACAAACAATATTTATTCACGCTCCCGACGAAATGCAAAGCAAATGGGTATAACCACACACAGATACGCCATACACGCCACCCGAAAAGCCAGCTATCCAGCAAAAGCTCTCCGTCCCGATCCCTACTCTGTCATAGAACCAGCAATATACAAGTACACATATCAAGCAGATCCACACCAAACACCACAAAATAGTCATTCAACCCCCCACACTCCCCGACCCAGCAGCCGCAACTCTCGCCCAGCCCTCCGCCCGCCCCCGCGCCTCATCCGCCTCTCTCTTCTTCCCCTGCACCTCAAAACAGCCAGCTAACATCCCATCCGCCACGCTCTTCCACAGCACGTTCCCGCCCTTCTGCGCCTGCACACTAGCCGCCAACGCGCTCTTCTCCGCCTGTTCGCCTACGACGTTGGTGAAGAAGCGGGCGCACATGACGTTCAATGTGATGCATAGGAACTGAGAATTCATTGTCTTCTGTGCGCCGGCGAGAGCCTGGGAGAGATGGCGTTTGACTTCGAAGAGGGGGGTGGGAGGGGTGGTGGTAATGGTCGCTTTGATGAGGCAGAAGGCGGTGTGGAGGTCTTTGTTTTGGTTTTGGGCACAGAGGGGGGTGAGTTGGGCGAGGAGAGCGTTGTTTCTTTCGGGGTTGAGACGGGATGGTTCTTGTGTGATCCAGAGGGTGTTTAGGGCTGCTAGGATGGCGAAGTCGCGCGAAATTTGGGATACGGAGGTTGAGGTGCTGGGATTGCTAGGGGGAAGGGCGAGTTTTGGGTCTTGGAAGATGCGGAGCGCCGAGTCGAGATTGCCGATTCCTTGAAGCCAGACGCCGGTGAGATACATGCTGAGGCATCCAAGAGGACCTGATAAGGGTAGGTCATTGTGACGGGCGGTAGAGCCGACGTGATCGATGTTTGTTTTGAGTTCGGCCCAGTCGGACATGGATGCTGCGCAGAAAGCTAGGTAAAGACGAAAGTAGCACAGAAGTTCTACTCGCCATAATTGCTTTGTATTTAAATTTGGTAACAAATCCAGAAAGTCTTTTGGGTCTCGAGACTTTTCGGCTACTTAAGTGTAAGTAGATAATTTATCTGGGAATGTATGGTCTCATCTTACCTAGACCTTCCATTCCCTCTTTGAGGTATCTAACAGCTTTTGGATCAGTTGCATGTCTGTGTAATAAGACGATTGCAGAGAGTAGGTAACTGGCATCGAGGTTAGTATTACGAATTCAAAACGGCAAGCAGCACTAACCTAATCGAAAAGGCATCCTTTTTGTTGAGGAAAGACATAATCAGAACTTCGCGGCCATCGGTGTCAATTCCAACGACTGATCTAGTCTCGAGGCTGACTATTGTCAAACTCTTTGATGTTTTATTGATTGGAATGGCCATCGTATCACTAGATGAGCTCCATTTGGCATCCTTAAGCATTCGATCCATAACCACTTGCATACCCTTTAGCTTGTCCAACATTTGGTGAGTATTACCAGAACGAATTACACACATCACATCTATAAGATTGATCAGACCAGCAAGTTGTGGAATACTATCTCCGACGGTTAATTGATGTGTTCTCGCAGCTGCTATGGCTCTCTGAACTGCCTCATTAGAGTCTGGACCTATGGATCTTAGATGTACCATTGCTTCCATTACAGATGCAGTCAAATGAACAGCTCTGTCATGCTGTCTGATCGCAAGTTCTGCAACCTTTTGCAGGTTTTGTACGGCAGCATTTCCATCGACAGGACTTCCAGATTCAAGGGCAAAGTTGGCTCGCAGAAACCGGAGAGCATATATCCAGGGAACATGTTGATAACTGGTACCTTGTTAGGTGAGCCAGAATAATCTTCAAGTGTGACCTACGCTTCTGCTTCTGATATATATCCATCCAATGCTTTCATAGCTGCTCTCAGATTCTTCTGGCCCATGATTTGAGCCAAAAGATACTGCATGGCGTATTTGAGATCGAAGAAGTGGCTCTAATATGTGTTAGAGAAGTACCAACTGGCTGAACAAGATGCGCACCCTTTCGCAAAGCACAATGCCTTTTGCCAGCGCCGTCTCCGCTTCCATCGTATTTTCCGTCTCTTCGTGCAGCACACCCGAATATCTTAATCGTACGGTCGCCTCTATCCTTGGCGTAAGTTTCCCTTTCCTCAAAGCAGCATCTAAGCACCCAAGTCCGGTCGCAATCAATCTCTGGTAGGTGTCGACATTATCCGGCGCCATGGACGTTGATATCAAGGGGGCTAGCTTGTGCGCAGCCTCAAAATACTCTTCGGCGAGAGGGAGTAGGAGAGACACGCTGTCAGACGAAACGCCGCTGGGTGAGTTGGGGATTCGGATTGCGCTTGAAGACGTTGGCGTGGAGGTTTGTCGACCCGTAGACATGTATTGACCCATTTGCGCCGGAGGCTGTTGATACAGCTGTGATGGTTGTATGTATTGGTTCTGTATGTTCTGCGGCGGGTAGTATGCCTGCTGATGGTACTGGTTCTGAACTGGCATCGCATTGGAATACTGAGGTTGGTGTTGTCTGTTCTGCTGGTAATACTGATTCCCATTGCTGGGAGTTGGGTATGGATTTGGGACATTATGCGCGTAAGGTGAACGTGTATCTTGCCGATTATATGCATTCGGAGAGTCGTGACCGTTCCAACCGCTGTGCCCCGGCGGCGGCCCTCGAGGATACGACATCTGGACTTCTTCACCTTTGTCGTCGTTCAAGTATTCACCTCATGCTTGAGCCAAGACGAGACGTCAAGATGGGTGGCCACGCGAGAAACAGGCCCTGCAGGCGTGAACCCCTGCTCAACCGAGGCATACAAGTAGGCTGCAGTAGGGGATACTTCGTACTCGGTACAATTATCATCTTCCTCCCTATTAAAATTTTAACAAAGAACTTTGTAGACTTTTTCTTGAATTTAACATATTTCCTGTCTTTACTCAGATATCCTCTCCCAAGATGGAATGGCTTGGGCATGCTAACATAAAATTCCTTCATTCGCCAACTCCTCTCATATTAAGCAAAAAGGACGGAACCACCACGGATCTGGCCAAAATATGCGAAGAATCGACACCGCCATGTCAACTCAATCCTTTCTTGTTCAATGGGCACGCTCAAACAATGATGACTGCTGTAAAGAATGATGGACCACCTGTCTTTTACAAAAGGAAAATCTTTGATGCCGAAGATCCAATGTATGAAGGGACTTTCGCTGTCGACTTTGTCGTCCCGCCAAACACGGACGTCGATGATAGTCTTCCAATAAGAACCACTTACTTTTCAGAAAAAGAGTTTGATGGAATTGCCTCTTTAGATACGAGGCCAATGTTGGTGACTCTGCATGGCCTTTCTGGAGGATCTTATGAGATTTATCTTAAGCACGTGCTGTTTCCATTGATTCAGGAACATGAGACCGAGCAATGGGAAGCCTGTGTTGTAAATAGCAGAGGTTGTGCTATGCATAAGATCACAAGTAGTATTCTTTACAATGCCAGAGCCACATGGGATTGCCGACAAACTGTCAAATGGCTGAGGAAAAAGTTCCCAAATCGTCCTCTTTTCGGAATTGGCTTTTCACTCGGTGCGAACATTCTAACCAATGTAAGTTCAACTAAAATCTATATGCAATATACATGCTTACAAAACCCAGTATGTTGCAGAAGAAGGAGACAAGTGTGAACTGAAAGCAGCCGTGGTCATCTCCAACCCATGGAATCTTGAATCCGGATCACTTGCTTTGCAGCGAACCTGGCTGGGAAGAGAGATATACTCAAAAACTATGGGCGGCAATATGAAGAGACTGCTTGCCCTTCATCATGATGAAGTGTCTAAGAATCCCAAGTTGGATTTTGAGAAGATTAACAACGTTCAATATCTCCATGAATTCGATAGAGAAGTCCAAGGTCCAACATGGGGATATCCTACCGAAGGAGCTTACTACCGAGATGCTTCATCCACTGACTCCTTATTTTCGGTCAAAATTCCTTTCTTTGCTATTAATGCAGAGGATGACCCAGTGAGTTATCTTCTTGGCACTTGATATTTCTGTATTTTCCATGGCACTAATGGTCAACGTAGATTGCTAGCAAGGAGGCACTTCCATACCAAGAAGTGCAGAAAAATCCATATACAGTTTTATGTACAACGTCATTAGGTGGCCATTTGTCTTGGTTTGAGTTGGGTGGAGGAAGATGGCATTCTCGTCCTGTACGTCTGCTTTCCTAATTTCGATGCGGCACTTCGACTAACCAATAAACAGGCTATCAACTTTCTCAACAACATGGCTTTCAACGTCAAATTACCAGCTCCCGCAGTTGCTAACGGCGAGGAGAGATTCGGCAGAAACCATGTTTCTGAGTTCATACCCATGCGACGCAAACTTGTTTACAGAAGCGAGTGAGCTTGAAAGCTTGCATGCCAAATCTCGTGTTTGACCAATCGAGCAGACAGGAATAGAGAAAGAAGCGAAAAGTCGGTCGATTGGCGTTTTCATAGACTTCATTGTTATTAGACAGCGGTGATACCCGGTATATTATATCTCGGACGAAGTAATTACATTATTGTCACGTAGAGACACCAGTTGCCCCTGTTCCCAAGGTGAATAAAGCTATTTTCAATCACCTTCATGAGTCTATCGCCATGCCGTGCAAGAGACAAAAACTTGAGTCTCTGAAAGCCTTGCCTGGAAATTGTACTTTGAAAGTTCGGAAAAATATTTTCTTCCCTTCTCGAACCATGGTATTTCAACCTTTTAAAATCCCAACTACACCGACCCAAATGCAACAATACCCCAACGCCATGCAGCTTCAACAGTATATGACAACCCCTCAATTCAAGCAAACGACACGCTCTTCTTCCTCAACCTCATAGGCTTCGTCCCCGCCTCTAAGCTCACCGACTCTCCATCCTCCTTCTTCTCAGCCGCCGCTCTCTTCCTCTTCTTCCTCAATCCCTCCTTCGCCTCATCCAATTTACTCTTACGATCCTCAACCCTCTTATCCGCCTCCACCTTCCTCGCCTCGCGAATCTCCTCCATCTGCCGCGCCTTCATCATCTTAGACTCAATCTGACCCTCTTTATCCGCATTAACCATCGCCAGGATCGTGAGCATGGATTCTCTGTCATCCACAAATACCTACGCATCTATTAGCTCCCATCCATACCCAAAGTCTAGACTAGGTGAGGACATACCTTTCCCTTCTTCTCGCCCTTAGGTTTCTCAACCCCGACAGGCGTAATCATATTCAGCGCCGGAATACCCAATTCCTTCTCGGTATATATCCTCCGCTTTTTCTTCAGTTTGTTCAACGCGCTCCCTTTTCCCGTCACACTACCCAGACTCACACCCTTCGATTGCGTCTTTTTGGATTTCGCGGACTTCGGTTTGGAGACGCCGTCGCCATTCTGACCTGCACGGGTCTTGTTCGTGGTTTTACTGTTTTTGATGCCGGATTTGTTGGTCGCGTGTTTGGATTTCACGGTGGAGGTGCGTGATGGTGCCATGGCGCAGGTTGAATGGGTGGAGGACGTGGTTGAGATGTGAGATCTGCTGTTGCGCGAGGTTGCGATAAAAGATAATTTTTAGTGGGGCGATATCAAGGTGGGTCTGGATGGCGGGGATAATTTTCGTTGGAGAATCTCTCTTGACACGTTGAATTATGTGTAAATGATCGCTTTTTAAGAGAGAGAAAAAAGAAGAGTTAAATCTACCAGTCTAAATGCTGATATCACATTGTCTTCTCTTTGATTTTCTTTACCATCCATCATGTTCGAGTGTTCGATATAAAACTATCACTGACCATGCGTTGATTACACTGCAAGTACCTAGGTAGTCTCCAGTTAGACCAATCGTCATTGAAAGAAGAATAATTCCAGTAGACGCTGTTATATTTTTTCTATCAAACTTAAGTACTCAAAGTCCCCTTCGTACTAGGTACCTCGCCTTCCCTCCCAGCGACCCTAGTCGTCGCCTGTCTAATAGCCACCGCCAGCGCTTTAAAAGCACTCTCCGCTCTGTGATGATCGTTATCCCCTCTTAAGCAATCAACATGCATTGTGACTCTCGCGGCTTGCGCAAAGCTCTGCAAACAATGCGGTATCATCTCACAGCTCAAATCTCCAATCTTCTCCCTCTTCAATCCCAAATCTATAACGCTGAACGGCCGATTCGAGAGATCTACGACTGCACGCGAGAGAGCATCGTCCAATGGAGCATATGCGGATCCAAATCTTGCCAGGCCAGTTGGAACACCAAGTGCATCTTTAAATGCACCACCTAAGGCTATACACACATCTTCGGCAGTGTGGTGGTCATCAACTAAGTCCTTTGTCAGTCAAGGCTCGTGGATGCTCAATTAGAAACTAACTGTGCAAGTCTCCTTTGCAGATCAGACTCAAACTCCAACCAGCATGTTTCGCGAGCGCATGTAGCATATGATCTAAGAATCCAATTCCTGAATTTATTGAAATCGTTTGACTCTTGCTGGCTTGCGAAGCATGGCCCTCATTTCCACTTAGTAGTCGTTTGTCGGTATCGCTAGGAAAGTCACCGCCATCTAAGTTGATTGCTAAAGCGATTTTAGTTTCGTTGGTGTCGCGGGCAAGACACGCCGAGCGAACGGGAGGTGATGTAGAGCCCATTGTTGAACTGGAAGGATTTAAAAATGTCGAATCAAAGTTGCGAGTCTTGGAAACATTTTTGGAACAATAACGCGATGTCGGCAGGGTCCAAAATCGAAGCTGGTCCGTGCTTGTATGTGGATCATGACGATTCGAACTCTTCGCGGGAGCTCTTTGAAACTCGTGAGCTCTCATCATGCCATTTTCGAAATGGCAAAAAGCAATTCAGATGAGCCAAGAACAATGAAGCAACATACTACCGGCGGTTTGAAGAATCGGGATGCTGATGGTGCAGCATGGGAAGCTGGAAAGGGGGCAGTAATTGGCGCATCCAAAGTATGTCACTTCTTAAGAATGAGCTTGTATACAACTAACGTATATTTCGTAACAGTGGGGAATTGTCTTTGGGGGTCTTGGTGGAGCTGGATATGCTCTATCGCCCATATACAGAGGACTCACTATACAATTCAAAGTGTAAGTTTTCTCTGTCTGAAATTCGGTATTTTGAGCTAAAATATAACCACAGATTCATCCAGATGTCAGGTAAGGAACTTGGAAGTCTTGGCAAATTGGATGCTGATCAAATATAGGCATGATTATGGGCGCTTGTCTTGAAGCTGATCATAGGATTCGTGAATATGAAGCAAAAATACGAATGCAAAAGCGCATGGTTAGAGATAGAGCTGTCTGGGAAAGCTACGAGCGGGAATTCGATGAGGTACCACCAGTGTCGAAAGAAAGCCAATCAAAATGAAGAAGTCAACAAAATAGTTTCGCTTGATATATACATTGACGTTCAAATTCCGCGTCCGGAAGTATGCCAATTCCATATACGCCGATCAACATGCCCAATACGCCCTGCTACGCCTAATCATAAATCTATCCCTCACAATCATGACTTGACCACGAATTTCTTTGGGTCCATGTTGAGCTTAGACAGCCTGGCAACGCACCCACTCAGTTGAAGCAGCGTCTGTACACCATCTAGAATCTTCATATGTGTGAATCCAATTTCCTTAATGAACTCCAATTTGGCGTGTTCGCTAAGGGTTGGTATAGTTTTCGTCACTCTGAACATCGTGCTGATGATATCGTGACTAGAATATCCCAAATCCCAAAGCTCTTTCAGAGTTTCTAATGCAGCGTCGACCTTCCCTTCGTAACACGCTTTAAGCATAGCTTGGATTTTGATAGGATGGGGTGAGTCGACTACTTTGAAGACATTGTCTCCACTGAGGAACCCAAACCCCGCCCATGTTGATTGAAGATTGTTAATGGCTTGCCGCATGTCACCTTCCGCTGTAAAGACTAGTGCAGCCAATCCATCCTCGCTGTATTCGACCTTTTCGGCTTCGATTATCTGCAATAACCTCTTGACGACTTGTGCATCTGTTAAGCGGGAGTATCGAAGGATCGCACATCGGGATTGGAGGGGTTCGATGATCTTATTTGATTGATTGCAGGCGAAAGCAAATCTTGTTGTAGCCGAGTATATTTCCATCGTCCTGCGCAAAGCTTGTTGGGCTCCAGAGGTCATACTATCAGCTTCGTCCAAGATGACGAGCTTTTGTCGTCCTTGAGGCAGCGTAACCTTTTTCTGGGCAAAGCCTTTGATGCGGTTTCGCACAACATCGATACCTGGTGGGCTCCTCATTAGAAAGCTCTAACAATCCAGCATATACCACTCACCTCTTTCGTCACTAGCATTAAGTTCCAAAACAGCTTCCTTATATGAATCGCCTAGCATTTGTCTCGCAAGACACAATACCGAAGTTGTTTTCCCAATGCCAGGCATTCCAGATATGATAACATGTGGCATGTTCCCATCTTTTGCAATGATTTTTAAACGTTCGATTGTTTCCGTATTTCCCACAATGTCGTCCAGAAACACAGGCCGGTATTTCTCAACCCTGATTGAATTAGCAACTACAGCATAGTTTTGCGATTTCCCAGACATACCAAGGGAGTTCATAATTAGGTATGCCATTGGTATTGGCTTTCAAGACATTTTTTGCCGCTGATGTTGAGGATTCGCCCTTCTCTTCTCCTTTCGTAACAGCCATTTTGGTATGTGTTAATCTGCAAATAATCGCGCTTTGAGGTGGACGCGATGGAAATCAATTTACGCGTGGAAACTGAAGCTTGCCGAGGTTTGGCCGCAGCCTGACCTCAGGACGACAGACATCGATCGACCTTAACGACTACTTAGGTACAACACTGACGCTTCTACTTTTACCCATCACTTTTCTTCTGCCATACATACAAGTGCCCGGAGTGGAAAGACATTTCAGACTCGACCAGGAAGATACCATCACTCAATCCCACGATTTTTCTATCTACAGTTGTCTGTTCTTGCCGCCTTTGCTCACGAAGGAGCCGCGAATGGAATGTCATGGCTTCACGAACAATTATTTAGAGGACCTCAAAATAGAGCTATTACATACGATCAAGACGCTGCCTCTTTCTTTATGCATTTAAATTGAGCGGGCAGCTAATCGGCGAATCTTAGTGGACATATCCTAACAGTCTTAGTTCTATTGAGTCCGCTGCATTCTGCGAAGAGCCAAAGGCCGTGGCCGTGATTCCAACTCGCTATTGTCGTTTACATATCTCGGAGTTCCGGCTGAACTGCGATGCGTCTATATCAATCGACACTTCAACAGTTGACAGCTGGCTGATAAGCGCCCAGGCGCTGCTCATTTAGTCAAATTCGCGTCTAGTTGTCAATGAAGGACGCGTGCGCATTTTATTCGGATGTCTCTCAATTCCGATATAGAACTTGCGGGGTTGGTTCTTCCACATCCAATATTTCACTCCTAAGATACCTACACTTTCCGTACCGCGCCAGTCTACTCACGTAAACACTTCTTGTGCGTTACGGTTCATGAGCCATTTCTTCGATAATTACGGATGTACAATGTTGTCGATATTCTTCCGTGGGCCAATGAACGCCGTGCTGACCTGCAGCGGCCGGGTTCATCATGCTGCACCTCTCGTGCTCAGCCCGATTGTCCCAAAATTAGGTCTGGCCACCAGTCAGAAGTTTATTTTTCAAAGACGGAAATGTTGTTTACCGGCGGCGGAGCGATCTCATTGCTCAGAAACTCCTCGACTGGACTTCTCGAAATAAACATTTTCCTCGCTTCAGCGGCCGCCGCCAGCGAACAACCAACAATTGCCAGCAAATATGTTGGGTAAACATGTAAGCCGTGTAGATTCGGATCTACAGATATATAATGGTCAGTCCTCATGGTAAATAATTCATTCTTCATCAAACAATCAAAGCTTCAAAAACATTATTTCCTTAGATTCTTTTTCCTTGAGTCTTTTCCTTTGTCTCTTTTCTTTTAGAGTCGATTTTCTTCTTTCCTATCTTTGCTAGTTAATTATTTGGCCCCTGTCATACCACCAATCCTCAACTATCACTCAATCTAATCATCAATATGCAATATACATCTACTTTCGCCATTGCCTTCTTGGCTTCAACTGCCTCTGCAGCTCCATACAACCAAGCACCAGGAGCTGCAACAACCCTTACCACCATCACAACGCCTGCTGCCACACCTCCAGCGACCGCTCCCGGTGGTCTTACTCTTACCCAACAACTTTTCCTTGCAGACACTGCCGTCGATCGATTCGCACTTCTCGGCAACGAGGCGTTTGTGTTTGATTTCAACGATCCAGAGAAGAAGCAGAAGGGAAAGGGTGGCCGCGGTGGTGATCTTGTAGTCGCCAATCGCAAAACACACCCTGCACTTGTTGGAACGGGCTCCGGTATGGCTGTTGGTTTCCTCGGTCCTTGCGGCTTCAACACTCCTCACGTTCATCCTCGCGCCACCGAACTTCAGATCGTTACCAAGGGCAAACTCACTGTCGAAATGGTCCCAGAGAATGGTGTTTTCAACGTCCCGGGCGACAAGACCTCTAAACGACGAGTCATTCATGCTGATGTTGGGGAGAATCAGATGTTTCCCTTCTACCAAGGCTCAGTCCACACCCAATTCAACCCAACCTGCGAGACAGCCACTTTCATCGCATCTTTCAACGCAGAAGATTTCGGAGCTGGACAAGTTGTGGATGAGGTCTTGGCTTTCCAGGATGACATCGTTTTATCAGCCTTCGGAGAGTCATTTGATGCATCTCAGTTAGCAGCTATGCGCAAGAAGCTTCCAGCCAGTATCGCCCAAGGTGTTGCTAGCTGTATTGCCACTTGTGGTGGACTAGAGAAGATCGGATCTGCCAACGGATCATAAGCACTCGCGCGGTAGTGGAGGGTCTGAGCATGACGATAGCAGTAATTTAGCTGCTATATTTGATGTGCATTATTAGGATTGCTTGTATTTTGTCATGATTGCATTGGGCCGGAGTTTAGCATAGCATTTGCATAGCGAGCGTTATTTTGTCTTTATTACTTAATTTGGCTACATCTCCAATAATCAGATACTTAGGTACTTGTAGTTGGGGCCTAGCTTCTCAGAATCAATACACTTCATCAACTGTACTCTCTGCTTCCATTCACTTGAACACGACCCTTATTGTTGACCTCATTAGACAGACAAGGTTCTGCGTAGCTGCCGCATGTTGATTTTGCTAATTTCAAGAAACAGAAGCCCGTTTGTACTGGTATAGAGTAACATCAGCTCCTGCATGTGTGTAATTTCCTCTCGCAATCGACAATATATATGATACGCTTGGGACAGAACGCGTTTCTGAAGTTAAACTTGCCAGTGATCAACACGGAACTTGAAATAATAGACTATCACTAAAAGATAAGCTGAGTCCGCTCCGGTATCGTTCATGCAAAGTGAGGCCTGCTGACGGCCACCGTCGGCCGCAGAATCTGGGTTAAGCAGGTGCCAGGTCGCGTGGTGTCGAAGGATTCTGACCCGCCGGTTCTTTTGTTGCATGTCGAGCTCTTGAATCAGGTGATTGTTGGGCGGAGCCATGAACTTCAAGGCACTGACTCAGTGGAATGGTGAGATTTGATTTAAAACGAAATGCAATTGACGGGAAGTATTGCTCTTTTGTGGTGCCCAAATAACACGGTAGTTTGGTGCTGGTTGTTATGATCGTCTGAGGTGTCTTGTTGACATTTCAAAGTTTGATTTCAGTGTTGATATATGGTACATAGATTTTACTTGATAACTTATTCAACTATAACAAATCCTGCCCAGACTTGAAACTTTGACCTGAATAAATGGTACGACCGCGTTCCCTGTTATTCTAAGTGGATTTAGGAGATTTCACTCTTGTTGTGCTCGAAGCATGCAAGGTGGCACAGATCGTTATTGAGAACACACCAGCAGAGTTGGGATCAGATGCGAGATATATCTTTGTTTATGTTTATATTGGATGGTAGGAAAAGTAAACACGCAAGCGGCAGCAGCAAACCAGTAGGTTGATAGTCACTTTACCACATAGCCCTGCGTTTTCCATTTTGATATTGTTACTCATCTTCAAGTTGATTCAAGTCTCGCAACATGGCATTTCAACGTCTTCAATCTGTCAAAGTTTGGCTCAAAAGGGTCGCTGGCCACTGAGAACTAAAGGCTTACAAAACAGTGCGGCCTGACAACATTGTGATATACCTCCCCAGTGAACTGACGTGATACACCATTCATACATTGTACTTTTCAATAAATCTCCTCCACTTGCAACCATGAAGAGCCCTTCGTCCCAGGAAGACTGCTTCAGACTGGAACAATATCTAGCTGTGGTGACCACTGACCAGTGCCAGCCTGGTCGCTTGGGCCATCATTCACTACCTCACAATGCCCTTCTTCACTTCATCACCTAGCAACCAGGGGAGGCAAATTCAGTTCCCAACCATTCGCACTAGTGGTAAGCGAACGAGGTTGTTTACTACAAAAACTCACGATGTTTACTTTCCTTCTCTTCTTCTTCTTCTTTTCTCTTCAACTTACAAAGATGTCTACTTGCCACTCTTCTCAAGTTATCCCGGGCCTAGCCAGCCCAATCTTCTCATCAGTCGCCTACTTCATACGATTTGCTGCTTCCACAGTAGTATTCTTCATCTTATGTGTCGCCCTCTACTCGGTGTTCCTCGCTGCCGTCGACAAAGCGTTCACAGAGCCAATTGTGGAGACAGACCTTACACAGACAACGGTATGTCGAAGCTCCTGGAATGATATGCTGGTTCTGACATGCACTCAGATCGATCTCGAGCCCATCATCAATTCTCCTCGAAAAGTCTGCTCGCCGGCCCGCCACAAGACCCCAGAGGACAACAAAGGTCTTGATACTACTGACCTCGACAACCACGAGAGCCTCAAAATTCTCGACAACATCGTTACGAACATAGACCTTCCTGGATCTGAGGTCGAACAGCTTGCTGTTGATGACCTCGATTCCTCATACACCAAGGTTGATGTGAAGCATGACGACACTGACAGTATTCCGGAAAAGTTCAACCATCCATCCCCTACCAGGTACCACTGGTATGAAGACCCAATGGATATCGACACCCTTATGGACGATGAGGAACCTTTGGACCTCGGCGACCCCATGGATCTCGACGACCCTATGGATCTGGACGAACCGGAACTACTCGCCACTAATGTTCTAGGTAATCAGATGTGCTGTTCTGAGCCCACAGCCTTTGTTGCACCGCCAACTACACCAACAAGAGCAGAAAACGTCGCACACGTGGATTCGTCGGGCCAAGAATATTATTACGCGTAAGTAGCCCCGAAATCCAAGCTTAACTGCGTGATTGCTCACAATATCTCCGCAGCGGCAACTTGTCCTTAAAGAAGTCATTCCGACGCGGGGAAGGGGTAATGCGCAAGGATCTGCTTCTGATGAGATTCTACAAGGACAAGTACGACCGCGACCTCTTCAAGCGATGAAGAAACGACAATCGGAATTCCAGCCTCAATATCTGGGTTTTCTTTGAAGATCCTGCGCCGGACCAATTCATCACGATCAATCTCGACCTCACTTACTAACATAGAATTCTCTGTGCAACTCGATTCCTGGACGAATTTTCGCCGACCTCTCTTGAACATTGCGACACTTTGGCCGGTGGGACTTTGTTCAGAGAGACTCCGACTTTAAGACCGAACGAAATTCTGGGCAACTTACTTTGATGGACCGACGACCGAGGAGCTGGACTGAAGGCTGGTGTGTGTTGCGTACATGGTACTTGGCAGATGCACTTCGTACGGATGTAGGGGCACGGCGTCGAGAGTTAGAGCTAAGTCTTGCAGATGTTTTCTTTTGTTGCATATTAACCCATAGTGAGCATACCTTTCCAAGTTAACTGGTCTTCTTTCCCATTAGAAGATCGGAACGCTGTGGAAAGCAGATTGAACATTATCCCTCACGCAACCACAGGCCATGGTTGAATATCCAGGCAACCAGGTCCAATCCCTGGGTTGTGCTCTGCTTATAGGGAAACATTCTTTTCATTGAGCATCTGACCGTATGTTAGAACTTGAAGAATGCCATCTGCTTTTGAGACCCTTGGTTCTATGATATCCTAGTAAAATTGTAAAGTTTGTGGTAATATCCATAAACGATCCGCACCTTTGACGACCGAAATTGAGATCCAGAGACGACGGCAAGATGGTCCCGTTGTTATCTTTACATCCGAAGTCTTCGATCTGTTGGCTTAACTACACACAGCAGCTAAGCTCTAATACTTTTCCACATGCATATAGAATATAAACCGAAGCGGCGTGAAATTTTAATCATCGCTCTCATCATACCGGGCAATCATTATTTCTCGTGGACAGAATCCTTGCTAAGATGCTGTGTGAGAATTGTTTGGTGGGATTCGCCTTTCTGAGCAGCGACTCCGATACCGGGAGATGTTGTTGTGCTGTTAGATTCAAAACAACTTCATTGGCTGTCTCCTAGGAAACCAGTCGTTGACGGATGAGACATAAAGCACTCAGAGCCTGAGCCCCACTGGATTATGGTTCCGAGGACCTTGAACGTTTTCACATGTGTGGGAAACTGTAGCTTTTGTAGAAATTGTAGATGCAGTAGGTGTTCGATGTCCAAATATATTTCGAAGATTTGTCGTTTATTCCATTATACCATTACTCCTGTCTTCAGAGCTCATTACGTGCGTGTCGTCCAGCTTGCAAACCATTGTACGCTTTGTTCAACGTTTGAAGATGCTCAAATTCATCACCATCTTCTCCTAGTCCCCACGCAAAAGCGCCCTCAATTCCTTTGGCCTTCACTACTCGTTCAACCTTCTCGACAATCGCCTTCTCGTTTTCCCACGTCCACCACAGATTCTCTTTTTCGTCCCAGTAGCCATATCCACCTCTTTCAGCATCCCATTTCCCAGAAGTCTTTGCTGCCTTGAAAGACTCGCTGACCTCTGATGGAATGCCATCATGCCACGAGAAACCTCCTGTTTTGCCCAGATCACCGCCGGTTTTGGGATCTTCCATGATGCCGGTAGGACAACCAATTCCCGAATTGATGTTCCACGCATCAAGACACTTTTTGCGTCCAGCGGGGCTGGCATCAGTTCTGAAGTACTTTACATAGAATGCGAAGCCGACGTTCAATTTGGAAGCTGGAACTCCAGCGGAGAGGTATGCATTAATTGATGTCAAAGATGCCTGAACACCGGCGTGGTGAAGAGTCTGACTATCTCGACGATTCATGAGATCGTAGGTCATGATATTGAAGAAGTCGATTGAGGGAAGGATGATCGGGATCGTTGTCGATGTGAAGGCTAACATGTCCCTCGGAAGTCCTGGTACAGCGGCTGTGATGAGCTTTGATGGGCCCAAGTGCTTGCGCAAGGTGCTGAGCAGCTTGGGATAAGCTGTTGTTTGCCAGGCTTTAGTAGGGTTTGTATGATTTGGTTGTAGGTAGTGCTCGCCATTACCACTGTGATGTGTCAGAAATATGCTTGGAATGAGATATGGTAAAACGATTCTCTACCCAGGGTATTCCCAATCAATATCGACGCCTAGATACCAATTAGATAGAAGTTTCAATTAAATTCGTATTTGAGTACATTGAAGACAAGAAATGAACTATAAGAGTCGAGGACGAGAAAAAAACCCAGAGGATATGCGAACCATCTGCTCCAGTATCCGTCACCATTCTCGCTACATTGCTCGCCCATAGCTCTTGTCCTTCTTCCGTCCTTGCGGCTACCTCGAAGCCCTCATCATCACCCCAACCTCCAATAGCAATCAAGACCTTCGTTCCCTTCTGGAACTGTGTCCTTGTCCTATTTACCGTGGTGAAAAAAGGCCATTTAACTTCTGCGGCCTCTGATGTTGCATCAATCGACACTTGATTGAATGATCTCGATGACATAAAGGCCAAGGCAACATGAGTTATACCTGCCACAAGAGCTACATCGGCTGGTGGTTCTGGATGTTGCCTGGACAAGTTCTGTTCAGCAAATTGGTGAAGAGCTTGAGATCATTATTACCCTGTTAGATACATCACATATCTTGCTTGCGCAGTGACAAAAATCATACTGGCAAATATTAGATAGACCGCATACATAGTTGCAAATTTATTGAGCACTTGATACAATAGAATATATATTTCTGCATGTTTGACCGAGAAATACAAGAGATGTAGTCATTTGAGCACGTGATTATACCCCGGTTTTTAGCTGACCCTTGCCCTGTCCATTCTGGCCGGAGCTAAATTGAGGCTCGCGAAAAAAGTTATGAGAGTCGTAATTTGTAACTCGAACAATTGTTCATCAACCTCGGCATTTTTCAGCACAATCGCCTCGTTTTCTATGTTGACAACACTGTCAGGTAGAGGCTCTCGGGTCCAATCTTCTTATGTTTGTTCTGCTTGCTTAGACACGCTTCGCGATCCCTCCAACCAGCTTCATCTCGCCCCCGGTCGACGAGTTCCTGTCAGGTCCTTCCAGTCTAGCAGAAAGTCGCCTGAGAGGTTGTTGACTATTAAAAGGCCCGGAGATCCCAAGAAAGCGCGTTCCCTTCGACAAGCTCGAGACAAGGCCGAGGAGAGCCAGGCAGAAAGTTGGGATAAACAGTTGCGCAAGCTGAAAGAAGCATTTGTCGCCGAACAAGATGGAGGCGACTTAACCCTTACAAAAGAACAGAGGGGTGATGTTGTTGGGAGTTCAGATACACCGCCGAAGCCTAGCAAGCAGAAGAAGAAGAGCGATAATGTTGCTGGGAGTTCAGATACGTCGACGAAGCCTAGCAAGCAGGAGGAAAAGAGCGGTGGTGTTGGAAGTGCTAATACATCGCCGAAGCCTAGCAAGCAGAAGAAAAAGCCCGAAAGCCCTACCAAGACGAACGACAAGACCGGTGCGACAGCGAGCGCCGGGTTAGAAGCATCTAACATTGAAGATGCGTTCGAACGGATTGGTAACAAATTGACGCTGAAGAAGTCTCCCAGAGATGAAGACATACACGCCGCCAAGAAACAGGCCGACCCGAAGAATAAGGGATCAATAGGGCTCCAGGTCGATGCCACTGCTAAAAGTGGCATTGTACTGCCCCCACGACCTAGTCAAAGCGCACTGAGAAAACGACGATTAGCTCTACACAAGAAAGACGGCAGGCATCGCGTCGGGAAAGGATCCAAATCTAAAGCGGCAAAGTTTAGTGTGGTGAGAGCTGTGAAGGCCACAACTCATAATGCAATTGAAGGCTTGTCAAGCAACGGAAGGGTAGTTGGGACCATCGACACCTCAGCTTTGAAACTTAACGCTGTTGACCGCGAGCTTCCCCCCGTTCCGCGTCTATCTTATGGTCTTGATAGAGTGTTGTTCAATCCCGGTGTCTATCATCTTCAAGATCCTAGATCTCAGGTGTACAATTTCGACCCCTACCTCCAAAAAATCATGCCTGTAGCCGAATTCGACTTTACACTTCTGAAAAGGTTCGTAACGTCGTCAAGGGATCAGAATCTGCTCCAGGCCACCAAGGACGAGGGAAAGAAGTATACTGGATCAACATCAAGCATGACGTCAGCTCTGTCACATTTCCATTATTTGCTTTCCCAGTGGCGGCCTATCAATGTTGGAAACTTGACCAAAAACTTTCCCACTGACTCGGACAATTTTACCACATTTTCACGTATACCTGCCGCCATGTTCCTTAGGTGGAAAGATGGCGTATATGCCATAGACGCCGACAAAGAGTTTGACACCTCGAATGTATTGAGCATGCTGGGTCAATCCATGGAAAAATTGCTCACCTTGTCGACAGACGATTATGAAAAGTATCGTAAAAGTAACTCTGAGTCCGTCTCCGAAACCAGTCGGACCGAATCAGAAGCATACCATTATTCCACGATGGGCGATTTCCTGATGAGATCTCAGCTCGATGCCTACGATCCCAGGGTTCCAGGATCTGGCATGTTTGACTTGAAGACCCGGGCAGTCATTTCGATTCGAATGGACGTCGCGGCGTATGAAGAAGGCAAAGACTACGAAATTCGTAATCGTCATGGCGAATGGCAGTCTTTTGAGAGAGAATATTATGATATGATTAGGGCTGCTTTTATGAAATATTCACTACAGGTCAGAATCGGACGCATGGATGGCATCTTTGTTGCATTTCATAACACGCAGCGCATTTTCGGCTTCCAGTATATCAGTCTACCTGAAATGGACCTTGCTTTACATGGCACGGATGACCTAACACTGGGAGATTCTGAGTTTAAAACCAGTCTCCAACTTCTCAATACTGTGCTAGATCGTGCAACGGCTAGGTGGCCTGAGCAGTCTTTGCGGCTTTTTGTAGAAACCAGAGGAAAGAAGGGCGATCCAACTTACATGTACATTTTCGCTAAGCCAGTGGAAGAGTCGAGGATTGAAGCAATTCAAAGTTCTAATAAGGCAAAGATCGAAGAATTCGAACGCCGAGTTTTGGGCTTAAGCAGCGAGGATCCGGAATCGGTTGAGCAAGTCGTGTCAGAATGGGAGGCTTTGCGGTCAGATATCCAGAATAATCTGGTCCAGGACGAAGATGACACGGGAAGTTCTGTTGGCACGAAAGCCCCCGAAGAAACTGTTCATGTCAATGAGGAGGCCCCGCCTTCCCCATGGAACGATCGTAACACAGAGATCGCATCCTCAACTGAAAGCGTAGAGGATATTACCAATGAGGTCCGTGAAGCGGAGAGACAATCGGTTGACAAGCCGACCGGAAGGTCTTTATCAGAGACGTTATGGAATTTAATACCTAGTTTCAGGAAAGCTAGTGCCGAATCGTCTATATCAGAAGCTCCTAGTGCTAGCACATCTTCGGTAGATGACACCAATGCTCAATCAGGGCCGTCCACTTCTGACACAACCACCGCCAGTAATTCCAACCAAGAATTCATCGACGAAGACGCCGCACAACCGGAGGATTCCGTGGATGGAAAAATCAAAGACTTGACATCTGAGGAAGAGAACTCCAACGACGCTGAGTTTGCGGCAAATGCGTCCAGCGTAACAGCGTCTTCTGATAAGAGCCCACCCGCTGAGTCCCAGTCCAATGTCTTAGCGATGTATCTTACCATTCGCAATAAAGTCAACGGAGGGGTTGTCACTAGGCCAAACAACCTTCAGAGTTCAGACACATGGACTGTCGAATACGCCCTAGCAGAGGTTGCAGACCCCAAAAAGGCCAAGTTGCTTTACGATGCTTGCAAGGTACGACGCAAGATGGTGTATTATAGATCTAAAGATGGAGAGACACTTTGGAATCAGAAATTTATGGCGGACATCAGGAGGTATACCGCGGAGGGGAAAGCTCACAGACAGAGAGCAGACAAATCGCAAACGTCCGAACCACCTAAGGTTTTGAAAATCGACCCAGAAGATTTGAAAAATTGGCAAAGGTGGACCGAGAAGAGATCGCCAGAGGAGAAAAGGGAACAGTAATGATTATGTGGTGTAATAATAGTCTCCGGGCCGCTTTCATGTAATATTGTCAATTATGTACAGCTTGTATAACAATTTGATAGATATGGTCTTTTGGCAGTTGAAAAGGGCTGAGCTGGAAATCTGTGGCTCAAGTGGCGTTAGTCGTTGTAAATATTGTCACATGTATTTATAGGGTTGCATAGATAGCAAGAAATTATTCTCCCTCTCCTCAATTTTAATGTCAAGGGAAAGAAATATGAAATTCTGTGATGCTGCTTGAGCTAGGTAATCCTCAAATAAATCGCTAGCGTTGGATCAGCACAAGCCACCCCCCGAGTCAGCAGTCAGCCTTGACATCACCAGAACCCAAAATCTATTCTTTGAATACATGCTTGTTGCTGTACACCAAACAAACCACCTTCCAAATGGCATAGTCCATACAGAATACTGCTGTTTAGTCTAGAAGCCGTGCGAGAGTGTAATTGCTCTCTGATCATACACAGAACCGAAAAGCTGAGGTTGTGTGCGTGTAGTCCAGGACAATGTTGGAAGCAACACTTATGCTTGGAGATGGTACTGAAAAGGGTGATGAGCTAGCCTGGTCCACTTCATGAGGGTATTCCCTTTTCGACTCTGGTTTCAACCCTCTCCTTCGATCGAATTCGCACTCAAAGTACTCCATCCTCTTATGCGCGTCGCAACGGTTATCGCAACATCGATTGCAACGAATTGGCCACGATCTTGGGAAACAGATCTACGATTAGGATACTGTAGAAATGCCACCAGCCTTGGACGAGAATGGCGAAGAACTATACCCAGATCCACAAAGGCCTCGTTATAACGAGGACCGAATTCCAAATGCTCTGCGGGAGACTTCGTCATCGATAAAACCAACCATCTTCCTCAGCCCCTCGCCCTCACCGAATAATCGCCATCCTCCCTATAGAGAGCCGCCCACATCTGACAAAAAGAGAAAAGCAAGGTTGTTGGATATAGAAGGCGATGATGACGTACAGGGAGCAAGGGAATCTGGAGGATGTTTGATACAATTTGGGCGACAATTGGGGTTGGACAAAGATACTTCGATAGACGGTGAATCATCTGGATTCATTCGCCAAACAGGGAACCATTCTGGCAATGGTGGTGGGGCAGGTGAAGATCATGTATTAGCTGGGGCACACGGATCGGCTCACCAAAGTCAAAGTAATTTCAGTTCTACAAACAACGAAGATTTCACACCCGTTAGCGGAGCCCACGTACCGCATACTGGTACCATCGTCAATTCTGATAGTGACGCGTTTGAATGCGTTCCGCCGGAGAGAGATACGAGGACAACTATCCAGATCGTTGTACCGCAACACAAACCAAAGCAGACCATTCCTATTTCGAAATCTGTTTCTACACAAACGGCGAACGAAACCCAAAAACTCAAAGGCAGAAATTCACAGCGCTCCCGAAATATGAAGAAATCGCGAGCACCTTTATCTGGTAGTGATAGTGAAGATGAGCTTGCTGGGTCAGGGGATCATTCGATACGGGGTTTTGGTCAATCTAGAGGAAATCAAGAAAGGACAGCTATCAAGTGTTCTTTATTGGAGATGTTTTCCAAGTCCGAATCATTCATTGATGCGCTATGCGAGGAGCCGTGGACTCTATGTCAGTATAATGACGGAGTGGCCGATTTCTTTGACGAAAACAAGCTACCAGTCCCGGATATGAAAATTGAGCCCAAGCACATTGACCTCATCCAACGGCAATCCAAGACTGGCAAACTTATCATTCAAATGGACAAATACAGGGGTTTAAGAGGTCATCAAAGAATATTTTTACAGCTATTTGTAGACAGAAACTCTTCTTTACAAATGGGTGACAAGGCAATGGTAATCACTGATCGATTTGTAAAGCACAATCCAAAAATAAAATTGAGGAACCCTTCAACGTAAGACATTCCAATCCTATCAGACGTATCATTAACGATGTCAATAGTCCCTGGTTAGATGGTCGTTTTGAGAGTGTTCGTAATCGCTTGATTGATAGGGGAGTTGAGAAGAAGAACCGCAGTGCAAGATCGAGTCCGATGAGGTCACCAATACCTGCTTTTACAAGTGATATTGGTGATAGTAGCGAGGTTAGGGGATCACAACATTCCAGTGGGGAGACAGAAAGCACAGGCTGTGGAAGATTCGACGATACAGGCCACCCGGAAACTGAAAAGAATTCGTCCAGCCATGGAGATACGATGCTGCCGAGGCTTTCGGAAGGAGACGACAACAGCTCTATCGCGAAGGCCCTCCAAAACACATATCGCAGCCCGACGAAGTCAGAAATAGATTCTCCTCAAAAGGCTTGTCGTAAGCGCACCTCCCGCGTTACAAGACTCGTTGACGCCCAAGATGAAATTCCTGACACCGCGGCAAGCTATGAAAGGTGGTCACAACTGAATCCCGAATGGTCAAAGCAGTGGAAGGACAATATTTTCTATCAAGGCAGGCACAAGGCAAGGGCCACAGTTCAAAAGGATGACGTCGAAAGACTAGACGAAGGGATTTTCCTGAACGATAACCTCATTGAGTTCTATCTCAGGTGGCTTGAAAATAGTTTGGAACAGAAGAGCCCGCAATTGAGTAAACGGGTTTACTTGCACAACACATTCTTTTTCAAGAGGTTGACACAAAATGGTCGTGGTCGAGAGATAGATTATAACGCTGTAGAGCGATGGACAAACAAGGTCGACCTTCTTTCCTACGACTATATCATTGTTCCCATACATGAAAATTCACATTGGTATTTGGCTATTATTTGCAATGCTTCAAATTTACTGGCGGAGAAGGAGATTGAGATATTGGACTCGCAAGAAAGTGTGGAAGAGCTAGGCTCAGACGACATAAATGGGCTATCAAGCAACGCCCTATCAAACTCAACGATGAAATTGTCTGCAGTTAAGACAAGAATTCTCACTTTGGACTCTATGGGAGGGAGACATTCTCCAACATGTACCAAATTACGCGATTATCTTGTTGAGGAGATAGCGGCGAAGAAAGGGATTCGAATCTCTGCTCCGGGTGCTTTAGGTTTGACCGTCAAGAATCTTCCTAGACAACGAAACGACTACGATTGTGGGATTTTCCTGTTGAATTATGTGGAAGAGTTTCTCAAGGATCCTGATGAATTCTATCGCAAAGCCTTGGCAGGCGAGAATCTCGACGTTGACCCCCGAGATGCGTTAGAAACTCGTCGGATTATAAGGGACATCATTCTTCAAATGCAGCGATAAAAGATATACGCCGGTGGCGTTGATTTCTAGATACCCTATATAAATATTCGCACGAGCAATTAACTAAACGTAACAACTTACCAGTCTTAACAGACCAATCGCAGGTGCTTGGGCAGTGCCAATCAAAATCTCAATCTCAGCCGGGGCAATGCCATTGTGCGAAATCTTCAAAACCCGAACCATCAAGCTACTCTCCTTCAAATTCAGTTGCTCTATAGGGCCAAGTTCCTTGCTGTGTAGATACTTACCAAAAGTTGAAAAGACCAAATATTCAGATAATGGCATTGTATTGAACAGAAGTTAATACACCGACGTATGTTTGTCACCGATTCTGTATTTGTTACCGATTCGATCTTGTTTCCTGGAGAACGAACTTTCGAAATGGAAAAACCACAGTTATTGAAATAGTTGTTGATTCTGAATATGAAGCCAAAGACTCGTATAAATTCATCTGCTATTAGTCCCTGGGGCTTCTTTAACTTGAAATTCTGCTCACATGGAATGTCCAAGGCCATTACGGGTGCAACCATTTATGTAGACGTTTTCTGACTTAGTACGAATGATCTTCCAGATACACTGAGTGAATGTGCTCTTATTTCAACGGTCGAAAAGAGATTTAGTAAGAAAAATTACTATACATATAAAGCGTTCGTATTAAATCCGACATGGAGGTTTGTGGACATTCAAGGGGGGCCTCGCTTAATATCGCTTCACCCACACCACGTGACAGCTGCAAAAAGATCGCAACATCAAAAGATGATCAACCACAACAACGATATATCCAACAAGGAAGCTATTTAGATGATTTTAATGCATCAGACTGGCAAAAGCAATGCACCAGCCGGGAATCGAACCCGGAGCCAAAGCACGCCATCTGGGTCCCAGTAATCTGGGATTCCACGCCAATTAAGACATGGGAAGCTTCGATTTTACCATTAAACCACTGGTGCTTGTGGCAAAATTTGCCTCATCTAATTATATATTGTATTTTTGTAACCTTGATCATTAAATAGTATTGCACAGTCGGGCGTTGCGGCCTACGTATCATCAGAGTTGTGTTATTCTTATGTGTTTTCTGCGCTGGTCTGCAGGTTGATCCCTCGCTTTGGATTGGTTTTAGGTTTGATCCTGATGTTGGTTTTAGTTGGTTTTGGTCTTACATTTTTTTGCGTTACTGGCTTTCCCCAGCTCCGTCTCAACGTCTGAATCAATCGTACAACATCTCTCTCACAACAATGCGAAGGCATGAACAGGACCACTCGAAAACTATCACAAAATGCGAAAACCCCACCCGAATGGATTTATTGCTTCGTTCAAAAGCGTACCTCTTGAATTATTCCGCGTGAACAAGGGCCCTTACATATACCTTAGAGAATGGGCTACATTCCCACCGCAGCGGTCTACTATCTTCGACCTCGTTACTCATGAAGGGAAGGTTTTGCCTAAAGCTCTAAATAGGACTACATACCAACGTAAATTTTTGCGATACCTTTGTGGCTTGCTTTTATTTACCTCGATTTTAGTGCCAAATGGTGCATCGATGCGCCCGAATGGGAGATATCAGCAGGGCTTGGTGCGACGTCTGGACGGAAGTGATTGGATTGTCTACTCAATACCTAAACGTTAGTCGCTAAAACCAAGCAAAGGATCTGATACGAGAGAATTTTTCACCTGATAGTTCCTCTTAACATTAGACACCCCCCTCCCCAAAGAATTGATCTTGATCCATGAGCACACTGATCATTATTCTATGCAACCAGCTATCGAAATAAGTCTTGATAGTAAATATGTGTTTATCAGTTAGCATAGGTTCAATCGTTAATTGTATTCTAGAGCTCAACAAAAGGATTACAAAGTTCCTGCAGGGAAGCGGCAATCTTTACTCTACTAAGCAATGGCTTATGAAATATAAACTCCCCGCTTGGTCCGCCCGAAAAGAGCGCAGCGCAAAGTCAGTAGTAGACAACGATAACTTTATAGGATAATTAAAGGTAATGCTATCATTTTGGTCGAAGCATGATTAAGTCAATGATGGGCTACAAGGTCAAAGTGTTTAAGCTCAATTAAAGAGGATAGAGGTAACAGTGGTGACATATATATCTTGTCCAAATCTACTTTAACTTCAAGTGTAACACATTTCGTTTAATATCAAGTGTTGTGTCGGCTTTCTGTCAGTCTTGCTCCTAAGTGGAGTTTAGTTTACTTACTTATTCTCAATCAAGCTTGCTGACAAGGTTTGTGAGTTGATTTGGGAATGGAACGAAAAGAGAGCGTTCTAAAATCATGATATTCTTTTTTTGTGTGAGACAAATAAGTCTTCATGCTAGTTTGTGTCCTTAAATAATTACTGCTTTCTCCCGTTTCCCCCCTAGCCCCTAGGGCAAAAAGGCCTCTAAGATAATCACGATTCCCCGGGCCATGAAATAGGCATTTTCTGTTTTCTGAATTGTCGGTCGGAGATTGACTAGAAGTCATTTTGGTTGGATGTTGTTGGTTCTCCATCAGCAACCTCGTCAACTAATACCACCCCAGCAGTCCCCTGATAGTGTCGTGATGCAGCATTAGCCGCGCGGCGTTGGAGCTCCTCGAACGTATATCTTGGCTTTCTTAGCTCAAAATTTTCTTCCTCAGGGACACGACCGTGCCGTTCACCATTTGGGCTGTGAAGCCAAAAATACAAACGCATTCGCGCTTGATATCTAATCATTAACTTGTTGTACTCGGAGAACCGAGATGTCTCGAGTTCCGAGTAATGAAAAGCGGCTCTTGCGAGAAGTTTCTCTTTGGTATCTGAGAATTCGACAAGTTCCTCAGGAACTAACTGAGCCTTTGCGTCAGTAGCATCCCCTGCGATGCCAAGCGGACTAAAGGATGTGATTCTTAGATACACCGGGGCTCCTTTTCTTCTAGCAGCCGACGCTTGAGATTCTCCCCTCGACGCATTTTGCTATAGGATATTGGTTAGTCTCAATTCGTTCTACCCATGGGTCGAACCACGGTGCATGTAACTGTTTTTAACTCACTGCAAGAACTCCAACTTGGATCCATGATTCTACCCTTGGCTTCTTTTGTAAGGTGGGTCTAACTGGCTCAATTGATGATTTCCAGTTACCAACAAATAACATCTCTTCCCATCTTGTCACCCATTGTTCATCTGGGATCTCTCCTACTGGGTGGTTCTTTCCATATATTTTCACCGCCAGATCTTCCAATGCCTCTCGGTCTCCGGGACGCAGCTCTTCTCGAGACTGTATAACCTCGTCCCTAAATGGAGGGATAAAATTGGGACCCTGTAGGTTCCTGTAGCTGTTTATTACAGCTGGCTCTTGGAGCCGTCTTCTTTGCGAGGGAGGAATTTTACCCATGTGCTGGTTTGGATTGACCGTTTCGGCTAATTGCGCTTCTTGCTGTATCGACGGGGCTTGCGATGCTGGTGGAGGTGCTGGTGCTGGAACAGAAGCGGCCTGAGTTTGGTTGATGAATGCTACTACTACATTTGAAATTGCAACCATCAAGTCATTGACCGCTTGTTGATTGAAGTTTTGGGCCATCTAAAAAGTCATGAGCAAATCGCAACTAGAACCGTGGTACGGACCGTGGTCTCCAATACACCAAGAATCAGACAGCATACCTTTTACGAAAGCTGAACAGCAAACGACAATTGAGTTGATGGAATATAGTTAATTGATCTTAACGATCTGTTAATATGATCGAGCAGTGATAATAACAACTTTACTCTGGTTGAATCTTGGATCTTCGATCTGTGAGTTGTATGTGTAATTTGTTGTCAGCTCGAGAAGATCAACTCGCTGTGAAATCCGCTTTAGAGTTAAGAAAGATTACTTCACTTTTAGGGAAGATTGATTGGGCTTCACTTCTTACAAAAAGACGGGCCTAATGCCGATCTCGTCCGCTTCAGACCTATTGATAGCCAATATAGTTCAATAAGTTGTCGTACTACGCACTACATCTACACAGAAAAGAGAAGAGTCTAAAAAAGAACGATGGACAATAATCATTTGACTTTATTTGATTGAAATGTCATGACGAGCACATTTATTATCATCTTCAATCATTTGAAATATTTGAGTTTCATTTGCTTAGGTCCAGGCCTTTCTACATTTTGGTTTGGGTTGAGATTTTGACAAGAACACGAAGACAGCTCAAGACTAAGTTCACATGTGTGTAACTTTGCATTGAGCAAATCCTAATGACATATTGTTATTCTCAATCAAGAACTAGAGTATTTCAGTTTCATTAATATCTACCTAGGTAGGAAACACAAAAATGTCGCTATGTAGATAGGGGCATAGAAACTTGACCCCCAACATCTGAGACGTGTTAAAACAATCATAATCTGGGCTGTCGATCTGACGTTTACTTCGCTGAACATGAAGATCTTTCCTAGATTACTGCTGGCTTTAAGAGAGTTGACTTGCACTACATTCCTATTCAAAAAAACGAGTATGTATTAGTATGTATCTATCCGAAATAGAATTTAGGATTAGATAAACAAGTGTCTGTATGTCTCTTATTTTCGAACCCACAAGACTTTTCCTGATATTTCTATATTACGTAGATTTAAATAATTTTCTAGAATTAACAACTGTATTTGAAATGGGATTTTATAGAAGGTATCCTCTGGAAAATGTACTAATAACACATAATCCATATAAGTAAGATTGATTACAAGCATATAGAGTGTTACTATAGTCTCGAAAATCTTCGAAAGTAAAATTTGGCTTCCTGTTACTCGGCTTATCAAAACACAAAGACTCTACTAGGTACGTTTAAGAGAGCCATCAGGCTTTACCGACTGAAAGAGGTTCGAAGAAACGCAGATGACGTATATATTTCGTCTTCTCTCGAGGGGCATTTATCTCCACGTCAATCTCATACTAAAAGCACATCAGGCGAAACTTTGAGTCGATCTAGGAATATAATCTAAGGCCCCAATATAACCGTTTTTGGCTTGAAAAGAAGATGAGAAGTAGATTATCACGCTGTGTCACCCCGCAACTCAGCCAAGACTGTAATAAAGTTCTATCACCTATGTCCACTCAGGCTCGGAACATCAATTGTTATCAAATTGCGGTCTCTTGAGCACGACAATCTCCTCCCCTGGCACATTTACGTGTCTGCTCCCAACAGGCTGGTGAAGTCGGTATTGGATTCGCCTTCGGACTTGGCAAATGATCATTCGTCTATTCCACATTGTGAACCTGTTTGTTTCAAACTATCATACTGGTTGATGGCTCGGCAGAGCAGATTCTCGAGTAAGGCGTCGTATCTGAAGATCTTCTCGGGAAGGAGACGAGACTCCGAGTCTACTATCATACCCGTCACCCCGAAGGTTTTCAGGGACACTCTGACAAATGCAGGGGCTCCTTCTCTTCTGGCTGCTGGGGGTAAATATGAAGGGCCAACCTCTTCATATTCATCTTCTTCGTCGTTATTGGCACGGCGCCGCGTAACGGCTCCGATATCGATATTGGCTACTGGATGGCTAACAGCAGTTCTCTTTGATACCTCGACAATGCAATCCTGCCGTAGCAAAACGGACATGGTGCAGATAAATTATGATACTTTGGTGCCTAGTTCTCAATGAGCATCGATCCGTCCTAAATTCCATCTGAAGCCACCTTATCATCATCACCATCATCTGTGCCACGATGATAGTACGCCTCGTCATTTACTTGATCTTATTCTGAATATGGACCTGTCGTCTTCATCTTCATCATCCTCTTCCTCCTCTTCGACTACTCTCTTTTGCTTGCCGGTCGTCGGACCGACTTTTGATGCTAAGCGTGGTATGCTTTCGCTAATCTGTAGGCAGATTTCAGTCTCCTCGTGGAAATTCAGTCCTCCTGAAGAAACTGCGAAGATTTTTGTTGACTTCTTTGTCTTCGTCAATTTCTTCTCCGGGTTGCGCCATCAAGCCATTTCACCCAAACCTCTGCCTTTTCGTCGGCCTTTCCTGACCTCATCTTGGGCATTGACCCGTTATGCTCAAGCCTGGAGTTTGTCATAACACTTCTAATAGATCCAAGTCGTTTGAAATTGGTACAGCTGACTTCCTAGTCCTGACCTGGTTTGTCTTGCCAATTTTCGACCTATAAGTAGCGGTAGCAATTAATTGCTCAATTCAGTTGACAAAATATGCGATATTGCGTCAATTGTCCTGAGACAATATCGTGTTTCGACTGTCACTTATTTTCACATAGATGGTTTTTATGCCAGCTAATTGCTTCAAAGTCTTTGGTGTACACTTATTTTTGGTCATGTGCCATGAGGATATCCCAAAAGGTACCATAGAGAATGGATTTTTCTTCTGCATTTCCAGCCATTGCTCACCGGTCATGCATGGTCCTTGGGTAGCCTTTTGCTCGGCGATGAATTCTTCAAAGGTTTTACCCTTTGGTTGATCTTTTCCAACATCTGCAGGAGGTGGATTGGTCCCTACAAAAACCAATGGCGCACCATTTGCGCTGGTTTTGATGATCTTGCGGGTGGTCAGTTGTTCTCTGGCAACACTCTCTAAATCGATCTGGAATCTCTTTTTCGACGGCCCCTCCTCCGCCTCCTTCTCCTTTGTCCGCTGCTTTTTTCGATACCCCTTGTTACGTTCGATCATCTCCTCTGGCTGCTCGGATGTATAAAAGTCATCCTCCAGCCAGCCAGCCTGGCGGATAGCTTTGGCATGATTGTCAAATTCTGCAGACCTCGCGGTCGCAATGATATGTTTGGAGACTGTGCTCCACAAGGTATACTCAAATGCATCTCCATTGTCGTCTCGTTTCGGGCAGTCTGGATATGGACATATTCATCCCGTAGTTCTCGCGCCTTGGTCCAATTTGATCTGGCGAATCCACTGGTCGTATCTGGTATAGAACAGAGATCTTTGGTGCTTGAGCAGCGTTGATTGGGAAGGCCATTGGTGTTCCTTCTTTTCTTGGGCGACTGTGGGATCGTCGTGACAAAGTGTGCATATAAAAGCAATCGTGCCATTGCTGGCAGGAGTTTCATCCATAACCTCTGGTGTAGGACTCATGTCTGGAGCTTCTGGCAACATCTCTAGAAAGCCACTGACTTGGGCAGCGTACATGGTATCCTCTTCTCCACATTCATCATCTTCTTCGGCGGTTGCATCAATGTTGACGGTTGGAGCCTCTTTCCTCCGTGCTGGAACTTTGTTGGAGGTACCGTGGGTCCATTGCTGCTCCGCGCTAAGATTATCAATGAACAACACATCTGCAGTATCCCATAAATTAACAAAAGCTTCACTGTCATCATATTCATCTTCGAGCGCGTCTTCGTTGACAAGCGTGGCGGCTGCTCTCTTGGCTGTTTTTTGGTAAAGATGGCCGGGGCTTTTCGGTTTGGCTCTTCGAGCATCAAACTCAGCTCTAGTGAGTTTTGTCTTGTATTCAGCTGTCAGCTGTTCTCGAAAGTCATTCTACAGCTAGGCGGGCGTTTTTCGCTGCATTTTTTCTTCTCTCCAGGAGTCTTGGCTGCTTGCCAGTCCTTGTCTTCGGTGACGAATTGTTTCAGAAGGGGCTGTTCCTCCGTTGGTGTGATTTTATACACAATCCGATGCAAGGCTTGGTAGTCTTCTGCACCGACGTCCTGTTGGTCTTCATGGAGGGCTATGCCCAGAACATCCAAGTCAGAATTGGCGTTGTTGTACGATTTCTCAAATGCGTGGCCATCGGTCTTATGTCCCATGAATCCTCTGGTGGTATTTCTATCGCCGATAACACGATCAATATCTGTTGCTGCTCCTCGTCTCCAGGCATAGAACACAGAGTTCGGAATTTTACTATTTACTGAAAATCATAGACAGAATACCCGATATTTTGTCAACCCCGTTGAGGAAATAAACGATGTTGTGTCAACTAGTATGAAGAATTATCAGGCTTGGTCCCCAGAACCTTTTGGCAGCTTGGTGGATACCCTTTGTAACTTCTGTCCACAAATTTCGCATGTGGATAGGCGTCTTTCTCTGCTGCTGAATCAAAAAAAAAGTGATATAAGGGCGCATAGCCCCCGCTGTTGTGATTTTTGGACGGGTATCCCTAATCCCCCTGGTGCGCTTGCTGCGCCCATTGTCGGACCCACCAGATGATGTCTCTAATGAAGATATAGGCTCCTCGTTCAGGAGTTGACTATCATTGAGCGACATATCTTGGAGGGAGACTAGTGTACGACCAGTCCTTGGGTACCGGAGTCTCATGGCAATTCAAAAGCTTCTTAGAGCACGGTCTTGGGCATTGACAGTATAGACAGCACCCACACGAAAATTGTCGAAATCCTTATCTAGCTGATCGAGTTCATCGAACTGCTATTCTTCTTCTTCCCTTAGTTGCCGCATAACAAAGTTTCCGTCTTCATCCTCTCAGATATCATTAATCTCTTCGTTCAAACGACGTCTTGCCCTAGGCAATCTGTTCCGAGGTTGATAATAGTCAAGGTCGTCTTGATATTTGGCCAGAACTTTTGAGACACTGGTAGATCGTGTATCGAATCGTATTCCAGTGTGATGAGAACGATGGAAAAAAAGAACTCGGCAAGAGAAGGTATGACGAGAGAGGTAGCTAGCTTTGAAGATCTCGTGTATTGGTTATACGGACGGAGCGACTGGCTCTCAGTCAACTGAAAATGGTCATAAGACTTTCTAGGTTCAAGTAAAAAACCTAAATGTCCCCTAGGTTCCGCGTCTCTTTCTTTGATAGTCCGCGAATTATGACCAACAAGCCTACCTAGGTAGGCATACCCTAAAAACTTCACCTTCAACACGTGGAATTGTAGTATTTCTAACAACCCCGAGAAATCGACCATAACTTAGCTCCGACTAAATCAAGAAAGCTCAAACTTCACAAAACCAATCATAATTTTGTAATCTTAGTTTCGGCTCTCAGATTTATCCTAGAGTTACGTAAGCGTGATTTGCCTCGACACACGGCGATCTTGATCAACTCCTTAATCTAGTAAGATGATAGAAATATCTCAAGCTACCGAGGTTTCGAGCCTTACAGCGGAGAGTATGAGCCTAGACGTCTGTCGAGTAAGCTACCTTTCGCAAAGACATCGTCGCTGGTCGTTTTGGGTATGAACACCAAATTCTTTCTACAGACATTGAAATCTAGGCAAAGGGCCGAGGAGGAAAATGGCACAGATAGTAGGGTTTTGCAAGAGAATAGATACAGAAGTGCTTCAGAAAACTCTCATTGAATTTAGATGCTGCTTCGAGTTTCAGAAGGGGATGAATTTTGCGTGTAGCTGGGGAAGAAGTTCATAGAACCCTTGCGGTTGTCGAAAATGAGGCCCCACCAATCCCCTCATGTGGTCCGTGTGTTTCGCAGATGGCATCCCGCCAACTTTCCGCCGTCATGGACAGGATCGCAAATAGTCGTCACTGCTCTACAATACATCCATCGGCACTCTCAAGATAAGACACTACCGGCATCATGAGTAATAAGATCGAGAAGATCATTGTGCGTTTGCAAGAGAAGTAAGAGCTTCTTTCGCTCTCCAGTTCTCTCAACCACAGCTAACAAAATACCAGAATCGGGGCAGGAGAATTCTATGAAGCACAACAACAGACCCGCGTCGTCGCAGCGCGTTACATTAAACAGGAGAACTGGCCGGCTGCGATAGACATTTTGTTCAACAGCGCATCGGCGCTTCTAAAGGCCGGGCAGGGAGGAAGTGGTGGTGATTTGGGGCTCTTCTTAATCGATGTCTATAGACAGGCTGAGCTGAAGCCCGATTCAAGCAATAAAGGAAAGCTCTTGACCTTACTACGACAATTTGGTCCGGGGGAGCCGACGAGGAAGAAATTCGTTGGAGAGATGATCGGGTAGGTCTTTGCGCTTGGTAAGGCCGGCTGAAGCTAATGTTCACAAGATGGTCCTCGAAATTCGGCGAATACCCCGCTGGCGAACCAGATTTACACCATGTAGCAGGTTCCTTGTATGCTGAGGAGTTGGAGGCTTACGAAGCTGAGAGACATCTCACATATGGCACCAAAGACTCGCCGGAGGTATTTGTGGATTTGGAGTATGAGTGGTATAAACAGGACGATTCTCATACGGCCGCGCTTTACGCCGCTCGAGCAGTATTTCCATATCTTATGGCAGGAAACGTCCGAGATGCTTCGAAATCATTGCGACTTTTTACAAGCAGACTGACTGCAGACAATAAAAGTTTATCTGTACAGGATGTCAGCAGTAGTAGCTTGGATATGAGGATTTATCCAAGTCTGCCATTGCTGAATTTCCTGGGTTTGCTCTTGTTTGCCGTGCAGAAAGGGGCTGCAGACTTATTCAAGCAGCTGAAAACGAAGTACTCTGCCCATATCAAGGAGGTAGGAATTTGGGACGATGCCTTGGTTGCCATAGGAGAAATGTACTTTGGTATTCAAAGACCTCGACAGGGCAATCCCCTTTTAGATATGATGGGAAGCATGTTCGGTGGTGGCGGGGGAGCTCCAGGAAAACCAGCACCTAGACGCGTAGGAGCTGCAGCACCAGCACCAGTAGCAGAAGGATTAGATTAAATGCGATAGCTTCCTATGCCAATCTGTACAATTTAACGCCGCAAACAAAGGGTATCATGAACGCCGTACTCAAACAACATATGTATCCTACCGAACAGGTGCTTCTTCCTCTGGCTCATACATCCAGTTATCTTCTGCCAAATTCATAACTTTTGTACGGAGACTTGCCCTTACAGCTTCCAAGAGTTCTGTTGGCATTAGCGACAGAGACCTCGAATGCTATTATGTTACCAACCTGCAGGCTCACTTGGAGCGCGATTCCGATCCCTATGATGCTTGACAGCTTCCTTCAACCTCTGCCGTTCCTCTAACCATATCAGCACTTTTGTCTCATGAGTAGCCTAGGCCTCTTACTCTCGTCGTCGATTGTATCTCCCCCTCCTTCTTCGCTCTCGTCAAAAGATTGCATCGGTGGATCCCCAATTTCAAATTCCCCATTCTGATTCCTTATCACAATATCCGAGTTATCCATATCGTCATTCTCGTTCGCGTCTAAATGCAGTGTTTCTGCGGAAGTGGAGGTAGAGGAAGTTGTTGGTCGCCGGGAGAGTTGGTGGTGGAATAGGTTGCGACGAACTCCCGTTCGTGGGTGGGTTGCTGTCGTCGCGGTTGCCTGTCGGCGTTCTGGCATGGTTCGTATCGATACTATTTGATGATATAAGGATTTGAGGATTTTGGTATGCAAACGAATGACTGGTCGTGAATGTGTAGGAAAATGAATATGTTTGTTGTTTATTGATGAGAGATTTCGATGACCCTGGCGTGCCTGGCTTGGGTTGGCGGGGCTGTTCTCTTAGGGGTCTGTAGGGTTCTCCCACTTCACCCCTCGAGCTCCAAAGCACATACTTTGTTTGATGAGCAAAAGTCGTCTCCTTTGGAGCAGCCATTCCTTACGAGTTTACGAAAATGCTGTGACGGAGCGATTTATCATGAGTTTCTCCTTCGACATCCAGCCCATTGGCCGCTTCGTGGGTCAATCTGCGGCTATCAAACGCCCACGAGTGAGTAGTCCTACATGATATAGATCCGAATTTGAATGGCCTATTCAAATATGAGAGGGTGTCGTGGGCTTGATTTGTCTGTATGTCGATGGTGTATGTGATGCTTAGATCGGCATATTGTAATCAAGCACTGTTCAAGATTTCAACGCTTTTGAATACCCATCAGAAACTCGTCTTTGCGTTCGGATGTCACACATAGCTCTTGTCACTCACCAGCTAATGTCTCAACCAGGAAATAGCTTGCTTCTCTTACGATGATAAACACACGTTCCGCCTAGACGATTCGTCTATTCGATACTACTATCCCCCAACCATCGGAGCAGATTTATCCAAGGGATTCGATACTTTTGAGAAAATGGATGATACCGCGGATGATCATCTCGATAGTCTACTCAAAACCATTATGGCTCACGAGGAAAAGACAGGAGAACGTGTTGAGGCAGACTTTATCACCTGGCGTGGAATGATGACAAAAGTAAGAAGTGCCTGCCAGTGTCCCTCATGACAACAGCTAACCTTTATCTCAGTTTATGGCGGCCATATTTAGCGACAGAGATAGGTAAGACACTTGATATGATTGACTTGGTATTTCTACTAAAAATACTGACAGCTTCGAAATGAATGCTACTCTTTTCCAAGTGGGCCAACTCCCTGATCAAAAAGCCATACAGACCAGCTGACAAGACACGATTCAAGGGCACTATGTAGGAGTTCTTCGTCAATTATAAACAGCACTCCACTAACGGGAGTAGTTTCCTTGAGGAGAACCATGAGTACAAACTTGAGTCACAGCAAAGACAATCCCAGCAGTTTACTCAACCAGGAAGACCATCACAGGATATGATGAGTTTTTGGGGTTAGACGCACACTCTTTTCTTATAAGAAGGAACCTGATCCTTTCTAGGTTACAAATTTGAGACTCTTTGCCTGCTGCCAGCACCTTGGAGCGAAACATCAAGGGACTACATCGAGAACCGAGAAGCGGAAGTTGTCACCAACTACGCCCAGTATTGCTCAGTGGTGCGCACAGGAATTGGCAATAACATTTTGATTCTGGGCGGAGAGGTCGATGCAGGTGAGATGACCAATTCCGACAAGCACATTCGTGTTTTACATCTGCTGACGTCGATAGTTTGGGATAGCAAGCCTGTGGATGGAGGCCCGATCAATTGGGTCGAGTTGAAGACCAGCATGGATATCAGAGGCGAAAGAGATATGGTTACCTTTGAAAGGAAATTGATGAAGTTCTGGATACAATCATTCCTCCTAGGAGTTCCAAAGATTATCGTTGGCTTTCGATCTCCCAATGGCATACTTCAAAGAATCGAAGAAATTTCCACAGCTTCAATACCCTCGAAGGTCAAACGAGAAGGAAGAGGGACGTGGGATGGAAACATGTGCATCAATTTTGCATCAGAGTTGCTGGGCTGTAAGTCCATCCCTTTGTCGTTCTTCCACATATTAACGCAAGCAGTTCTCAAAGCTACGATTACCGAAGAGGGCGTTTGGAGAATCCGTCGAAAGGAAAGATCTAGCACTATTGAAGTTTATAAACAAGAACAGACTGGCCATGGGGATATCCTACCTGACGACTTCATCAACTGGAGGATAAAACTAGCCATGAAAGAGAGAGATCAAGCAAACAAAGCAGAAGAAACTCAAGTTTAACCCAAATCCAATCATGACATTTACCGTAAGGCGCATGTCAGACGTGGTCTTTCCCGCATGTAAGAAGTTGTTCGTTTTCGTAGCTTTTCGGACGCCCGAGCGAATCATCACGATTACTCAGATTTGTACATTTCTTGCGTTCTGCAAATCGAGTTACTCGGGCCTGAAGAAGTCTAGGTGGTTTAACAAAAAGAAATTGTACTGATATTAAAATGCGTGTAACTATCAAAGATGCAGGAAATGCCACCAAAATGCATTGCGGGAAACTTACTGACCGACGAAATGCTGAGGCGGCCTCAACAGAAAAATCTCGGAACCTTATCGGAGTTGAGTGCTGTGACACAAACATATCCCGAAACCTTCCTGCTTATTACTACTTGAACATAATTATACCTCTTACCTGCGCTCTTTTTCATCTCATTTAGATTTCCTAGATATCTCCACCTCCGCCAAACTTAAAATTGACCACAGTTTGACGCAATTGAAGGAAATTTTACTTGGCTTCCAATTCGTACCTCGCCTCAAGAAAAAAAAAGTGAGCCTCGGCTCTGTGCGCGAACATAAGATGGCCGGATTTCTTTCTCTACGCTTCCTTAGAGACGCTATCAGGTCGACGCAATTAAAAAGCGCGCCCAGAGCATTGGCACGTTCAGGAACGATGGCACCGGCTTCAATGTCGAGGAGGAGATATAATTCGAGTATTCACGCGTGAGTCATGCCGCCATATTGCGGTTTTCTGTTTGCAATTGAATTGGAGAGTTAACCTAATCAATAGTCCACCGGATACTTCTCATTCAATTGAAGCACGAAAGGCATTACGAACTCATGGTCTTGTACCTCCTGTTGTGGAGAGTTACGAGCTTCAAGCACAAAGATGTGAGTTCCCGAACCCCGAGAGTGAAACCTTTGACATCTGATACTGAACACAGGTATGAAGCAATTGAATGCCAAAGCTTCGAATATCGAGAAGTACAATTACCTCAGTCATTTGCGCAATTCCAATGTACATCTGTTTTATCGTCTCGTCCTTGATAATTTCACTGTAAGTGGTTCCAGGTCGAGCCCGGAAGCACGTTTCATCGTGAAGCTGATGGAATACAGACTCTTACTCCTTTAATTTATACCCCTGTTGTTGGCGAAGCGTGCTTGAAATGGTCTGAAATTTATAGACAACCGGAAGGTAAGAAACATGTCCTGAATTCTAAACTCACTGTTTCACGTGACTACGGATGCTGATATGTATAGGAATGTACCTTTCCTACAGCGATCGAGGCAACTTGAAAGAGATCTTACAGAATTGGCCTAAGCCAAATGTCGAATTGACAGTTGTGACTGATGGCTCACGTATTCTTGGCCTAGGTGATTTGGGAATCAATGGTATGGGGATTCCAGTAGGAAAGTTAGCACTGTATACAGGATGTGCCGGAATCCGACCAGAGGTGTCTCTACCACTTACTCTTGATCTCGGGACGAATAACGAGGGTTTGCTGAATGATCCTTTATACATGGGAACCCGGATGAAGCGTGTTTCTGAGGAAGAGGAAGGCAAATTCCTGGATGAATTGATGGTTGCTTTGAATGAGGTCTGGCCAGGGTAAGTTTTGTCTCTAGGTTCGACTGGGAGCGCTGCTAACAATGTTAGAATTGTTGTTCAATTCGAGGATTTCAAGAACCCTTTCCCTGCCCTCGAAAAATATCAGCACAAGTATTCTTGCTTCAATGACGACATCCAAGGAACAGGAGCAGTTGTGCTTGCTGGGATTATCAGTGCTTTGAAGAGCTCTGGTCTGAAAGCTAAGGATCAAAGAGCTGTTTTTATGGGCGCCGGTAGTGCAGGTACCGGAGTTGCAAAGCAGATCGTCGAATACTACATGAAAGAGGGACTGTCAGAGGATGAAGCACGGAAAGCTTTCTGGTTCGTCGATACCAAGGTAGGAGTTGTCAGTATCTCGATAATTGAGACCATTTGCTAAGTACGAGCAGGGCATGATCACGAACGATCGTGGGGACAAGCTAGCCGAACATAAGAAGTATTTCGCAAGAGATGACAACAACGGCTTACAGCTCAAGTCGCTTCCAGAAATTGTGGATTATGTCAAACCTACTATCCTCATGGGGTTGTCGACGATCCGCGGTATCTTCGACGAACCACTACTTAACAAAATGGCAAAATTGAATAAGAATCCCATCATCTTTCCGTTATCGAACCCCTCAAGCAACGCGGAATGTACTTTCGAAGAAGCCGTCAAGTATACAGACGGACGCGCTTTGTTCGCCAGTGGAAGTCCTTTCCAGGATTATGTCTATAAAGGGAAAGTTATGAAGCCAAGTCAGGGAAAGTGAGTGCCAATCCCTTTCGTCATCTGTGAGAGTGAGCTAATTTTCTCAGCAACATGTACGTTTTCCCAGGTATTGGTTTAGCAGCCATCCTTAGTAAGGCAAAACACATATCACAAGAGATGATTTATGCCTCTGCAACCGCTCTTTCCTCAACCCTTCTTCCAGAAGAGTTCGCCTCCGGCATGCTCTACCCATCACTAGATCGCATTCGAGAAGTCTCTGTGATTGTTGCAAGAGATGTCATACGGACCGCCCAACGCGAGAAATTGGATCGCGAACCAGTTTTGAGAGATATGAACGATGCTCAACTCGAAGCCTGGATCAAAGAGAGAATGTATGATCCCAGAAAGGAAGATGGCTATCTTGAGTTGATGCGAGAGAGAAATGAAGAGTTGAAAAGGGAGGTCGAGATTGCTAGCTTTGAAGTTCGAGAGAAGCTTAGTGCCAAGTTGTGACGGATAGCAAATTGTAAGTGAGTGGCATGTAAAAATTCTTCTTTGTATTACAGAATGGATGGCTGTGAATATCCTAGTAGCATAGCTTTGGCACGGAAAGTCAGGATCATATTACAGAGGGCAACCTAAATTTCAGAAAAGAGCCAGAGTTTTCTCCCCTTTAATTGTAGCAAGCATCAAGACGGATTACGCTTGCCATTCCTCCAACTCGCCCTTCTTAATTTCTTAATCGTGAGGTTCCCTGGTAGTAAATGAAAAGTGCACCTGTCTCGAAATGGAGAATTAAGCGAGACACATGGTCGCGGGAGGGGCGGCTCGCCTCGGCATGTCGTAGGGCTTCGGGATTGCGACATTGGTCTGTCATCAACTCCGAAGCTACCTAAGGTGTCGACGATACATGCTCACTTTCTGCTTCTTCACCATGGCCTTCACCTATTCCTATAGCAGATGTATAATTATTCCGCGGATGCGTCTGCGAAACTGGAACTGAAATCCTCACATCATGGCACCCGACAGAGGGGATAGCTCGAGCTCCTCCAACCCAGACTACCAATCCATTTCCCCAACACCACCCCACTCCTCCAACGATGAAGCTCCTCGATCCTCCCAAGCACGAAGACGAAGCGATGCGCGCCGATATCTTGCAAGCCATGCTAGTGAAGGTCAGAACTTTACGCTCAGAGGGATACTGGTTGGGCTGGGAGTTGGGTTGATCATCTGTTTCTCGAATATGTACTTTGGGCTACAGACTGGATGGGTATCGAGCATGAGCATGCCGTCGTCTTTGATTGGATTCGCTTTCTTCAAGACTCTGGTCAGACATTTGGACCTTCCTTTTACACCAGTGGAAAATGTGTTGGTACAAACGGTCGCTGGAAGCATGGGTACTATGCCATTGGGTTGCGGCTTTGTGGGTGTTATGCCTGCCCTGAATTACATGCTGAAAAAGGAGGAAGGAGGCCCGATATTCTTGAGTCTGTGGAGGCTTATTCTATGGTCTCTGGGACTTTGTTTTTTTGGTGTGGTATTTGCTGTTCCTCTGAGAAAGCAGGTGATCATACGGGAAAAGCTAAAATTCCCTTCTGGTACGGCTACCGCGTTGATGATCGGAGTATTGCATGGGAGAGAAAGTATTTCTGAGGGTTTTTCGGAATCTTCTACCTCTGAAAATGAGGATCGGGAAGGCTTGCTTCATGGAGACGAACGTAGCGAGGCAAATGTAGAGGAGGTGGACAAGAGTCAACAAAGTACATGGAAATCAAAAGTTCGGCTTCTGATGATATCTTTTGCTATATCTGGCATTTACACACTCGCCACATATTTCTTTCCGATCCTTCGTAATTTACCCATTTTTGGTACAAAATTGGCCTCGACCTGGTTATGGACGCTTAATCCATCCCTAGCCTACGTTGGGCAAGGCATTATCATGGGACCATCAACCACGACGCACATGTTATTAGGTGCTATTCTCGGGTGGGGATTATTATCACCTCTGGCAAAAGGCAAAGGCTGGGCTCCTGGAGAGGTTGATGATTGGGAGACAGGTAGCAAAGGATGGATTGTATGGATATCTCTTGCCATTATGCTCGCTGATGCGGTCATCAGTCTTGGGTACATAAGTTATCAGACACTTGCTAAAAGTAGGTCAAATACTGGCAAAGGATACTTCAAAGAATCTTATCAAAAAGTTCGAAATGGGGACTGGCAAGGATTGATTAATCAAATCACAGGAAAGCCTGACGGGGGTTACAGTGCATTAGCAGGGCAAGACGCCTCCACGCCTCTTGAGGAGACTGGGCCAGGAGGTCAACCGGAATCGACCATGTCTGAGGAAGAGATTAAGGATCTTCCAGAACCTGATGCACCTCCTGAGCATCTCGTCAATAACCGCACAGTATGGATCGGTCTTGTATTGTCAATACTGTTTTGCGTAGGAACGATCCGCATCGTGTTCGGAGAATTGATTCCCATCTACGCAAACGTCATTGCAGTATTTATGGCATTGATATTGTCCATCATGGGCGTTCGTGCTCTTGGCGAGACGGATCTCAATCCTGTCTCTGGCATCAGCAAGTTAGCTCAACTCTTCTTCGCAGTCATCATCCCACAGACAAACAAGAACTCTGTTCTTATCAATCTCGTCGCTGGTGCTGTCTCAGAGGCGGGAGCTTTGCAGGCTGGCGATCTCATGCAAGATCTGAAAACCGGTCATTTGCTTGGAGCTGCACCCAATGCTCAATTTTGGGGACAAATTATCGGCAGTGCAGTTGGTGCTGTTGTAAGCGCACTTATATATCGTCTCTACACCAGTGTTTACAAAGTTCCTGGAGAATTATTCCAAGTCCCGACGGGTTATGTTTGGATCTTTACTGCTCGTCTTGTTACAGGGAAGGGATTACCTCCTATGGCAGCGCAATGGGCGGCTGGTGCAGCCGTTGTGTTTAGTATCACAACAATCATCAAAATGAGCAACTCGAAAAAAGCTTGGTATCCTTGGATTCCTGGCGGCATTGCCGTTGCTGTCGGTATGTATTATTATTCAAATTCCCGCAACATTTTTGTACTCTCTCCAAATACAACATGCTAATTATGTGCAGGAATGTACAACGTACCATCTTTTACTCTCGCTCGTGCTATTGGGGGTTTCCTGAATTATTACTGGAAAGTGTACAGAAAGCGTGATGAAACTCCTATCGTTGTTTTAGCCAGTGGTTTGATATTGGGAGAAGGAGTTATGAGCATTCTTAACTTGTTACTTGCCAGCGCAAGTGTGCCTCAGCTGAAGCATGGAAAATGGACGTAGATATAGTTATAATTTCAATGCGAACCTTGACGAAAAAGATATTTTGGATGTTGTGGAGCTAATTGAAGAGTATCGTGATGTCCATGGATGGTCGTTGTTTGTCAGCTCACTTAGTGTCGACTTGGGATTTAGAACATACGCGATACTTACTCCTCAACTCAGCCGCAGCCCGTTCGCAAACTAAATACAGATCACGACATTTTTTAATCTAGCTCAAGATAAAGAGCCTTGTGACTTTTGATTTTGCCACCGACTATCTTCGGATTTGCTTCGACAAACTTGGAAGTTCTCTAACGGAGTACTAAAACATTAGAACGTCCTGAGTAATCACGACCACTCTTATCATTCATCAATTAGCATTCAAGCCAGCAAGGTAGTAGTAAGCAGTGGCTTCAATCATGGCACAATTTGTTTTGTTGCATGTCGAATTATTTAGTTACACAAGAATGACATTTTGCTCAAGCATTGCCATGTTAAATGTTGTTCGGTATTGACAGCGATGCAAGAGTAGCTTTACGCCGTTGCTATCCACTTGCAATTCTTTGGCTGTGCTTTCGTGTCATAATTTCTCACGAAGCTTTTCTGGGATTTGTTGCATCTCGACATTTTTAGTCCTGTCTTAACAGCGTCTGTTAAAAAGCGTACTTGTATGGCCAAAGTCGACAGCGGTGAGTGAGTAGCTTCAAGCCATTGTTGTCCACTCACTGATCATTTGGCTAAGAATTCATGCCATGATTCTCACAAGCCTTTTCTGATTTCTGTTGCATCTCGAGATTTTTAGGCCTACCTTAAAAGCGTCTGTTAAGGTAGACTTGCTTTGCCAAAGTAGTTCGATGTCCGTTCACCCAAGTGATTGTCCGCTTGAACTATATGCGCCACCTGCGAACCCAATCAAGTTCTCGAACCCAGTCAAAAGAACTTGACCTTTCCCAAAAACCCAACACAATGCAACTTTGGTTGCACGTCGCACTTTTTAGTACTACTTCACATCCCTCAATAGCGAGAGGATATAGGCGAGCTGTCAATTCACGAAGGAAGCTAACGCATGGCATACATCGTTCCGCGCGCCAAGACCCTTATATCAAACCGCCCGTTGTTTTCAGAGACCTTACCATCTTCCCACCACGCATACTATCCTCTATTTGCCTACCATCCCTCAGCTGTTGCACTTCGCACTTTTTAGTACAGATTGCTAAAAGACACATGTAACACTCGGTTGTTGGAAGAAAACACCACTCTCCCTTCCATCCATCCCTTGACACCTGTCGTCCAGTACGCTATCTGCCCGACTAAGCTCGAATTGGTCCAACGCGACCCGCCCGTCTCCCCGTCCGCAATATGATTGTCGCCTTTTACCGATCCGACGGTGTATGCTGTGATCTGGAAAACCCATGTCTTCCTCTTAGTTTCTGCGCTCCTAGACCGTGTTTGTAGCGTTTGGTATCGTTTGCAGACTTGCAGTGGTGGAGGAACCGGTCGAGTTGCCGCTGACTCGCACCACCATAGCTTTGCTCAAGCGCCCAATTTGCGGAAGAGGCGGTCTGGCAGAAAACGGTATTGAATGTCGGTTCATGTTGAAGATATCCTTTTCGTAATACTATAGTCACAGTATATGTGCTTTTAAATGTTGTTATTCGAATGTTGGGTAAGTAATACCATGCCGGCTGCCAAATACCAAGCCCGTGATAAACCTCGCTTGTATGGTGCGGCGGTAAGGAGGTGAGGTGGCTTTTAATTAAAGCAATTTGTATAGATTGACAACTCAATTAGCGACTAACTAGCTTGTCTGCTAAGAACAGCGATTTGCAACAGGAGTTTCGAATGGGTTGGATGCGGTAGATTGTGTTACCGCTTCCAGCTTTGAACGGTGACTGTGAGACTAGTCGATTGACTATAAATCGCGACATGCAACACTTTTGTTATCTTGAATGAATCACTTCGTGCACATTTCTCGTCCGGCTATTGATTCCATTTTTGTTGAGGTCCACTGCTACCTCTGGGATCGAAATGATACTAGCTTAACGGGTTCATACACCATGTGGCCAGTGCATAGTCTAAATTGCATTCTGTATACCGGAAGGTCAGCCTGAACAACAGATAAACTAAAAGTCAAATGTGATTAATTTGTTCATAATACAACAAGTCCGGTTGTCTGCTTACAAGCCCACTATGTCAGACCAAATACCTTACAGTCATCAAGCACCAGTCGCCCCAACTCCATTACCGTGTGAATATGTAGCTCCTTATCATGCCCTCGTCTTCTGCCCAACTAACAAACTCACGCTCTCTCTAACGTTTTCACTACCCCAGATACTATCTCTACCGCCTTTCCTCCACTCATCGCCGCCTGCATCCTCGCCACCTCCTCGGGTAGCCTCTCCTGCAATGATCTCAAGGTCTCGTTTCTGGGAACTAAGCCATTTGGCAATGAACTCGGTTGGATTCTTTGATAGTGCTTCAAAGAACGTGTGCTTCGACTTGGAGTTGGCTATTTTCTGGACGAGCACAGCAGTGTGTTCGTTTAAACGTATGACTTCCTGTAGATCCTTGGTGTAAGACTCGTTGGTCAAGTAAGAAGCAAGAGCCGCGCGCAGTGGATCGTCAACCTGCACTTGAACATCAAAGACGCTTGGTTGTGGATTATCGTGGAAATCCTTATCAACTCGAATCGTGTATGGTAACTTGACTGGAGGTAGTGGATGCATGTGGTTGATTATCTGGTCGGCTAGATATGGTATGTAGCCTTGATCTCGGTTGAAAACCTGTATTCATTAGCAGTCGAAGACTATTGAAGGTGTAACAAGACGTACAGCTCTCAGTCGATCATCACAATTGAAAGTCCGTTTTTCCTCATCTTCTTCCAAACCCATAGCCTTCACGTATTCCCATATACCCATCACAGATTCAGCCCGTGTAGCTTCATTGGTATCCAGCACTTCAGCAAGAGCTGGACTCAGCGCAAATCTTTCTGGCGTTTCGTCTCTCACTAAATTGATTGTGACGTTCATGTTCTCATCACCGCCTCGCTTAAACTCCAGCTGGTCAAAATCGGCGGCGTTTGGGAGATCTCGGGCGTTTGCTGGAACTGCAGGTTTCTTCCATTCCACGCTCTGGTCTGAACCATCCTTCGCCTTGTTCCGATCAAAGTCTACCGTCATTGCCTTGAAGAAATGCGAAAACTTGTATGATTTGGTCGGAGTTGGCGACTTTTTCTTCTTCTCCTTGTTATCTTCATCCATGGCGTCTTCATCTTCCACTTCATCACCATCCTCATCATCCTCGTCACTATCAATACCATCATCTTCCTCATCAAGCAATCTGCCCTCAATCTTCACTCGGTATGAGGAGTCCATGTTCGTATTGAAGTCAAACGCGCTGTCCATATCTAGGGTATCTGCTTGCCACGGTTGGTCTTCTACTGTATTGCTAACCCATATGCGCAATGTTCTGTATCGCTACTCAGCATTAGCTGCCATCCAGAACATAAATACTGTGAAAACCTACTTTGACATTCCGGTTGACAGAGTCTTGAAGATCTAGTCTCTTTCTCATCATAGTGGAATCGAGCCTTCGTTCAATATCTCTTAAATCTCTGTAACGTTGGACTCCATCGCCAATTATGCAGTCTTCGACCCCTTCTGGTATGTTCTTGTCCGTCGGCTTTTGACTTCGAAGCTTTGCGCGCGCAGTCGCCTGGGCATGGGCTTGCTGTTGAGCTTGCATCTGAGAAGGTGTCAAGGAGTTCTGGGGATGCGCGCCGACCATAGGACCTGTGAGAAGAAAGTTAGCAGGAAATATTGAAAAAAGCCAGCTGGCTACGACGCTACGATTCACAGGTGGTCGATGTGGTGCCCACAGCGCCCTCAATCTACAAGTTCCTGGCGCATTTGCACCGTGGTATGTCGCAACAGTAAAAGTGGTTGGCACTCACCTATTCCTCGCCGTGTGGGTTGCGGTGCAGCATGTGGAGACCGCTGAGGATATCCTCGATTGTATTGAGGTTGAGGCTGCATCTTGGCTAAAAGGCCGACCTGGGGCAGCTCCTTCCGTTGGTAGGAATTATGAGTGACTTGTCTTCGTCACACAGCTAGAGGTTGAGGTGGGTGCGCAAGTGGGCTGCTCTTTCGTCTCTCCAGAAAACATCGACCGCGTTCACCTCTTGGTCCAAGGAACGCGAAGGTCGAGATTCGCTAGGTCGAAAGAAGACTAGCGCGGTAATCTCGAAATCCCAGAATCTCACGCTTGCAATCCGGGGTCCTCAGAACGTAGCATGAATTGTTGCGAGTAGAAGCGTAAAAAATAAATCGCTCTAAGATGAGAGAGAAATATAACACTTTAGAGACGAGAAATAATACAAGTATGGCTTGATGCAGGTCTGGTGGTGATAAACTTGTTAATTCCATTCGCAATTGCAAGTACATTGTAAGCTGACTACCTACGACCTTCAAACAGTATTTACTGTATTGACACTATATACACGATAGGAAAACATGAATATTTGTTGGCTTTGCTATGAAAAGCAACACCTAGCGCAGCGAGTCACAGGAACAGTTTGTACGTTACAGCTCCTCTAGAAATGAATCTCATTCAAGTCTGTCAAATGTAAGAAACGCCCCAGCTTCCAGGTTGGTGACAATGATCGTTATCCATCTGACGAAGTCCCGTGCCCAATGCCCAAAACTCCGTGCTTATACCCTAACCAGCAATGCCCATAACACTTCCGAATGCTTTCATTAGCAGCCTTGAAAAATTTCATGGTCTATCTACCTCGCCTGGGATCCTAGAAGAGCTGGCTTCTGGGATGGTTCCACTGGTTGTGGCGGCATATTCCTAATCTGCTTAATCAAAAACTCTCTCTCATCAATGAATTGCTCGTCTTCCGTTCTGTCTTCCAGGAATTGTTTCAAGAAGCTCAATAGCCTTTCTCGGTTGTTCAGAAGGATTTTCTGAACTGCAATAGACTTATGTGGATTTGCAACGAAAACCTTAAAGACGTGAAAACCTTCATATTGGACCATCTTCCTTTCATCTCTCAACAGATTCATACATATCTTGAGGTGCTCGCCTCTGTCAACATAGGCCGTCATGACAGCGTAGTTTGCTCGATCCAGAAGAATCTCGCCTAACAGTTTGATCGACTGTCTCTTGGTGACATAGCTCTCCGATTTCACAAGTATGTTGTTGTATTTGTCAAAAAATAGGTCAAAGTTCGTCGATAAGTATTGGGCAACAAGGCTCTTATGCCTCGTCAACAATTCCTAAGGACATTAGTCAAAACTCTCATTCGCGAACGTGTCACCCACTCTGAATGTTGTAAAGGCATCTGCGCCGACTTCAAAAGAGCCCTGGTCAATCCAATTGAAGAATTTCCAAAAGACACCTTTTCCGCTTTGTCTTGTCTCCAACTGAATACCTGTCAAGCCTTTCGAATTGCCGTTCTCGGTGGGATCGTCGTATAGGATAATTGCTGCCGCCTGCTCGCTTTTAAGCACCTCTCTCAATACTGTTCCAGCTGGTGTAGCACTCTCTTTGTGATCATATCCATTGCAAAGCTCAACAAAAACTTCCGGTCTGTTGTTGATAACCCAGCTAAGCGCTATGGGCTCACTTTTCGGCGATGCGGTCGGCGGTCGAAATCGTAAAACGTATGAGAAGATGACTTGTGCATCCTTTCTGGCTTCGAACGGGAGTCTTTGTAAGTTGACAGCGAGGAGATAAAGCAGATCCTCCGTGATCATACCAGTCACAAGGGCGTAGACTTGTTCAGGCTGGGCTTCGACTTCTATACGAGCGTAAGGAGGGTTTCTTCTAGATTTTTTCTGGGGCAAATGTACCTTGTGTACCTTGCAAGACAAATTTCATCTGACTTAGAGTCTTCGCAAGTTCCTCTGCCTGTCTTCCAGTCAGTGCCTCGTCTCTCGTATCGCCTCCTTGACCACACTACCCACCTTCGCAGCACCTGCAGGTCCCTCTAGTTTCGATATTTGTTCCTTTGCTTGCTTGGGCAGATCCACGGTATTCGTTCGCGGACGACGTCCAAAGAGAAATGACATGTTGTCGGGTTCGTTGGGCTTAGGATGATCTCTTTACGGTCGCAAAACAATAACTCGTAGCACTCGAGGGTAGTTCGCTGGTTGTAACACAATGCGACATGTGGTGGCGGCAAAAAGTGAATTGCAAAGGGGCATATTATGCAGCTGTAAGGCTTTCTCTCCTATTGCAACATGGTTGGCGGACTTTTCTTACTGTATGGTTCCTGCCCTCCAATGTTATGTTTTTTGTGTACTTGAGCTCGAGCGATCAAAGGGTGCCCAAACGGCCCGCTGGCAACGCGCTCTGGCGCTCTGCCAGCCAATTGAGTGCAAGGGCCATCCATCTTGTGCAGAAGGCATAATCATTGCAATTTGAAAGAGGTTCATGACCTTATATACTAGTCATTGGCGGTTCTTCTATATGGATCCTCAGCGGTATGAAGTCAAACTGGCTGTGAGGTCAGTCATTTCCTCTGCAATGAATTCGTGTCCCAAAATAGGATCTCCATATCTCCACCGGAAATCATCTGATAAGGAAAGGGTGGATTAAATGTTGCTACGGCGGCCTGCAGTGTTGTCGGGCCGCACTCCTCGCATGGCTAACGTAATTTTTGAGCTTTGGAAAAAAGTTGTAAACAATTCCAAAAGTTCCCCACCACACAATACCCAAATTTACCACCAAAAGTAAATTTTAAACACCGTTCTGGGAAGTGTTTAATACTTTCTTCAGAGTACGAAGTGACGTATTCAATGTCCAGAATGGAGAAAGAAGCACCTGGCTCATCTGGTAGTTCAGATGCGTCGGATATCCTCGATATGAGAGATGAGGAAGGCTGGGAAGATGCTGAGCCAGACGTAGAAGAGTCACAGTTCATTTCGTTGATGGATGATGAAGTTTTCACAGACATGATGCAAATGCTCGACCACTGCAAGGCAAAACACAACCTTGATTTCCTGGAAATCAGATCGAGACTCGGCCTAGATTTCTATGGCAATATCAAGCTGGTCAACTACCTGCGGTCCCAGGTACACAGTGGCAAGCCCATCCCTTCAGAGATCACCAAAAAGGATTTTGATGACGAGAAGTACTTGAAGCCAGTTCTAGAGGATGATGCCGTGTTGTTTACGTTGGACGATCTTCCAGAAGTGGTTGAAATTCATGATGAAGTTAATGTGCAGGACAAGGGCAAAGGTGTCGAGCGAGATTCAGGCAGTCTTATAGCCCGGGTCTCTGAACTAGAAGAGGAGTTAAGAAAGGTACACTCTCAATTTTCCGACTATCGCGATACTGTCAAGACCACACTGGACAAAAAGTGGGAAGAACCAAGTGCGAACGGATCCGCTGCACCTAAGGAGGAGCCTAGGGATGATGACAGTCACTATTTCAGCTCATATTCATACAATGGTAATTATCAATGCATTCGATACGAACAGTTACTAATTTATTCCCAGATATCCACGAGACTATGCTCAAGGACGCAGTCAGAACCGATGCTTACAGAGACTTCATCTACAGCAACAAAGCTCTTTTCGCTGGAAAGACAGTTCTCGACGTTGGATGCGGCACAGGAATTCTGAGCATGTTCTGCGCTAAAGCAGGAGCTGCCCGTGTGATAGCAGTTGATAATTCGGCCATCATCGACAAAGCCCGTGAAAACATCTTCAACAATGGCTTCGCTGACACAATTACATGTCTTCGTGGCAAGGTTGAAGAGGTTAAGCTTCCAGTCGACAAGGTCGATATCATTGTTAGTGAGTGGATGGGCTACTGTTTGCTTTACGAGGCTATGCTCGATAGTGTCATCTGGGCTCGAGACAAGTATCTCCAACCAGATGGACTTATGGTTCCCAGTCATATGAACATGTGGGTGGCTCCTATCGCAGATCCAGATTACATATCCGATCATATTGCATTCTGGAGAGATGTCTATGGGTTTGACATGAAGGCGATGCAAGCTGGTATCCACGAAGACGCTCAAGTACTTGATATGCCAGCTAGTACACTTGCTGCTGACCCATTCCCATTCCTACAGCTCAGTCTTCATACCACCGCAGTCAAGGATCTTGTCTTCAAGCGAAAGTGGTCCGGGAAATTGAAGAAGGATATAGATGCGCTTGATGGCTTCATCATCTGGTTTGATTCTTTCTTCATACCCTCCAGGACAGAAGTTGTCGCTGAAGATGCTAAAGCCGAGGAGTGGGCCGCGTCTGGGAAGAGTGGGAATGCATTTACCACTGGTCCGGGAGGAAAAGTAACACATTGGAAACAAGGTGTGATGCTCATTGACAATACCAAGGAGAAGCCTGTTGGTCACAAGGAAGGCGAGCAGCTAAGTGGCGAGCTTGAGTATGCCGTGCCTGAGGACAATTCTAGAGCACTAAACGTCAGTTTAACGTGGAAATTCGAGTCATGGCAAAAGGAGAATTCTCAGAGCTGGAAGATGAGATAAAGAGTCACGGTTACTGGATCGAGTGCAGTCTAGTTCATGGTGTCAAATGCCAGTGCTGCCGACAGACAAACAAAAGTAAATGATTAACATGCAAATTTGCCTGAATTGAAAGGACCGTCTCCTGTCACTCTCAATAAAAATTAGATACCGATTCATCATTTTTTAGGCTCTACCATGGCCTCGTGAGCTCTTTTCTGGCCATTTTCATTAGCCTTCTTCACAAAACTCTTCACATATTCCGGAACCGTTCCTGCCAAGTTATCTGGTCCAGCTTGCGGTTCTCCGTAGCTAGTCCATGTTGGTACAACCCCAGTCCAAACTCTCTTTCTCATTTCTTCATCCTTCATATCCTTTCGTTCGTCGTGTGGCTGCCCAGCACGGATCTATCACGGATTAGCCTTTTTTTGAATTTACAGACCAGAGAATCAAAGATTTCCTACCTTCGCACTTGCACTAACAATCCTTATCCTCAAAATCTGGGTACTGGTCATCTCCGTCTTATTCGGTGGAACTCGAGTATTGTCCCAACGATCAGAAACGACTGAATTCGTGATCTTTTCCATGGCCCACAATTTCTCGTCTACTTCTGTCACCGGCGTGGCGTAGCCATGGAGGATTGCAGAGCGGTAGTTGTAGCCTGAGAACTTAGCTTCATGATTCGACACTAGAGTCTTTTGAGACTTACTGTGAGAATTGGGCGTCAGAGCCAATACTATCCCATCAAAGTGAGTCGCAGCAACAGTGATCGGTAATCCCTCTTCATCCTGACCCTCTTTACCCATTTTCATCAATCGGCTCGAAACATAGCCATGAAGGTAGAGATCGAGAGCATCGTCTAGACTGGCACTTTGATTTTCAAAAGATGCTAAGAACCCTATCATTGGTAGGGCCGCTGGGAACGGATCTTCTGGGTCTGGGGTAGCGAAAGAGACATGGACTACTGGCACGCTATTCACAATACTATGAATTGTTTGGTAGTCATATTTACCTAATCTTAATTAGTGAATGTGTGTAGTAAAAGGAGAGGAAGAGGTACCGCGTGGCCTGTACCGGTTTATGGTTGAGCGTGGTACTTTTGGATATTCTGCGTCACCCATGATTGCTGATGTATCTCAACTGGCTTCACAAATTTGAAGTTGTCTGTTTATTATGGGAAAAAAGTCAATTATTTAAGGAAGTAGTCTTGTGACTCACGGTAATGCATCTCCACTATTGACAGAAGAGTAGCATGTCGAGGAGAAGCTGTGAGCAATGGATTCGACTCAATTAGGCAAGTTCAAGCAGGCGAGATGCAAGGCGGGTCCACTATTTGTAGTGCGGAGTTGAAAGCATGTGTAGTCGGACTTGACGTGCCAAGCTTAAAGGTCGAAATACATAATTGCTTTACTTTTTACATTATGGACGATCTAGGATCGTTTAACTCTTGTTCATGAGCCCCGTACCCGATAAAGTATTAATCTTTTGTCCCATTCAACGGAAGTGGAGAATCTCGCTACGCCATGGAGGAGTTGGCAGCTCCAAATCCAGAAATGGGGTATTCAAGCCCCTGTGTAAGCGTCGACCAGTTTCAGAAAATAAAGACTACCTGCTAAGATATCCAGTGGTTTGAGTTGCCAGAAGCAATATAGGCCCCCAATAAGTGGATTTGGATCCGGACGTGTCACCGGAATATTGTTTGGATTGGTGAAAACGATTGACTTGCCCGATATGTCGAACTCCGGATCCGATGGTACCACCGGAGTAACACGTAGGTTGTAGAGTATCGAATATCCGAGGCAACATTCTACACGGAGCCTATTGCGACCTGAGCTTCAACATCTCAAAGTCTGAATCTACATATTCATGAGTGCCAAAAAGTTCTGAGAAAGTTTCAGTAATATCGGAGTATAAATGGACAAGGCAAAGAAGGTTACTTTCACCTACACAAGCTGGTATCCTGGAAAGCCTCAGGTGAGTGTTGATTGATTGTTGATAGAGTGTTAAAAGTTCTCAAGATGAAGAAGCTAATTAGCAATTAAGAGATCTAAGTCTCCCCCAGCCCAGCCTTCGGTAGCTAGATAACGGACGTTCTACTCTGAGGTACTAATCAAACACATCCTTAGCCGAGCAATCAATATCAGTCGGAACCACCTGGGTACCTTGAGTCATTCACTCTCATCGTCACCCACCCCCTCGGCATTATCTCGTTAACATTAGCAAATAGCTCCACATGATTATGTTGCTTTATATCTAGAAAGAAGCGTGTTTTCCTCATCAAAACAACCAGTGAGCGCCCGGCTAGCTCAATCGGTAGAGCGTGAGACTCTTAGAATCCGCAATAAAACGCGGAATTCGTACATCTCAAGGTTGCGGGTTCGACCCCCGCGTTGGGCTCAATCCCCAATGTCGCAAACAGGTTGTATTTATTTTTTGCCATTTTTTTATATCAATTTGTGGTGTTGTAATCTCATGAAGAGGTTTGCTGATGTTTTTTTTTTGCACTGGCGAAAGGCTTGGATGGGGCCCGGGCCGGGGCGTGTAAGCGAGGCTTGGCGTTCTTCCCCTTGTGCATATTATGTTGACTTGGCCTATTAACCTAGAAGCCTATTAACCTAGAACTCTTCTAATATCTTGAATAATTATACTTAGTTTGAGCTTCAGCTAAATTTTGTCGCAGAAAGATGAAAAGTCGACATTGGACGGTTGTTGATTGACAAGTTCACGAGAGGTTCGCAGCCGGGTGTTCATCTACCACTGAACTCATCAACATTAGTCTATACTATATCGAGGTTTTTCAGAATCAATTTCTTGATTGGTATTAGTTTCGAACTATCTCCAACGGTCTATGTGGCATAACTTCCCATTTCACCCCGCAGCCTTAGATGTTTCGCTCTCACATCAATCACTGAGGCCACTACTCTCGAAGACTCCTAACCATGAGCTTGTAGCCAAGTCTCTGGAACAGTCCAGCCTCAGATACATTCAAAGGCGGCCCACATATTTCTCCTTTCTATCTTGGAGACGAGACTTTGCATACGCAAAGTAATGCTCCTAACTGTCAATCCACCGCCAAAGAAGACATACTCCTCCCCACCCATCCTGCAATGCAAATCCCTCAAGATTCCCTCTAATTTTGGCTCCCATATCCATGCAACTCATTGCCATTCCGACAGTCATCCTGGGTATAAATGCTCTAAAAGAATGTGTTTTTCGATAGTCCTAGTCCTTTCATCATCTTTGAAGTCGAAGGGGTCATAGGAGACACCAGCTCGGCAGGATCTTCCTGTAGTGGTAGCGGTGAAGGCTCTTTACTATCTGCTGGTAACTCGTATTTCGGTGACTCGGGGATCGATGGTGGGGGTTGGTTGAATACTACGGAGGCATTCGTAGTTTGAGGTGTGTATGCTCCGTTGACCTAAGCACAGTCAGTTATATTTTCAGGAAGATGTATTTTGGGATTTTGCACATACTCCTGTTATGGGTATTTTCTTGATATAACCCACACACTTGGTACTATCCACCCAGGCCATAACGATCGATTCTTCGTCGGGAAGGCTCATAAACGACATCGCAAAAGATTCCGACTTTGCAGTCAATTCTTTCGAAGTTGCAAACTTCTTGATATCGAGGGGCGTCGAGTTCAGGTTACCAATCTTGTAAAGATCCCCTTTATCATTTACAATAGCAAGTTCTTTTCCACTCGGAGAGAAACAGGCAGTCTGTATTCGGTTTCCTAAGCGGCTCTGCCGATTCGAAATTTCGGTTCTAATGTCTGTTCGATGTCCGTCTCGAGGTTGGACAAGAATTGGAATACCGGACTGCGTCCAGCTAGTAAGACAAACTAAGTTCTCATCTCCTCCAGATCCAGAGCGATATATCGCAGATGATATCCCGCCATCCTCGGACTCGTGAAGCGGAACTTGATATCTGCATGCCGAAATCTCCTCAAAAGTTGTAAAAGGAAATCGCCATGAATACACTTGAATCATACCACTTTTAGGACTCCTTGTGCTTGCAAGCAGTACAAGCCCGTCGTGAGAAAAAGACAGAGTCTCGATAGGTTGGCACTCCTTACACTCAGCATGATACCGGCTATGTAAGCGGTCTTCCCTTGAATCTTCTGCGCTCTTGGTCGAAAAGAAGCGAACAACAGAGTTATCGAATCCGACGACAACATGACTATCAGATATAGCAATTGTCCTACACCAAATCGAAGATGGCATACGGTATTCGACGGCATTTACGTTCGGTTGAATGAGATTTACAATTCGCAAAGTGAGTTTCTGATCTCGAGTTCCGATTATATAAGCTAGGTGCACTTTGGACACTGCTGCGAGAACGCAAGTGCTATCGGTAGCGATTGCTCGTCCTAATATAGGTGGTGACATACCTATATCCCAGATATAGATTGAGGACTGCGTCCAAAATAGAGCATAGCTTGAATTCTGGGACAATGCAACATTAATACTCTTCGACGTTTTCCCTTTACTGTTCTTTTTGGATATTGTAGTAAGTTCTTTCAACGATATTTCCTCTAACCTTTGTCCTTCCAATGTTGCTGAGGAGAGTGAACTGTTGTCTATTGAGGCTGAGGCGCCCGCAGACTCCTTTCTCGAGCCGAATTTGGATCTCCATTTTGATTTGCCCTTGTCGGGAGGTTGAACCAAAGGCACCGTTCGGCTGCGTGAAGGAGGTACCGGTTCGAAAGAAACAGTAGAAACAGAATGTTCAAATCTCGTATGGTTCGGTCCAGGGCTGCCTACTGTACCAGGGGAGAATGGTCTCGAAGTTTCCGAATTAGATCTTTGAGGTTCTATTGAATTGGCATCTTTAGAAAATGCTGCTTCTGAAGGCTCGATTTTGGATGTATCTGACATTTGTCGATATCCAGGAGACACTGGTGATAGTAAAGGATGCGGAGTCAAACGGTTCCGCTCTGGTGAGGCATGTCGAGGAGAGGCAGTATCAACATTTTGTGGTCTGTGACCAGCTGACAGTACACTATAGGATGAATTAAAGAAATTGCCGCTATCAGCTTTTGGCGCTGATTGTTGGAACTGATTTGGTAAGTGCCGTTCAACATTAATTGTATCAGCATTGGGCTCCAGTGGCTTCAAAAGCTCCCAAATATTTCTAACTAGAGATACTTCGCGCATCATAGTTACCATTTCTCCACAGGTTGCACATGTTGAGTTCGGAGGCATGCTAGCCTCGGCGTCGTCTTCTGATTCATCCTAGTGGAAAATGTTTGTTAGCATGTTTTTCAATTTCGCCTATATGGAGTAGTTAAGAGCAGGATCAAATTTGTCTAAGAGACATTTTCAGCTCTGGTAGGAAGCCTTACTGGAAATTTAGTATAGCCTAGGCTTCGTAGGTGCGTGTCACCGAACAAATGAGAATTTTCACAGTTGACAGCATATAGCCTCGGCCGTGATGCCCTAAGTAGACCACTCGGATCATCCATCAGAGCAATATTCCTGGTAATTTCCGACATACTGTGCATCATCTCTCGGTCGCTGACTCGACTAATTATCTGTCTCTCACTGAGCTTGAGGCAAAGAGCATCAATCGCATCGATCTCGCTTTCGTCCATTAGTGACTGCGAAGATACACGGCGAACAAGACTTGGAGTTTCGGGCAAAATTACTCGAAACGTTTCGCTAAACGTGGCGATCAGGTCGGATCGAGAGAGATGACCTGGCAATCGAATATTGTCAAGAGCGTGCAATACTGCGTTTCGAGTTCGCGCAGATGATGCTTGAAGGCGCATATCTCTAATTTCTCCATTGACCACATATTGGACTGATGCACCAACCACAAAATTCGACACGTCTCGCAAGGCTAAGAATTGAGACAACCAGTCTCCCGTAAACCCATTCGTACTCACGAGGCTAGCTACGCATTGTGAAGAGAGGCATTCCGGTAGCGGATACTAAAGCATGGTGTTAGTCACTCATTTTAATCACTGCACGTAAAGGGTAGCCTTTCTGGGGGTACTTACCAACTCTGAAGCCAAATTTGGCATAGTATATCTTAGCGCAGTAGGAAGACTAAGAGATTCCGGGTCTGTTCGCAACGAATCTGTTACTTCTTTGCACACCATTAAAAGAAAAGATTTGTCTCCTCCATAGCTGTCGAACACCCGTTCTAAAGAACGATGTATACGAGTGAAACGATCCCTACGGTCCTTGGCTGTTTGCTTGGGTGGTGGTTTTGGATGAAGTGTGAGAACGCGCAGCGCTGAGAGCAAGAATTCGGCCAAATACTTGTCGCGCAAAGCTCCGACTTCCCATAGACTTTCCCGTCCTTCGGCCACTGTTTGGAGTACGAATTCCACAGATCGCAAGGTGACTTCCCACGAGACCAGAAATCCTAAATACCAACCGACTTGCTGGTTTTCCGATGGTATTGAGAGTCGTTGGATGTGGAAGATGGTGTTGAGTTGGGCAATGAGTGTTACGACCAATTGCTGGTAAGTGTCCTTATCTCCATCTGCATAGATCTTCTCAAGCGAAAAGGTCCCAAGTAATTCCAAAATAATATTATCAACATCGCTCCGAAGTGAAAGAATTCGCCATGCGTTGCTTAAGCGCGTGAAAAGAGAGGATGAGGTTGGACCTCCCAGGGCCGCCATGGGGAAGACTGGCCAATACTGGCTTCAGATCGGTCGGCCACATCAGCGGGGTCATGGACGTCCCAGACAGTTTTCTGGGTTGGAGGATGACTACGGGATGTCGAGTGTGCGCTCTCAATGTAGGAGGGTTGAATGCCGTCGTCTAAGCGTGAAAACTTCAGGACGATGTCAAGCCTCGCCCGTCATGACGAAGACAGCCGCTGTTGTTTAGCGCCATAGCGCCGGGGAGGTGTGTACCTGTTGTTCCTCTTTGGGTCTCTGGCACGAGGGAGGGGATGGAGGGGTGGCAGGTCGTTGCAGAGAGCATCAGTTTTTCAGGCAAGCAATGTGAGTAGCACCAAGGGTGCCATGCTCAACCTTATCGAGGGTTCCGGGGTGAGCAGGGAGTACAGTAAAAATGGAGACGTTGCACGTCTTGATGGGAATTAGTGGTAACTTGTAAGCGGGTATGTGGATGAAGGTACATTCCTCCTTGGGCTCTATCCGGCTGTATAGAAACGACCAACCAGTGAGAACTCAACAAGCCAGAATGGAATCGTTCAGCTGCATGTACTGTATAAGCCAAGGCTGTTATTTTGATGGGGCTGGGGGAATAAGGTAGGTGCTGAAGAGCTTCGAATAGGGACTGCTCGGACAGGAGAACCGGGTACTGTACTTCTGCAAGGTTTCTCCGTACTCCCGTATACAGGCACGAAGCATTTCGTCCAACAGAAGCTAAAAGCTGCACTGTGAATCTGATGTTAGAAAGCAAATCAGCCTCGCCTGAGAGGTTGCACCGGGCCTCAATTGCTCCGATATAGAGTTGGTTAGTTATTGGCTCACATGCGAAATGATTGACAACAGGCTCGGCTGTTGTTTGTGAAAAGTGGGAGGAGTCGCGATGTTGGCCAGTGGATTAAGCGAGTGCCGTTATCATTAAGCGGGGGCCAAATAGGGGTCGGGATGTCACCTTGATTAAGCGACAACAGCGATGCGGTGGGGACCTTCAGAACAACCAACCTTCCGGGTCGCTGCACGAATGGCCCAATCGACGGATGGTGGGAGGTTGACGATCTTCCCATCTTCAGGCGTTCTGTTTTCATAGTTGATAACGAGCTTGGCCGAGTGCTGGTAGAACTTTCAGGCCATGCTACAAAGACAATTACAAGCGTCGTCGCTTTCAAGCTTTTGACCACGCAGGGCTGAAGTTGGTGGAGAGGCAGTGTCTTCCGCACAAGGGCTGCTGCATCATGACCAGTTCTGTCGAACGGTTGGTACTCCTACTGCGTGCCCTTTGCATTGTCGAGCAAAATGAACCTCGAGTTTCATGCCAATGATGTGCATACATAATATTGATTGCTGCTGTGCGACTCGGTGGTAGGGATCTGACCTCCCAGCAAATGGCTTGATTCCCCCGGTCTTACACTGTCCAGACTCACCCTGACCCCGGTCCAAGCTATTTTGACAGTTCAGTGCAGCGTCGATCCTCTATCCTATAATACTCACCACCGCTGGTCGAGTATTTGGGAAGAAAGGATTCCACACTTGGGCACTTAATGACACTCTCGTGCTCGTCATCATGGATCACGAAAAACCACAGGCTGTGTATCCACAAGTTTACGAGTATGAAGCAACTCCAACGCAGACTACCGCCAGTCCAGAGCCCATGATGCGACCCCCTTCCATTGACGAGCTTGAATATGTGGAAGATCGTAGGGAGAGGCGGGGTGACTCGCTGTGGTAAGCACCTTATGGAAGCTCGGCTATCAAGCTTCGTAGCTCACACATAACAGGAGGGTGTTGAAGGAAAGACATGTCAGCATGATTGCGTTTTCTGGGTAAGTCCCGACGTATTTCTCAGTTGAGATGTCCAGCTAACATCATGCGCGTAGAACGATTGGAAATGGTATGCGCTACCTCATGACAAAAGTTTATATCTGATACTGATCAAATTCTAGGATTGTTTCTTGGTAGTGGCCGTTCTCTGGCATCTGCTGGACCTGGTGGCGCTGTCTTGTCGTACATTCTGGTTGGAACCGTTATTTCGTCCGTTATCAGCTGTCTCGGAGAAATGACTGCATTGATGCCTGTGAATGCTCCTGTAATGGAATTCCCGCGACGCTATCTTGATCGGGGTGTTGGTTTTGCTGTCGGATGGGTATATTGGTAGGAGTTTCTGACGCCAAACCCTCCGTATGGTATTAATGGGTGGCATCTAGGTTCGCTTACGCTATTCTCGCTGCCGACGAAATTGTTGCAGTTGCTAACACGGTTGCGTTTAAATACGATGATGGTAGAACATACATTAATTGGGTCGTTGGAGGAGAAGTCGACGCTGCTGTCTGGATCGCCCTTTTCCTCGTCATAGTCGTTGCTATAAATATGCTTCCGGTGAAGGTAATGCCAACAGGCTCATCTCCCAAAGCAATTCTTACTCATTTGATAAACAGTACTTTGGAGAATTCGAGTACGTTTTCGGTTGCTTCAAATTGATGTTCATCGTCATGCTCATCGTGTTGATGGTGTGTTTGGATACTATGCAACGTACGTATAAGAGCCTAGAATCCTCGAAGAAAATGGCTGACTTTAACCAAACAGCGCGCAAGGGTGCATACTATGATCAAGTTGTTGGCCCCAAAAGTAAGCAGTTCACAAATTCTGTCTTCACACAGACTAATAAATTAATCTTAGATTGGAAGGCCCCATACACTTTCTTTAACAAACGGTACCGAGTGAGGAATAATGATGGAACTCAGCGGTTTATCGAGGGACAAATTGGCAGCTTTTTGGGCATCTGGTAAGCAGGCTCGATTGCATTCTATTCTTCAGTCTAACATGCCTTGAAGGACGACATTTGTTAATATAATGTTCGCTTACATCGGAATGGATATTGTTGCCGCGACCGCCGCCGAGAGCACTTCACTTGCAGACGCCGAGAGTATGAAGATGGCGGCCAGGAAGACAAACATCAGAATCGTCACACTGTATTCGCTTGCAGTGTTAACAGCTTCGTTTATGGTGCCAATGGATCACCCATTTATCAATGGAGGAGGACAGTCAGTTGGATCCCACTCGGTCTTTCTAATCGCTGTTGTTGAAGCTGGCTTGCCAATGGCTGCTCACTTCTTCAACGCTGTTTTCGTGTTCTCTTCGTTCACTTGTGCCATTAACTCGCTATATGTTGCTTCAAGAGTTTTACATACGCTGGCACTACGTGAACAAACTGGCCCGGATTTCATCACCTTGCGCTTGCAGCACACTCGATCTGGCGTTCCTGTAAGAGCAGTTCTTGTGACGGCTGGCATGATGTTAATCGGATTTATGGGGCGAACAGGATCTCCTGGAGAGGTAAACTATCTGTGAATACAAATTGGGCAAATGCTAATGTTTCAATCAGAGATTGGGCGAGTTGGCATCGAATTGCACAGTCTCTTGCTTGATTGTTTACACGGTCATATGCGCAACGTATCTATCATTCTTCAAAACGTGAGTTCAATCATGATAAGATCTTGACCCATTCTAATAATCTTCAGACTCGGAGATGCCAAGTTGTATGGTAATGCTTCGGAAGCTCAGACTGCCATGTACGACAGAGATAACCCACGATATCCTTACAAGTCTCACGGACAATGGCTGAAAGCCTGCTACGGACTCGTTTCGTGTCTTTTGCTTGTTACTTTCAATGGAGTAGGAGCATTTCTCGAGAAGCCATTTGATGTTCGCAGGTTCATTGCTTCGTACATCAGTGTAAGTTTCTCCAACCTGCTTTTACCAATCCTTTTACTGACATTTCCAGGTTCCTGTGTTTATACTTCTGCTAGTAGGCTACAAAATTGGAAAGCACGGATTTAGATTTTCTCAATGGGGACCAGAAAGATCGAACGATCTGCGAAACTGTATTCAAGCAACATCCGAAGTGAGAAAGGGTCGACTAGAATTTCCCGATGAGGGATTTACAAAAGAAAACGGGCGTACATTTGTTGATTGGATCTGGGTATGGATGAAATAGACGGTGCTCTGCCACCACACTGTTCCCCATAGCTCTTCTTTCCTTGCCATTAAGATACCACAGATAGCGAAAAATGCAATTAATCTAATAATCACACCACCACTGCTGACACAAAACCTGAAATGCCATCTAATTCCACGTTGTGTAGCGCCACGGACCGCCTGTCCGCTGACCGGATTGTCGCAACATGGTAAAGTGAAGGCATACAAATAGAACACTGCAGCAGCCACCAATCCAGCTCTAATCTTCGAATCACTGGTATCGGCGACCTGACTTCTGATGGATGCTACCTACCCCACCACCCACCAGAACACTGTCGACATATGAGACACAGCCACCGCCTTTCCCAGCGGCTCATCCGCTCCCATCGAGAGACTGCCGCTCAGCACAGTCCGCACGCAGGACTGTGTACGCTTCTCCAGCGTAAAGGTGGCTGTCGGTAATCGTCCGTCTCCTACCCTGTCGTTCCCTTCACCGTTTTTCTCGCAGGAAATGGTGGTGCATGACGGCCGGTTTCGTGCTCAGGACCAGTGGTTAGTGTTGCCGTTTCCTGCTGCAGCTGTCCTTCGTGATCTCTCTCCACCCGAAGCATTGCAGGAATATGACAGTTGAGCGACCAATCAGTGGAATGAGAAGCGAACCGAGTCCAGGTCCTTCAGCCCAACTTTTCGATGCAGAGCCCGTGGTGATTGATACGTTCACTTGCTAGATCATCGATCCAACTGAGAAATGCAGCTGTAACCAATGTAGCTAAATTTCCGAGAGAAGGTGGTTTGGTGAAGGTTGCAAAGTTGGTGGAATACGCACATGCATTTGGCCCCCAGATGATGACTTGCTGTATCTTCGTTGTCGTGTGACATTAAAATACGAACTATACTTTACATTGGACCTCAAACATCATCATTCTGTGATATAAAACTAATAATAGATAATGGGTAAAGTCCATTTCCAATGTACAATTCTTGTCGGCTGCGAAAAAGATACGGGTATGGCAACTCCGTTCCTGACACAGACGAAGCTCCATCCTTCTTAACGTTCCTTCGTCGACTTCTTGTCTTGGATCCTTTCCAGACCACCACAACCTTTCCCAGATAGCCAATAGAGGCAGAAGAGCTGCACAATAGATCCTCCGGCTTACCCTCCTAGCGATCGAGAGCATCGATACCCCTCGACACCCCTCGACACCACGTTGTTTTCATCCCGTCTCGCATATCCTGCCATCCTTCAAGTTCGGATCTGCATATTTCATCTTCAAGCGATCATAATCTTAGCGAACCTCGCGTGGCAGTCTGCCTCTCATTTGCATTTTCATCTATACTCTAGAGTGCTTGCATTGAAGCGAAATTTGGAGGATAGGAGTATACAAGGATATTTGGATATTTTCCGATGGAATTGAGGGATATATGCCGGCAGTTTTAGGCGGGCGAATCCGTATCAATTGACTCGCTTCAGTGATGACAGAATGTTGAGATACTACAACACCAGGGAAGCAACGGCAGCTCGAGGCTCCGATGACGATGAGATTTCTATTTTGGTAATTGGGTATGCAGTGATATCAGATAAGGAAGTGACCCCCATATCGAGCCATCCAAGTGGCTGTGCATGATGCTTTTTGACCTATTCTAAACCATATCTCGGCCAATGTAAAGAAAATTGAATGTCTGGCTTGTTCAGCTAGCCTGATATTATTACCCATGAAAAAATATTCGCCAAATAGTAGGTGCCCTACCTAGGTAATCTGCGGCCTGATTAGTAATTAGATCTGGTGGAAAGCTATTGAGACTTACTGCCATCTAGGCTCCAAGTTCGTTGACTTTCGATCATCATTATCTCCTCCCTTTCTAATGCGTCCATCATAGACAGCTAGAGTCCAAGAGCACATGTCTGTATTGTAGCCAATAGATGTGGGAAACCATGCCTTGTGATTTGACAAAAACATAAGTTGGAATTGCGGTATCAAGAAGATACTATGAGGGTTGCTCACTCTTCTTTCGCAACGATCTGGCGTCGTCCAGGCACTTGAACAGGGAAGTCTAAGAAGCTGCCGTTGCCTAGGAGTCGACTTGTGAGGTATTGGTTTGTTCTCTAGCTGTCCAGAGCTACAGTCAGAGCGAGCAACGTGTGCCTGGTGGATTACGGTCCTTGTAAGTCGGCACGCTGGCGCTTTGCTGAAAAGATTCTTCCCAGACGGCCCCAGCTTCGACATCACCTGAGCTTCAAGCAGAGAGTGATTTTTTGTGGAGGCTCAATTCTTGCACCAGGTGTCGAGGACTGCCTGAAAAGTTCCATGGGCAACTGCTCATGACGACCAGTGAGATAAAGCTGTTCTTCGAAAGATGCGAAATGTCTGTCTCTCACTTTGCCGGAACCACAAGGCCTTTGAAAATTGAATCATGTTCTTCGGTGAGGTTCTTGCCTATTTTGCTCTTAGTATGATTAAGAGCGCAAGACCAAAATAACTTACAGAATTCACGGTACGCTTGATGAAGCCGCACAAATAGCTCTTGAAGACCTCTGTTCTCACTCGTACCCTTTTGTCGGTCACCTTCAGCCACCCATGGAGTGGTCAAGGGCGTGTTGGCATCGCGACAGAGAATTCCGTAAGCGACGGTCAACCTCTTGTACATGTAGGTAGATTGTTCCAATCTTGCTCGATGTACTTAATGATGTTAGCGAAAATGACAAGTTTCTTGGTAAAATAACCTACAAAGCTTTTGTCGTGGAAGCGAGAGTCTGATAGCATCACGGATTGCTCGATCTCGATAGAGTAGAAGCAACCTCATTAGACAAATACCACCTACGATTCGGGCGTGTTTGTTTGGTCCGACTAGCTTCTTAAACTCGTCTATTTGTCTGAAAACCTCCTGTTCGGCGTCTTTGAGCCCACTGGCAGCAATGAGACGTATCTGATCGTGAATAGTAGGAGAAACATAAGATGATTCAGTTGGCGGCCGCCCGAGGAGGTCATAACTTCCGTCTCGAAGATCGATTGTCCCATACTGAACCAACCCGTTGAGTGCAGCGACCTTCAAAGTGGACCTAACAAAACTCCGCTAGATGATGATTAGCTTGAAGCATTTATGAATAATATAGAACTCACTAGAGGAGTAGCTTGTTTTGCTTTGGAATAGATATCTAAGAAATTATCCAGCAGTGGCGTAATTTTGCCGGAGTGGGTCCCTGTGAGGGGAAGGATTTGTTGTGCAAAAGTCTCAACAGCAGCGCTCGAGACGGAGCCTGGCACGACAGCATATCTTTGAGCGTAAATCGAGTCCTTCGTGAGGTGAATACCCTTAACTTTGGAAAGGCCTTTCCATCGACAAATTGGATCTATGTTGCATCGACGAATCCTCAACGGTAAAGTTGCCAGACCTCTGGCTCCTTCCGCAAATGATGATACAGACAATTTAATCTCCAGAACTTCACCAGATAGTGACTTGAGCAACGGATCTAATGCTCCTCTTCGAGAATCAAGACTTCCGAATATTGCTACATAGGTTAGCGGGGATGCGTGGAACCAAATTAGAAAAGAGCATACTTTTTACTCCCACGTAGGAATCTTGCAGCTTGTCGCGCAGACATATCTCGCCAGCTAAAGTTGGATTGTTCTTCGCAGCCTTAAGACAGTGATTGCAGATCTCATCAATTGAGCACTGTAGTAAGTTAGTGAATGCTTCTTGAAGGAGATACATAAGTAGTTACCGGAATCTTGCGGTAATGGCATGCACCACATGCGCCTTTATTGCGAACTCCTCGAACCTTCTCTGCCCCTTCTGTCGTAAATTTTGTTCGCTTTCGTTTGCGAGAAGCCGAATTGGGACTGCTATCAAAGTTCGTAATAAGGTCATCCATTCTGGGCTGGTAGTCGACTGGCGGTGATTCTGTCTCCTTCTTGATACTGACTTGTATGACAGAGACCAAGCTTTCAAATTGTGCCTTCGAGGGACCAACTTCATTATTAGTCATAGGTAGAGGAGATATAGCCGCTGGCAGATTCATTTCTTCAACAGGCGATGGTGTTGTGATAGTTGCATTCTGCCAATTTTGATCTTTGTCGGGCCCAATGAACTCAGATGGATACTCGGTTTGCCACATTGATTGTGGAACTAGCGGAGTATGATTTATACTCGAAAGCGGGCTGTTCTCGAATGGGCTGCCAACAGGAAGCATGGAATTATTGAAGAGGGTAGGATCATGAGAACAAACGTCTTTTGCAAGGCCCCAAGGAGGTGCGGTCTGGATAGAGACGGACTGGTCGGTTATTTGGAGCATTGAGTCGCCTTGACCTTGACAATTAGACTGAGGTTGGCTAACAAGCTCCGCCTCGAAGTTTTGACTCCATGTCACTGAGGATGCTTGACAGCTGGCATCGGGAACTTGTAATGAGGTGGTGTAGGAGACAGCTGTAGAACCAAGTTCACAGGGCTCGTTGTATTCCGTGCGCAAGTAGATCTCTGGAGGAGAAGCTATCGCTTGCGCCGAAGCATAGTCGACTCCCGTGGTGTAGGCAAGTGCAAAATCGCAAGCATCGTCTTGAAACCCCATTCCGGTCGTGTTATCAATGTTCTGCAACTGCTGCAATTGCTGCTCGGCGGTGCGCTGGTAGTTGATCGAGTCCATTGTGTTTGTGGTATCAAACAATGGTGAAATTGCTTGATTGGCAGAGCTACCAAACCCATCCATCGGCACATAAGACAAGCCCAAGCCATTCAACGTCGATGGAAGACCACCAGCATTTTTCAAAGTCGGAACGCTATCCTGCGTATAACCATACTGGAAATTATCCTCGGCGGCTTCGTACCTTGGTGGGATGGAGTGCATTCCCATGCTATCTGTGTCTACCGGTTCTTGTTTCGGGGCGTCCCAAGCAAAATCATGAGCGGAAAAGTGTTGCGAAAGGAAGTCTCCGTAGTGTGAAGATCGCTTCGGCGAATACATATCGACACCCGCTCCCTGCATTGATACTAATGTTCCAGCGCCGTCCATCGTGTATTTGAGCCGCGGATATCGAAACCAACACCCAACACGGCTCTAGGAGCTCGAACAAGAATGGAGGAGCAGTATCTAGGTCGTTTCCTGGGTGCTCTGAGGGTGCGACTCTGTTCGAGAGGCTCTTGGCGAGCTTGAGAGCTTGAGTCAACGAACACAATCGAAAGCTTATGGCATTCAAGTTGTCATTCGGCGAAAGGAAGTGCGGGCGCCAGCTTGTTGGTCAGCCGTTGTCAGACGAGGCTCGCGCAAACCCTTCCGTCGCTGTGCAATTCGGCTTCGTAGAGTAGAGGATCGGATAGGTACCAGTATGAAGGTTTGGCGAGGATGCGAGAACTCAGCGACAAGCAGTATAATTGAATCGTCGAAGGATCAATAGACGTGAGTTGCGAGTTCTGTTCGGGGCATCGTGATCGTGATAAGCAGCGCCAAACTCATGCGGCTACTTCAACTTGACCAGGGCGCAGCGACAGAGATATGTTGGTGGGATGGTCCCATGTTGGAGAAACTCGGGGTTAACAAGCTTCACGTGCACTCGCAGCTGTGCCGCTTCCACACACACGATGGGCGTGGTTTATTGGATAGCTTCATACGAATCATCGTTTGTTGGCCTATCATTCAGGTTAGTGGGGGCATCATGATAAAAATATCTCAGCCCGTCGATGTCGTGCTGAAATTGCCGTGACCAGATTCGACTGTGTGTCGGATCCAAGTTGAAATTAATGATATGTCAAAGGTAGTGATAAATGTGAGCGGCGAGACATTTATTAGCTATGTAATCATTATGGCCATTGTGAATTAGGATGGTACAGGTTCTATCAGAATCGGGAGGCCGCTAAGAGAAGTCACGCTTTTCAGTTAGAGCGCCCAATGTGTATTTATTTTTCTTGTCCTACTCTACCAAATTGCTTTTTCCATATGATCCTCGTATCGAATCCCATTCTAGCGATTCGAGCCAAACCTTTCACCGTAAATATAGCCCTATTTACGACAGCCCTTAATAATACTCAGACCTATCACTCCATCCAGGTCTCAGGTACGTTGAGTCGAAGCCCACATCCAGCGACGATTCTACGGCTCCAATCACGGTCCAGTCAACTGAGACACTTGCGCCTGCGGTGGTTTGGGACCAGACACTGAGTCCTATAGTATTATCTCCGTGATAATTCAGAATCCCAGGGAAGACTACGTGGAGTTGTTAGATGATCTGTACATCTCAGAAAGAAGCATTTGAGGACTTACCAGGGAAAGTAACTTGGTTTCCAATATGAGGAATATATTTGGCAAACATATAACCATTCACATACAGCTGTACACGTACTTTTGATCCGGCGGGAGAACTAAAGACAAATCCTAGCGATGCGTCGACACCTCGAGGCAAATCTAGCGGAACAACTGTCCGGTAGAACTTAACACCAGCATTAGACGAACTAGTCTGAGGAGTTCCATTCTCCCAAGCGCTATCATCGAAACCGGGGAGATGCCATCCAAGGCGTTCAGCGTGAAGACCGCCCTCGTTGTAGGGTCCACGGATGGGATCGATATTTTGACCACCTCCAGCTTTACCTGCTACTTTCCATGATGAGAAAGTTCCGCCACCGATCAAGGTAGCGTTAAATATTCCTCGAGGGTTTGTGGCCCCGCTAGTCTGATCTTTACCCATGTGATCCTGGATGATGAAAAGTACGTTTGTGGTATTGGAGTTTAGCGTCGCGTTGGCGAAGGAAAGTTGTTGCTCTCCTCTCGTGACAGATGTGCTACCCAGCCAGGACCCGATGAAAGCTCCGTTGAGAAAGGCACTCCAGCCACTAGAATTCGTTAATAAATAGACCAGTACAACGGTTGTTGAGAATTTTATACCTTCCAGTTCCTCCAATCACGGAAAGAAAAACACCGGTGGCGTTGGAGTTTGAGAACCTACCACGCCATAAGATGTTCCCAGTGTGAAAATCTAAAGGTTGTCAGCCCCTTAGTCAAAGGTATCATTTAAATTTCCACTTCGTACCATATTCATCAGCGTATAGAACAGGATAAGTAGCAGGAGGGGTTGGATTTGGGGTTTTAGTATGATTGGCAACTAGGAATTGAGTTAGCGAAACACCCTGAACATAGTTTGAGAAACACTACCAGTCCATCTCGAGTCGTCGTAATTGCCGTTCCTTTCCGGTAATCCGTCGCTGACTTTCCATTTTGTCAAAGGTGGTAGCTGTGATTTGATAGATGATGCTGTACTAGCTGCACTCAGAAATCTCCCCAGCAAGCTACCATAGCGTGTTCTGTTAACGCGAATTGTCTTGCCGTTGAAGACTACTTTTTGAATAGACATTGGCGCATAGATATCGAGATCAATAGATTCCGTCCAATCTCCGGTAAGTGTCAAAACATTTCCGTCAATGGCAGCACTCCGAACAAGATATGGACCTTGTACAATGACTACGCGATCAGCAAGACCCTAACAGCCCAGAAAGGGAGACTTACCCGTCGAGTTCTCCGCGGTAAAAGGATCGTTCGAGGTAGAAGGCATCCATGTTTTGTAAGCGGAAGCTCTATCAACGAGGACAAACTTTGAGCCTTCAAAATCTATCACGGCAGATCCAGCTAATTGTGTGTATGAAACTACAGTACCTCCATCGACTGGACTAAACTTGACCCCAGAAGCTCCTTCCGACTTTTTGACCTGTCCAGCTTGCGCACCACTCAGGAAGAACTCTCCGCTTTCACCAGCCGGTAGCCAAAGAAGCACGACAGGCACTCCATCTTGGACCGAGACAGTGAGAACTTCTGCCGTGGAATATATTAACTTCTGTTTGCCGATGGTAAAATCGGTCACAATGATCTTTGACTGTCTACCATTTAGAACAATGTCACTAGCATATTGCGGAACGGTCAAGTTTCCTGCGGAAGTCGATATGCTTAATTTGAAGGACGTCTTGTCCCTGGATGGAGACAAGGTGTGGGCTGTAACATAAAATGCTCCATTTGTATCTGGATTTCGTAACTCGGTGGTTTTGATGTCGGGAGTCGAAGTCAATCCAGTGTTGTTTGCGATTCGATCGACCTTTGTCAGATCTCTGGCGACTCGAAGGAACTGTCCGAATAATTTTGTCTCGTGATACTTCTCGCCAATTGTTCTACTCTCAGTAATTGGCGCGCTGTAATCATAACTAGTTCCGACGGTAGGAAATGCAATTTGCCCCCAGTTAGATCCTCCAAATAGCATGTAGACATTCATGGAAGTGACCTTCTGCTCGACGTTATGTCTATAGAAGACGTTTACCCACTAAGCACCGTCAGTCAGAGTTCGAAGGTTTACCGAAGGCTAGCTTTACCTCTGGTCCCGTGGTGTTGACACAACCGCCGGCAGGTCCTTGCCACGGGTTGTAGCTTCCACCCTGGAACTCAGCTAGGAACGAAGGTTGAGTGGGCGCGACTTGTTGGAAGTTGCTGTAATAGTCATAAGTTGTGAAGTCAGGCACATTTCCGTTCGTTCCAGTGCATTCAGACAGATCACAACTCCAGCATGAAGGATAATGATCTAGCGCATAGTTGTCAACATTTCCACCTTCATTACTGTAATCTTTGGACCAAGATTTAGTTCTGAAGTTAGGATTGTTGTGGATCAGAGGCACATCAATCCCATTTGCTCTTGCGTTGGACTTGAGCAACTCCATGTACGCTATCGCTGGGTAGTTTGGCGTTTTTAAATCTACATTGCGCCATTGGTTACCGAATTCATTTTCGATCTCTAAATGGCAAACGATCAGCGCGGTTTCTTTCAGCCATCGTTCACATATGACAAGATATTTGTCCAAAGTAGCTGGCACAAGGTGCGCCGAGCTGCTAGGCGAAGCAGGAACGGTGAATCTTACGGTAGAGGATAACATGACCGCCTCTTGTGATCTGGTAATCAGCTACAATCTTAGATATTTCTGACATGAACGGAGTCCACGCATCTGTGTATCTCGAATCGTTATTGCGAAGAGTGCCGTAAGCTCCGGTTGTGAGCCATCCAGGAAAGCCACCCGCGGAGGCTTCCGCATTGACATAAGGGCCAGGACGAAACAAGACATACAGTCCAATGTCTTTGCAGATATCGAAAAGCCTGGTGAAATTGCGAGACCCAGATTCAAAATCGAGATGACCATCTCTGGCGCTGTGGTAGCCTTGATACCATCAGTAACGCAGCTTACACAAACCAAATAATCATTGTTCAAAGCTTACCCCAGTGTGAATAAAAGCTCACAGTATTGAAACTGATTCCGTCAGTATTGCATGATAGACCGGCTTGGTAGGTTTCCTTACCCAGCTGCCTTCACCTTCTCTAGAATATCAACCCATAGTTCCGGAACTGGTATTCTCCAGTAATCTGTGATCAGTTTCTCAGTCAGTTTATCTGATGATCAGAGTAACTGTTTGTCCAAAACCTGAGAAATGTAATATTTGGGTGACGCGCGTGGCATCAAATTGGACAGGATAATGGTACTAGTAAATTTCTCCAAAAGGACAGCACTCACGTATCTAACGACAGTCAGTAATTTCATGTTTGACAGCGCAATCATCTTACTTCTCCAGACCATATGAACAGCCGTTGTCCATTGATAATGTGACTGTAGTGGTCCCTTACGCGTGACTGTTAAAAAGGCACCGGCAACCGGTAGGGAGAATTACCATTCTACAACCTTATTGAGACCGTTATCATGAATTGGCCATTGTGTCTGCCCGTATATATTGATGGCGAGAACTGATAGGACCGACACAATACTTAGGAATTTCATCTTCCCTCCCGTTGAAGCTTCTATCAAGATGGTAGAAGAGGTAGGAAAGGGACAAGTAAAAAAAGATCCCTACTCAATCTTGTTCTTCAGCAATGCCTATAAGCAAAAAATCAAACGCTGTGCTATGGTTTGGGGTACATATTGAACGATCATTTAGGGATAAAGACCCCGCTTGAGGTCCCTTGGGAAGCTATTCGGGCCTGCCATATTTGGCTATCGTGCAATTTGCTAAATATCCACGCATACAAATTTCGAACATATTTCCGGCAATAATGAGCTCATCATGCTTGGTTTTGCCTGCGGTGAAGCTGTGGTCGAGTAAAGCTTTAACGCAAATATAGATGGTTACCACAATATGAGGGGAGAGCTAGCAGTGCTAACGAGGTACCCCGCGTCTGCAAAGCTTGTCACCGAATCTTTTCAAGGAGTGCCGGGGAAAAAGGGAGCGAAAATGACAATAAATCTTCCGTGATTGCTTCTCCATTCGCGCGCTTGCAGAGATGAAGACGCAAAAGTTCAGAGTTGGTCAATACTGCCGCCGGCGGTCGGCGGCCTTGGATGACGAAATGTCTAAGGTTGCTGATATTGTCACGTGCATTGAGACTGTCACGTTTTTTTAATACCAGAAGCCAAATGCCACCGATGATCCAGCAGGATACCACTTCTTGTCGCTCCCTCAATGCTCTCGATGTTCCACATCTTACATGTGAGCCCGGCTGCGACTTGGAAAGACTCGTGGACTCTTAGACTTGGGATGAAGTCGCGTCCCGAATGTTGTCTGTGCCCATGGGATCCAGAATCCAGATGCAGGGTGTTGTTCATTTCCGTTTGTTCTTCCGCTTCCGTCTTGTTCTGGCGAGTGATCTCGAAAACATCATTCATCATCCCAGGTCTCTTCCCTTCCTTCATTCTTATCACTGCTGCAGTCCTCGTCGACCCCATGTGTACCACTATGGTTCGCTGAGTACTATCTGGATAGTAAGTATACCTTAGACATTTCTACAATTGTGGGTTCTGACGCTTCCTCTAGAAACACCTGCATTTAAGAATTTTAAGTTGATCCCATTATCTGCATATGGTCCGTGTTCTTCTTTCCAGCGGGACTCGGATGCACTCAACCATTGCATTTTTGCGTGAAGCTGTCGAATTTACCAACAGTTCTGCTAGCTACACTTTGCTTGCTGTGCAACTGCTATCGCGTACCAACTATAAGCAGCGCCGTTTCTTGTTTCATGGTACATGATGATGCTGCATTGCTGTGTATCTCAGGTGGCACGAGTTTGCACAACGAAGCGCACGATCCAAATTGGGAGACCCTACCAATTTACCATTGGAATGCTCCCTACTTTAGTACAATGCCGACGCTCACCTCTCGCAATGCTGGGAAAAACGGGGACATTATGAGCATCTACCTTTTTAGTGGAATAAGTTTTCATTATTCGCCTGCTGTCTCCGTTGCAGCCGGTGTACAATACCAATTATTACTGCCATTCTTTAGCAGGCTCTACTTGCCCACACGCAGTAGTCACTACCGGTTCATCAACGGATACCATGATCCTCACACTGAATCATGCTTTGAGCGGATTCAAGTAAGAAACACCATTTACGAAGTACGAACAATGTACATGCAGGCCAAGTGGTGAAATACGAACCTGCCTACCCACCTTGAAAGCATTGCAGGATGCGTCAAACTTTGATTGACCCCTCCGTCTCCACGTCTTGCCTCAAAGGGCGAATTTTTTTTACTTCAACTTACTGGCTTTCTTTGTAGTTACTTCTGATTTTCAGGAATACAACAAGGACTCTATTTCGTTCGATTCTGAGACTTGGACTCGCGAGTCAAAGTTTTGGAGATTGCTGGCGATTGTGCTCAGGCGCAAGGACAAGAATAGTTACGTTTTAGTGACTAGACTGTGGAGGCTCTGCAAGCTAGAAATTTATTTCCCTTAGAGATCTCCCGCCACTCGTGGATCTTCAGCATCTTCTCCATATTTTCAGGGGCCGGTCAGCTGTCGTCTAATTTAGACTGCTCTCGGATCTTTTTTACTGGCCGTGGCACGGCTCGGCAAGCTTTAGTGGCATACGCTTCCTCCGGCAAGTTGGGTCGAGCTCGACAATTGTTGATGTTCTCTCCTGGGACCTCGCGCTTTGAGCCTCTAAACACGTCTTCAATTACTCGTAAGTACGATGATTTGGGGAAGAAGACGACCATGTCCCTGTCATTGGTGCTGTGGACGTGGCTAGCCGCAGACTAGGTCCAAAGAGTAGCACAGCTTGACAGCAATCTGCAGAGCCGTCGTAGCTAGATGGCCTCGAGATCGGGTACTTTGCATAGACAGCCGCGTGGTTATGTCACCTCGCTTGGACTGGTGGCTATTGGAAAAGGTGAAAAGTTGCGTTAGTACAACTACTGTTATGAGAAGGTAGGCATATATCTTGGTCTTCCCACGACTTGCGATCCTTCTTTCCTCACCTGCTTTTTCAAGCAAGACACTCTCTTTTGGTCTGGTAGTGGAAGCTGTAAAGGAACTTCTCACTTCATTCTTTATCCTAATAATATTTTTCCTCCTAATAATTTACAGCTACCCACTAGCAACGTTCTTTTCTTCCACATTTCATCTACAGGAATTCGCCATGCGGTCTACTTTCTTTACGTTGGCTACGGCCTTCACCTTGACTAGTCTCAGTGTTGCTCTTCCTGCAGAGCATGATGCTGGGTATTACAACTTCCTTTCGAGACGAGCTGTTAGTCCTGATAACACCTGCGGAGTGGTGATGGGCCAAACAGCTGGGTACAGCTGTGATGCCAGCGCTAACGAGGGAGGATGTTGCTCTCAATATGGGTACTGTGGAAACTCCAGCAGTAAGTTCTTTCATTCAGCTTTTCTTTGGGCTTGTAACTCCCAAATCACAAAAGGGGTTTGGATTGAAGGGTGTGCAGTTTTAGGTTAACCATTTGAGATTGTGTAATTTGCTAACACTTTTTTTTTAGCATATTGTGGCGATGGCTGCCAATCTGCTTACGGTATATGCGACGCTCCTGCGCCAGTCCTACCAGATGATGACTTCACATGTGGCCCTCTCAATTCAAACAAAATATGCTCTGGATCACTTTGCTGCTCTCAAGCTGGGTATTGCGGCAATACAACCGACTACTGTGACACGGGGTGCCAGTCCGACTTTGGTAGCTGCACTACTGGTGCAGATGCACCTGAGAACTCGGAGACATGTGGCCCAAATTTTGGCAATGCTGTATGCAACAACGTATGTATTGTGTCTTTGGGGTTTGTTTGACGGACAACCGAATGATATCTCCTCACAAGATCCTTAATTAACTCATCACTAGAACCAATGTTGCAGTATCTCTGGTTACTGCGGAACAACAGAAGAATATTGCCAGGATCCCGGATACTGCCTTCCCGGCTTTGGACGATGTGACTCAGATCTGACGCCTGCAGGGCCATCAACTGAGAACGCCCTTCGGCCAGTAAAGGGCTCTGTCAGTTACACAGACGATATCTATGATTGTGTTAAGGATAACGTTGTCGCATTGACATACGATGATGGCCCGTCCGAATATACATCTCTGTTGTTAGATACCTTGAAGACTTACGGATTCAAGGCCACCTTCTTCATCACCGGCAACAATAACGGCAAGGGAGCTATTGACACAACCGCGCCTTACCCCGACTTGATTAAGAGAATGATTGCCGAGGGACATCAAGTCGCGTCTCATACCTGGTCTCACTACTCGTTGTCGAACATTACACACGACCTTCGTATATCACAAATGGTCAAGAACGAGATGGCCTTGAACAACATCATTGGCAAATGGCCAACGTATATGAGACCACCATACTCGGACTGTACACAAGCATCTGGGTGCTGGGCTGATTTACAAGCCCTTGGTTACCACCGTGTCTACTTCGATCTTGACACCCAGGATTACCTCAACCCGCTACCATCGCAGATTCAGAATTCCAAGAACATTGTTAAGCAACGGCTTGCAGACCAGACTGCTACCGACTTTTTGTCAATCCAGCACGATATCGTGCAGCAGTCGGTTGCGAATTTGTCATCATACTACTTCGACTTGATCAAAGCAAAGCAGTGGACCGGTGTTACTGTTGGCGAGTGTCTTGGCGACGATGAGGCCAACTGGTACAGATCTCTCGACGCCTCGTCCTCAACCGTTGCAGGAACATCAACAGCTACCTCAACCGTCAAAGCAACATCTACGTCCATCAAAACCTCCGTGGTACCAACCACCACCAAACCAGCAACTGTAACCCCCAAGCCAACGACTACTCAAGCAGCTACAACTGCTAAGCCAACATCTACGAAAGCTCCTACGCCAGCACCAACTTGTGCCGTCAAAGCCGGTTCTTGGTGTGGAACTATCGATGAATTCGATGACAAGAACAGCTGTAACTCAGCCAAGAAAGATTGTTTGTCTGATTTCCTTGGCTGTGTCAAGACAGCCGGTATCTTCAATTTGGCCTCATGTACTAAGTACAATGCCATTTGTTTGAAGTTGACCGCTTATTGCTTGAAGTGCTCTTGGGGGGCTTGCAATAACGCTGACTTTGGATACTAAGAATTCTTTTCAAAACTTGTGGTCGGTAAATGGCTTTACAGTCAATTGCCGATTGATAGATTATAATTGTTTATTTGATCATTCTCAAACTGACGAGCTCCGAATTTTCTGTGACTTCTTCAATCCCCTGACGGGAAATATTTCGTGTCTTCCCGGTTTTTTACGTTGCTTGAATTCCAGTTAGTGCTGATGAAAGAACCGCGCAATCAACTAGCTGCTCCGTATGTAATGAAAAGAACATGAAACTCGGCCTGTAAACTAGAACATTACTACTCT